CCAACTCACTAATGTACGGTCAAGAATGATCATTCAGCCTCGATTCTATTTATAAATTATCCAAATCCCTTTTTGGCGTCTTGTAAGGCTATCAATTAGGCCGAAGGGAAACACATAAAGAAACATAATAGCCATGCATCTAGGCGCTAGTAGCCAAGCCGCATGAGAGGAACGTTACCCATGGTGCTGGTACGGTGTCGATGATAATAGTACTAACCAAGATGTCATTGGACCCTTTTCACTAATTAATCATTAGCCATGCACCTGACAGACGTCGTCCCTGACCCTATGATACCAAGTATTGCTGGAGTTCCGGGTAATTTGACTCACAGAGAGAGGGCCAACAGTAAAATTGAGACTAGATTTCCACTACTCCCGAGCTTTGTAGAGTAGAATAGCCAAGTTGAGGTATTGTGTATTTCATGGAGATTTCTCATGATAAAACTTAGATTTAACGATGATCAGCTTGATGGTGGAGCAAAATATTGTACTTTAAGGCCGTTCTTACCAAAATTTAAAACAAGGTAATATAAGCTGATCAGGGCCAGGGTAAAGAACATCTGGCTCTGGCCATTTTTGACCCTCCAGATAACCGAAAACTCCAATCTCCTCTGAGTGGATAATGCCAAACTACAAGAGAACCAGATGCATCTAGATATGGAGCATATTTTTCCTAATCTCTACCAGGTACGCCAGAACCCTTAATCCCTTGCGGGCTTCTTGAAAGCCCTACGAGCCCAACCTACGGCGGGTCCACATACGTCTTAATTAGCCTCGAGCTCATCAATCTATATCTTTCAAGCTCTAGCTGTCGAACGTACATGCGATATAGCTGCCGATATGGATATCCTTCTTCGCATACGTGGGCGCGGGCCCGGTCCGAATTATTCCTCTAGCAGTTGTGATGAGGCTCAATGCCTATTCGGGTGGTCAGGAGGTATCCATCAGTGCGGTTCAGCTCCGTTGGTGGTTTTAAGCTTTGAGTCGGAAGGTGCATGGATGGTTCTCTAACATGACGTCATACAGCAGTGGCAACAGGCATGTCCGAACAACACATCAATCACCAACATGATGTTTCCACATAGAAGGCTCTGCTACGCGGGCTCGAGCCCGAGCCCCCTCGAAACACCCTGCGATAGGCCAGCCGTTTTTCATGGGGGCCAACGGCGGCAACGCAGCTGATTCAGAAATCTAAGAAATAAGAATTTGCTGGCACTAGCAGCCTTCTAGCAGATTCGTAAATCGTTTCGTTCGTGTTTGAATAATTAATGGTAAGTGACATCCTGAATTAAAAGCTCGCACGGTGTATGATCATGCCGATACATTGAGATAACTCCCCTGTGATACAGATTTTCAACTTGCGGTTTAAGAAACCCGCCAGAAACTCCACAATGTCATCTGTTATTACCTCTTAACAGCTAATTCAATCTTCGCCACGGACCAGACAGACATAGGTGATGTCCCAAGAAACGCGGCGCATCCGGCAAACCCTGATTAACTTCACCCTAGGCTGAAGAGAAGGGCCTTCTTGGCAATTCTCGCAAGAAAGACTAATAAGTGAGGTTGAGCAGAATAGAGGCTTGGAAATGCTTGAACACACTTACAGCAGCAATCTACATTACTGATGCTGCGCTGGTAAAGGAACAATGTCTCTGAGTACGTACTGTGACTCTTAACCTGAACCAGGGTACTAGAAAACAGCCTAGCTATGGATCGCCCAGACGGAGAGTTTGTGTTTCGCTAATAATTTCCAACGGCGGGGCTAAGCCTGACCTCCGAATAGGGGAAATTACGTGATCACGGCTAACTCCCCCTATGATATGGCACAGAACTTCGGCTGGGACGGGAGGACTGAACGTCCGATCCAATGCCGTGCCTGCAGGCGGGTACTTGAATTCTCCATGCGAGAACTATCGTCCGCAATCTATCAGCCTTAAACCCTGAGGCCCAAGAGTTTTGAAACACGAAGAGACCAGCAACTCAAATACACAAATCCAACCTATCCCAGCCCGCTTTATGCAGCCCCGATACAGACGATCTAGCGAGAGGCCCCAGATTGTTTCCCCCATATTCTAGTAGCTCCAAGGTATATAAGCATATTATGGTAGACATCGCCTACAAATAGCACTGCTATCTTTAATTGACATCCATTCTCGCCCTAATATAGGGAAAGCAGGTCATAAAGATGCGATAATTGAAGGCACACAACTCTATGAAGGGTTTTTGAATCAAAACTGATTACCTGGAAGTTAGTTGATGATTTTCGGTGTTCATCGCGTTTCCAAAGTAGCCCTGGGGACTAAATTTTACTTAATTCTGGCGTTAGAGCGTCAATATTTAGCCTGGACCCATAAGAAGCCGGGGTCGGGCCGGTTGGGGATTAAATATCTCGGGTTATGCCCCGCTCTGAGTCAAGATCGCAAAACTTAATGTTTGAGAAAGCTTTGAGAAGAAATATAAATCACTCGAAAGAAAGACACGTACTGATTCTATAGTATTGTAGATCCCTAGATGACTTTGATATTGAATCATGGAATATCACTCGGAACGGGAGCGCGGCCAAGGAATGATTGATTGATTGATAAGGATGCCAAAGAAAGCATTGATTAAGAAGAATACATGTAGCTAATCTGAGATTAGCGTATGATAATCCAATCAAGCCTTCGACTGGATCGTGGATCAGTTCCGTACCTACTGTTTCAGACCGTGAACTAAGATGTTGGCGTTACAATACATCTTCGTATCCGTATTCCATTGAACACCAATGGTGTAGCGTCAATCTAATACTACCGAGGCCAACTGCTAGTGCTCAAAAACCTCGCCTCGATAACACCCCGTATCACGCGGGCCCTGGGGCATGTCCTGCTTGGTTTTTTCCGACAGGTTGGTGGTGGGCAATTAGGCAATGAGATATTGAAGCATCAACGAAGAATCCTCGCACAAAACGAGTCAAGTGACGATGCGAGATAGCCTCGCACTCCAACTAAGCCATCGAGTCATGAGATCTCACTCGGATACCAAAACTTGGAGTGCCTGGAGAATTAATTGCCAATTCACTTAGTTTAGGGAGATGAGTGTAAGAAAATATCAAGTGAGTTACCGTTTATAGTTAGAATGTTTATATTGACCTGTTTCGAGGTAGTATGCACTTTCGTGGTCGCACCTCTTGCGACGGCCTATGAATTAAACAAAAAAAAAAAAAGAGATCTTGCGACGGCCTACTAGATCTTTTGGTTTTGGATGGATCTAGTCCTAGAATCGTCACCTATCAGATACAAGGTCTTTTCGTAATTATGGCAATATAGTCATGATCGCCGTGCCGCCCGTGAGCTCTCTTCGCGGGAATCCCATATTGATGTCCTTAGGTTGCCACACGCTTTTTTGCGAGAAAGGTAGTGGAAACGTAGCCGAAAGGCGGGTGAGGGATAGGTGGCCGGAAGCGAAGGGGAATAGTCTACATGCAGTTTTCAATGACTTCTCATCTTCACTACCATACGATCATCACCACATGTTCGCTCACAACTGCATAGGCCCGTCTCTACAGATATCAACGTTTTTCATCAGTCCACCGAGAAGGAATGTAAGGAGTAGATAACACTATCACCTCCGCTATAGAATCGCTTATGTCAGGTTTAGACATAGGACATCACTCGACTTCGAACCCCACGGTTGGTGGGATTTCCCCCCCTAATTCATTAATTGCATGCAGCCCTACAGCTATGGCAATCAGTGAGTGGGATTATTCCCAGCCATATCTCCCGTTAAATCATTTTAGGCACAAATAGCAGCATTGGCTGTGGTGAGACTATGGAACGCTGGCTAACTTGTTTTCAAAACACTGGCAGATCCTCAACAATCACAAACCGACGGTCTTTCTAAGTCACACTGGTTGATATCGCGCGGAGTTCCGGGTGTTTACAGCGCTTCAGGCAGATACGAGATTCTGTACCTGATAGGATAGAATTCGTTAATATAAGGAGCTATAGCTTCGAGCCGCGGTTCTCAGCCTGGTAGATATAGAGAAATTGTCCCTGATTCCGCTGGGGTGGCTGCTTTCCTCGGGGTTTAAGTGTGATTTTTATGTACCTGATATATGGCGAAGGCTTTGATGGTGGACACAAGACCAAGCAAGACAATGTCTAAGGGTGGTTCCTGTTGCCCTGTGAATTATAGGAATTTTTGGAATTGTCAGTATTTCAGCAATGTATCGCGCAAAGTATCGGTCTTGGAACCGACGGTTAAGCTCGTCTGGTTGGTGATTATACGATGGTATTTTCTTATACAACAATATCTTTCCGGGAACCAAATTTTGATGCTGATATTGTTCAAAGTCACAGACGATCACTCGCATGTTTCGAAAATTCTTGAGACCAGACTTTTTCCATTTTGCCTCTTTTGCCTTCCCTCGCGCTAGATACTTGTATTTTGTCTCGTATCTCGAGCTAGAAAAAGTCTCTAGACATTTTATCCTGTGCCTACCACTAGGCGAAGGTGGTTTTATGCATAGAGAGTGATAATTCACGCCGGGAGGCAGAATTACCACTAATGAGTGACCAATTTGTCCTTCTCATGTCCCTGTCCCTTTCTCTTGCCCGAATAACCTCTCCGTTGCGTCCTCTAGAAATAGCGAGGACCATATGAAAATCTAGTAACGGGCTTGGCCACTATGAGGAGATCAAGGTCTAGTTACGGGTCTGGTTTACTCCCGGTTTTTTCCCGGCGTTATATTATGCTCATCGTTGACGCATGTTATAATTTGAACTCAGAGTTTTCTGGAGCCAGTTAAATCGATGGTTTTGTGATGAGCATGTATTGAAGGAACACGTTTCTACGTTCTAACTATAGGCTTATGTATGGCGAAAGGAAAAGTGAAGACAAAAGACAAAAGAAACTAGTAGCAAAGAACTAAGGTCGGAAAAGAGAAACGAAAAAATAGAAGACAAAATCTAAAGACTCTGTATATGTTGCTTCCAGATGCTAACCTACCCCGCCCCAACAGCTCACAGACCCTGCTGACCCAAGACTCTCTCCACCTCCCCCATCACCCTCTCCACCCTCCTCGCCCACCCAAACCACCCCACACCCCTGTGCTCATTCTCCTCACTCCACACCTTCCGTCCCGCAACCCACGTCTCCTTAACCCTCACCCCCGACAACCCCTCACCCCTCAACGCCTCCGGATCCCCCTCCGCCTCGACAACGACATCTTTCTCCATCACAACCCAATCTGCCCACCCACCAACCTTAATCTCCCCAGCGCCATGCTTCTCCATAAAACTCGCAAACGCGGGCCCCCTTGTAAATCCCTCAAAGGCACTCCCAACGTCTACCGTCTCCTCCTCATACCAGCCTCCATCCCTCCATGTCCCTGACGCAGCTGGCGACCGCCTAGTCGTCGCCGCATAAATCCCCTCCCACGGACTCGGCGGCTCAACCGGAAAATCGCTGCCAAACACCATCGGGATACCGCGCTCCTTAAACGTGCGCATGCGATACGCACTCTCGTTTAGGCGCTGCACGCCGAGCCGATCGAGCGCGTATGCAGCGTCGCTGGTTGCGTGGGTTGGCTGGATGCTCGCTATGATGCCGAGTTCGCGCATGAGCGCTTGGTCGGCGGGCGCGATGATCTGGGAGTGTTCGATGCGGAGGCGGCGGTGGTTCTTTTGCGTTTGCGCCATGCAGGCGGTTTGTGTGGTAAGGAGGATCTCGGGTGAGGAGACGAGGTTGGCGTGCGGGCAGGAGGAAGCGAGGACGAGTGAGAAGGCGCGGATGGCGGCGTGGCAGGCGCGGTCGCCAATGGCGTGGATGTTGACTTGGTAGTCGTGGGCGTACCACTGGCAGGTGGGTTAGTGGGGTTATAGAAGAAACGGGTTGGATGGGAAATACCTTTTTGACGACTTTCTCGAGGTCGTGTTCTTCAATTAGCATGGTGCCGCTGGTTTCGGGCTTGTCGCTGTAGGGCTCGAGAAGGGCGGCGCCCCAGGATCCGAGTGCGCCGTCTGGATAATGTTAACAGAGGTAATGGTTGGGATTTGGGTTATCATGTTTACCAGCAAAGAGCTTGACTGAGCGGACACTCAATACTCCATCGTGGCGTTTGATCTTCCTCACTTGCTTCCCGCAGAAGGTGTTGCGGACAGGACACTCGATCATTGCATAGATCCTCAGAGTCATGAGACCCAAATCGGCCAATCTATAAGCATTAGCCATGCTCATCACAATCCTACCCGCAATAGCAAAGAGAAATACTTACTCATCATACAGTTCAATATCCTCTGGCACAACACCAGCATCATGAACACCTACGATCCCATAAGAGTGCAAGGACTTCATGGCACCAACAAGGTATTCCATCTTGTCTTCTACAGTGGGCTTGGGCCATTGACCAAGCGGAAGGTCCATTGCGTTATCACAGAACACGCCTGGGCCTGGATCGGTTGTAATGTCGCCGCCAGGGACATATGGGAGCGGGTTTGGCAGAAGTTTGAGTACAGCCTCTGTCAACCGATATCGTTTAGCAAAATCTCTCGAAATAATTAGAGAAAGACGCGAATATACCAGAAACCCAGGTGCAATGAACGTCTACACGATCAAGCATGATGTATTTCCCCTTCAATTCCGGGTCATCTTCAAGGTCTTTCTACAGTTGCGCAAATCATAGCAAGTAAGTAACCACGCTTGTAATATCTGGTAGGGGATATATATTGAGCTTATTTACAGCAGTTGGCATTGCGCCTCCAAAATTTGCCTGATCCCACCCAATTCCTCTAATCCACTTCTCGGGAGTTCCATAGTCGTTATCGAGTTGCGCCTTGAGATACTTCTTGATCCTTATTTTTACCTCTGTAGTAGAAACCGTTAGTAATTGAAAATTTTCACAATAAAAAAGAATTAAAAAAAAAATAAGGGGGAGAAGGCTTACCATCAATGCTTTCGGCACCATATAACTTGACACTATGCAGCATCTCCCCGTACTGCAGCACATGCCCGTGCCCGTCCCACAGACCCGGGTACGCATATCCTGTGTGATGTGTCGCACCAGATTCAGGTGTATCATTCCAGATCTTTGTAACAATGCCCTTCTTTACGGAGAAGCAGGTGTTCACGCCCTCTTCACCCTCAGAGTTTGTCCTCACGCGCGCATAGCAATGCCTAGCCTCCCTCCCGCCAGCCGACAGGAAGTAGGCGGCGGGGCTGAGACCCGCGAAAATGGGGATATGGCGCAGGCCATAGAACGCGACGAGGGATAAGAATATCCAGAGCTTGGGTAGGCGCTGCATGTTGTGATGGTTTGTGTGAAGCGACCGCGGGCGGGATCGTTTCAGGGTGATGTGGAGGTCTCGTGAGATCAAGTTGTCAAGATAAGGCAAGGGCGGATTGCAGGGGGGGGTGAAAGAAGCCCTAACCCTGAGATATGCGGAGGTTGAAGAAGGTTTGGCTTGGAAATCTTATTTCAACGTCTATCTACCTCGGAGTTGCACCAGTAATAGGTGGGAGCGTGTTTGTTTCGGGAGAAGGTAAGTCTAGAGCGAATTAGTTGCTAGTTCAACAGATGTGCATCAATGATTGGCGTGCTTTTTGTAAGGGCTTACTGTATTCCCAGTTTAGACTTTAGTAGTTGTTCCTTGCCATAGAAATCCTTGCATAATGGCTCTTGGCTCTTTAGCCTTGCCTCTTGTGCATAAGTAGATAGGAGTGTGGTGATGATGTAACCAAGAGGTATGATTCTGAAAAGTTGACTGAGCCTATCACCAAAAGAGAAGCGATCGAATATCGGTCCGTATGAAAGTAGCCGACTCTAATGGTGTGCTGAAATTCCAACATCAATCTCCGCTGTGCAGAGAGTCAATAGACACCAGCGAGGATCTGGGTATTTTCGAATACCGCACCTGTGTGTACGTCTTCAACGCGAGACCCGAGCGTTGAACAACCACCTAACCAAATTCGTCAGATCGTCGCATTTATTGAAAAGTAGGTTATCAATATACCAATTGCAATTCAATTTCTGATGAGAGAATAAATGTACTTGAGATAGGTTCGAGCGTCGGTCGTGTTCTAATGATTCTGAGGTGCGGTGACGACAACTAAGCTATATAAGGCCGATCAAGGAGGACAAGTGTGGGCTGCACTTATTAGGCCGGCCGTACCCACTGACCTCTCTTAATTCTGTCTTTCTGTGTTTCTACCTGTAACTGAGCATGAGTATATCGATCAAAAAACCTAGTATCGTGTCACACTAGCTGGCCTCCCATCCTGCGGTATGTGTACCCGTGGAAAAGGAGTGCTGTAAAGATCTAGCCATAGCCGATATATTGATTGGCAGAGATGTACAAGGGCTATCTAACTAGTTACATGATGTTATACTAGTACCGAAAACGATTTAGTAAGGTTTAGTCCCTGAAGTGGATGATGGATAGTTAAATACCTGCTAAATATAGGCATCTTTTCAGTGTAAAGTAAAAAGCACCGTAACGTAAACTCTTCAAGGTAAAACAAAGAAAAACAGGACTTTTGATAACATGTTGCATGAGTGAAAATTAAAGTTAAACACAGGCTCATGGTATTTAACAAAAGGACCCGACAACGATGTAATGGTACATGTGCGTGTACACCAGGGAGGTAGAGGCTGAAGGCTATCAACTTTGTAAACGTACCACATTAGCTCAATGAAATTTTCGACCGGAAGGGCTACATACTACTAGGATGAGTGTCTCTCATCAATCAACCCATAGATCCCGCAGCATCATGTACTAACGACAATCAAGCCTCTCAATTTCATGAATTGAGCTGGTTGGTGATGGAACCCAGTCAAAGAAAATCTCTCCACTGACAGTGATCCAAGAGCTTCTGTGATCATGAGAGGGCTCGTAGGTGTCACGGAATTCGACATATTCTGTTTCGATGGTGGTATTCCTGACCAACGGTTCGGGAGAAACTTGATTCTCAACGCACACTTCCAACATTATCAGTCAAAGCAGGTCGGGCAAAAGGGGGGGGTTTTTTTTTTTTTTTTGGGGGGGGGGGGGATATACTGGTAATATCTTTTGCTGCTAAAGCCTCGCAATGAGGGTTACCACATAAGATATCGTGGATAATACCACGCATTCCGTTTCCCCCACAAGGGCTAACAGGATCGAACGTCAAAGTGATTTCTTCCAGCTCAATGCTGTCCTGGTCAACAATAGCAGGACGGACCACACGGACGCAATCGCCCGCATTAACATCTGCAACTGGTGGGTCTCTTTATCGAAAGATTTATCAGCTCAGGCTAACTTTGGATATGAGGGGATAAATATACCTCGCTTTATTCTGTGTTCTGGCCATGGGGAAGCAGAAGATCTTCCACATCATTCTCTTACTCTTTTCATGTAGGCTCATGAGAGATTCCATCTTTGTGTTTGACAAAAAAGATCTGTTTGAGAAGCTTAAAGATTTGGTGTATATTGGAGTCGATGAAGAGATAGATGGCACGGGAATTGTTTTGTTTTGATGAATTGGGTGTATATTGTAGGTACTATACAAGTCTCGACGGCTTAACGGATCTGCGATTGACGCCGTAAATTAAGAGGAGGAATTGAAGTCTAGGAAGGGGGGGCGGATAGGAAGAAAGGTGGAGGTGGAGAAAGAGGGAGGATACACAGAGGAAACTGTGTGGATGATGAGGATGAGCAAGGAAGGATGGAAGAGAGAGGGAGAGAGGGAGCAGCGAGAGAAGGAAGAGATGGTACTGGTGGTTGTAAGAGAAGGAAAATGTGACGGGAAAACCTGTGTACACAAGCTATTAGGTACATCCGACGTAGGGGGGCTCATGTGGTAGTAGGTAGAATTCTTGGGTGAGTTTTTACATGTACTTGTCAACGAGACAACCGCGAGTGATGAAGTTTTTATTAGGACCTGTTAAAAGCGGAACAAAGTAGTACTTATTAGTTTATATATTGCATAGATCCCACATTTCTTCGTCTTTGAGCGCGCGGCGTATAAGGATGGGATGTTTGTGTTTCAGACAAAAGGTCCAATATCTCGTGTGACAGTAAGAGAATTTTCGACTTGTACAGCTATCCAATACAATGTATCCCGCCCCTCATTAGAGTATGTTCACATGACAAGGAAGGGAAGAGAAGGATACAATACATTGAATCTCTCGAGCATAGCAATGTATTAAAACTTGTCATAAGGAGTATGCGCATATGAACGTTTGCCCACCTGATGTACACTATTTCACAAGAAATACTCGTTAAGTTTGTAGGGTCGGCGCGTCTCTTTTGCGTACTTTTCGCTGGGTGTGTCCCCGAAACATAAACACTGGTTTTTCGTGCAAAGAAGGCCGCAGTACTAGAATCACGGGTTCATTTCTGTGTTGAGTCTTATGATTATCTCTATTATTGGTATCAATTACAGTTCAATCTCCATATGGGGTACATTAGTCGTAAGTGTAATCATTTATTGGTGAATGAGCTCTTGTCTCATAAAATTGGAGTACCTCACTGCCCAAAGAAAAGAATTTAATAACAGCGTGAGTTATAAGTGCAGCTACATCCCGCCCTATAATTGAACACGGCTTGTGCGAGATGTCAATATGCGATGCTCCCAGAATTTCCTTATCTGATTCTGAGCGATTGCACTAAGCGATAAGATATTAGCTGATAACGATTACACGATTCAATTGATTGGATGCGATAAGTACTGATCAAACAAGATAACGATCAACGATAAGATTCAGACAACGATAACGATAAGATCTTAATGAACAATGATTCCTTGGTTTGTTTTTCACAACTGAACATGACAGGTCGGGCCACCGACATATATAAATTTTACTTGTTTTCTCCTACATCCGTAACCCTTCCTCCATCTATTCTAGCCTGTCTATAACGTATAGGTATTTAGATTCTCTGAATACAACCACGTAATAGTGCGCCTAGTTAATATATTTGTGTGAACAGACGACAAGATAACTGTAATCAGGGTATGTAACGGAAACGTCGCTTCAAAAAGCCTGCGCCTCAAGATCCATGGTGAGCGAGTACAAGTGGTGATCAACAAACTTGGCAAGTTTCAAGCCAACGTATATTGACACGAGGAGTCCGAGGTAAAGACCGATGAAAACATCCGAGGGGGCTGTAGGACCCATGATGGTACGCCGGTAATCTGTTTAAGCAAGAAATGAATCAAATTCAGAATTCTCCACCATCAAGAAGGATATGCATAGGAGCGGGGTATCTACGTCTTGGCTGTGAAGTCTTATGCTATGGAATTTCCGAATTGATTGAGAGTCAGTAAAAATAACGTTAAGAAGGTTCTTCAACTAGATTTATCTTTACCTGCAGCTGTTATCGTGAGTAGTCGAAAACGATGATAGCGAGGGAACTTTCGATTCTATCTGAAGAGGAAACGTATTGTCGAGGGTGTGTTGAGTGAAGAAGGAGGATCGCACAGTGAGAAGGTTAAGGTAAGTAGTACGTTCACATGCGGGGGAGAAAGTATAATGAGATAACTTATGTACGTACTACAACTTCCAGCTACTGGGTGTGGAAATTATCACAGTGTTGTTCATCATATATACTTGGAAGCCCTTGCTTGCATTTGATTGAACCAATTTGAGTGTTAAACTCTCTGTCATATATAAATGCGGCAGGAGGGGGAGGGCATGCTGTACGTAAAAGGATTTAATCACTATAAATTACAAATCTCGTGGAAATTAGGAGCGTTAATTGTAAGGCCCGATTGGGTGAGTTACTGGTGCGGCTGGGAGGGTTAGCTGGGCTTGAAGAAAGAAGTCACCCAACATCACACATGACCACGGCAACGCAGACTTACACAACTACATGTAATCTATGCTTTTTCACAAGAACCAATTCAAGCTGCTTACATCTACCAAGTACTCTTTTAACACTCTGCTGGCTTTTCCACATCGCTGAAAATGCCACCTGGTCTAGCTCGGCCCAGTGAGCGCAGTTACCCATTGCCACGCTGAGCCAAACATGATCACACAATGAAGTTTCAATCCCAATACTCTCTGAGTAATAATAGGTCCGTCGCCATGATTGTCTTATCCCTCCATTTTTTATGCCAACCTCCAAGATCCTTTGTCATCTTAGCTCATGAAGGGCGGCGGTTATCAGATTATCACCGGACGCGAGCAGAAGATTGCAATGTCATATGATTTCACAAGCATCGAAAGTGTTCGTGGTCAAAGCATGACCCTGATTTTCCCTCTTATAACAACAGTCTTGATGCTAACACTTCTACAGTGGTCATATTATTTACTTGGAAGGCTTAGCGAGAAGAACACAGGCGGGACACTCAGTAATTTATCGACACCTACCGATGGGCCCTCGCGAGCTTTTGGTACACTTGGTGATTATTCTATGGTGAAAGTATGCTACTGGGTTCGTCTTCTCTCACTCTTTTAGGAGATGGTTTAACTTATATTTCTATAGTTGCCTTTATTACCTGTAGTTGTCGGAAGGCGCTAGTCATATGGATGCTGATGGATGAGAATACTGTTGATACCTGGATATGGCTATGATTGGATTAAAGCTGAAGCATGGTCAGTAAGAAGGTATTTGAAAATAACTCAATTTAAGAGGATCCGTATTTCTCACAAGACGTGTGTGAATTAGGCTGTGCGTGGAAAGAAAGATAATATATCTTGCCTAACTTGAGCATCTATTGAACCTTTGAAAAAATAAGTGGTTGTTTTATCGAACGGCCGCGGAGGAAGGCAATAACAATGTGCGGAGACAGCTACAACTTTGCCGCGAGTGAGCTAATTATGGGTGGATATGTAGTAACTTAGATGATGGGAGAATAGTCGACAGGTTGCTCTATTTGGGCATGTGATGGCAATTTGTTTCTGTCGGACGCTAAAGGAAGTTTTAATGTGTCGGCATCGTATCTCGGTTTGAACAATCCACAGGTATATTATTGGAGATTTTAATGCCTGCTTTTCCTAATGAAATGTTTCAGCGCGTTACTTTTGGGAGCAAAGCCAACCGCTGCAGTCGAAAGCATCTTACGGCCAAATATAAGCGATTGTCTCAAGTTTTTTTTCTATTCAGAGAGATTAAGGGATATTGACACTCTCAGAGTACGGATATACCAATTTCCGGGAGACGAACTTTTGCCATTGTACCTCCCGTATGCAAATCCCATTTTTATACTGACGATAGATAACTAACTAATCAGGGTGTTCGGTGTCCCAGGGACCTATGGCGCTGCTTAAAATGATTCTATGGCCGGCCATGCACGGGCTACTGATCAAGGATATACGCTTACGGTGGAGTTCTAATTATTTAAACGGCCATCATACCCTAGAGAGCGTATCGATTACTCTACTACATCAAGAGCTGGAGTAGATCATCAATCCAGTGGATAGGATAGTCAATAGCCTTCTCGGGACGGAGGACATGGTGTTAATATCTCATGCTTGGAGATCATTTGCGGTATAAGTGTTGTGTTATTTGGTGCAGTGATCTTGGTAGTCGGTCCAACGGGAATGGGAGCGGGCAAGATAAACTGAAGTTGAGGTGAATAAATACTCTAGAATCTATAAAATCTCTGTGTGCTCGAGTATTTACCTACAGTTTGCGGGTGAAGATAGGTGCCTAGGTTGACGGTCTCCGGGCTTGTGTCCGCTTGAAATAAAGCCCTGGAGCTCTGGGTGTAAAACTCGCTTTAGACTGCTATATATATATCACCAGTCAATATTGACGTTCGGAATATCATGTTGTAGGTGGAGAGATAGTTTTGAGTCCGAGGCATGCTTGTCAATTCAGTTAAGCACTTCGTCGACTTCAAATGCACAGAAATGCTCAAATGCCGGCATAGTTACCAGGGAGTTGTATGTGGACAAGAAATACCTATTTTTCTGTGGATACTTGTTGGATGAATAAAATGTACCCGGTTCCAGGACACACAAAGTGGCTGGACCACTGCATTGTCACACTCTCCAACTGTCACATAATCGGATCGCAAAATTACGCCATTGGCCGAAGAGGCGAGAGAGCACAAGATACCACTAATTGGGAACCGGATAATCTTGCCGAATTATCCCACGGTTCTGTGCATCGACGTCGTCCCACAAAGTTCAGGTGGCTGAAACGATAGGAGAGCCTTGTGCGTAACGTCAACCTAGATTCTAGATTCATAGACGCAGGAACAGATCTCGGGAACAGATCTGGCTTTCCAACGGAAGGTGGCCTGGGAGCGTAGGACAAACTCTACTTCAACGACGAATCTCATATGCAGTGGTCGTGGTTGAGCTAGTTCTTAGTCGCTACAACATACGCATGTTATAGCCTTTGAGATTCATTATGCCTGCTTTATAATCAATCTCTTGGGCTGATCCTCAAATAGCGAAGATGGATTTGTCCCGGAGTCCTATCTGGATGACAATACATGTAGTATCTTGATCGATCTTTCACTTGAAATACGAATGATTGAACCATGATCGACTCATGAGATCATATGTTGTCCTAGAATTCTATTCATGAGATGGATGCGCTAGGAGTTTTTTTGACACATAGAATCATACCTAGTCACTCATGTTAAAGAATTACTAGGATCACATCAATTTCCTGGTATCTGTTTTGGAGGGATCCCTGAAGCGAAACCAACAACCACAATACCGGAATCGGAGTTCTAAACCCTTACGACAGGCGATCAACGAATTCGCGAATAAAATATTTGTAGGTGACTAAGCAACTCAAGACAGGTCTGGCGATTTTCGCCTTGTCATTAACCCTACATGTGCTGGTCAGCACAGTATAGTAAAGCTCTAGATCTGGCTTTCAAGTTCCTCCAGCCCCCATGTTGGAGTAAGGAAATTTCTGGCCCCCATTATCAACGATTTCACTCCCGTTTCTCTGGAAGTGATCGAATGAGAGGAAACGAAATACATCAAATGCATATTTTCAATATGTTCAGCTACAAAATCCATATAAGGAAGAATTTGGAACTGATGAAAAATGGACGTCTTACGGCAACTCGGCTTTTTCGCGAAGAAGGTTCTCACTAGTTTCTGTCGGTGGCTTTATTATTTACTTGAACCCTTGCCAAGCTACAGGATAATATCCCTCACTCTACGCGACGCGAGCATTTATCCAACAGCATCGCGATCATGGTATCCTCGTAGAAGTTCCTGCATGCATGTCCAGGCGATGCACTCGGTAACATTCCAGGGGTCGCAATGTCGTGTTACCAGGTTCGCCCCTCAATGCCTTATTGCGGGATGATCTTTACCTCCGGGACTAGTAAGTGGCTTAAACGGTCACTGTATGGAGGTCGTCATAGATTAAATACAAAGCCCCGACCCCAAATAATACTCCTGAAGAGAACATGAGTACAGCCTCGTATGATGGATGGCACGGCTTCTGGAAATGATGTACCGAGCTCCCAATTGCCGTGATATCCTTGACAATAATCAGACCTTACAACACGATGGCTCCGTGCAACTTGAGAACAAGTAACGATTTGTGAATCTTTACCGCAGCACTGCAGCAGGAAAATAAAACTCAGCTCTCTCGTATTTGAGAAGATCATAAGCCGAGCAGACATTATTTATAGCCTTGTTGAGTAAGAATAGTCATCCAGCTGTGATGAATGGAGCCAAGACATGTTGCATGCAACCAATGATTAGATTAGTGAATTATTTGGGGGCGAAGTTCAATATTAGAGTTCCAAAATCACCCAGAATTATCCATCCGAAGTCAAGTTATATGCATGCAAGTGATAACTATCGCGCTCTCATGATCCTATCATCCTCAAAGTCAGCCGGGGAATCTGTTCCCGTCTTTCCCAGGTCTTGTCAAAACTCCAAAGAAGCGTCTTAGAATAACGAAGCTTCACAAAATTATACGATGAGGGTTCTACGAGCCTTTATCGTCCCGATACGATTGCAGGAAGATATCCTGCTTGGGACCTATAAGGTTGATATCTATTAATATCGCGATCTGTCCACGACACTGATTACCTAAGCGGTTTCGAACAACTGTTTCAGTGATCTTCATTCGATCGGATATGAGCAGATTTGATTCTGTTGTACCAATCATTGAATTTAGATTTCCCAATAAGGTTTACTAGGACTTCGGAGGATTCGTTCCGAGCTTGCCGAATCCGAATAGTGATATATTCGTTGACTTAGGAAGTCCCATGTCTGGCTTACTAGATTGAAGATTGTGAGGATAGTGTTGTACGACCGTTCAGGATATTTTCCGGCAAAAAGAAACATAGCGTATGTACAGCAAGAGGTAAGATTATTGTAGAAACAGGGGTCTAAAAACAGGGTTTGATTGGCTGGTTAGGCCAATAGGACTTTCCCCAGATTTCTACAATAATCTTACCGCAAGCTGTATTTGTGACACCATAAGTCAAAGTCACTCAGCCGTGATTCTTGGAAGTTGATTACCTACATGTAGTCTATTAGAGTACCACTATCAACCAGTTAGATGCACTAAATCGACCGGTGAGAACGGCAATAGGTTGTGCGTTATAATGATAATTCATCCATGGGATTCGGGAGAGCTCAAAGCCAACTAACCAGGGACATGGGTGTCAAAGGAAAATCAGGTGCGGGGCATATCAGCCAACCAAAGGTTACTGTATCTATTCAATATATATATATATTGCATGGCAGGGGTATGAGTTCAGTTGAACCAATGGAAACCAGCGAGTCCTAACCAGGGTTAGCTGTCAGCTTCTTAACCAGTAGGTCCAACCAACCATCAATGAGAAATGTTCTGAATAGCAACCTTAAAAATCCCTGTCGACCGAATACCTGCTGGCCAGTGGGACCATTCTAAGCCCTCGGGAATGCACATCTGAGAATCTTGGCCACTAGGTGCGCACGTTTCTGCTCGACTGTCTACATGTATGTCAATGAATGTTCTGCAGGTGACCTTTCAATGGGACATAAAAGATTAGTTGAGCAGTCGTGATAGGAAGCGCGAAAAGTAGATAAATAGAAGGGTTACTGCCTCTCCCAAATACCATCGACTTCACTCCTCATCTCAAGCACAGATCACCAGGAGCACTGCAATTCCGGATCACTACTCACCTTAATCCTAATCATCCACCGCGCTACATCTACATCATGAAGTTCCAAACTCTCGTTCTTGTTGCGCTTTCTGCATTGGTGTCAACAGTGTTCGCCATCCCTACTCCGGATTGTAACGTCTGCGCAAACAGCTGTACCGTACAGTGCGCTGCACAGGCACCACGATCATGCTTCTGCCCACAGGTCTGTGGTAAGTGAATGGGAAATATCATATCACGCTGCTACCTGAGACTAACCTTTCCTTCAACCAGATCCTGAGTACTCCACATGTACCACCCGCCGGTCACTCCTAGGAGAACGTGAAGCTACACCAGCACCAGCACCAGCACCGGCCACTAATCCCTGTGGATGCTACAACGACTGCACCTTCTACGGTTGCGGTGACGATGTTGCGCCAGAGGACTGTATCTGTACTAAGGAATGCGGTCAGCAACCACGCTTTACTAGATCTTATTGAGGTTTCATACTAACAGAGCCAGATCTCAAATACGCTTGTGATGCCACTCCAACCGAGACGATCGAGGCAAGACAGGTTACATGCGGACCCTGCACCAACGCCTGTAAAATCAATTGCCCGACATGCATTTGCCCTGAATACTGTGGTATGTGTCCCAAAGCAAAAATGGTCGTATCGCGTTATAATAAACTAACATCTACCTCTTAACAAATAGACCCCGCCTATGAGTGCCCGGCCACTGAATAAAGATGCTATTGGTCTCTGATAACCGAAATTTCTGTTATGCGGCTAAGCATGTAACTACATGTAAAATCTGGAATCTCTTAGCATTCTAAATAATAAACATAAATATATATATATATGGAATTGCCGGAAGAGGCACAGACCAAGACTATTACTCTACCCGTGATTATCTGTGTGTATAAACGACACCGTTTGTGACAAGGTCAAGGCCCAATCGATCTTATAATTCTATGGGTGTCTCCTCAAAAGAGGCTTGGCAAACTCGAGTGAGTAACCGTGAGCCAAGAGCCTCGAAACGAAATCTCGATCGCGCGAGGCGACTCGTATAACACTACACCTGCAAGGCCCGGCTTCGTTTGATCGTTGCACACTGTTTTGTAGGGGATTGGAGACAGTAGGTAGCAAAATCATAACCTGTAGTAGCGAGTTCGAAAGGCTCTCCTTCGTTGCATATTTGGAGCAATCAGCTAATAGCAGCCGTCATTTGAGAGAAGATTAAGTAGGTAACTGTAGGCTCAGGTTGGTAATATATCATACTCGAATCATGTATTGATGAGGGATGATGATCTACGAATTCTAGCTAATCCAATTGCTTATTTATGCTACGTTTCCGTTCCGCTTGACCACCTAGCTATTCCCAATCCTTCCATCTCGCTTATTTTTCAAGATGTGGCTTTCCTAGCGCCACGCGCCACAACTGTTGGCTGCACGGAGAACTTTGATAGTATATCGTGGACTAGCTTGGCGAATAATATTAGTGTGTCATTCGGAGCAGTACATGGCAAAAGCTGTGTAGAATCGAACGGTCAAGATTGTTCTGGTTTATTGTGCCAAACGCAATCACACTTAGTATTGATCTCATTACTGTGTAAGCATAGTTATAGAATTTCTTATGATTGATCAACGACTTCTACATGTAGGGTTTCAAACTAGTACTCTGAAAACATACATGGACGCCTCATGTACTGTGAATAACAGTTGCCACATTGATTGTGGTATAGTTTCAGCCCCTAATTTAATCGATATGGTGATTCCGAGGTTTCAGTGTCTAGGGCGAAGAATTTGACAAGAGCCATTCACGATCACTGGGGAATGTGAGGGATTCTCATCCTGGGGATTTTCTTTCACGGAGGTGTTCTGCGAGGATCCATCTGCCGGTCTTTGGTAGTGTTGAGGGTTTTGAGAAGGAGGAATTAAGTTTGCATTATCGTGTATATTACCGGGAAACAGAGAATTACTCTCTGGTGGAGTTTGTTTTGCGGGGCTGTTCTGCGATGTTCCGTCCCTGCGTCTTTGTTGGTCTTGGTGATTTTGGGAGCGTACTTTAGGAGGAACTGGGTTCGAGGAGCTGCGTATATTTCTGAGCGGCAAAGAGTTTCTGCGATGGATGGCAGGAGACTTTCTAAGGTTAGAAAGCGGACGAAGAGGTGATGGTCCTCGCACGCTTGGTACATTGCGTTTTTGGGTTGGCATATAGTTCTTTGATTTCTCCTCTCGTGGAGCAAAACCCCCTACCTGCCTTCGAGGAAGGAGTGGAGCGGATGGCAAAAAGGTTTTGGGGCCGCTACCAGAGTGGAGTGGATATGTGTCAACCGAAACATACGGAAAGTTTGGGTCTTGAATACCCCCGGGGGGTATTCCTAGTAAAGGCGGCGGTAATTGTAGCTCAGAGGTAGGTATTTGCTGAGTTACAGTGTTTCTAACTTGTTGGCCCATGTCCGGGGGACTAGGCGGTGCTAGATTAAGCGTAGGAAAGATGGGGTTTATGTGGTCCGTGATAGGATTCGTGTGAACAATGTTCTACGGGAAGAACATATTAGTAAGGATTCGAAAATCTGTTAGATTCAGGTCTTACAGGAGCGTTATTAATTTCCACAAATGGTTGTTGGTCTAGTTTTGGATTGATCCCGTCTAATATGGCAACAATATCGTGTTCGGTGTTTGTGTAGGGGCGATTGGAGTGGGGAGGGCTCCGCAATACCTAGGAGAATGTAGTGTTAGTCTTCCTAATGCTTATTTGCGACAAGTTCTTGCGGAAGTGTGGGTGGGTGGCCAAAATCTTACAGGGCGATTTTCAATGAATTGACCTAGCGAGTTCACACAGGCGGACCTCAAAAGTGGACGTTGTACAGACATATGACCGTCTAGCATAGCTCTTGCACGATCTTCTGCCGTCCCATGAGTAAGAATATCAATGAAACAACGTAATCCTGTAGCCTCAGTAACCAGTCCAACTCTATCCTGTATCAGATCTCTAATCCTGGCATGGCACAACAAGAGGACTGCATCCCTCCCAGATATCTCTTGCTCCAACATTCGAATCGTTTTGTCTTTTCGGACCAACTCCTCGTACAATTCCAATCGTATCCGCAAAGAGGCCGATTCTTGCTCCTTTTCCATTATCCCTCTCTTTAATTTCTCGGTAATTGCTTCATGTTCTTTATCCAGTATCCCTCTCTTTAATTTCTCGATAATTGCTTCATGTTCTTTATCTAGCATATCTCTTTTTAATTTCTCGATAATAGCTTCATGTTCGACTGCTTTTCCGATTGTTGGAGATTTATGGGGTTTTTGCTTTGTAGAAATATGTTCCGTTTTTTCTTTCTTAGGAGTTGCCGGTTGCAAATCGGGGCTTTGTTGGGCCCAAGAAACTTTCTTTGGATTCAATACCTTCTGTACTAGAGATTCAACGGTTACCTGCGTGTTCGAGGGATCCCCCACTTCTGCTTGTGGGTGACACTGCTTTTGTACTCGCTGCGTTTTTCCCCCGGTTGGGGTATCGATACTGGATTTGGTTTGGTTTTCTTTTGTGCGCAATGTGTTTTCATGTTTCGATCGATTTTCAAAGAGTGCCATGTAGTGTTCTGATTCTTGCCGCTGTTCTTTTGAGGGCGTTCTATGCGTCTTTGTGATGACATCTTCTGCACCCGCAGTACTTAACTGTCGCTGAAATGTATTGTCTGGCGGCTTGGCTCCTTCGGAGCCTGTAACGTTGTATCGAACTAGCTCGGGGGAGATTGGGGTTATAGATTTCTTTACTAGGGGAGGCCAGCTCCAGGCATTCTTCTCAGGTCCTTTTTCCCTTTTTCCTTCACTATTTAGAGTTGCCGCGTATGTATTGGTTAGCGGATTGACTTCTCTCGCGTCTGTGCCTTTGTCTTGAACAGCTGGTTTGGGGGAAGTCGGGGTTGTAGATTTCTTTACTGAAGGCCAGCCCCAGAGATGCTTCTCAGGCCTTATTCTGTCTCTCCCTTCGCTCTTTGGAGCGGGGTATATAATATCTAGTAAGTCGACTTCTTTGGCTTCTGTATATGTAGGTTTGTATTGAACAGGCTCGGCGTGAATCGGCGTAGTGGATTTGACAGGCGGGGGGTACCCCGAGAGATTTATTTCAGGCGCTGTTTCCGTTTTTCCCTCGCCGTCTGTAGTAGATTTAGTTATACTTGAAAATATTTTGCAGCCCTCCGGTATTATAATAGATAATATTTGTGGTTTTTCTGCCTCCGGTTGCTTTATATTTTCAATAATTTGGTCTCGGACGCTTGGTACCTTCTTAGGTGCTTTAGTTTGTGTCACCTTTGCCCCTAATCTACGTCCTTCAGCTTCGTATTTTGAGATGATAGAAGCCCAATCCTTCTTTTCAAGAGCTTGTGAGTTTGTCTGCCTGGGGGGAACTTTTTGCCTCTCGGAATGCTTTTCTGAGCTTCGTACTTCAGACAAGGGCAACTTAGCTCCCCCAGACTCTAGTTATAGTGTATATTAGATTTGGAGCCGAGTAAGCTTGATACATAACGATCTTTCAAGTGACTTACCTTCAGTAACAGAGTCTGGAATACTTTCTTCAGTTATGTCATCCCTCAAAATTACATCCTTCGCTTCCTGCTTTACCTCAACTCTCAAAGATTTATTGGACCTTCCCTCCTCAAGTTTCTGTGTCGCCCCCAGCGACTTTAAGCTCTGTATTCTATTTTTTGGAGGCTTAGACTTATTAGAAAGCTTTGGATCCTCAGAAGGTTTAGACTTCTCCGAGAGCTTGGGAGTCTCAGAAGGCTTAGGTTCCTCCAAGAGCTTTGGGTTCTTAGAGGGCCTGGGTTTCTCCGAAACTTTGTGGTTCTCAGAAGGCTTGGAAGTCACATAAGGCCTGGTGTTCTCAGAAAGCTTTGTGTTTTCCCGAGGCTTTGGTTTCTCAGAAATAATTGAATTCCCAGAAGAATCAATATTCCGAGAAGGTTTAATATTCGCCAGGGACATGACCGCTTTTAAAGACTTGCCCTTAACCCTCCGTTTATCTGGCCTTTTTATCAACTTCCAATCCTTTTCAATAGGGTTTGAGTCCTCGAAGTCCGATAATCTCTCCCATTGCTCTAGCTCCCCTTCTTCCATTCGCGTTGAACGCGAGCCTGTCGGCGATTTCTTCAAATCACTCTCAGTTTCGTCACTTTTCTTAGGAAATAAGACTTGGCGAGGCTCAGTAAGAGGTGCGATAAAGACAGTATCAGGATCCCCCACCTTTACTGGTGCCCTTGCTGAGCACGGTAGTGATTCCCCTAAAGCCCCTTCATCTTTGTTCCTGAGCGGAGAGAGGGCTTTACCAAACCCATTAACATGTTGCTCTGGCGTAACCATCGTGTGAAATAACTCATGGCCCTTAAACCTAGGAGATCGTTTCCCGTTACATCTTGCGCCAAGGGGAGACGTATCAGGCATGTTATTCATTAATGACTGATTCTCTGTCCTGTCCCGAAATTCTACCGATGCCTGCTTCGTTTCTTTACGATGCCTTGTTGGTGTCGATACTTGCTTCCTTTCTTGGGAATATTTTGTTGGTGTTCTCTTGAGATATACCTCAGTTTTGTCATTTTTGGCTGAGATAAGACTTTTAGGACTCACGAGTGTAGTCGAGCAATCGGTAACGATTGCTGTGGTAGTACCCACGGCTGTTGAGACATTATGTTTCCCGTTTGTTCTTTCAGTCAGAGAATTTATACGCTGTTCCTCCTCCTGAGCATCTTCCTTTGGCCTTTCTACACCTAAGACCCTCTCTTCTTCCTGTTGTTTCGGAATAAGCTCTTTCTCTAGCTCATCCCAACGAGTGGAGAACGAATTGTCCACGCACTCTTTCTCTTCCGGCGACAGAACCTTCTCTCCTTTATTATTTATCACCAGATAATTATCTTTGCTTGAGCCAGAGACTTCGGCCCCTAAAGTATCTAGAGGCACAGAATTATTTTCACGCCCGGTTTTGTCGAAGTCATTCCATTCTACCGGCATGCGGGATCCCGCCGCGGCGGGACTGACCCCGTGTTTTCTATTTTTCTCAAACTTAGTAGACAATGCCGATATCATACTCACCTTTCGGGTATTTGATATCGGGTAAATGTCCGCCTTCGATATTTCTTTTGATATTTCTTCCGTCTCAGTAGGTTTTACACTACTCATTCCTGACCCTGAACGCTCAGCACCCGTCGTTGATAGAACCGTTGTATCGAAATGATCGGGCTTTCCGGTCTCAGGGACTTCGGTGCTCATTATAACCTTGTCAGGAATGCTTTTGGGGCGGGGAGGGATGGATAATTGGTCGGTCATCTTCGTAGTAGCTGGTTGACCTGACGTCTTCTCGTCTTTGTTTCTGATTACCGTCAAAATATGAGACGGCCCTACATATCCTGTCTCGCAGCTGAACTTTGCTTGATCGGCCTTTTTCTTTTCTGTCTCTTCGTCTTGTTTTTGGTCCGCGTCGAAAGTCGATTTTGATACTCCTGAATTATCTGCACTCGAAAGCGCCATTGTTTTGCTTAATTCTCTGGTGTTAACCTCTAGGGGGTTTCGTATACTCGACAAAAGGTTGTTTATTTCCAAATTCGCCGGTTTATGTATATCATTTATAAGGGTTCCAGAGATATTCTTTCTGATTTCTCTTCCCGCGTTTGGAGATGGAATTTCGGAATGAACCTGAATTTCTTCGCCATTGTACTCCTCGATTTCTTTGGCCACAGGTTCGCTAGTTGCAAGATGCTTGAAACCCCCTTTCCGTCCTTTCTTCTTAGTCTTCCTTTTTGTCTTGATGTCCTGTAAGAGGGCGTCCAAGCCATTCAGAAACCCTTCTATCTCCTCCCACATCTCTGGGAGTTGATTTAGTACACTCGCTGGTCCGTGCTCATTAAAACAGAGAATAAATTTCGTGGGCGCCAAGAGCGTAGTGGTAGTTAGAGCAGCCCAAAGGTATCCGACACAAATTAAATTCCACTTGACGTAAGGGACAAACTTGGAATTGTACCAAAAGTTCAGAATTTCTCTGCTTTTGGGGTTTCGACAGTCCCCCACCTGCTGGAGTAGAAACCTTCGTACTGATTGCCTATCCTTGATACCCATGACGGGAACAACTTCATTATTCTCAACATTATATCGAAACAGAAGGTCGATTTGGTGATCAATACAGAGAGATATCGTAGAGATGGCGCGCCCTATGTGATTCAGAGCGCGGTTGCCACCCTCCTGGATAAAGCGATCAAGACGAATCTCTACAAAGTCTGCCGCATATGAAAAACAAGTGATAGCATCTTCTAACTTGATATCTAGGGAGTGACGAAACCGAAAATTATTGAGTTGTTGTTTCCATCCGCTTAGGGAGAGGGTGGAGCCCAGGGCAAGAGAAGCATTTCCACAAGAGCTCAGATATGGCCATGTGCGCGAGCCTAGAAAGACGTCATCCTCAAGACTCGTATTATACAGAAATATATCCAGCCATTCCTCAAGCCACTGAGCAGCTTTGTGATTGCCACTAACATTCACAGCTTCTTGTATTCCTAACTCTACCATTTGGACGATTTCTCCACACTGTGAACTTTCGATATGTCGCTGAGAGTCACCATTCTCCCACTCTATCTGCGTAATCCAAGACTGCCATTTAGCCTGTATTTCCCACTTAACGATCAATTCCTGCTCTTGTTCCGTATAGTTCGCCCACAGATCGGAATACGGAGGCTGGCAGATAACATCGTACATCGCTCCAAAGGACAAATCAAATATGTCGGATAATTGCATTCTCTTCTTCTCGGTAGCTGGTAGCTTAAGCGACTCAAAGTAATAATCACATCCTTGAACATGTAAAAGGTGAAGTTTACTAGCTTTGTCCATTCGGGAATAAAATTGACGGGGCAGGATACTTCTTGCCCAGTTATCGTTGTGACATTCACCAGTTCTTGAGTATCGATACCATTGATTGATGAGATATGTGGGTTCTAAATATTTCTCAACTTCCGGTCGAGGTTTGGGACAACTGGGTTCATTCGGAATGGTCATATTCGCTCTGTTATGGTAAGTAGATGACATTATCAGAGAGAGTATTTGACAGCATTTCATACGATATGATCTTGATACCCTAACTCTGGGACAAAGAAATTTGGCTTGATGGTAGCTATAGCTATAGTATAGAGCCTCCTATGCGAATTGTTCAAATAAGAGATTTGGAACGAGCAACTCTAAGCTCGGTATCGATGATATAGTGATTTGAAAAAAATACCTCAATGACCGAGAGGAGAATAATGCGTTCGCGTTTTGAGACCCGGAAGTGGCTATGGGTGGACTTGGGGCTGAGAGTTACGTTACATCTGTTAATCTTGTTCTGCGTAAGTTGCGGTGAACAAATACCTGCCAGATTTACATATAATTATAGAAAGGAAATATAATACAAGGATTCAATGACTTCTCTATGATTTTGTTTCCATAATGAATCGGATAACGTACTAGAGTCTCGTCATTAAACGAATACATGTATTTTTGTTCCCCGTAAAGAAAATATAAAAAGTGATTACATAGCCGTGATGATATTGCGTTAATCAATGTCCCCGGATGTAGCACTTCTTATCTGGACCCCTGTTACTCTCCGGATTTTCGTGCGGCCTGCAGCTGGGCCGTTCAAATACATGTATCTTAGACCTGTTCATATGCATACCAGGTACTAGGTGTTGCGATTGTATACTAGAATATGTTTTACATGTTATATTTAATTGCATGTAATTGCGGTATCTAGAGAGATGAGATGAGGTGAGTTCAAACCATATTGGAGAAACCATAATACATAAATACGTCCGTTAAAAATGAAAACAGATCTCTTTCCTAACATACTCTGGTCTAGGCTCGCTGCAAGCACCCAACCGGATGGTACGAGACTACATGTAACTCTGATCTTACAACGGCCATGTATAGGCTATCTCATCAGACGTTCTATCCTACCAGGGAAATTTGCAAGTTGACTGTTCTTCAGAGATGCTTGTGTAGAAGTCTGCTATGGCGCTCAGAGACAGCGAACCAACAAGAGGGTCGAAATTAAAGAGCCCTCATGGCGCCATGGCCCCCGACCCTCACATTGCAGTGCAGAGGAATAAATATCAACTAAAACACTTCTTACGATAAGCGCGTAGGCTCTTGAGTGGAGTAGATCACTATATGTAGCTGCTAGCTCTCTTATTTGTACGGGAGATGGAGCTTCCTAGGGAGCACGATTTGGGGCCGGGGATGCTAGATATATATACTGATATACTAGATAACCCTGAAGCATGAAAGTAGTCTCTTAATATTAGCCCCAAGAATTTCAGTCTCCTTCATCCAGTGAGCAAGACCGGTACTCTATATCGAGCATATCCCATTTGGATTCTTCAGGTAGATTAGTGTAACCACAAGCCACATTGCTTTACAGCTAAAATACATGATCTACCTTGATGCCGTGTATAAAAATATGGAACTTCCACCTTAAGCCGCCAGGACGCACTAAAAATCTGACTTGACCCATACAGACTTTATTATTATGGCGTTATCTATCTCAAAGGTATCCCTGTTTTATCTTCCCCTTGCCCCCGAAATCTGGGAAATCTTTGTTGAAATCTTATCATCTGCACATGGCAGATGTGTTTTTCCACCATGAGCCTAGTTATCACTTTGGATGCCCCCGACTCTCAAGCTCCTTCTATACCCCTCCCTCTGCCTTGCCATACGGGCATCTAGAAGGCTTAATCCTCCCTTCTTTTTCCTTGACCAGCTACTGGCCTTTAGCGTTGAATTCTCGAGTGTCAAGAAATGATTTTGTTGATCGTGTGACACACGTTGACCAAAAAGTGGGAGACGTCCGAGTGTTTTCTGCGGAGGGGACAAAGGTTGCCTGAATACGGGTCGTTTGAAAGGTTGCTGCTGTAAACCTTGTTGCTGTTGGTATCCTTGGTGATAGGGGCCTTGATGAAAGAAGCCGCCTTGGTAGCGTGACCTTTGGTGGTGGTGTGCCGGCTGCTGAGATTCCACGTAAGATAGTGCGTATAAGGCAGAGCCAAGAGCCACTGGGGGCTTGGTCTTCCAGAGGTTGTTCTTCTCGATACGGGAGTTTCTGCTGAGAATGCTATCAACGTGAAGAATGGGATCGCCTAATGCCCTGAAGGACTTATTGAACTGATCGGTTTCAAAATGCCAGTTAGGGAGGCCTTCCCTGAGATAAGGTGACGGAGGATACCCCGGAATATAGTCAACGGTCATCTTTGGTGGCCAGTGTGTAGGTTGAAGAGGATAATACGCCCCAGTATATCCTTGGATAGGAACAGAAGGTAGGATAGGATGGGTATGGTCAGGACTGATCCTATCAACAGAGTTGAGTCGTCTGAGAAAGACCGCGGCTGTCGATTGGGGTTGAGGATGATCCATATCTTGAGGCCTGTGTGTGGAGAGTTCTATAGGAAACGGGGCGTGCTGTGGATATTGAAATACCCCCTGAGACAAGTTATAATTCTGCTCCGGGGAGGAAAAAGCGTTGCCAGGTTGAGTATACGCGGAGACCCCGGGGCGCTGATTCCTAGTATTGGGACCCAAAATACTATCCAGCCTGACTGGTGTTTGAGCAGTCCATCCAGGGCGAGGTTCCATGAATCTCGTTTCCTCTCCTCGGGATAAGGATCCTAAATCTTCCCGCTTGATCTTCGCTTGCGCCGGCCCGAAATCGTGATGCATTGTGATCCTGCTATGATTGGAGGCAGATAGAGCAGTATTTTCCAGTCCATCTGGTGTCTCCAAGACGGAGTCAGTCCCGGCCTCAGCTTTCAACTTCTCATCCTCTTCTGGTGAATCTGGGCTGTGGTAGGTTAGCAATGAAACGGGGCCGATGGAGCAAAGGGTATATACATCATCTCAAATTTGATGTCACCATTGTTGTCGATAAGCATCCATTGAGCAGCCTCATGGAACCAGTTTACAGGGGGATCAGTAGACTGAACATGTTCTGGGGTTGGGTTTGAATGTTCGGGATGCATCTTGACGTATCTGATGAATGATGATGACCTGACGTTGAGGTGTTGCGGTTGTGCCGGGGGGCTCCTGTAAAAGTGATTTAACCTGGGGCCTCATCACTTGCACTCGGCATCGGTGGGTGTAAATCCCAGGCAACGGGAGCCAAGGAATAAGCTTAAAGACTGCACGCATTTCTGCGTCATACAATATCACGCGGAATAAAATGGATGTAAGGTGTCACAAGGTTTGCAAATCCTTAAAAGTCTCCTCGCCGGCCTATTTGCTATTGGACGGAACGAATCCTGCAGTGGATCCTCTTCTAAGAACTCTACTCCTAGTCTTTCCCTTGTACCTGGTAAAATAGCTGTTGAACTATTTCTCAACAAGTCAGCGCCTAATCTTCATAGTCGAGCTATCCAGGGGGCTGGGGGTTTTTGGTATTCCTATTTATGTTATACCGATTAATATGATTCCTTACGGTACCATAGATAACGAACTCCTCATGAGCTAACACCACCCTTAAATTTGGTGGTAACTTGTGTCGAAAGAAGTGTGCATGGTAAGTTCTCGAATAATGCTCGACTCTAGTGGATGAAAAGAAGTAAGCAAGGGGATACGAGATGTGGGTGGGTGACCATAGAAATAAACAGAGGAAATGCATTAGGCATTTTAGTAGCTAGCAGTGTACCAGTGTCTTACCTTTCATCAATGGAACCACTTTATGAAATGTAGGGAAAAAACAGTAGGGATGGCCACGTGGGGTTGTATATAGTGTACAAGACATTAATTCCCCCGCCTCTGATTGATCGAGGCCTTATCCTGGATCCCAAATTACAGGTGCTATTTACGACCCTGCGAGAAACTTGTTGCCTCAACTGTAAAGACCGCTATATAATAATATTTAGCACATATAAAGGGATCGTGCCATCATCTCAGAGTACATGTGATCAATTGGTGGTTGATCTTACCCCATGGCCAACAGACCGGGAGTAAAGGACATCAAATAACACTCTTTTCCACTGAGTACACATGGCCAAGGGAATGTATATCTCAGTACCCGATCAAATTCCTAACAGATCTAGAGTTGAATGATTAGTATTGACTCGTTGTATGATGAATAAAGAAAGGATGTTTGCTTAAACTCCCCGATTGCGAATTATGCGTTCCGATACTGTTCCACAGCTTCCAGTCCCCAGTCGGCGAGAATAAAAAACAAATTGAATGTAGATAAATGTATATCTCACACCCAAATACAACCCGACCGGCTCACCCCTGATCTTCACCGATACTTTGCTTTCTATAATCAACATAAATATATTAACCAATCAAGAGGAGTCTTTTCAAGGTCATAAAGTAAGATATACACTCGTATTAGAATAGAATTTAACAGGATCCAAGCTGTAAATAGACGCGGCGGACCCCACCACTGACAATGATAGGATTTCTTTTTAATATGTACATGTAGTTACCGAGATCGAGATGGAACAAAATACCACACACGCACTACCAGTTGAACTAAAGGAACTCAGCTAGCTTCCGAGCTAGTACTAAAGAGAAAAGAACCTATGATCAAGCTTCTGGGCGTTTAAATTAGGTTTTCTTTGGGGGTTCGTACTGCTGTTAACACTCATTGAAAAAGCAGAGACCAAGAAGAAATCTCCCTGTAATACACCGAAGAAATGATATATGTAAACACAGAACGCGCGAGCGGCAACCCACTTTCGTCAGTCTATTGACCCGGGAGAACATAGGCTGCTGTACTGAATTAAGGTAAGCAGCATGCGCACTTTGCAACTATGAACTACATGTACGTAGTACTAGCTGCATGCCGGAATAAGTAATAATTTGAGCATATAAGTACATATATCAGGTGTTAAAAGCTGAAGCATCATCAAGATTATTCTGTAGACATATCGTTAGTCATTAACCACAAGATCCTAGGAGACAGGTGACTTTATACATACCATCCGCTCATTATTACAACCTGTATCCCATAATATCACTTTGGTCCATCGGAACGTAAGACGTCGAGTAATCATGGAAATACTCCGGATGCCAGCCTCTAATTTTCTCAAGAGACATCATGTCCATATGTTGTATCAGTTCGTCCTCAATTAACATACCGACGGTATACACGAAAACAATCCGAATCCTACCGAATGGCACGATTTCATCCAGCTGTTGATGACCTATATTAACCTTGATTCCAACCACATTGCCCCCGAAGGCCCGGCGAAACGTAGCCCCGCATGGGAGAGATGGGTCGACGTATATATCCATACCTTTGCGAGAATGACATATTGATCTGCTGAATCGGGGAATGTTGACGATTTCATAGAGAATATTCGATGTAGGATCGCTACCCTCATTACAGTGTTCAAAATGCTATTAAAGCTGACTCGATTTTTTTCATATGTTAGCAGCGTGAATGATGTCTTTAAAGGCGCCATTCTTTCACTTAGCCGGTGGCTTAGGCTCAAGGTTGCCTATGAGAACGGTTTTTTTTTAATCCTCATAATCCTGACCCTGCGGTCGTCAACACCCGTCGTCAGTCAACGTTCGAAGAGATATTTAGGGGACTCTTCACCCTCTACCTGTATTCTAGAATCTCGGAGGGGACTGTTAAAAACTTACGGCAACCCAGTCAACGCACGCAGTCTCATGATCAACGATGTCCGACACTTCGGTATCATTGCTTACTCGACCCCTCGAAATACCTGCGAAGATAGCATTTGTTTTCAAAAATTAAGCACAAGCGTGCTTCACGAGAACTCACTATAGAAAAGTATTTGAGGTTCGTGCCACAGCGAGCTTAAGGGCCCTCCGCCTTGCGCTCGCCGCGAACAACATCCTCCCAAGATTCTTTAATGAAAAGGTTTCTTGGGTCAACTTGCAATGGTTTATTGGGTAGAGAAATCCTGCTTTACAAAGCGTTTAATAGGGACTCATTTCCATTTAGAGACTAGGGCGCGAGCATCCACTCCACTCATGGCTTCCCGGAAGACGATGGTGATGAGTCGCCACGTCGTAGACGCGTGAAGATTGATTACAAGAATACATCTCATTCGAAGTTTGCCGTTAGCTGGAAAGGCATCCACGCATCTGGATATAAGGCTTTATTCAATCCCGAAACGTACATTAATGAAAGCTTTGAAGGGCATCCTTAACGTCAGAATCTACAGTCACATGCACAACAGATGTAAAGCTGACCTCAAAGACAAATATAATGTTATCAGGGACACTGATGGCTTGGATAATGATCAAATGGATATATTGTCTCATGAAGATTCCGCCAATAAAGACTTACATGGTCCAACTACCAGTGGTGACATTGGTGCGTATATCCATCTAATCCTATTCTTTGCCCTCGATCCTTAAGTCGCACCGAAGCTCCAAGAAGCCGTTGACAGACGTTGACAACACTCAAAAAGGCCAACGCATCAGTAAAACATGACGTTCCCCGACCATAAAGACACATCCTTTAATAAGAGACCCGCTGGACACGTCGATCAGACTGATGATAAATTCTTATACTTCCCGTGGTCCCCCTCACCGCGTCATGCACACCTGTTGTTCGAAGATCTTTCGACGTTCACCCAAAATATGGCTCCCAATGAAAAAAACATGCGGGGTTCCGAGGATATTCCCTTGGAGGTTTTGGACCAGGATCTGTCAGACCCTCCTAGACAGCCTACGAGTTCTCCAGAAGAGAGCTCTGTCGATTCTCCGGGGCTTAGCCCTGTCACCTCTCCGGAACTGAGCAGTGTCAGTTCTCCAGAGCTTAGCTCTCTCAGTTCTGGAGAACTGAGCTCTGTCAGTTCAAAAGCTGTCTATAGTGATAGCGAAGATGGTTTTAATTGGTATAATCCTAGGGGCATCCGAAATTGGAGACGTGGAATGCATATCCGGCGTGAAGATAGTGATGAGGAAGACGAAGCAAATGGGAGCTTCGCTAAGCGTCGTGAGCCTTCCACCAGCTCAGAAGAGGAGGAGGATGAATTTATGAGCGTCCGTGAAGGGAAAAGACCTGCGCCTATCACCAATCCTATCGTGCCCAATAGGAAAAGAAATTTTGGTGATAAGGCAGTTGGTAGCCGTGAGTCGTCTCCTGAGAATTCCGATGAGGGGTCCCGACCTGCAGATAGTATCTACAGATTCGCAACTAGTCATATGGATTACTGTAACGCAGAGCGTCTGGACTACGTCTACATCTATTACCGAGATCCTCCGAGATTCCTCGATTTCGTCCACTTACTCTACGTAAAGCATAGGGTGGATGGGTTTAAAAGGATCTACAGAGTCAAAGTTATTTTGAAAGGGGATTTTATCAACTTTCGCGTTGGGAGGATTAGTTGTCAATATGAATGGGAAAAGATCCTGAAGATTATGGACGAAGAAAATCTGCAGGCCGAGGTGCTATACCGCACAAAAGAGGAAGAGAGTGTAATTCCGACAGATTCCGTGTCCGAAGTGGCAATTCCAGAAGCTGCCATATCCGAAGCCGTCATATCCAAGATTACCATGCCCGAAGTTACCATTCCCAAAGCCTCCGTTCCCGAAGTCGAACAGACCGACAGGAGTCCAATCTTAGTTACAATAGACAAATTTATTGAGGATACTGTCAAGGAGATTGGCACGACTAAGGAGGCTATTAGGATCAAAGAGACCGCAGATTCTGTCGATCAAGGTTTCAAAATGGTCAAAAAGCTCTTTCAACATTCTATCAAGGTGATTGTCGGACAAGTAGGAGAGAATGGCTTTGGTCAGACTGTCGACCAAAACAATGACCAGGATATTCAGCAGGGTCCTAGGCGGAATCTCAAGAGGAATGCGGACCAGCTTGACGAGGAAAATGTCGAGGAAGATGTCAAGCAGAATGTCGAGCAGGACAAGGCGGACGCATCCGACATTGACCACATGGAGGTTGATGATATTTGAGAAATACCAGGCTTGTTGTTGATTGAATACATGTGCAGTGTATTAGTCTTCGGAAATCGAGGACACTAGGTACATGTTCGTACTCCTTTACGAGATCTGAGAACGGCATAAGTAAAAGGCCTAGTAGAATGGGCAGAGATAAATGTTATTTTGCTACCTATTAGTTGATGTTAGAACGAGTAATAATAACAAAAATGGCATTCTTTCATCCGCAACCTTCACGTCTTTCTAACAGTTATGTGAAATTTATATACAGAGCTCCTCGATATATGCATCATGATCATAGATGCTCGACAGCCGTAGCGATGTATATTTAGAGAGATTATATTCCAATTCCTATTAGATGGATATATATATCTTCGTTTTTGCTTTTTTGGTTATAAGCATTGTACGTTCTTTTTAATCGCGGACACTTGTACCCCCGGTCAAGTGCTTGATATAGGTCTAGTGGAAGCCATCCCTTTGATATTCTGAAGATAAATTACAGATCTCGCATAGAAACAACCCACTAAAACTCTATAGACACCTCATGGGGGATCTACGGACCACATTTTAACGCCTACAAACCTTCAAAAATATCTACGGGATGGCTTGATCCAGTACGTATATATTAGTAGGTATAGTTCTAGGCCATAAATCATGGGAAGGCGCGGCGTAGCAACCTCCCGGGCCACCACGACTACCCACCCAGTAACCACAATTGATCTTTTGGAGAGCTGATTTTTTGTACAGTTGTTAAATAGTAGCTAAATAAAAATAATTTGACATTTAATATCTTGTGTACCAACCCCTTGCCTTTATAACAGCTCTATTCTCCTAGGCATGCTCTCAACTAGCTACCAAATAAATCATCAGGTAACAGTTCCCAGCAATGAATTAGACCTTCCTCCACGAGGGGCTTTAACACTTAAGGTGATCTAGTACCATATGCCAAATGGGGGTACTGTTGATGGTAAAGCTTCTTAAGGTGTATCCAAACATGTTCAATGGGATGGAATAGGCAAGCCAGTCCTCCAGAACATCTACCCTATTCTCCTCCAACCAGAGTTGTAAGTCTCCGGTTTTTTGCCACAGCAGGGAGGCTGGTCATTCCCTCCTAGCTGTCTGGCGGGGTACATGGTCTCTGGGCGCCATCGGTGGTGGTGAAACATTTTGTGTTCAGGCGTTGCGACCTCGCGCCTTCCCATGACTTATGGCATGGCGCTGTACATATCAATGCTAACGAGAACCGACATATATCTAAACCATTTACGATACTTTAGATGTAAGTTACACACGCTTCAATTGAGGCTACTGCTCACGTCATTGGCCTTCGTAAAGTAACGTGCCTGTCTTATCCACCCACCTTTCTTCCCTTAGCTATTCTCCAGCTTGCCTCTCCACTAAAAGAAAACATCGTCAATAGGTTTATTTTTTACACTCATCCGTACCTTCACCCATATCTATCTAGATCCTGAATCGAAATCTTTCTCCCTTTCTATAATCGTTAATTACCACTCACCATACTCATAAGATATTTGTGGTCCCTTTCTTTACTGCTTCATATATATCTCTTGATTTCTACAATGCAATTAATGAATTAAACAAAAAAAAAAAAAATCTTGATTTCTACAAGTTATACCAAGATCAACTCTTAATACCATTTTCCTGCTCGGACTCCTTTGTTACTATCCCGAAATAACATATCCTCAGTTAACCAATTGATCCACCTTTATCTCTTGTTTCTCTGACGTTCTTGGTAATATTTCCGCTACTCACCCTCAAATTTAAACCGTCAACAAATTCCTAACCGATATACTATTGCTCTAGTGTCTCGCACGTAGGAAATTTAAAACCCACCCACCCCCGAATTCAAGTTATTTCATCTCGCCATCCGAATATAACAAAAATGTCGATCACTGAACAACAACCAATGCTTCACACTCAGAAGCACGCTCACAATCTCGAGACCAAGCACCAGATTGATTTGAAGGCCCTTGAGAGGCCTATTTCTGAGAATACTGGACCTATCCCCGAGTCTCCTTCATCGAACGCATGGGTGGTGACGTGTGAAAGCGATAGTGATTCTGAAATGTCTATCGGCGAAGATCTAGAGCATACAATCCCCGGAGGCGATCATTACCTTATCCCAGCAAGATTTTGTGGTGTTCCTGTTTTTATCAATCTCACGGCTCATAGTTACATATCTATGCCTTTTGAAGCCATAGATGGCATCCCCTCCCTCGTCGAATTTTCGGCTGCAGATATGGAAATCGGCGGTCAAATAATTCAAGTATTCATTAGGGATCATGGATTCTGGGACGAGACAAACGAGATAAGCTATGTTCCGATAGGTGATTCCGGGTCAATGGTGATCTATGAAAGTATTGAGGACGCTATCAGGGCTTTAGAAGTGTTTTCTACCCAAAACGAGAGAATAATCTTGGACGTTGAGGGCTTGCATAATGATAAATATCATGATAAGAATGCCGAGATAATGGAGAAATTTAGAATCGAAGAAACTAAGAAGAAGCAGGATGGGGCGGGAGAAGAAGGCAGCGGCGAGAGCGACGGGAGTGAGGATGAGGATGATTATACTGGTAAAAATTGCGATGAATTTTGCGGTCTTCATCATGACACATCTGAACCCGGTGATGGCGATTATGGAGATGGTCTAGCGGACTGGGTGCGCGAGCAACACCAGAGTTTAGAGAGACGAATTGACGAGTTGATAATGGAAGCGGCGGGAATTTCTTCCATCATCATAGATGAATATGTCAATGAGGGGGCTTTGCAAGTCATCATTGATGAGGACGAGATTGCGTGTGATAGTGTTTAAATTTAGAGGATAGTACCTAGTACCTGGGCTGGGGTGGAGAAGGGGCAGGAACTTTCGGGGGACATGCAAGAGGACAGCAACCATGATACTAGAAATTCTAAGTTAAACGTATTTCGCACAAAGTAGATGGATCCCCTTCCGTACCCCTTCACTTTTCTCTCTCTCTTTCTTTTCTTAAGCTTTATAATAAAGGGTATAGAGCGTTTGGACTTTATGTTTAGCTCGTACTAATTGCAGGTTGGAAGTCGACTACATAATTTTTTTAAAATTAGGACATCTTTTTATGCTTAAGGCGGGACATGTGGAGTAGGAAACGTTCATGTTCAGAAGATTATCTTGCTTTAAACTCACGGAACAATTGTACTTATTGTCTTTCTTCGAAACCCTTGTTTCCCTCACTGGTGGAGTGATTATTACTGTTCTCGAAAAGGTTAGCGTCGTAGAGCTCTTGTATATATATCCCTGCTACACATTATGTAACGATTGCAACACCATACCTGATATCCGAGTGATAATTCATGAGTTATACGTATGCTTTTTAGCTTAGATTGATCATTGGCGAGAACGGAATCTTGATGTTGGAGACCTCAACAAGACCTGAGGCTTCCTCTTGGTTAAATAACTCTTGATTCACGATTTAAAGCTACATTATTAGGACTCAAAGTTATCAACTAATTCAAACATCATGAACTGTCATATACTTAGTTTTATCAAACAAATATACATATAACTAGTTGTGTACAAGAAATGTTGGCCGTCAAAATGATTTGCCGGAAAGCTGGCGATCTACAGAGGATAAAGATGATGTTTCGACACACACGCATATAGGTCACCATATGCAATATACCCCGGAGGGAGTGCAGTTATAGATCACATTCCCCGGTAAAGAGGTATACTTCTAGCTCCGTGCGTTCTCTGTATCTCTTCTGACTTGGCATTTTAGCCAAGTGTACAGCTGGCCACGCTCGGCGGTTTCATGTGTCCCAGGCTACCGACATACTCTAGTTACATCCCCTCATAGTCTTATACTACTCCCTACGAGAAGTTCGCTACTCACCGAAGGATCTAGCAACAACATCTACATTGCAAACATGCATCCCACAATTCCCAACGTTATCCGCTGGCTGTTGCCGCTTAGGCCTTCACCTACTATATGTGATCTCGGGCCCGCTCGGAAGCTAATTGAGAATCCACATCTACTGTGCTTCTCAAGTTCCGGCCATATCTACATACTTAGTACCAGTGACTAAGAGTCCCTGACTCTTTTATGGGTTTAATTGAATACCATCAGGTATATATGATTCATCTCAGACGTCAAAATATATATTTACGAATTACTGATGTTTCTTCATGAATTTTAGATAGGGAGGACGGAGACATGGGCACAGGGTAGTTGCTTTTCGAAACCTTCATAAGGTAATTTCACACCAAGTTTCAGTCATTACACCATTCTTCAAGCCATTTTCTTTATTTCATATGATCTTATAATAGGACTAGACAATAAACTAACCTCATATCAATTCCACAGATCCACCCATCTTTTTGGTGGTGCCGGCCCAGAACATAAGACAATTTTCATTCCGCCGTGGAGTTCATTTCTAGGGATCATGTTCCCCGCAGGAATATCAACCGAGTTGGGAAGATCCTTGAGGCTGTAGGGAATCGAATACACAACCTACCGAAGTAATATTTGCTTATTTTTGAATTCTTTGTTTTTTGCAACAATAGCTGATTAAGGTACTATCATAGATACGGTCCCGTCTCTCTTCAAAATATCGAGAATATCAAGATCTGGGACGAGTCACAGGGGGATCCGGGAGCAGCCATCATTCACCAGTCGCATGGAAGCAGAGCGGTTGGATGTTGGGCTGGCGTTAACGCTAAAAGTACTTAGGGCACGGGTCTCTTTCTCCGGCTTAGTTCGATACAGCCGCGCAAAATTTCCTTTACATATATTCCAGGTGTTTTGTCGGAGGGTCAATTGACAAAATACCTCCGCCCACCCCACGGCATATAGTCCGACTAGGGCATTAAACTTACTAATCTCGTCGTATTCAAGGAAGGTCCGGGTACGTGATAACCGCCCTGAGCAACGAGCTACTGTATTAATACTAACCTGAAAAGTGATGAGTTGACCTTTCTCATCGTCAGGTATTTTATAAGAGGGTTCTTCCACCACAATTTCCCCAAGAAACTATTACTCCTCCAACGGACTAGGCTTTCGTAGCGCTACACTCGACGTTGTGTCTCACGTGGTCTCGCCGACGGCTTCATAGCTGTAGGCAAGGCCGTCCATCCTTCACTGGTGACGGAGCAGTTGAAAATATCGCTGGGGTCGGCGCAAAAAACATCCAGTCTATTGGTGGTCTGCTCCGGCTTTGCTCAAGGAACGAACATTCTTCCTGCGTTGAACCAAACCCCAGGTGTTTTGTATGAGGGTAGTCTCTCAAAGGTATCCTGGTGAGCTCTCTTCCAACGTTAAAAATTTCATCTGGGTAATTGGCGTTTCGGCTAGCTAACATGAGTGCATGTTCTTCAAGCAGTATGTGAGGCAGACGGGCCTTGATTGGGTAGAGGCTGCCGTGACGAGGTCAAGTTGTCAGGTGCTTTGTGGGAGGGTAGACCCACCCAATTTTCCTCAAGGCACCACTTTTTCCTCCAACGGAACAAAATATCACCTGCTTCATAGCCTTGTACTCAGAGTAATAGCGCCAACATCTACCACAGAGCAAAGGGTAGAGGTGTTATTGAGCTAGACACGATCGATTCAAGTGATTGATACCGTGTGGTCAAGGACGGGTGTGCAGTAATATACTCGAGGATAAGTCTATACAGCAGGTTTTGCCGGGGGTAGAGGGCTGTGGGCTGTTGAGGTGGACTGGGGTGGGTTTTCTGACGACGATAAAAGGTAAAATAAGAGCGCGGAGCTCAATTTTACCTTTTTGAAAGCAATAACAGGAAAGTATTTACCACTTCACCAACATTTTGGTGCATTGGCTTGGGGGCATATTGGATAGCCCCCCGCCCCGACAACGAGCATGACGAGTGAGCAGTTGGAGGGAATCTAATACTTATGTAGTGATTACGTGGTTGGGAAGAATAAGAGGTTTAATTCTATCATCTTGAATTCTTTAAACTAGTTTTCTGCCTCTGCTACCCTCAGCTTATCTATATTGCCTTCTTTTGCCCCGTAAGTCTTAGGCAGATACAGTTTCGTGTGTGTTTCCCGGAAGGTATTATATGTAGTAACAGAATGTTATCAAAAGCTCTGGTTAAACATACGTCTATATATTATCTCCTCCAGAACACATTATTAGACCCGTAAGAAGGAGAGCATTACTCCCAAGTTGGCTCCCTTTTAAATCTGTCAAGACAGACAGGAAGTACCGCCGTATATCCACTTTTACTTGTGTACGGGGGCCCGATCCAACCAGTCGCACAAGCCATTGATGCGACATCGACAGCAGCATGCCATCAAGCCCCACAAAACAATCATTGATACATTTGTACACTTGTGGAGAGTGGAAAGTAGTTCTACAAACTAGGTTAGCCTCCCAAATAACCTTTGGCTACGATCCATGTCTCTTCCCGCACTCTACCACTTATGATACGCTAACCTAAAATAATTATTACCTTGCCAAGAACTTCATGCGAGTGCTTGACGATGACCGAGTGATGGCCATGACCGAGTGACCACCCATGACTTCATCCTTCATGACAGATAACGGACTCAACCAACTCCGGAATACTCGCTCTCTGAAATTCTGTGTGTGATGGGTTACTAGATATAGTTAGAAAAGTCTGCTACATGGCAGATTCGAACTTCTGAATACATGTACGTCCTGGACCTGTCTTTGCCAAGAACCTTCCCGTTGTGAGGTCGTTATTGCGGATTTCATAGGTGAGTCAAGCTTCCGAAAGTAGAACTACTTAAAGGTCAGGAGCGGAGTACAAGTAGTATTCATAGACCTTACAGTTCTATATATTTCTCAACCAGAGTTATTTGTGGTAATGTGCTAGGGTAGGATGTAATATAAAATCTAACGAATCCGCGGGCTCCCCTTCACGATTTGAAAATAGTGGATAACGCCTAGATATGTAACGAATAAAACTGAGTACCCTGAAAGAGGCAAAGCTTGGGTGTTACAGTTTTAATGTATTATTGTATAGCAGCGAAAATTGAGTAGAACCTGCCTGAAGACAAGCCGATTAACTGTACATGTGTTCTCATATAGAATAGCAATCTGGAATTATTTTTCACTCCCCAAATTCTCCTATGGGAGTTATTTGTAGTTGATAAAATGCAGTTAATGGTTTCAAGGTGCCATTTGAGGACCCTAAACATGTGGTGCGGGTGGAGGGGTCATAGTGGAGCAGATTCTAGGAGGATGGTATATATTAGAGACTATCCCCCGTGGTTTAAAGCCCCCAAACATCATGCTTTTATTGAAGTTTCAGTTAAGGAAAACCTGTTTTTTGACAGGTTACAGCATGTTTGATGCTATCTTTGTGAAGGTTATTGGACGCTGTTATTGTTAAAAAAAACTGGTTGTTTTGATGAAATCACTCACTGAAATAAATTCTATGATGTTTTGGTAATGGTCTTATATCAATCGACTTTGGAATAGCACGCAAGTTAGGTGTGTGGAGATATTGTACAGTTCACTTTAACAAAGCCACCTTGTAGGCAAGGATGGGAATAGAGTAAATAGAACCCTTATTCTACATATTAAAAACAAGACCGTGGTAAACTCTATCCTAACAAACGACGCCTTCCCGTGGTTTTAATAGAAACTGCGAGAAGGCTGTGCGCCTTTATACAGTTGGTAAACAATGCATCTAACTCTGCTCAATCTAATATCATACCTAACACATTCCGTAACAGCTCATTCCCACAGGTTCCTCGTATTAGGTACCCATAAAACCCCAACTGAATCAACCTGCGTCTAATCTTACTGGCATCGAGTAATAAAAAAAAGAAAAGAAACTACGAGTAAAACTCTGCGTCAGTGATTCCTAAAGTCCCATCCGGCGCTGGAGGCGCTATAAGAGTCGCCTGTGGTAACCTTTGTTAACATATTTCTTTCAAGGAACGGTCAATAATATAAACCTACAGCGTACTGACTCCCTGTTTGGGAGAATATAGAGGACCGGTCTAAAGTTGGATCCGTTCTCATTTGAGCAAATGGAACCGCCGAGTGACCCCTCTCCATGAGGATCCTTCGTGACCTGGCGTCTCCGTCTATCAACAGAGTAACCAATGCCCTGAGACTATAAATCTCTTCATGCAATGTATGAATATCACCAGATGTATTTCTAAAAGCAAGTTAGTGTTCTGGTCGTTGAATAAAGATGACGTTAATAGGAATAGTTCTTTAATACCTGCTATAATCCACGATGCTCTGGATAGCGTTGCCTACATTGGCAGGTGGTATTGCTGCATTAGGCCCGGTAGAAACGTTTGGTGGTGGATCTCTATCTGTCGCTACCCCAGTGGGTACATTGCATCCAGTAGGGTTATTAATGTATGATTGATTCAAGACTAACACTGATAAGTTACACTCATCAAGAGAGGTATGATCGCTGAGAACATGATCGGTGTGATCTATGATTGGCCTAATCTCCGGTGTTTCCAGCTGGTCTACATGTAATTCATGCGAACCTCTCGAAATATTTGATCCCTTTGATTCTCCGTCTTGATGCGATTGATCTTTTTCAGATTTGTCCACTTGATCTGTGATTGATTTGTCGCACTCAGATTTTGCGGATCGGCTATGTTTCTCTGGTTGGGTTGTCTCGGTGTGGGCTGTTGTTGAGATATCGCTCTTGGGGTTTTCAGTTTTGGTCTTTAGCGTGGCGGGTTCAGTTGGCGCCTCGGTGTGGGCTGCCACAAGATCATCGCTTTCCGATTCCAATTCTACCGCTCTAGATATGAGGTCCGAGAGTGTTTTGAACCACGTAACGCGTACTGGGGGGATTTTGATTTTTTGGGGGATAACGAGAATATCTGCATCCTCCTTTTTAAGGTAGTCAGATACACTCTCGGATGTTTCCGTTATTTTGTTTGTATATTTTACCGTCATATCCCTAAGCCGATCTTTTAGTCCTAACGGGAGCTCGACATCTTCTTCGTAAAGAAACGCTGCAAATCGTAGAAGTACAAAATGTAGCGGTTTGTGGACCTTAATTTCGAACGGGCCCAGCTTCCCGTCAAAAATGGCTTTTGAAAATACTTTTGAGCTCTTGTCCTCGTACACGCATAGTACTTGGGACATATCATCGACCCATCCTTTGAAAATCTGTCCAAATAATTTGAACGTTGTCTTTATATCCTTACCCATCCCTGCCTTGGAAGAGACTGTCTTCAACAGATCTCCTTCAACAAAGAACGGTTTTCGCTTTAGCATATTGAGCTCATGCTGCCAACCATCTGAATCGTCGTCTTTTCCTATATCTGTAGTCGTTGCCCCCTTGGTTGAGCCTGTTCAAAGTTAGCTCAAAACCTTTCCGTTATGACATATCCATGAATATATAGCAGGAAAAACCTCTCTTACCTTGATTAGCATGATGTGAATCGTATCCGGTGGGAAATCTTTGATTAATAAGCCTTTTGAGCTCAAACATGAAAGACTTAGCAAGAGATATCTTTCTGTCAAGCCTATGTTGATCAAAGTTTTCATTCACGTCCCATATCCAGACGAAGTTATCGGCGGTAGTCATATGTGCACAGAATGTAATAAAGTCCCATGCATATCCGGTGCAGTAGCGATCTAGGTCGATAGCAATACGAGCATATCGAATCCAGCGGCCGATCGCCGGCATTACACCTCCGAAGTCAATTTGACGAATTGAAACTTCGAAGTCTGCGAATGTTTCCACGTCTTTCTCTGTGAATTTCTCGAAAACTCCCGCAGAATCTAGAGAGTCTTGCATGTAGAGCTTGAGTTGAAATATTGCATCAAATTGATCGAGCGACATGCACAGGATGGAAAATCTGAGGGAGTCGAAGTTATGAACCAGTGGTTTCTTCGCAATGGCCTTAGCCTCTAACAAGGCGGCTTGTATCGCATTTCTCAGTTCTCCAACCGCGTCGGAAACTTCTAGCTCCCACGGCCAGCGAAGACAAAATTGGTGAAACTCCTCTAACCAAGATCGAGGAAGGCCATATTCCCTGGAATCTACCAGGAAAGCCCAAATTGTGGAGGTTCCTTCGTTGTAGAGGGCTGATTCATATGCAGCCTTGTAGTCCTCTTCCCATGATTTCATTGTGTCCAACTCAGGGCCCTTTGGAAGGCGTTTCATGAATGCTGTGATAGTTTTTGACAAGTCGAGGTGCGTGTCTGCCTCAAAGTTCCGGCGTCCGGAGAGTTCCTTTAGCTTAATAGCCCCCCATTCACAACAGGCACTGCGTAGGTCCCAGGCAGCCAACATAGAATCTTCTTTCTGTTTCTTGGTCATCGCCCCTATTCGGTTAAGCGCCCTACGCCCTATCACCTTCCTAGTCTTCCCTTCGGTGCTTTGATTATCAGAGCTCATAATTTCAGAAAACCTCGTCATCCAGTCGACAGCTGGATAAGATACCCATTCGGTTTTGTTGAGAATTTCTAGTAACTTATCGGGATTTTGTTGTGCCCAATGCCTTTTCGTCTTTGCATGCTGATGAAATAATGACAGTGACATTGTGGGGTTGTATGATAAAAGTAGTTTGGAATTGTTAGAAATATTTAACTAGAAGGTTAAACAGTCTAAATTCTTAGCTATTAAACTTGGGGCTCTACTTGGTGAAATGGGTTTAATACCTTCGCAGAATTTGGATTCCTGGAACAATTGTGTTTGACAATTGGATCTGATTAGAATCAGAAAGGACTTTAGTCTAGCTGGAAAGAGAAACAGAGGTTGCGTCTCTTTTGATCAGTCCTAATACTCGTTGGGGAGTGTTTTTAAATCGTTGTGATTTTAATGAAATATCTTAAGCTGAGAGATCTGAGGGGCGAAGGGTGTGGATTGAAGTTATAGATGAATAACCAAGGGTGAAGGGGGTGAATAAATAGGGGGAGCTATAGTGGTCTCTATGTCATATGTACATGTATCTCGATCTGTTCTCAAGGCTATCTACTTAAGGGACCACATTCACCGAATCAAATAGAACACACACACATTTTATTACATATACTTAATTAAATTATTTAAAACTACATCATATATACATGTACAAGCATGTGAATACGCGTAAGTCTCTAAAACCATGGCGCTCGTTCGTTTGTGATTACTTCCTATTGGACTTAAGCGCATCGAATTCTGTCGGTTCATTAGCACATGGAGGCAAAGTGAATATATATATCATTGAATTCACAGTATATGTAAAGGTAATGTATATAGGATATCTAAATAAGTAATCTACAAAGACTTTTGCTATTACACCATGTGTCCATGAAATTGACATATACATACGCTCAAAGGAGTACTCAACCTTTATCACGAAAAGCAACTGCAAAAGACAATAGAGAAGCACATGTGTACAATGAAGCTTGCTAGTCTGAAGTCCTACTTCCCATTCCGGGTATTCAATTTCGAATGGCGAAAACTGATTCCACACATGAGTTGATACATTTTAGCCCCAAGCCCCCATCCTTCCTGAATCACGTGGAACCTCTGCCACCACTCTGGCTTCGTCTCTGAATCTCCACTCCGCTGTTTCGGCTGCCTTCATTCTTCTAGCCAGCTTTGCAATCTCCTCCGGCACCCTAAAAATTAGTCCCTCAGGGACAATCACAAGCTTTCCCTCCTTGTCAAGATTTACTGGCGCACAACTCGTTTCTGGCCGAGTCATAGCCAGACTCGTGTTTATCCAACACTCAGACAACCTCTGATTTTGCTGAATGTCACTGCAGCAAAGTCGATACTTGAGCCCGATCTGGTGATAGTCGATATCTCCGGTACCGTCTCCAGCACTCAAGACGCTGCCACGACGCAAGGCCACATCATAGCACCGAATGTATGCTTTACGAGCCTCCTCGAACCTTCCAAGGCGAATGTAAATTGATCCAGCCTGGAAGTAAGCAACTGCCAGGAATGGATCTATTCTAATAGCGCTTTCAAACCAAGAAACACTTTCCCGCAAACTCCCCTCACGGAGGTGAAGTTGGCCAATGTTGAATTGTAGCTTGGCCGTCGGTTTGGAAAGGAAACAAAGTTCGTGGTACATAGCGAGACAAAGATCGAAGTCTCTAGCGTCGAAACGTTCCTCGGCGTCATTTTGGATTTTGATTTGGCGAACATAGGGCATCGTGGGGTGCGCGGGAGGCCATCGTGAGGCAGGGGTAACATCCGTGGGACAGGCTAAACGAGCCCGATAGTGGTCTGACAGACCATATAGCGCCATTTTACTCTTTTTTACTTCGATATGTTAGTCTCTAGAGCTTTTCTGAATAAATAGATTAATTGCTGATGGTGTTTGGATCAGGGAATTCCAATCAAACTCACAGCGCTGTCGTATGTAGAACTAGGCGGGCAAAACTAAGGAATCATCGTCAATTAAAGCTTACGTTAGTTACAGATTGGTATAGATAGAATGTTTGTAGACACCGGCACTGTGGGAGAGGAAGGCTATTGCGAATTCTGATGGGGCAATCTTATTTCATTGCTTAAGATTTATGATTTTGATCTTGATTTCCTCTCATTGTATGTACGTCCAATTGTATGTATACTCTTATCTAAAAGACCAGCGGCACCTAGAGAATTTAACTAAGGGGGACAAGTTAATACAATTCATTTTATATCATTCAGCCATTTTGGGTCTCGTATATATTCAGTTGAGAGCCCGGCCATAGAATGACCAGATCCACGGTATCGATACAGGTATCTGCAGCATTACCATCCATGGTATCTATCAAGCGTTGACATCATCGCATTGTTCTAAAAACCATGGTCATTAGTTAAACAATCAAAGCTTGTTTTATTTAAACTTTGATCTCAAGATCTTGATCAACATACCCACTCTTGTCGCATCCTGCAAGGCAACCGTATCCACCGCATCCGCAGGCAAGTGGATATATCTCAGGCTGTTACCGCGAAGAAAGATGCTGTTTAATGCATACTAATGGTCTTCTTTTAGCCATATGACCGTAAAATAATCAGAGTGGATGCAACACTACCAAAACTGCTTCATTCCTGGCCGCATTGACGATTGTGATGCCTTTAAGAGTCACGTTGAAGTAGCTATCGATAGAAGCGAGAATTCCCCGGAATATCATGCCGTCCTTAAGTTCGACAGTCACCTAAAACGTGCCTCGTTAGAAAAACTATGCCAGGAGCAAAAGAAGATAACCCTACCTCGAAATTGATGAGTGTTTTAAACAGACTAGTTAAATTTCATGCGTCATACGATTAGCCAGTTCAATAATATTTCTTCTTCCGCTGGCACGGCCACGAGGCGGCCGTTGAAGCAAACAGCAAATTAGAGAGCCAAGGGTGCCGTACCTGAAGAATGGCATACTTGGAGATGTTTTCAGGGTGATAAAGGATTATTTCGTGGTGTTGGCTGTGGTGTACATGTGGACGCAAGTCTGACCAGGCCTTGATTCGTGCGGGATCGCCTACCCGCGCATAGAAACCTGGCCTTAGCGTAGCTAGAATGCTAGCACATAATCGAAAAGAATGACGGCACCGTACTAATAGGTCAGGTTTACTCGCGCGATTATTCTAGAAACCCACTCAGAGTGCTGGAGGCTCCTAACGCATATGCGCACAAGATTATTTCTTTGCCCAGCAAGCCCCAGCCTCACGACGAGCATTAATACATCGGAGATCCCATGATTCGACCAATTAAAGCCACTTCTTCTGGACCACGAGCTGCTCGAGTGAAGAGTGAAAATTTACCCAATCGATTAATCAGGCTACGTGAGAGAGAATCGAAACACGAGAAACTATATGTAAGTATGCTTTTGTGAGTATGTTTATTGGGCTTATTACGAGGTACATTGTATGTCAACGCAAAGCTTCCACATCAGCAAACGAGATAAGGTTTTCGGTTCTAGAGCTAAATGATCCAGATAGAAACAAAGACACATGTACTTAAGGACAGATGTAACTTGTTTAATTGCGATTTTTTCAGTATTTGAGACACGGATTCATAGCTATAGTAGACAAAGACCAATCTCTGATATTGACATGTCGTTAGAAACCGACAAACAGAAGAAAACCCTGCACTCCCAAACACGATCATGCGCAACGATGCCATTGGTAGCTAAACCTTCACAGTAAGAGTATGAACGGACACTCTAAATACACGTACGATGTTAGGGAATGATTTTGATGCCAATTGGATAGAATAGAACTTACCTCTCTTTTCTCTTCACTTTTTCTTTTTACGCATCTCACAATCCGGAAAACTCCATATTATTGCTTGCTCTGTTGAAATGTGATGTTGTTATCACCAGATTGTGTCATGTAATTCACAAGTGCGGGAGATGTCCTACACCGTCGTCTCTGGCCATGGCACATGTATCCTATAGACAGCTAGGCACGCACACACACACTAAACGCGTAGTTAACAATTATTACCTAGATATTCAACTATGGCTTAATGATTTAATGAAGCAGCCTACCTTTTCCTTTCCCTCTTTCGTTCTTTTTTTTTATTTATTTCTTTTATTTTATATATACCCAGAACTCTTACGAACCTAACGATGATATTATTCCCGCCGAGCTAAAGAAGCTTACCCTCTTAGAAACATCGCTCTTTCTGGTCTTGTGCAAACTTATAGGAATTCCAGCTTACAATATTTCTGTAGTGATAACTCGTATGATATCATAATCATGAGCGTATCATACACAGACAATTCCACACGGAGACGATCAGACGCCGGACGCTGAACACACAATATATCCAGTTAGTCCCCAGTCCTTAACACAGTAACTCAAGAGAAAAGTCTACACCTACCATCGGTCTGATCAACTTCCGGCTCAGCCTGGGGAGCCGGGCCCGGATTTTGTTCCGTAGCGGGTGTCTCAGCGCGAGCAGCAGCCGCGGCCCGACTTTGCTCTCTAGCCAATGCCACCGCGCGACGAGCATCACTCGAAGCTTGGAGATCACTTACGAGGACCGTATTGAAATCAAAAACGGTGCTGGGGGTTGGCACCCCAGCAGGCAAGGGCTCTATTCAAGCACCAAGGTCAGAGACAACAAAACCACCAACGAAAAAAAAAAAAAAAGGAGGAAGAAAAAGAGGATGTATATAACTTACGATGACGCAAGTTGGTCTCAAACGCAATATTGCCGTCTGTTTGAACAGAGACAAATGTTCTGGCGTTGGGCGAATCGATTCCAAGAAGGGAGGAGAGAACCGCCGATGAAACACTGGTTACGGTCATCACGACCATGGAGTTCATCACGAAGCCTGTGCGAGGCCTCTGGGGCGCAGAATTGGGGGTTTGGTCGGCCATTGGTGTGGAGGTATATGGGTGTAGAAATTTTGAGTTGAACGAAAGACGTAGAGGGTTTATGATTTATACAGTGATGAAGGGATGATAGGAGGTGGGGAAAGGATGATGAAGGGATGAGCGAAGAAGATATGGATGGCGAGGGACGGAAAATTTAAGTGGGCGGAATGTGCGACTGTCAAATTTTCCTTCCTAATCATTTGGTCACGCATTGTGTATCTGATTCTTTTATGGTAACGCGAGGATCAAAGGTGTTGACGAGGGTTCAGTGCGTCGATGTCGGCCCTCATGATTACCCCACCAAACTCATTACAGATGACATTCTGCGACCTGTGGTGATGAAGAGATACAAGAACCTTGGTAATCTATTGGCAATAACCAAATTTAGATATGGTTCTTAGACATCTTGTAAGTAGTTTTGATTAATATCCTCATAGCGTGGCTAATGAGGATGAAATTCTCATGACATTGACTGGTTTGCATATGAGATTACTAACACGATACTCAGTAACTACGCAGATAATCGAAGAGGAATTTTATTTCTCTTCTTTACGTGAGAGGGGGAAGTTTATCAGATATGTTTACGCTGGGGTGTAGTCTTGTCACCGTTGAGTTAATGAAATACTTAGTTTGGCCCTTGGTGTCAATGCGTTTACTTGTCAAGGCACACACTTGTCGAGGGATTCACTGACTAGAAACCGAAGTATGACACTTTAAACGAGAGTTATAGTCACTACGACTCGGGGAACCGGGGAATAGACAACCAAGGGAAATTAAACAACGTCAATCTTTTTGGTTGAGCGTTAATTAAGCATACATATACTTCTGTAGAGACAAATTCACGACTGCAGAAGCTCTATGTATATAGAAACGGCGATAGCATATAGTGGACGGAGCATACATATCGCTAGCTCGATCTTACGAGTACAGATACTAGCTACTCAAGAAGCAAAAACGATGGTTGTATTCTTTTTCAGTTGAGTACAGCGGTGATGGAGTAAAAGTATGCATGTATGCACATCTTCGTCCAGGTTTCATGGCATGGACAAAGGCAAAATTTTGTACAGAACTCTACTTTAATCTTCATGACGTGTGGTTGGCCGCGAGCTAAAGCTCTTAAGACAACGAGCTTTGCTAGCCTGACAATAACTACTTTTATACTCACAATAATATTTCTATATTCAAGGAGCTTCATGTTCCTCCTACTTCATGAACTACATATCAATCACATGGCATAGTCTGTTATGAACCTACGTCCAGAAAAGCGGAGAACCACAACCAAGGTAAGCCTAAAGAAATCGTTTTATTTTATTAAAACTATGGCTTTTACTATTTACTTTCCATTATGCGTATACTCCTCACTACTAAAGCCAATTCAACATAGACCTAAGTGTAAATGGTCCTATCTAAGACTTTTTTTTCAAAGATTCAAAGAAATAAATGCTGCAGTGCCCTAACTGCGCATACATACATACATACCCTACAACAATACCAGACCACCCATATCCAACCCTCTCAAGCTACCTTCTCCAGTACCTCTCGCTCCACTGCCTTCTCGGCTCCCTCACCACGGCATTTTCCATCATCGGCAAGTCCTTCACCTTTCTACCCCACCCATTCAGCCCAGCGTCCACTACCCGCTCCCTATCCACCTCACGAAATTGTGTCCGCCACGTGCCACGATTAAACGCCGCGATCTTCTGTTTGTAATACGACCGAACCAAGGAGACGGTGACGAATATCAGGCTTAGGGGGAGCCAGCCGCAGGTTACGATGTAGAGGATGGGGACGTAGATCTTTTCAGCCTTTTTTTGTTTGGCGGATTTGGGCTTAGAGGAGTTTTCGGCACCTTCGCGTTTGGTTAATACCTGCGGTACCGGAATGTTAGTATCTTGTAGGTGTGCCAGGTATGTCGAAAGAACCCTGTAAGGTTACTCTTGTCCATTCTCTACCACCACTGAGAAAGCTGATATATAGTCTAGCAATCTTGCCCAAGCCGGACGGGTGCCGCATATATCACCTAGATAGGCGGTAGAGAATGGCCAAGAGTACCCCTACAGGGTTCTTCCGCCACACCCAGATTCGCTCGCCTGTGCCAAAATATTATCGGTACCGTGGTTTGGCAACTTTTAAAAAAAGAGATCTGCACCATGCATCTCTCCCTCCATAGTTCACAAATGCCAAGCCACGTTACCTCAAGCTTCCTGGCACTGGCCGGCACTGTGAAGATACTACACACATACACTTGTGGAAGAGATATCGACGCAGTAATTGCCCTCATCACTGCGTAAGCCGTGCTGTCCAGGTAGACAACAGAACGGCTGTCCTTCGCCCTCGCCCTTGTCGCCGGTGCCGAAGGCCGGGGTCCATGATGTGTCCGCACATCCATCCTCGGTGCCTTCGACTATTGCGCCATGCAGGCAGTTAATTCCTAGGTCCATGTCAGCACTGGCAAAAGGAAATTCGTTTTTAAAAAAAATAGTTATTACCATCAGGGCAACAGATAAAACGCCCTGTGTTTTCAGAAGCTATGCAACTGCTCTTTGGAGGGCAGCAATAGCTCTGCGTGGATCCTTCATGTTTTTCCTCAGTGAATATAGTGCTGATTTCGTTGATACATGACACCAGCCTTCCTGGACAAGTCGTAGCCCGTAACGGCCAAGTCGCGATACTGTACTGCAGAGTCAATAACGCATCCTCGTAGGGTTCGCCGTCAGTCGGGCGACTGCTGGCAAACAAAACAACAAGCCAAACGGCCAAGATGAAGAGATGGAGGTTTTTGAACCACATTCTCGGGGAAAAGAATGTTTATCTCCATGGAGAAACGGGCTTGACTATATGGACGATGAGCAGTTCACAGAGCCCGGGCAAGTTTTCGCTATCGGGGGCTGAGTACATTATGCCTCGTTGGTTGACGCAGCCGGGATAAGGTAGGAGGTGTCACAATGTGGTCTGTGTTTTTGGGCGACCACTGACATTGGTAGGTTACACTCACGTGCAGACGGAGACAGCCGGATCATGGGTTGTCACTCGGACTGGATCAGCCTTGGTAGCCTGATGCCTACGAACAGATCCCGGTTCAGAGGCCTTGTTCCATCTGGTTGGCCGAGAGTTTATACGTTAAAAGAGGTACATCTTTGCCCACATGCCAATCCATTGTCGATCTGGTGGTGTATGGAAACTTCATTACTTTGGCGGTCCTGCCCACATGGATGTACTCACACAGCCAGCCCAAGATACCTCCTAGCTGTAAACCACGAATAACTACTACTACTACTACTAATAAAACATGGATATACCAATATATCCTCCGTCCCCAACACGACTCCAAAAATTAAAATCGTTACAATAAACCAAAAAAACCACCTATCCCATCTCCCCACCCACTACCTCCTCCACCCCAAAAACGCCTTCTCCGGCGCCTTCACTTTCACCCCCCCTTCCTCTTCCTTCACCTTCACTCCCCACCCATTCACCCCCCCGTCTCGCTGCGCGTCCGCGCCCCCCTTAAATTTCGTCCGCCACTCACCGTCTTTCCAGTTAGAGCTCCGGTGCACGCGCACGTCCATGCGGAACCCACATACGCAGTAATGTCCCCTACCGTAGCGCCGCCTACAGTTCTGGAGCCAGCGGCGCAGGCGCGTGCCCGGGAGAGTAGCCATGCCAGCGATATATAGGACAAAGCAGGGGGTGACGAAGATCCAAATTATAGCGTTGAGAGTCTTTGTGGAGACGGCGCGCTTGGAGAGGGACTAGCGCGGGGTAAGGTTAGTATGCATTGCTCTCGGCGAAAGGTGCGAGGGGGAGTGAGGTTTATATAGAGGATTGGAAGGGGGGCATACCTTTGTAGCTGACGGTGATGCTCCCAATGATAGTTCTGATGGGATTACTGGTGATGATTCGGGGCTAGAGCTAGATTTTGCGGTGTCTTCAGAATATCATCAGCAAGGGACTCACAAAACCCCCACACAGCAGTGGGATGTTAATTAAGCTGATCAAGAGTCATATATCAGTATACGCACCGACGTCACGTATCTCCCACCCAGCAGTGCTCGCGACGTCTTCTAGACCAACACCCGCAGCGGCAGTATCAGCTTGTAGATAGACCTCCCGTCCCGCACCCGTACCCGTCCTTGCAGGGTGGATATCCGGGGCACCGGTATGGGTAAGTGTATGCAACGCCTCGATCTCAACCCCAGGCCCCGACGGCAGTGGACGACCAGCAACAACAGAACACAGCAGCGCAATAAAGAGCACAAGCACGTTGATCATAGAGTATAATACTGCGGCGAGACTAAAGGGCGTCTGTAGCTATCCTAGATGTCTCCAGCACAGCAGCAGCATCGTAGCTAGCTGGGTAGTATAGTCAGGCCCGTCCTCCGAGGCTGTGTTTTATACACAGGATGGCAAAGAAGTGCAAATGTGTAAATGCAGTTTTTCAATGCGGCTGACAGTTTTTGGTTGGAGCTTGGGCTTAGTTGGCTGGTTAGGTTTTGAATTGGATTGGTTGCGAGTGGGTTAGGGTTGAGATGTCACGTAACGGTCACAGTATGGACGACGGTATGTCGATCGAAGAGGCGACAATGGATTGATGAATTTGATTGATTTATTGATAGACTAAAATGGCAAGACTGATGTTTGATGATCACGCAGCAAACTATACACATATAAACATCGTTCATAAGTCCACTAAACTAGACAATATCCTCATTCAACACGCATCACATGTTTTGTAGCGAAACAGAAATTGGGATAGATTTGATCCTATGTAGATCTAAATCAAATATGAGAACTCAGGCTCAATCCATGATACAAAGCTCGAATCGAAGTGTATTGATGGCGACATGATAGTAGGAAAGGTATTCAAGAAAGGAACATAAAAGCAATAGCATTTGTCCTCGTGACCTATCCTTGTCCCATACCTCCAATACTGTCTATAAAATGGTATACGTCAGGAAATCACTTCTTCAAATTATCTACCAGTAAATATACCTATTCACCTTGCTACTATAAGTTTTTCCTGTGCCGGTACAACTCTAGTGTTTGTGCACAGTCATTTGGTTGAGAAGATTTTGTGATCCTCCAGTTAGAAATACAACGACATATAAAACTCAGCGAGACTTGTAATTGGGTGAGAACTCTTTATACTTACAATTCCTGCTCCTCCAAGCAGTATCTTGCTAGACCGTAGACTCAACGTCGCCTGGTGCAATTGCATTAAGTCTCTCATCAATCCCATAATCTTAGATCCCAGACCACCAGAACGATCTAGTAGATCGGTCTAAAAAGCCTAATTATCAATAATCAGTTCATGCCTAAACGAACTGACCACTAGATACCTTACGTTCTCAGGGCGGAATATTCCCACTCCTGCAGTAGTTCCCGTATTAAGCGTATTAAACGTATAACAGAAGAGCACTTGATGGCGCCATCGCGATGGGTGTAGTTTATCTACTTCATTGTGCAAGTCGATGATAGCTTCATCTGCTGTCCGGCTACGCCAATTAGTTAATTAGAAAAACTAGCATGATCCCGATTGGACACTAAACTTACCTGAGTGACATATGTTCCCGGCCGGACCATGGTCCAATCAGGGATCTCGTGTTTGATAGATAGAGGGAGAACCTAATCATTCACGACGAATATGGAGCAAACGGGGAGTATTGAAGTAGTGAACCAATGTAATTACCAAGATGATGATAAGGAACAGGAGGAGTGGCTAGAATTTACATGTAGCTATTTACATTATGTATACGCTTACCTCAATTCTGACCACGTGTTTCCGCTCGCCATTGATATACGTCTCCACTACATGTAATATAATACTCACCAACCTTATTTTACTGTCAGGTGGCTTTTATTCTGGTTCTCTGCACGTTGAGAACGCTTAATCCTGCGCTCACTCACTACCACCGTTCCTGGCCTCGCTTTCTCATAATCTTCCAAAGTAAAACTCATTCTTCGCTTTTACACGTGGACTTTCAGTCCTCGTAGTAATACTTTGATCTAGTCCCTAACCCTCGCTTGCTTACACCCAGCTACATGTGTGCACCGCCATAACTTGAAAAGCCGGCTATCTCCAGCCAGGGATTATCGCTCGAGTGATTTTTGAATTGCACCTATCTGCATCAGAAGTTCGTTTTTCGAGTAATGGCGGTAGTAACGGGATGCATGTGGTGCGTGGTTAACGTTACACAAAGCGTTGTATGGCTGACGTTGAGCGAGGCTGCCATATATCTACGTCTAGATGTCTACCTACGAATGAACAAGCTATCGGCTCTAGAAAGATACTGTATCGGAATCGCAAGATATTCATCGGTCGCCTTCTCCCAACACCGTTCTTTGCAATACGTCAGATCCTTGCAGCGTATCAATTAGTACAGCAGCTATAGCTAGCTAGGGACTAATCCTCACTGCGGCTTAGTCCAGTGACGAAACGGGGCTCTCAAAGCCTTATGCTGCGGATATGAACTTCTAGGTGGCGGACTCCTCCTCCCCATCCTCCTAGCCTACACCATCATCAATCACATACCTTATCAGACCTACCTACATGTAGCTACAGTCGGCGCGAAGCTACTTTCTAAGCCTGCTGGTCCAGTCAGTCCCCCTCGAAGACATGGCTTGTAGACCACATAGGCATTGCAACGCATCCTAGACAGCGAGGTTACAATATACTACGGCCAGAGGGAGGGCAGTGGCGACAGAGGGTTTCCCGGGATAACTACGTGGACCATAACCGCCCTTGCGGCCAGGTAGTGGGCAGGGCTCTATGGTATATATCTCCCGCGAGGCACTGCTCGAGGCAAACAAGGTTGAAATTATCTCTTCCAGAGAACCCACCAAGCCATACCAATCCGTAAGCCTTGCAAGGTCGTTAACTCTCACCCAATCCCGCGAGGGGGTGGTGTAGTGTCGTACTGGATATTTAGAACCTTGTGGACTGGAGGCTTGGATTAGGGGTTGTTCGCCAACTACGAATGGCCTACTTGGAATCAAGAGAATGGACTAGAATCTTCTGTTTGGGAAAGATGTTGGGAGTTTAGGATGGACTTTTGAGCGATAGGGTTTTGTGTTGAATGTTTGGGTCCCGGCGGGTTAGTCTCGTGCCCAAACTTTTGTCAACTCGTTCCTCGTTCAGACTACAAATCGCGCCACAGGCTAGGAATAAGACTACCGGTGGGTTAGCTATTCCTTCTTCTTGGGTTGATTGCGCTTGGCAAGATAATTGAAGTATGGGAGATGGTATGACGCAATTGAGCAAAGAGGTCCCAAATCCCGGGTGTCTGTGCATATTGACGCAGGAATAGCGGGTGGCTCAAGATAGGGGGCTGTTTGGCTGTTCTGGAGGTATCGAAACTCCGTTTAGTAACTGCTCCTTTATGCGAGAGTAAACAGAGCATTTTCAAAACAAAGTTTGGGTTTTATTTGGCCTCGCTGCCAAACCCCTGATTTGTCTACCTTGATTTTTTGTGAGATTTGGGTTGGTTGCGATGATGATTGCAACAGCGAAACGGTGCTGAAAGGTATGTAGGTACTCCCTACCTTTTAAAAACTCCGTTGAGTTTATAAAATTTAGCCGTCAAAACACAAACTTTCTTTTTGTAGAAAACGAAATTTTCGAAGGGAACGAAACGCAGGTTATGAGGTTGCCAAGACACAATTCTGTCTCCTATAACTCTGTTTCGACGGGTAGCCAAACAGGCCCTAATTGAAGCACTGGCAAGATACATACTCCCACCCTACCACATGGATCCCACCCTACCACATGGATCCCAAACCAATTGCAAGCCGGACACAAAACCGTCAAAAACGAAAACACAAAAGTCTATTCACCATTTCTCTAGGTATCTATAACATTAAATCATTCAAACAAAGCTACTCGGTACCCCCCACATCCGCGGTTGGGTCTTTGAAGACGCCGCCGAGAAGGAATGCTGGTTCTTCGACGTTGTGGTGGTTGTAGCTGGTGCCAGAGTCAGCACGGGACCATAGGCTCAATGGAAGAAAAAGAAGAAGGAATACTCACGTCAATGTCGCGATACCGCCGGGCTCCAGAATCATCTGGAGCGGGAAGTCGAGCTCGAGGCCTAGCCACCTCTTTGTGAACGCGCGCAGCAAATGGCCATGCGATATCTACAGCACCACAAGCACCATCATCAGCACCCACCACACCACACCACACTACTTGTAGTAGCCAAGAAAGCATCAACCACCACCACCGCCAGCACCTACCAACAATACATCCACATTCTTCTCCCCGTTCATATACGGCGCCTGCAACTCCCTAATCTCCTTAATCACATTATCCAGCCTCACCCGCACCTCCTCCGCGCTCTCCCCCTTCAGCCCCTCCGGGCCCTCACCATCCTCACACCCATCCCTCCAAATGTCGAACGGGCGCTCCTTATCCAGCCCCCTCGCCTTGCGGTCCTCACGGATCTGGGCGGGAAACCACCCCTCGTAGCGCCCATACCCCCACTCGGCAATCTCCTCCGTCACAAGCACGTTCACATGCTCCAGCGGCGCACCCGCGCACCCAGCGAGGAGTAGCAAGAAGGTGTTCTGCGCGCGGACGCGGGGGGAGACGTAGATGCGTGTGAGGCGCGACGGGTCGATGAGGCGGCCGGGGCCGACGAGGGAGCGGCCGGCCTGGCGGACTTGGGTCTCGCCGTGGGGCGTGAGGGGGATCTCGCTGATGCCGGTGTGGCGGCCGTTGAGGGTCCATGCGGTTTCGCCGTGGCGGGCGAGGAAGACGCGGGGGGTGGACATTGTGGATTGGGTAGGGGAGGAGGGGGTGGTGTGTGATGAAGGTGGGGTGAAGGTGGGGGGAACTAGGAGAAATATTCAAGGTGGGGCGGGGCAGGGTTAGGGGTTGTGTGGGGTCTCAGAGGTAGGGATAAGCTTTGGGGCGCTGCGAGAGCAGGGATTTAGGGCGAGCTGGAGCGTTTGTGTAGGCAGGTTTGGAGATCAGAGAATGAGGGTTTGTTTATGTGAATAGATGGACGGACTGAATTGTTTCCTCTTGGATAGATAGATAGAGACTCCGCCAATTGATCATTTCCCCCCCTTCTTTTCTGCCTGTGTGTGAGATTCGCGTTGCCCCGCGCTCGCTTATCTGATTGCGTGTCTATTCTTGGCTACATCTTCAGCCGCATTCATTGCCAAAGCTCCCCAGAGCCCTGTCTGTGTCGGTGACAACCTTTGAAGACCGTAAACAACAACAATATTCACCTCATATCGCATCCCATCACCACTCACAACTCCTCCTCCTTCACAAACCACACCCTGTGACAGCTCTCCACAATGAACATCGACGATAACCTCCCCCCCCGCCCCCACCTCTTCCCCCGCCGCCCCGCCCCCCTCGCCTCCCGCTACCTCGACGAAATCTACCCCAACCTCTGGCTCGGCAGGTATCTCTCCCTCCCCTCCCTCCCCTCCCCTCCTCCCTCCATCCTGTCTAACCCCTCTGCAGTCTCCAAGCCGCCGAATCCGCCGAGATCCTGCAAACCTGCGGCATCACCGACATCATCAGCATCACCTCGCACCGCCCGCGCATCCCGCCCAACCTCGGCATCACAAAGACGCACTTCCGGCTGCGCGACAACACGGACGCGGACCTGCTGAGCATCCTGCCGGAGTGCATCCGGCGCATCGAGGAGGTCATGGCGGCGCCGGCTCCCGGGGGTCGCGGGCGCGAGAGGAGGGTGCTGGTCCATTGTAGGATGGGGATTAGTAGGAGTGGGGGGATGGTTGTTGCTTATGGTTCTTCACTCTTCTGCCTCTCTCCCTTCTTTCCTCTCCTCCTTTCCACTTCCTGCTTCTACCGCTGCTAGCCTAGATGGAAGAATAGGTGGCTGATAGATAGCAGCGATGAAGCACGCCAACATCCCCGCCCGCCTCGCACTCGAGTTCGTCCGCTCCCGCCGGCCCATCGTGAATCCGAACAAGGCATTCATGGCGCAGCTGACGGTGTGGGGCGAGTGCGGGTACGACACTGCGCTGCTGATGCCCGACATGTCTTTACCGGAGGCGGAGGAGCAGGAGGAGGAGGGCCCGAGCGAGGAGGAGATGCTGCAGATGGCGCTGGAGATGAGTCTTGCTGCGTCGGAGCCCGAGTCTGGGGGTGCCGAGGCGCTGGCGGAGACGTTGGCGGCCGTCGGCGGGGGGAGGCTGGTGGTTGTGAATCCGGATCAGGCGTCGGAGGCGGAGGTGGTGATGGCGGAGGCGGAGGAGGGGGCGGGTGCTGATGTGACTGCTGGTGCGGGCGCGGGCGCTAACGGGGCTGATGCGATAACCGTCATTCCCGCTCCGCATACAGCACCACAGACACAGCTAGATATAGATATAGACATAGAGATGACCGCGCCCCCCAACCCCACGCTCCCCTCTCTCGCAGCACACCCCCAGTCGCAAGAACCAACAACGCCCGAGCTCCTATCACAATACGACATACTCACCACATCCAAACCAACACCCACAACCACACCGGCGCAGGCGCTGGTGGGTCTGCACCCTGAGGCGCGCATACAGAGAGCTGTCGTGGTGGCGGCCGCCGAAGAGGAGTGGGTGGTGGTTACGATGGAGGAGGGGATGCGGAGGCGCTTTGAGGAGTGTGTTAGGGATGTTGGAGGGGTGGGGCGGTAGTGGTGGTGGTAGTGAGGTGAGGTGGGGTTGGGTTTGGTGGGTAGGTGTGGGGGGTGTGGGCGGGAGAGGTTTTGACCCTGTGGAGTTTGGGGGCGTGGCGGGAGGGGGGCGGGGGTAGATTATATTGTGTAGAGGGGTAGAGGGGTAGAGGGTAGACAGCTAGAGAGAGAGAGAGAGAAATGGACGTTTTTAGTAGATGAGCTGGGTTTTATACCGGGGGGGGGGGGAGTTGTGAATTGCGATGTGTGTTGTGTGAGTATGTAGGTTTTGGTTTGGGTTAAGGTGTTTGGGACTCTTTGTGGGAGTTTGATCATTGGCCCCACAACCCTCTATCTAGAACCGAAAAACCGTACGTACAACCACCCCTCTCACCTCCTCCCACCTCCTCCCACCTCCCCCACCACCCCCAACGCCGGCCATATATACCCAACAGAAGCTAACCCCCCCCCCCCCACAGCTAGACAGACTCGGACCCGGAGATAGAAGATCGGCGGCGGTACGGCGTACATGTGATGTAGGTTTATGCGGGAGTGAGTGAGTGGGTGGCTGTGGGGTATGTGCGGTATGTGCGGTATATGCTCGAGATTGAGTAGCTTTTTCTTTTTATTTACAGCGAGGGTATGGATGGTGAGGGTGTGGGGCGTGTGTATATATTTGTAGCTCGAGTAGCAGTAGCTTGAGTAGCAGTAGCTTGAGTAGCAGTAGCTCGAGCATCAGTAGCTTGAGTAGCAGTAGCTTGAGAACCAGTCGACTCCCCGGCACCCATCCTTATACTACGAGTTCTTTTGAGGTTGAATTCAAACACTTGCTTAGTAGTAGTACTAGACGTCTTCAGTCGGGCAGGTATGGTGCTCACGGGGTATGATATGATGCAACAACTGATAGTTAACATCAAAAATGATAACAGGGATATATACGGTTTTCTGTACCAAATGTATTTAAATAAAGACTTCTATTCTGCTGTCTTGACTTTAATTCTTAATTCCGTCGCAGTCGGGGGGCAGCACCACAAGTACACACCCGTGATCGAAGGGGGTTTATTTTGACTCGCCCACTGCTGATGTCCTGCGAGATTTGGGAGTCGAGTGATGCGAAAAAGTCAATTTGCAAAGCTACATTTAGATATCTACGAAACACTTCATTATATAACTTTCCAGTTCAGAACTGCTCGCCTAATGTTTGTTTATCCGTCCTCTTAGCCTACTCGTGAGATCAATATACCCTAGTCTCCGAACCGCTGTTGTCCGCCGGTGATGTCTAGCCGGAGAATAGTGGTCGTTGGTGCTTGGCGTAGGTTGTGCTTCTAGAGTGTTGGCCTGGATACCTACCAATGCATGGGACTGGTAGAGTAGTCTCGTTCCGAGACTTTTGTCAACTCGTTCCTTGTTCTGCAGACTACGGGTCAATTCACGGATTAAAGAAAGTAACATTGGGCACGAGCCTAACTGACTCGGGCTGTGAGCTTGATCGAACTTTAGGCTCGAATGCTTCAAGCTCTAGCTCTCTTTCCTCTGGCGGACCCAATCCAGCTCGATCCAGTAATGGAGATCTAGAGGGCCGAGCCTAGGCTCCAGCGTTATCAATTCTTAGTAATGGATTGATTTTAATATCATAATGGCAAAATGGGATTGCATAATCGAAGTAGATCTCCAATGTTGGTCTTTAAAAATGAAAGTCATATCGAGATGGCCATTTTTAGTATAACAATAGAAACTCGAGACTAGCTCTTGAGCTCGAACACCTCGACGAATCTTTTTTCCGACAATCTGAGGCGCCGGCCCGACCCCCGGACCAGGCTCGTGCCCAGCACTAGCTAGAAGGAACTCGGGGAATTGTCATGACCTTATTGCAATTTTCTTTTTGTAAAAATTGATATAGTATTGTTTCCTATTTTTTTCTAATGTCTTTTTTTCCTTCCTGAACTCTCGTGTAATAGGATGCTCCCGAATTCAAATGAAATCGATGATTGTCTAAACGATGGCTCCACTTGTGTCAAAAGAACGGAGGAAGAGATGGCACGTCGGAGGCCGGGTTCGTCGACATGATGAAGCCTCTTCCGGCGCTGGTACCTTTGGTTGCTGTTTTGTCGTTGTGATGATACCGAAGGTTCGAGCTAGTATCGACCATGGGTTAGCAGGTATAATTTTCTCACAGAGTGTGAAATCTTTTTTTTAGGGGGGGGGGGGTAGTCTTGAGAAGAGGGTGTTAACAAAATAGCTCGATTGTGGCCAGTCAAAGCTCTCACAGCTAGATACTAATCCTTTCGGTTTCTTCTTTGTCTCTATCATATCGTCGAACATTTAGATCTAGTCAATATATCTGTTAGCAATCATGTTCTTTATAGGGCGCGGGGCTACCCCCCAGGGCGCTTGTAGAGATTTTTTTTTTTTTTGTTTAATTCATTAAGGCGCTTGTAGAGAATGGGTGCTAACGAAATAGTGTTCAATCATGTATAGGCCCAATCGAATCTCAAACAGGGCCATTTGATAGATATGTAGTGAATAGATGATATTATGCAGTCGAACTGCGTGAGTATGATGCTGACCACCATCTCTAAAGATATGCTTCTCGGGGAGGTCCACTTTTTCGGTTGGTATAAATGGTCTAAAAAGGATGCTGGGAGAAATAGGTGTTCTTTTGGTAAAAATAAATTTTCCTTCGTTTTCATCCGGCCTAATGATGTTGAAAAATGCATCCAAATTCCCACCGCCAAAGCCTTACGGCAAGTCATTCCCTGGCAACTCGTTCCCTGGCAGGTCATTCCCTGGCAAGTCCTCTCCCGGCTTCTCCACACCCGCCAGGGCCGCAGCCAACTTCGTAGCTCTCTTCACCTGGCGCCTGAACAGCCGCTTTATCGGCACACTTTTCGAGGCCGCAACCATAAACTTCCTTTTCTTGCTTGCTTGCAAGGTATCGCCAAACGCAGCTCGACCCCGAAGGCCAGGGAGAGATTTGGCGCCGACTATTTGGTCGGCGGGAGATTTGCTGAAGAGGGCGTTGAAGAGTTGTTGTGGTGTAGGGCCTTCGGGGGCTGGGACGGCGGGGATTTGGCGGTTTCTGCGTCTGATTCTGCATCTGAGTCGGCGTCTACGTCTGCAGGAGCATTGACATCTTCCGGAACATTTTCAGCCTCGGGGGCATTGGTGTCTTCGAGAGTATTGGCTTCTTTGAGATCATTGGGGTCTTCGAGAACATTGGGGTCTCCAAGAGCACTGGCATCTTCGAGAGCATTGGCGTCTTCGAGAGCACTGGTAGCTGCATCAGAGGCCACGATGACTGGGAATTTGTACTTGTTAGCAGGTAACTCAGATTGAGAATTCCAATGACAATTGAATCACCTTCGCCAGCGTGCTTGGTGATCTCTAAGTGGGTAGAAATGAGGACACCGTCTTTTTTGTCTGAAGCATCCTCCTGGTCTGAAAATAGAACTTGTTAGCATTCAACTAAATCCATGAAGCTGCCAATGACAAAGAAGGGTTTTACTTGCCTGAATCGCCCTGCGCTATAGGAACCTCTTTTTTGTCGCCCTCCTCACTCTCAGAGGGAGTATCATTCAAACCCCCCAGATCATCCAGCTCTTCGACCTCCGATTCGGATTCGACAACTAACTCCTCTGGAAGTACTGCTGGTAATGACTTGGAGCGGCTTTTCGTCGCCGCTTTCAAAACGTGGTCAGACTTCTTGATCCGCACCATGGCTTCCGCAGAGAAAAAGTATTGCCTAGAGAAATTCGGCAATGTGTTATTTCGTCGCTTTTTGGGTAGGGGTTGTTTGTGGGGATGGGAGAAGAATGTTCACTCCATGTCACTCGGTTGTGGCGTAGATGAGGCTCAACTGCGCGCGCGCCACACCCAAATGTGATTTCTGACAGGACACTAGAAACCCACAATCAAATATTACGCCAGAGGAACAACGGTTGGGGCTTTGTTCGGGTCTAGGAAGTAAAACCAATAGATCTCAGGTCTTCTTATTTGCTTTCCCTAGGAGGTCTTCGTACTCGACGCCAATGTCTGTTATCACCTTGTCTGTCGATGGTGCCCGGGCCCACTATATATACAGCGGTAGGTAATAAGTGATGGAACAGAGCAATACCTGTTTTGGTAGAACGCCACCAATATTTGTTGTCTGTACTCTCAGGGCGTTCCATCACTTATTACCTGTCGCGCTACATGTATATATACATACTTGTAATTGAGGGTCGCAATTTTTGTAACAGATCAATTTTATTGATAAGATAGGTGATATGTGAGTAGGAGTCACCCTCTTGGTACCAACCTTACGGCAGGCAGCACCTTTCCACAGACCAAGGCATGTCACAATCTCTACCACCTTAGGCAAAAAGACCGCTGGAGGACAACAGTAACTTTACAACACTCTTTTCCTTTTTGACGAATGTCAAGAAATCTTATGGACTCCTCTTATCTTGCTGGTCAATCTTTACCAACACCTCAATGGCGAATAATTGGTGGAAATTCGAGTCAAGGCTGAAACTTACCCTGATGTCGTGGACATAAAACGGGATTGATAGGTTATGAAGGATAATGAACCTGTATGCCCACATGCATTCCCAATTGCCGTGGTTCAGTACCTAATACTGACATTCACGGGATCTTTCTCGCGAGCAGAGAGAGAAGAGACATTGGTGAAATGCTCAATAATCCTCTTCTCTCTTTGCTCATCATGGGTGAAAGTTTCACCACGAATTAGATCAATATACTCCCTTTTGTGGACTCTTGCATTGATCCTTTGTCATGGTCTCAGTACCTTGTTAGTAACCCCCTTCTACTACACCTTTCATTATAAGCATGCTAAGTGATTTATTAGTCTTGTACTCGCGAATCCGCGAATTAAATCGCCCGTTGGCGAGAATCAACAAATCACGTCAATTTAAAACACTGTTACAGTCTCATCAAAGATGATTTCCGCAGACATTTACACAGACCCTTGGGCTGCAACCATAGAATGATTTTGAGCAGGACACGAGTATGCTATGCTACGCCATGTCATGATGGTTTTATCGTTGCGGAAGCTAGAGTGTATAATATTGTGATGGATTGAATGCGTTAATATGTGGTCTCTGCGAAGGAAGTTCGCAAGCGGCGCACTCCTTTGAGCCCACCCGATGTATGAGGGCATCTAATTGGGGGCTATGAAACTGTTATGTTGACTGACGGCTGGGCTGTTGTTATCATACCATTGGGCTGATTTTGAGCTCTGAATGACCAGGTATGTGCGGGCTATTTTCTTCCTCCACTAAAGCTTATATCATATTAACACTGTCGCTGCTAGTAATAACCGTTGTTTAAAATACCAAAATACTGAACACCAAAGATACTCATTGAGGATTTCTTAGTGTACGTCTACGACACCAAACAAGTTCAGTTGAACGCCATATTAGGTTATTACCCTTTTAGGTGCACCTCATAGTCAGGTTCCTTAATACCTCGAGGTACCATAGGAACATTGAAAAGCGTTTAAGAAATATATGTAAGCATCTCCCATGGTTATCACAGCGTAAAAGAACTCCCTTAACGGGGCGCTCTTTTCATATTTGTCATCTTCCCTCAGGCTCACGAATGAAGTTGGTGTCAGACCTCTGGAATTCTTATATCAGAGGATCCGACTCTGCCGTTTAATCTGTGAAGGCAGTTGCAGAGACTATCGCCAAATTCTACCGAATGTTATGGTGGTTCGACCTGACGTTGCTGCTCAGCGACAGTCATTGACGGTGATGGCAATGGTGACGCCTGAGGATAATGGCCCATATATCTTATTTTACTCCTTAAGATCAAAGCTCTATCAAGATTGTTCTATACACTTGTGTTCGGGATACAGGTGAGAAAGCACTCTAAATTTCCTAATTATCAATATCTCTAAGACCTCGAAAGCTAGGAAGATCGGCCCGCAAAACACCTACTATCCTTGATTATTTATTGCCTGTGGAAACACTTAGTAAATTCCTGTTAGAATGCGGAAAGTTTTGATCTCTATCCTGTCAATCCAAGGGCTCGAAAAACCACGGAGATCCGGATTACCATGCGATATTTGTGGAGCATACTAAACATGAAGACTTGAGCATGTTTTTGCATAGGAACACATCTTCTGTTGGATATCGTAAGCTCTTGAGAAACCTCTGGATATTTGTGTACTTTCAAAACTCAGTGTACTCAGAAAACTCCCGAAAAATGGAATCCGTGGTTGAAAGGGTTATTCAAACTGCAATTGTGATCTTCACACTCCTTGGTTTGGTCTTTCGCCCTTTTCAAGAGTAATGATCTCCTGGTTTGAATTGAGTCAAATCATATATAAACGAAAAGATATTCGACAATAAATTCTATCATCAGTCACTTTAGTATTCCATCATCAGATAAGAGCACCAGAACACCAAAAAAATATCGCATATTCTGACATCTACACATCAGCAAGCCAAAATACTATCAATATATCACCCAAACACAAATCAATTTTATATCCCAATCAAAATGAGTCTTTCTATCGGTGGAGCCTCTGGCGACGGAGCTGATCTTAGCTTTCCAGGAGTCGACCACGAAGAGATCACCCTCGGCGTTGAGCTGGAGCTGGCAATTTTCAATCTTAATGACGACAACCGGGACCATAGCCTATGGTTCTCTTATATCAGAGGGGCACTCATTGATATCGAAAGAAAGTTGTCTAAGCCCGGTAATAGAGTCATATTCACTGTCAAAGACGATGCATCGATTAATATCTGGTGGAAGGGACCCGGCTCGAATGTGGGGGTTGCAGTAGAGGTTGCAACCCCGATCCTGCTCGGCGATCAATTTGAGTGGGTAATTCCTGAGATGTGCACCGCAATTAACGACGCAGTCAAGAGGCAAGGGGCGACTATCGATCTTTCACCTGAGAGTGAATGCGGTCTTCACGTTCACATTGGTATTCAGGAAAGACACTATACTATTGGGGAATTGAAGAGAATCGCAAAAGCCGTCGTCATCTTTGAGGATGTAATGGAAATACATCATGCTGCCCATAGGCGAGCAAGCGCGGATTACATTAAGAGTAACCGAGCTGCAGCGCAGCTCAAAGGACTCTCGATAGTCCAGATGATCGAGAAGCTTGAATCGGCCACTACTAGTAACGGACTGTTGCACATGATCAACAGCGACCCAGACCATCCAGACAAACACTTCAAGTATAACCTTACAGCAACCAAAAAATTCGGAACCGTCGAATTCCGACAGGCGGAGGGATCAATTGATGCTACAAAGATTCTTGAGTGGATTCGTAACGTGGTCACCTTCATTATCGGCGCACTATATACCCCAGACGAGCGTTTCCCGGAATTTGCCTATTGGGTCGATCAGGGTTTTGCTTGGGACGAAGATATCTGCGCATACTATGGTCTTCCGCCACCAGACCGGCAAGGATTACCAGCTGATATTGATCAAGCTCCTAGAAGTGACGACGGTTCTAATGAAGAGGCAGAAGAGAGTGATGATATACTTCCTGATCTCGCAGATTTGAGCTTTGGATCTGATGGTGCTGAGGGGCCGAGTGTGATGAGAAAGCGTGACACCCTAAGGGAGCTCAAGGGAAAGGTATCCGCCAAGATACATTCTCACCACATTCGTGAGAGACTGACCGATAAGATACATCGCAAACATGTTCGAGAGAGATTAGCTAACAGGATCAAGCGGACCTTGGCCAAGATTTCTAAGCGTAGAGCTGCGCAATCAAACTAACAGATCTGGATCGATTGCTTAATATTCTGACGAATTATAGGACATTGGTTTGTGGTTTATCGAGACTAACATATCGCGTTTTGTTTTAGTGCTTTGATCTTTGATTTCTAGACTTGAGTTTTGGATCTGATTTATGACTAGGTATTTGTGCGCCGTTATCTGATATTATGTTTTGGAATTATGCGCTGTGTTTTTGTCGTTTGCATTTTTAGACTGCGAGTTCCGATAGATGAGTTATTAGAACATCAAGATTATTAAACTGCGAAATTTGAACCAATCGTTTCCGCTCGTTGTGATAACCCTCTTGAAACAGATGTTGAGAACAAAAACCCTGCGGCGGCTTCCTTCACAAGGAATCACTCGGGGGATCTCGCTTGGAAATGATAGTCTCAACAGAAACCCAAACCAACCAAAAATCCGACTTGTAAACCCCTGTCGATCGCAACCCGGCACTGCAGTTACCTCTATCACACTAGGACTCATCTCGCTTAGCACGCCCACACACACAGCGCAACTTCATAAACTTTATAAACAAAAAATTAATTCTTGTTGATGAAGACGGATGATTTCTTGTGATCCAAATACTGAGTGATGTGTGGTGACGAACATGTCTTCATGGCTTAGTTGGTTAAAGCGTCGGTCTCATAATATGACCAGTTTCATCAGATTCTGGATATCCGAAGGTCGCGAGTTCGACTCTCGCTGAGGACATATACTTTTGCTTTTGCCGGGGTGATGAAGGTGTTAGTTTTTTTATTGCCTTGGATTATGGCTGATGGGTTGCGCGCGGTGGGTGGGTTTTATGTTTTGAGGGTGGGGTTGGAGTGTGATTTGGTTGTTGGCGCTGTGGTGATTGGGTACGGGTACGGTATGGGTATGGGCAAGCATTGAGTTGCTCTTAATAGGGACATTGGGAATTATTGTTTCTCTATCTCGGAGGCCCGGTCGGGGGCTTAGTGTAATTGCCGAACGGATCGTGATTTTTCAAGGGATGATGATCAGGCGTGGCGAAGAATTTCAACCTTCATCTTGAATACCCTGGCTACGATTATGGACCACGCCCCTCAACCCCTCACTCCACCAAATACGCCTAAAAAGAGAACTGGCCGTAACCAATGTCCAGTGGCGATAGGTGACTATTTAGCTAAAGGAAACGGATGCGCTATCGGGAAGGATCGAGTGAAATGATTTTCGGTCATGGGGTATCACTCGGATGTTGCTGTTTGCTGTTATGGTTGTCTATTTTTTGGATTTGGAGGGGTGAGGGGCGAGGGGTGAGAAGGGAGAAGGGAGAAGGGAGAAGGGAGAAGGGTTAGATAGGTGTAAAAGCTTGCGGAAGCTGGTGGGGTTTTGTTGCTGTTGAAGGTGATGAATGGCTGGTTGTTCAAAACATTTTTCAAATTGATAAACGCTGCAATTGACTGGCTTAACTGGATCATCTGCTCCATGCAAATCTTGTATCACCGATTGTATTGGCGGGAGGTAGGAAGTACGAGCGTGCTGGTTGGTAGTTGTTTAGTTCGGTAGTGTGTAGGGATTTTTCCATCTTGTAAGTTATCCACTTTGCGGTGGTGGTGGGGTCATGGGATGCCACTCGGATATCGCAACTTCGCTGATTGACGTCTTGAAAAGAACCACCTGTGTTGAGCTTGTTAGTTTGCTTGGTTTTTTCAAATATTCCCGAGAGTATCTTGAACTACGGTAAGAGGATATAAGAAAAGAAAATGCGTCCACACCGCATCTATAACCCCCATCATATCACTATTCAGCATATCCGCAATATAAATCCACAAGAATCACAAAATAACACTTACCAATTAACAGAAACAAACGTACACCAAACACACCCAACACACCACCAAACCCACCAAAATGAAAACCTCCATAACCCTCCCCACTGGCCTCCCCCCGCTCACCCTGCGCACCATCACCCTCGGCCTCGAGCTCGAATTCCTCATCACCCACCTCCCGCACCCCATCGAAACCCACAACGAGCTCCTCAACGCCCCCAGCACCTTCGCCCTCATCAGCGCCGCCCTCACCCCTCTCTGCACATCCCTCCGCCTCCCACCCCCCGGCCACACCCCAATCACCCCCCACACCACCTTCGTCGTCAAGCGCGACACCAGCATCTACCCCTCCACCGGCCGCCCCGCGCGCCCCATCGGCGGATCCCGCCTAGCAACTGAGGGCGGCGTCGAGGTCGCCACCCCGATCCTCTCCTACGGCACGTATGCGCGCGTCGTGCACACCATGTGTGCGGCCATCACGGACGCCGTCGCCGCGGTCGGCGCCAGGGTGGAGTGTAACCGCTCCACGGGCCTCCACGTGCATATCGGCCTGGGCCGGCAATATACGCTCGACGAGCTGAAGCGGCTCGCGAAGGCGGTGGTGATTTTCGAGGCGCGCATGGACGCGCACCATCCGCCGCACAGGGACGGGAGCGCGCCGAGCGCGGACGGGAGTAACTATATACGGTCGTGCAACGGGAATGAGGCGTTGCGGCGGCTGGATATGGCCGGGAGGGTGGCGATGGTGGATGGTGCGGGGTCGTATCTGGCGCTGTGCGCGATTATGAACACGGGGCGGTTTGTGGGGGCAAGGAGGATTGAGGAGATGTCGTGTCGGTTCTATAAGTATAATTTTGAGGCTGTGGGGCAGTATGGGACGGTGGAGTTCCGGCAGGCGGCGGGGACGCTGGATGCGGTGTGGATTGAGGACTGGGTGGTGAGGGTGGTGAGGTTTGTGACGGCGGCGTTAAGGACTGAGGATGATGTTTTTAGGGAGTGGGCGCTGGTGGAAGGCGGCCCTGGTGATCCGGTGGTGCTGGAGAGATTTGGGATTGGCGAGCTGAGCGAGAGTACGACGATGAGGAGGAATCGGCGCAGGAGGGCGGAGAGTGATACTAGAGATTTGGGGCCTGGTATTAAGAGATCCAGACTGTCGGCCGTCACGTATCCTGAGATGCCAAATCTTGGGCCTTCGACCCTCGATCCAGAGCCCAAGACCACTCTTCCCCAAAATTCAACTCCCAAGCTACCTGACCCTTCTGCTTCGACTCTCCCTCTAAAGCCTAAAATAACCGCTCAAAAACCTGTAGAAAGAGACATTACCTACCCCGATCTCCCCGCCCGGCACCCCCCCAGAACAGCCACAGACCCCCACAAAACCGATCCCGCCTCCAGGCGAACCCTTTCCCGCGACGAATCCACCGGCACCACCACCAGACCAAAAGTGCCCATCCCCAAGTTCAAGAGGAGACCCATCGCCATCCTCGCCCCAAAGCCTAAACCTAAACCAGCTGTGCGCGCACCACTTTATATCCCCCCAACGCTCCCCGACCCCAATCGCAAGATACCGACAATGATCCAGCCCGACCCCGCAAGTGGGATTCCGGTGATAGTTCTTGCGGACCCCGATGAGACACCCATCATCGCATATGAGCGTGTCGATAGCGACGTTGAGTCTCTTCCGTCGGTCGTCAGTGATGATGGGGAGTCGATGTCTGGGGAGTCTAGGAGCGAGTATGAGCCGCCAAAGCTTTACGACGAGACTAGGCAGAGTGCGTATGTGCTTCCTGTTGTTACGGCGGTGACGCTGCCGTTGGCGATATTGGCACTGGTGTGTCTTAGGAATATGTAGAGGTGTTATGCTGTGGTGTTGAGATAGAGGTGTTAGTTAGCGGTATGGTTATAATTATGTCGGTAGTTAGTATGCATGTCGGTGAAGATATAGGAGGACTAGTGTTTGAAGTGTTTTGGATAGAGACTTAAGATGTGTTGGAGTTTTTATAGGACTATGTACATGTAGTCTTGATAACCAAACTGTAGTAGAGCAGCGCTTATGGGGGGAGACGTAGATTTGAGAAGGGCCAATTAATTGCAATCTCCCCCCCCCCCCCCCAAGATATAAAAGATCAGCACGAAAAGGAATTTCGCAAATGACGGGTGATGATTGGCCCTGCATGCACCCAGGCTCCCGACATACAATGTATGCCGGATCGAACGGCCCTTCAACAAAATGATTGTTCTGTTTACTCCTCTCGGGAAAGTACCTCCAAAGTCAAAAAGGTTCCAGGCCAGAGCAGCAGGGAAAAGATGGCCAATTACATATGAAATGATTCCGGTTAGTAACAAGAAAGGGATGTAGAATACTGCGGCAGACAGTAGTACAAGTACCTCTACGTACACAGTGCCCCACTCTACCAAGGGGGCTCGAGGAGATGGGGCTCAAAGTTAATTATTCCACCTCAAAAAGGCATGCCCTGGTAGTGTAGTGGTTAACACACCAGAAACTCAGCACGTAGGTTTAGAGCTGTGAGGAGATCTTGGGTTCGAATCCCAATCGGGGCAATATCAATTCTTTTTTTTTTGTCCCCGGCTGAATCTGATACTGGGATGCTGTTTTTCTTGATTTTGGGCCGATATCAACAACTTATAGATATAGATGAGCTTCCGATCGATGCGACTCGAGTCACAATATCGTCCATGAACGTGCGTAGGATATTCTTGGTCATTTCGCAATCTAAACCCCCCGCCGTTAGCTCGCAAAAGGCTATGCCAATGAATTGAAGCTATGACCTGCCTCCTCTGTGCCTCCGACGTGGGGTTCAGACGGGGTAGGGTTTTCCCTCCCCTTTGAGGGAGGGGAGACTTTTTGCGTTCAGTCGTTTGGCCTTCTCCCCCGCTTTTGAAGGGGAGGGGGCTCTTTTGCGTTGGGTCGTTGTGGATTCTGTGGGTTTGCCCTATCCTCTTCGTATGAGGCGGAGGAGGCTTTTTGACGTTAATTCGTTCTGTCCTTCTTGTGGGCTCTGGACGGTACCGAGGGTCCGAAAAAGAATGGAAGGGTTATTATAATCATGTCGACCTTAAGTTCTGCAGGGTGTTCCGCCGTTGCCAAGATTTTCGTCGAGTGAGCGATTGTGACGCGGGTTGGATGGCACCTGGGCTGAACCACGGCGAGATCTCGAGAACGACCCAAACAGAAGACGGTGTTACTCGGGGTTTCAAATTGTATTTAGTCGGGCTTGACGGGATTGAGGCATTGTTATGTCTTCGTAGTCGTCTCCGAGGCTCAGGTGGAAAGCAGGGAACGTGTAGGTTATGACAAAGCCTGAAGGTTTGTAGTAAAAGTCAACGTGGCTATTAGTTTGAGAGTTGAAATTATTAACAACACGGGGACAATGATTGGATTCTAGATTATCTTTTTGTTAACCAGGCCAATGATCGCGGTTCACGTAAATGCCAAGGCTTGCAATTGAGAAGTGCCCATGTAGAATAATTTAATAAATGAGTTCTATAATAAGAAGTTATAGCCACTGCCCCTCAATGATAGCTCTACTATCATCTCAATCTCGCTGGAATCGATCCTAACAAGAAAACACATCTCGCACAACATCCCCACGACCACAACAAACCAACAACCCAACTATAGTCCCAACAACAAAGTCCTCAAACAACAAGCTCCATCGGCAACTCATACTCCTCCTCCTCCTCTTCCTGAAAACTCAATGCCTCAAACCCACACGTCAACGCCTCCTCATCACCCTTCGAAACCGCCACACGTCTCCTCTTCACATACCTACCGCCAAGAACTCTCTTCCTCTTACCACCCGTACGCGCGATATCACACAATCTCTTTGCCCTCACGGACACCGGGCTCCCCGAATAACATACCCTCGTGGACCGCCTCTCCACCATGTGGCGGCTAAGCTTCTGATAGCCACCCGCACCCCTCGGCGTCATATCGCCGCCCGTTCCTGCGCGCCCGGCCCGCATCGGGTGTGTTTTACGCGAGCCAAGAGCGCCACCCACGGGGGAGTGGAGCTCGAGCTGGATGGACTCCACGAAGCTGAGAGTTGGGTCTACGATCAGAAGCTCGTCGAAGAGAGAGGGGCCGCCGGCGGGGCTGAGGTTGATGGGAATGCTAAAGGATGGGATTGATGGAGGGAGTGCGGGACCCGCGGGGGTGGTCTTTGGGATTTTGGGAGCGTCACAATGGAAGGGGTCGCTCTCGACTGTGTAGAAGCAGCTTGGCGAGCTGCAGCTGGTGTCGAGGAGAGTGGTGGTTTGGTGGATGAAGGAGCTGGGGACGAAGTGGGTGGTGGTGGGGATTAAAGAGCAGGTGGATTGGCCGGTGAGGCTGCGGGCTTGTGTGTGGTTTGGACAGGCGGAGTGGAGGGCGTAGGTGATGTGTCCGCAGACGTGGATTTCTTGGTTGAATTTGCACATTTTGGGGTTGTTGTGTTGTTGAGTATTGGGAGTTGAGTGCTGAATATAGAGTATCGAGTATTGATGTGTGAAGATATTGTAGTGCTCTATAACCTGGTGAGAGAAAGTATATAGGCAATACTATAACACTGTATTTATGTATTCCATGGAGCAGTGCATAGTCATACTTGAATGCATAGTATGCTGGTAGAGGTTTTCAAGTTATGCAGACGCAGAAACTATGTGGGCGCTTTGTCGGCTTTGAAAGAGATTTTACAGAGGCGTATCGAAAAATATACTACCGCATAGCGCATATTTACTTGATCTTGAAAGCATCAGGGTTAGGGTCAGTTAAATGGCCTTGGCAACCCGAATACTCTGAACGAAAACTCTAAACGAGATCAAAGTGATATAGACTTGTTTTAAGTGCTCTCGTAAGACTAATAGAGGGAAGATGATGCTCTTGAAAGATTGCTTTCGATTTGCGCTAGGTGTATTGTAAAGACAACAGATCTGGTTAGACAGCCTAGCTGCCAAGAGATAGCTATCAGTGCTACTGATAAGATAAGATGAAATCAATAGAGACTAACCACCAACAAACTGCATGGATGATGAGGGCTCGTCTAATTAAACATTTAGGTGTCAATCCCCCGGACACACCGAACCAGCACGATAAGTAGCTAGGTAGCCCGCTATGACGCAAATAGAGACCCGTGTGAGATATCTGTTGGTCCCCCCTTTGATCTTTCTCCTAACAGTGCCTCCTCCCCCCCTATAGCTATAGCTAACGTATAAACCCCCCCCCATAACACCCTTCCTCCTGATCCTCTCTCCCATCTGCATCATCATCCTCACTCCCATCTGCATCATCCTCACCAAGTTAACTGTCAGCTATCATCAACAAATTATATATACCCGAATTAAAACTATAGTAAAATGGACAACTACTCAACTACCACCACTGTTGGGCTCATGCCCCGTCTTCTCACCCGTGAGTTTTTTTTTTTTTTTTCTTTCTCTGGCCCCCGAAGCGCCCACCCACCCCTATTATATTAGGCCTCCTTCTAAAATTTCCACAGCTGCGACCGCTGCATGGTGCCTTCCCTTCGGGGCGTACTTTTTCCTTCTCTCTGGCCGCGTCGTATACATCCGTCTCACCACCGGGACGGCCCTCGGTGACCACATCGGGGCCTCATCCCCCTCGCCCGGCAAGGCCGAGATGGGCGGCGCCGGGGCGAACAAGACAGAGCTCGCTGGAACCAGAAAGAAGACCCTTGCAGACAAGCCGGATCCGCTGTACTTGGCAGTCAGGTGCTACGGTAACTTCATTGAGACTGTGCCGATGGCTGTAAGTGTAACCTAAGCGTGTGGTTGATCGAGGGAAGAAGAAGGAGGAGGTCGTGTCTGATCGTACGTGCGTGTGGTAGATGATTTTTACATTTCTCGCGGAGCTCAACGGTGCGGACCATAAGATGATGAGCTATGCGCTTGGGACGTACTTCATGCTCAAGGCTGCTCACATGTGAGTACTCCCCCCCCCCCCCCCCCCCCACGCCTTTGATTTTGTACACTGACGTGGATGGTCCGGCCATAGTGAATTTGGCCTCCGCAGTGCTGGAACTATGGGTGTTGGAAGACCGATTGGATACTACGGTGCCCAGCTGTGGTTCGCGGGGATGGCCAGCTACTGCGCGTACCTCACCAAGGACTACTGGATGGCTTAATTAAATTGGGAATAATCACGTAGAACGTACTGGAAGGGGGGTTGCTGGGTGATCGTGTTGAAGGGCCAAGATTTTGTTATTCTGAGAGTTTTTTTTTCCTGGTATTCTGTGGTGGCAGGGACGCCGCAGAAGCTGCTTAATAAAGTGTAGTTAATATTATGACCCATTGGTCGCAATCAAAAAGAAGTATCAATATTATATGAGACCTGGGTATCCCCCAGATGTTGGTGATTGATGCTACTTGTTTGAAAGATTCGATGGCGTGGCTGTGGTTGCGCCATTATCCTTCGGACCCGTACCTCGTTAGATATTCTATGAACTTATGAATTTGAACTAATATTTATTAGGCGCCAGTCGCGGGCGCAGCTCAAGGGCAAAGGAACGTTAGTCGGGGGGGTCGCTTTAGGAGAGTGAGCTTTCTAATGTTGTGAGATTCATCTTTGAGATAGCCCATCGTTGTGTTCTTTAGAAATATCAGAACTATTACTAGGATGCAGAAAGCAAGCAAGATACATATGCTGATCTACACGCATCTCGAAGATTCAGCCCACCACTATAAACGCACCCCCAGCAGAGGTGACCTGGGCATTGTCCCACGTAGTAATATACCAGCTCAGCCCCGCCTTATCCACGAGACCCTCAGATTCACATCGGACCCCATATTTGCCGCAAACCGATTAATCGCCAGAAACACCTTCACCGGCTCATCCCTGAAGCGCCCCGCCTCAAAGCCCGTCTCCCTCCTCGGGAGCGGCACCGACGTCGTCTGGAACGTCCCCATCACCGTATCCGGCCTATCCGCCGCACACGCGGCCCACGACACCTCCGCCGCAAACAACATCGACTCCATCCCCGAGGCCACACACAAGTCAAACCCGGCCGCAGACACGCCCTGCGCCCATGTCTGCACCCGCACATTCGCGCGCTTCTCCGCCTGGAGCCCCGCGAGCCACGCCACCGCCGCACCGTCTCGCGCTTCTTCTCCATCGCCGGGTGGTCCTGCGTCGTGCTGGAGGTGCCGTGCTGCAGGTCGGCGTCGTCGGGCGCGATCTCGAGCCACGAGGCGCTGCTGGGGCAGTGGGTTAGGGCGTGGATGGAAAAGTGTTTTGGGGTGATGTTGCGCGCGTGGGTGGTGGCGCGGAGGGTGCCTGAGCCTGCGATGCTGACGAGGCCGAGGCCGGTGATGATGCCCGGGGCAGTGGGGTAGGGCGGGGAGAAGGTGATGAGGTTGGTGGCGCCGATGGCGGCGTCGTGGGGGGGTGACCTCGGATGTGTGGAAGCTGCCGGTGCGGAGCTTGGGCGCGGCGGGCGGGCGGTTCGGGTGTGTTGGTGCTCTGGTAGCTTGGGGGGGGGGGTTGGGTGTTGCGGGGAGGAGGCGGGCAGGACTGGCGGTGGGTGGGTTGAGACTGGGTGAGCCTGCACGTCTGGCGGTGGGTGGATCGATTTGGCCGGGGGGCGGATTATCTATAGCTATAGGAGAGGATGTTGCTTTAAGCGAGTTGGCGATCTAGCCTCGGCTGTCAGTGTTCGTTTCATTCTTGAGATCAAGAAACGTACGTTTGCGACAACGCGCTCAAACACCAGCGGGGGAGCAGTGATGTATAACTCCAGGCTGTGCAGCAACCAGCCAGGTAGGTAGCCAGGCAAACGTGCATACCACATAGATATAAATCAAAAAAAACCATACCTAGAAAGCACCGCTTCAACTGCTCCTCGCTCAGCGACGAGGCCTCGAGCAGGTAGGGCGCGGGTTTGTAGCTGTTGTAGTTGTGGGGGACATGTTCGTGGGGTTACATATGGGTTTGTGCGTTGGGGGGATGATCTATGAGTCAGGGTGGGGGGCCGGGGCTTGGATCATGCGGTGTCACTCGGGGCGCGCGTAGGGTTTTTGGGGTTTTGAGTGTCTGTATTTCTATTGGGTTGAGGCAGCTATCGGCTAGGATTGGTTAGTACTACTAATAGGTTTCTAGCATCGCGGTTTCAAAGATCACGGGCGTGTAACAATGTAACCACTCGGCCTACCGATCATCAGCCATCACTCGGCCCCAATCCCGTCCTCGAAGCCACTTTTCACGTCATTGCAACACGCACAACACTCTTACCATACCGCCCTCCTAATCACCCTCCCTCCAGCAGCAGCCCCAGCGCCACCACCGCCTCCTCGGGCTCAGTATACTCACACGGCCACCGCCTCCTCACATACTCCAGCTCCACCACAGCCTCGCCATACAGCATCAACACCCCCGCAATCCCCGTCTCCACGTCCACCAGCGCCTCCAACACCGCAGGCTCTACCGCACCCGTCCGTAACTCGGCGACGGCGAACTCGGCGTCGACAATGTCGCTCATGAGTGTTTGCAGGAGAGCGCGGAGGTGCGCGATGTTGCGCTGCGCAAAGTTGTAGGCCATCGCGGGGCGGGTCTGGAAGAGGTGGGGCATGGTGCGGGATTGCATGGCGGCGAGCACGGCGAGGCGGGAGTGGGTGGTGAAGAGCGGGGAGGGGCGGGTGGGGGTGGGGGGGGAGAGGTGGGGGGGGAGGGGGATGTGGGTGAGGAAGGTGCGGAGGAGGGGGAGGTCGGAGGTGGTGAGGTGGGTGAGGTGGGTGTGCAGGCGGGTGAGGGTGGTGGTGAGGGTTGTGAGGGTTGGAGGTGTGGGGGTTGGTGGTGGTGTGGATGCCATTTTGGGGGTGAGAGTTTGGCGGTTTTGATTGTGCAATTGTGAACTCTGTGTGCCTTCAATCTAGTGAGAAACCGCAATCCATATTGCACCGCAGTTTAGTTTTATAGCCACAAGCCTTACCCATACCTACTGTCGGTGTTTTTCATGGTTCTGTTTTCAAAACGCACTTGTATCATTTCCGCGCCAAGCCTTCCCAATCACGTGCCTGCACACACTCCCTCATCCCTCCGCCCGATAAGGGCTCTCGCGTCGCACAGGGGCTCCTTATCGCAGCTGACAGCTCTGATCTATCACAAGGCCAGCACCTACCTGGGAGCTACCGAACTGCCTGCCTGCCTGGGCTATCTACAGCTACAGCTACAGCTACAGTTAGCTGCCTAACGAGGGATTCTGGCAACATAAGTAGCAGCCGCGATCCTCACTCGATCGACCGAGAGAGAGCCCTACACTAGCTCAGACACCAGCCAGCGCCAGCCAGACACCAGCCAGACCAACAGCCTCACCCCCCAACACACAACACAACTATACAACTAACCAAACACCCCCGCAGCCAGTAACCATGCCGCCAAAGGTCTCCTTCGTCGAGCCAGACTGCACATGTCGGGCCAGCGACCACCCCACCACACCAGTACGCACACAAAGCTGCCACCGCCACCACCCGCCAAACATGGACGAGATCCTGCCGGGGCTGTTTCTCGGAAAGTATATCTCTCTCCACCCCCCCCCCCCACCCCCCACCTCCCCTCCCCGCGCCTCACAAGCTAACCGTAACGTAACCAGCCTCACAGCAGCCGAATCAGCAGAACACCTCTCCAAGCACGGCATCACACACGTGCTCTCCGTCACGTCGTCGTGTCCGCTGGTGCCGCAGGGGTATGTGCACAAGTACCACAACCTGCACGACGACCACAGCGCCGACCTGCTGGCGGTGCTGCCGGATTGTGTCGATCGGCTGGCGCATCTGCTTTCTGCGGGGGAGGGGCAGGGGCAGGGGGAGGGGGGGGGAAGCGCGTGCTGGTTCACTGCTGCATGGGCAAATCGCGCAGCGGCGCCGTGGTGGTGGCGTATGGTTAGTACACCGCTGTCTTGTACCGATTCTTGAGCTTCGTGGTGCCAGTGCTGAGCCAGGGCAGTGATGAAAGCGCGCCACTACACCCTCGACGCAGCACTCACGCACGTCGTCGCGCAACGGCCCATCGTGCGGCCCAACAGCAGCTTTATGCGGCAGCTGCGGGCGTGGGAGGGGGCGGGCTGCTCGCCGTGGGTGCGCGAGGAGCTGGCGGCGATCGTGCGGCCGCGGGTGGTGGGGCGCGCGGGCAGCCGGCGGAGGAGGAGCGTGTTTGATGAGGAGTGGGTGGTGGTGGGGGAGGTGGGGGAGGAGTGTTGTGGGGTTAATGGTGGGGGTGGGGGTGGGATGGGGGGGGTCACTGGGGTGGTGGAGGCGGTGGGGGGCGTGGTGAAGGGGGTGTTTTTGGGGCTGGAGGGGGGCGGGGTGAGGGGGGGGAGGTTTGTGGAGGGGGTGTTTTCGTAGGGTTTGGGTTTTGGTGGTGGGGTGGGGAGCGTGTTTTGTTTTTTGGGGGGGTGGGGCGTGGGTAAGAGATTAGTTTACGCTAGCAGTTTTGATTAATACAGATTTCTAGTACTTATTTATTCTTTGATCGACGTGCGATGACCCACCCGCATGTCTACTACCCTTCAAACAGAAGCTTCTCTCCTATAGCTAGCACACAATGATCATTAGGAAAACTTAAAGCCGAAAAATAACACTCATAATCTAGATATTCCGCAGTCCGGAAATGACAGTTCTGCACAGGGCGCGGTCGAGGGAGTAGCTCTTGGTTAGCTCTCGGTATGATGTATGCTGTAGAGGCTATAGCATGAATCGAATGGAGGCACTGGCACATGCACACGGAGGGCCGCCATATATGCATGTAGGTACATGCAGGTGGTGGATTTCGCGAATCCGAGTGATCGTCTATGATTCTAATTCCCCCGGCCCGCGAGGTCCGGTCTGGCTTCTCTGGTGGAGGTGGAGGTGGAGGTGGAGGTGGAGGTAACCAAACAAAAAAAGAAGAAGGAAAAAACGCGACGCTATTCGTCCAGATCCATGTCTCTCGGCTGTGGCACTGGCACTGGTACTAGTAGCTGTTTGCTTGTTGATTACATGTACAGCGGTAGGTAATAAGTGATGGAACGCCCTGAGATACAGTTATACCTACAAACACTGTAAGTTGGTGGCGTTTTACCCAAAACAGGTATCACTGTGTCTCAGGGCGTTCCATCACTTATTACCTACCACTGTACATACTAGTTATCAATACCTGATCTGCCCCAAATCAAGAAAAACAGCACCCCAGGATAGAAGTAGAAGCCGGGACCAAAAAAAAAAAAAGAATTGATATTGCCCCGATTGGGATTCGAACCCAAGATCTCCTCACAGCTCTAAACCTACGCGCTGAGTTTCTGGTGTGTTAACCACTACACTACCAGGGCATGTCTTTTGAGGTGGTGTGGTTGAAATCGAGCCCATCTAGCTCCTCGGGCCCCCATTGGGTGCTGTCTGCCGCAGTATTCTGCGTCCCCTTCTTGTTCCTAACCGGAATCATTTTATGATTGCTCGGCCATCTCGGTTTGTGGTGCTGTCAATTCAAACCAGGTTGCAATTGATGAATGGAATATAGCCTTAAGCCCCCCCCCTGTTGCTCTGGCCTGGAACCTTTTTGATGACCCTGGAAGTATGTACTTTCCCGGCCAGGCAGAGCAAACAGAACAATCATTTTGTTGAAGGGCCGTACCTAGTATTCCGGCATATTCTAGTACACCCTTAACATTGTATGTCGGGAGCCTGGGTGCATGCAGGGCCAATCATCACCCGCCATTTGCAAAGTTTCTTTTCGTGCTGGCCTTTTATATCTTAGGAGATAGTATCGGGCCGCTAACGCTAACGTACCCTCAATCGTGGGTGTGCGTGTAGTTAGGACCACGGCGAAAACGAAACGAATGTGAGAGGTTGGGCGTTTAATTTCGGTTTCCCGACGGGTGCCCGCTGCATCTGTTACTATATATAGTCGCCAGTGCTTGCTGTCGCTCTGTTTGAATGAATGGTGGGGTAGTTACTGTCCACTTCATGAACTATCACTCGATGTGCTTTCTTCTCGTACTTGTTCAAACTGCCTTCTGAGGTGAGGATGATGTATGAGGTTGCCAGCGTGAACTGCGTATGCTACTGTATGCTGCTGTGGTGTTGACATTACATCATATAAACAAGGGAGTCGTCTGGTGTGCAGGTCTAGAGTTGATGATAAGGACAACATTCCTATTGTAGACAAGCATAGAACTCGAGACAAGTTTCTACCACTCATTTCCGAGTATACTTTTTAACAGTGAACTGTTGTCATCATTGGTATGTATTTGACGTCAACTTCCCCACCATTTCATATCCGTCATGTAGCCCGCATTCGTCTAAGAAATAAATCCTTTACTAGGTCTCACTTGGTTTCAATAGCCCATTTAGCAACTTGAGGGTACAATTTAAATCCACTGTAATATTTGTTTTTATGGTACGGGTACATTATCGAGCTAGGTTCGAACCTATCTGTCCATATCCCCGACTGAAGCTATATGTGCTAAGTACCCCCATATAAGCCGGCCATTATACTTCCTCCACATCAATCAGGTCCTGAAAAGCTTTCCGAGAGAACCCAACCGACACGCGAGCAAAACAGTCCGCATATCATCCCTAAAGCCCGGCTATGTATAAACCACACATTAGTAATCATCAATCACCAATGTAGAAAAGACATTACAGACCTTCGGGCTCTCCCCTTTCAGAATTTTCGTCATCAACATTATCGTCATCTTCAAGGCCCTCCTCCTCGTCATCATTGACCTCTGATATAAGCCTCCCCGCATCCCCAATTTCAAGGTCGATCACGTGCTCAGCGTCTCCCCCGGCCTCGATCAACGACCTGATTGCCTCGTTCCACTCATCGGAATCAGGCTCTCCCATAACTTGACGCTCCCAGATTAGGTCATAAGCCGCTTCAAGAGGGGTCCTACAAGCTTCATCCTTCGCAATAGGGTCCGCTCCATGCATAAGTAGAAGCCTCACCATAGCAGGATTACTGGTCCTCACTGCAGTATGCAGAGTCGGTTCATCCCAGAGGCACCAATCCTCTTCATTTCCATCCCACATGCAGCCTAGTTCAGACTTCTCATTGGGCGAGGCACCATGCTCCAACAGCAGTTTGACCATCTCGTAATGCTTGAGCTCAACGGCTTTTCTAACCACAGAGTCTCCGTGAAAACAGACACCAGGCTTCGGAGTGACGTCGACGCCGTTCAAGACGAGGAGCTCGACGGTTTCGAGGCATCCGCTGTCGACAGCGAGTTCGAGGACAGTGGGGCAGTCCAAGAAGGGTGGGTGGCGGTGGTTGACGTTTGCTCCGGCTTCGAGGAGGCGGGCTACGAGGTGGGTGATGCCACGACTGGCAGCCCAGAGAAGGATGGTGTTTTTATGCTTGTGGAAATAAGCAGTGATAAGGGGGCCGAATAGGTAGTGGAGTTCGCGGCAGGTGATGCTAAGAGAAGAAAGGGAGCCTGTTGAAGATGGGATAAGATATTTGGCAGTTTCGAGGAGAATCTCGTTAGGAAGATTGATGAAAAGCATGATTTTTGATGATGAAATTCTTTCTTGAATGAAATCCGTTCTTGAGGATGAAAATATTATTTCTTGAGGGTGGAGATATCCTTTCTTGAGGATGGAATTGCTGCTTGAGGATAGAATTCCTTTTTGAGAACGGAATTCTTTCTTGAGGATGGGATTTTTTGGTGGTGGAGTTTTGGGGAGAAAGAGAGCGGAGGGGGGCTGTGGCTGTGGCTAAATTTTTCTGTGAGCAATGACTGGAGTGCTAAGCTTTCCTAGCGTGGGAAAAATTGCAGAGTGAGGTAGGCTTTCTCGACTGTGACAGTCCTCATCTGCTTGTGGAAAGCCCCCCTATAGGAAGAGAATAGAACTGTCTCTGGCAGGACGTAAAATCGATAAAAATGACCAACAAAGTATTAGAAACTAGGTTTTGATATTCATCTTCATACTTGTGAATATTCCGTCTGTCGTTCGGCAGTCTCATACTCATTATTATCACCGAGAGTGACTACATATATCCTGATCCATTATTCTCATGGCTACTGTACATCCGCTCCCCATGCATGATGTAGCACACATGATAGATGAGCCAAGGGACAGAAAAGAAGGGTGAAAAGGGAGCAAAGGGTCCTATAGACCACGCAGGTGCCGCCTGTAGACCGCCGCCGTTATATTATCTATACTCCAACCACTTGGATCACTCGTTCCCAACTCCATTTGTGAAAAATGGCCTTATTTTTTGCCCGTTTCTTCATACTTTACATCTGCCTACAAAGATATCCTGGCAAGCCTGGCCCTATGTAGATCAGACCATGTAGAGCAAACTGTTTTCTAGGGACCTCTCCAAGTCTTTACAGATATTTCTCCTTCTAAATTTCACGCCGAAAGAAACAAAAGCTATCAATGATCGACTTTCCTCTTTTTTCAACCGACGCGGTGGTCCTACATACACAGAATCACAAATTCAAGCTACGTATACAAACCTGATATTCAAACTACAATCCTAGAATATGTATACAGAGAGAAAGTAAATATTCAAAGATCAATCGAGGTGCCCGCTCGAAAGGCAAGTGTACATCGGATGTTACATGGAGTAACACTAGGGAAGTAAATAAATGGGTCAATGATTTGGGGGCTGGTTAAACAGATGCCAATGATCCCAGAACTAGTCAATGATCTGTCCTAACATGAATAAGCATATATAGCTAGCCAACATCCCGTGACAGACCCATGTAATCTATTTTTAGTAACATATTTACACTTAATATAAAACAACTTGTATAAACAATTGCCTCTATTTATTTTTTTTCAGCAGTGCGTTTCATGCAAATAAGGATCGCGTGATAATAACCCTCTAGACCGCAATAAGGTCTTCTAGATCGCTCCCAATCAAAATTACCTATCCCTCGCTTTCCTAGTTAACCACACTTATCAGTATCTCCTGATCCATAAATACCAACCACCATCTCCGAAGCCAAAATCCCCACCAATAATACACCAACTCCGAGCCCCCTGCAGAATTTTGGGGAAATGAGAGTTTACGTAACCCTCTACTCGGAACCCGAGTGACGATTCATGAATGTGTCGTGTGACACAATTTACGCCAAGGTAACAACCCCCCCATCCCATTGTGCCTGTTATCGCCCAAGATAGTCAGCCTCCTCATTTCACAAACAACTTCTCCTCCTCCTCTTCCTACTTCTCCTCCTCCCCCCCCCCCCCCCCCACACAGCTTTTCTTCCTCGGTCTATCTCCAAGTCTGTACTCAATCCAAATTAGTACAGTATATCCATTCCACTCACTTGAAAGATCCCTACCATCAGAGCTCGAAGCTCCTCAACAACCGAAAAACCACACAATGTCTCTCCTCTCCCTCGCCAATGAGATTCTTCTCATTATCGCATCCAACCTCTCCACTCGTGACCTGATAAACTTTCAGGTCAACCACCGTTTACACTCTCTCCTCACACCCACTTTGACCCGCCTCATGCTCGCTAGGAAAGACCCCCTCCTTCTCTGGGCCGCGCACAAGGGCCGCGCACCACTTCTCCGGCGACTTCTCGCCAACGGCGCCTCCCTCGCCTACGTCGGCAACCGGCACGATTGGCCACGCAAAGAGCTTTACCAGCAGCGCACCGTCCTCCATCTCGCCTCGGAGTGCGGACACGTAGAGCTTGTAAAGCTGCTGATTACCGAGGGCGCCGACGTTAACAACGCACAGCACAAACCACAGCAGTACGCGTCGACAGCGCTGCACCTCGCGGCGAAGCGTGGGGATGTGGCGGTGGCTGAGGCGCTTGTGGACGGCGGTGCGGAGCTGGAGCTCAAGGACCGGTCGGGTGCAACAGCGTTATTTTTTGCTGTCAAGGGTGGGCATAAGGAGGTAGTCAAGTTTTTAGTGGAGAGGGGAGCCGACGTCAATACGACAGATTGCGCAATGACAACTCTGTATCAGATGGCTTCCACCCGCGGGTTCCCGGAGATCGGGGGGGTCCTGTTGGATGCGGGAGCTGTGCCAGAAGCGACAGATGAGGATCAGTGTATGCTTTCGCCCTGTATTAACGGTGTCTAATAAATTGACCTTTTGGGAACATTGGCTTATCTGTGCACACAAAAGAGATAGCCACCGCCGCGGATTCGAACCCCCCCAGAGTCGCACTAACCGCAACGGCCTGGGGCCTGTGGCCTATTTGCGCGAATTTGTTTCTCGATTCGGGAAGATTAAAGTTACCAGCAAAGTGGGGACGTATGATAAGAAGGGAGTTCGGGCTTCTGGCCTGTTATTCCAAAAAGGATTTCGAATCGTGTGTTTTTCCCCCAGACGCCGCCCCAGGACTGCGGGGCTCCCTCCCGGGGATGTTGATTGAGCACCTACAGGAAGGTGGAGTTATTAACAGTATCGTTATTTAATAGTCCTCAGTGGTTAGATGAGTAAGACATGTACATAGGACATCCAAAACCATTCTCAAGAAATCAATTAAGCCTCTAAACTTGCCCTCTGTGGCTAACTATTAGCTCCGCACCCAACAAGAAACGAGGGATGTAACACAAAACCCCTTGAAAAGATTGGACCACTTACGAGGCTGATAGCATCCGAGTGTATAGCCTGTAGAATCGCCAGTTGTGCTGATAGCAACGAATAGCAGCTCCCTGAGCCTTGCAGCCGGGAATTATCGGAAGCGAATAACGAGTGACAACCCATGATCACGAAACTTCAAAGCCTGCTCAGCTTTTCTTCTCAGCTTGTTCCTTCTCAGTACACAGATCGATCTTCAGATAAAAATCTTTGTGATAAAGTCCTCGTGTTATGAAATGCATTGCGGGGACAATCTAGAATTTTCGGAGGTGAATCGCAGTGGGCCTAGGAATGAAGCTTGCTTCCAGTCGGGGGTCCACGTCCCAAATGACAGGCCTGTTTAAGTGCTTTCCAGGTATCTAACCCCAGTTATAACGGAAAATCCATCGCACAAAAAAAGCCCAGTCGAGGCTGCCTGCAAAACGTTATAGATACCCTGGCATTGTAAGCCAGGTACGGATGTCGTAGAAAGCCACATGTTTTGGCAAGCACCGCGGGGACTCCTCCGGTAGATGTCGAACTTGATTAATTCTCAAAGTTTGTGTCTTCCACGGCACATAACCTTGGCCGCTTGATTAGAAGGATGGTTGGACTAATCCAGCTACGTTGAGGGGTGAATCCTAGAAAGAAATTTGCTCTATAGCAAGAGAAGCTGAGGAATAGACCCTAAAATTAGCACTTGTTCTGTGAGAGATGAAGAGAGGCATATATCTTGAAGGAATTATGGTGGATAGGCTAGGTTTAAGTAATTTCGCATTCGAAGGTCGAGTATGCTGGTGTCCGTCCCTGGTTGAGGTTTTGTCTCCGTCCCAAGTGGCCATGATATATATACATACCAAAAGCGAGTCCGGTACTCGCCTCCCGGTGAGCCTTTTTTTTCTCGCCGTAAGAGGGCTGGGAACGAGCCTAACCAGATGTCTACCATTTGGGGTCCGTAGCTGGTGACTGGGTCAGTTCGGCAGATGGAGCGCTATTCATCAGTTTGACAGAGGCTAGGAGTACCTACGTCTACCTGATAGATTACCTTACTCACGTCACACGATAAGACGATGTATTCTACCGCGTTACCCAGCGGGTGTGCGGTGGTGCCAAGCTAAGGTATTTGAGTTGAAGAGCGAAAAGCATACAGTGTGCTCTTCCGGGTCGAATAAAAGTTTTTGCTTCACGCTCCGAGTCAAACCTCGCTTAATTACTGTGGTGCGCGCAAGAACTTTGTGGTGTTGAACTAGAATTGCAGGGGGAGCCAAAAATACCGGTGTTAGGCTACCAAGCACTCCTTCATTACCTCCAAAACCATTTCTGATCTTCCCCACGGCCACCTCCCAGGAGGCCGCTCAATAACTCCAAGTAGTACTGGAAGACTCGATTGGCAAATATTGAATTCCAGATACGTATACGTATATCCTATCCAATAGTGACCAACCACCACTTTAAACGTATGCGCTTGGGCAGTTGATTAACATATTCGAAGCCGCAGGATTTTGGGAGCTCTTAATCCATCGTTTGCGGTGTGAACATAGAGGAAATAGGATCTGATTATCACAAATCTGCAAAGAAGGAAGCATATGCATGTAGCCACATTACATAAATTTAAGGTTTCCTTTGAACAAGAGCTCGGACTCGAGCACGTGTAATCATGATGGCTGGACACATGAAAAGAATAAAGGTATGCCCACCACCATCCCCACACAAAAACCATTGGTTTAACGCATCCCAAGGCAACCTCATCATCCCTAGCAGAGAAAGCAATCACGAGAGCAACACCAACAGGCTCGCCAGTACTAATACACGGTGATAGCGTGCGAAGCTCGCTGGTTGACCGTACAAAGGAAAAGATAGAGCTCTAGGCCTGCGGGGCAGAGGAAACCAAGTTGAGAGATAACGGCTTTAGGCCTTGATCCACCCATTTAGAAGTGTGAATACTCTACGGCATCCACCTACTACCAAGCCAGGTCATATCCACAGGAGCTCGCGAGCATTCAATCACTATATTGGAATACTACATTCTAAAGCTTGCCGGCTTTTGCTCTCCGAGATCAAAATTGACAAGAATAAGATGATGGTATATACATATATCTACAAAACAGTGATTGATCCACAAAATTTATTGATCGATAACGGCAGCACCCAGAAGCTCGACCAGTGGGGAGAAAATGAAGATTATGGGAAAGTAAGGAAGAAGAAGAGTAAGAATTCTAGCCATTCTATGTACCTGGAAAAGTTTTAATCCTAATAGATAACAGAAAGAAAAAAAGAAAAAAAAGGAAAAGGAAAAGGAAAAGGAAAAGAAAACTACACAAGTTCGCCGCCTACAAAATAATTATACCACGAAAGACCACAAAAAATCCATAAAAGATTGGAGGCAACTAAGTTCAGATAATATCCCACTTGAAACCCCAAAAGGTCCAAGAACCAGAGCGCCTTATCCCTTACCCCTTATCCCCCCCTTCCAGCCTCTGATTCTGTCCATAACCTTACCTGTCTTACCCTCTCGATATCTCCGGTTTTCACCAGATGCTTCACCATTCGGTGGGAGGTTCTCTGCAGATACTTGCTGGTCTACCAGTCCGGTTATTCGCCCAAATTCTGCATCGTTTACGGTCGCGGTGTCGGGAGATTCAGAAAACTTACTCCTCACTTCCCGCGGTATCTCAGCTGATAGCAGGTTCAAAGATGGGTAAGTAATGCTGGATTTTTGAATCCCAGGCTTCTTTTTCTTAGAATCGGCTAGCTTTTTGCCGATTCTATCACTCGTGCTTCCAAGCCGATTGATGATTGTCGACGACTTGTTCGACGCCGTTGGGCCCTCTTGTGTGGTGGTAATGTAGGTGAGAATTGTGGAATCCCTTTCTATCTTATCACTTTGGCTAAACGCGGCCTCTTTTCTTTTCTCCGCCTCCGAACGAATTTTCTTCCTCATTGCATCCTCGTCCTCATCATCAGCCACCTCCTTTGGCCCCTTAAACTTCTCGGCCTTCTCTATGGATATGGCCTTCACGGCGAGGGATTCGTTCTTCGGTTTTGGTAGTGAAGGACTCAACATCGAAGTACGAAGGCCCTCCCGCGACGGGCTTCCAAAATGGCCCAGAGAGGTTAAGTTTCCTTGACGAGCGCTCAGAATTGCCGATGATAGGGGAGAAATCTCTCGAACAGTGTTCAGAGGAGATGCATATCGTGGGTGTCGAGGCGTCGGCGACATTGGTGTTGACTGGTCTGGCCTAATGGAAGATTGAAATACCTGGGGAGGTAATGATATTGTCGATAAAGCCCTCGGAGAAGTGTAGGCGTTTGAATTCCTTGGGCCGTATTGGCTGCGCGTTGGAGATGACGGTGGCTCCCCGATTGTTGACCTGCCAATTTTGTGAGGCACTGGCTGTTCCCTGGGATTTAACTCAAGCCTGTTTGCTATCGTGCAGTTCTCCATATTAGGTGGCATCGCGGGTAGCTCTTTATCTACTCTCAGCATTGTAACGGGCCTAGAGATAACCTGCGCAGTCACACTCTGCTGGGCTATATCACCACCGACTCTACATTCACCAAACTCCTCGCGGGGTTTACTCTCCTCTGGCACTTTTGATCTTATCGGCGTGGTGATATCGGCGATACTGGTGAGCACGCCCCGCACCTTTTCAAGCTCGTCCCGCAACTCAACGATGATAGCCTCCTTCTCTCTGATAACAAGGTGCTGACTCTGAATGGTCTCGCATTTCTTCTGCAAATCGATGATGGTGGCATCCTTCTGTCTGATAAGCAGAAGTTGGCTTTCGATCTTCTCGGCTTGTTGATTGATGAGCTGCTCCTGCAGGTCAGCGAGTTGCAGATGTTGCTGCTCGAGGTTGATTTTAGCTTTGGAATATTGGTCTCTGGTGTGCTCCAGAGCGATGGGCGCATACAGGTCGATGGCGGTTTGATTGTCGTTCTCCATAGCTTAATGTTCAGGCTCGTAGCTTGAGAGTATTCTTGATATTTGAGCTTATGGATAACCAATATTGTGATCACAGCAATCAGCGTGGGGATAAAAGGAACTCTGTGGAGCACTAATCTTTATAGAATTGACTTCCTATCTCGATCATATTGATCGCGATCATGAGATTCTATGAGGGGCGTGGAAGATCCTAGGCAACTGGAGAGAGCTAAATCGGTCATTGAATAGCATCTATAAACCATGTAGAATGGATGAGACATTGTCCACCAGGCGTGAAAGAACATTATAAAGGCATAACACACGTAGGTATGGAAAAGAGACCTCGAATTCCATATACTATATATGAATTAACAAGAGTAATAATATAGAAGAAAAAATAACTTTGCATTCTCCAAATCCTCCGAGTGATAGTTCATGACTTACTGGCCGATTATTTGATATCTTTTATTTTTGGATTACAGGAGGCGGTGACGGACTTTATAAGGAAAGAAATGAAAGAAAAACTTAAGAAGACATACAAGCTTGCGCTCAAAGGAAAAAACTATTTTAAAGGAAAGTGATGACTACACAAGCTCTGACAAAGGGGAATCATAAGGTCGTTCTGGTCATTGACGCTGAGCACAACCGCCACAGTCCCAAGCCTCCCTTAAGCAGTATTCCAGAGAGAGAGAAACTCTCTTTGACGGGTATCTACCGCTCAGCAGCCTACACGCATCTAACCCGGTACGTTAATGCATCCATGCTCGCTAACGCGCGGACAACCACCGACAGCCACCTAGCTGGCCCAGCGTACATCCATACAATTCTATCTATCCTCCGATGTTTCTCGCACTTGCTCTGATAAGGGAGTAATACTAACCCATCTCCTCCTACCTTACCTCCTATTCAATTTTTTTTACTCTCCCAGCGCCCCCTAGCTGGGACTAGACTGTGCTCGTGTATCGTCCAGTACCAGATAAGCTGCACGGAGATCTGATCTGCACCCACACACCGCACACTCGCTAACCCGGGAAGGGAAGGGTAGGGCAGCAAGCACGGGTATCAGTTTTCAGATTTTGGCTTTGGCGTAGGCCACGTGGTGGTGGAGAAGCTTCTGGATTTTGGGTGGGGTGTGTGGGTGTGTGCAGTGGAAGTACCTACAGATGGGAAGTTTTTGGGTTTGATAGTCTTCCATGGTAGAGGTGTCGACCGTGACGAAGCGTGAATTGAATAGTAACCTCAACTCTCTCTCTACTCTACGTATCTACGGCGTAGATCTAGAGTGAGGAAGAGCAGTACACCCGGGCCCGGGGATCTTCCCACACGGGCCGGATGGGTATGTACGCTATGCTGTTCTGTGTAGATTAGATATTCCGAACCAACCCACCACATCTATGTCTATCTCTATCTATCTAATCTCTATCGAGCCCAAATCTGAAATACTAAACACACACACTGACCAGATATGCTTCAAACAACAAAATCAGCAGCAGTAGCCATCTCAGCACTCCAAAGTAGAGTAGATACATACAGTCTACATACATGTACCTGATTAGGGTAGGTATAGTACTTCCTTACCGCATCCCACCCACTCACCCTTCCCATATATCAACCCGCCCGCCCATCCGCCCATCCGCCCCCGGTAGATATTCTACTCTATCTCCATCCTTCACGCGCTCCCACCCAACCAAACCTTTTTTACAAATCCACCTAGAGCAGGTATGCACCCAAACACTCTAGATGTAGAATATGTAGGTACATAGATGTAGCGTAGAAATATCTCTCCAGCTCTACATACTCGTACGCCATACCCCTGCCTACCCATGCCTCCGCACTACCTTAACTGCGCAGAAAAAAATTCTTCACAGATGCCAGACGTTGTATGAGTTGTCCATGCCACCCTCTTCACCCCCCCCCCCCCCCCGCGGGATTTTACCCGGCGCATACCCACGCACGTCCCAACGTCGGCGTCTCTCTCTACCTTCCACCTCCCTCTACCTCCCTCTACTTACCTCTTCTTATGAGATGGTTCGCGCGGGTAATATCGAGACTTGTTACATGGGAGCGGCGGGCGTTTATCCAGCGAATCAGGTGCGGGGCGCTAAGGTTTGGGGTTGGGCTTTCCGCATGGAGGGAGGGATGACGCGATGGTACTGCACTGTCAAAAAAGAAAGAAAGCAGGCAGGCAGTACGGGCAGGTAGGAGGAGAGAAGAGAAGAGAAGAGAGGGAGCGGGAGCGGGTCGGGGCGTACAGTGCAGGCAGAGTGCGTGGTTGTATTTCCAGTGTCCTGGTGTGTGGTGTACTTTTTTTTTTTTTTCTTTTCAAAGATGGTAGGTACATAGGTACGTCGGTGTCGATGTCGTGTCGGGAGTGCCGTGTTGCGGTGAGTAATTATATTGGCCGAGCCTTTATTTTCATTAGTATTTGTGGTGGTATCTTCACTTCAATTACGAGTCCAACTAAGCTACTTAGGTAGGTACCGGCGATAGCTACTCTCGATACTCCAGATACGAGCTAATCTACTCTACGTGTTGTCCACCATCTGCAATGTATCTTTTCTTCTTCCGGGATTGCCAGAGAAGAAGCAGCAGCAGCAGCAGCAGCATCCAGCAAAAGAATAAGGATCGTGAGTTTTGTCTCAGACGCTATCTGCCTACTTTTGTGCCATTTTTGTATCTATCTTACCTACTCTCCTCTATATACTTGCTTCTTCCCCGTACCTTTTCACAGGCTTATTATAAGTGGGGGTGGTAAGTAGGTTTCTCACTGTCAGAATGTCTATATTTTCTTCTTCTCCCGGCAGCTGAAGACAACGAACGGGCAACACGATAGATAGAGTAGAGGCACTCTCTCGTGTGTGGGTGTGTGTGACATCTGCACATTCCCAGCAGCGTGGGGTTGAAGCTTAAATTCCAGCAAATGTACCGGCCTCAGCTCCTTGCCCTAAGTAGAGCACTCTACCTTTCTGCCTGCCTGCCAGCTGCCCTGCAGGGACCCCAATCAGAGTCGCTAAAGTCATCCCTATCGATAGTGTATTGGCCCTTCCGCTCGGTGAGACAGCATCCCGGAAGACAAGCAGAAAAAAAATTAATTTGCTTTGATGGCATGGCAGGGGATGTGCATTCCTGGGACCGTTAGATGTGTTTTTCTTGACCTTCTGTGCTCGTGCTCGAGCTCGGAAGATACATAGAGTGATGAATCATGACGCAGCACCAGCAGCAACCAGCAGCAATCTCTTATCTGAATTCAGTCCCAACTTCGGCAGGTACCTAGATAGCCAGGTAACAGCCCAGGGAAGGAAGAAAAAAACGAGAAAAGAAAAGAAAAAGGAAAAGAAAAAGCATTTTTTTTTCCCTTCCTTCAACGCACAGGCCCGCACACCCGCTGGCTCGGGAAGATGAGCCAATACGCATCGAGAGCTAGTTAGCTGGTAAAGAAGCAGCAGAGGCAGGTAGATTTCAAACCTTCTTTCGCGGGGCCTCATTTTGATTCTAGTTCGGGGGGTCGAGCAAGTAAAAAAGGGCTAGCCAACGGAAAGTGCTCTATGTTACCCTACTACGTCAGTTCAGTTTTTTTTTCTTTCCCCTGCGTGTCTCATGATCCTGTAAGCTGTAGGTAGGGTACATGTAGCTTCTCAAAGAAGCTGTGCTCCTACAGGTAAGTGAAAAGTTAGGGTAGCCCTCTGAATGGCCTCCTTCGCGAGCCAATGATCGATATTTCGTGCGAAAATATTCCGGCACGTGCACACTTTGAGGAAGCCGATGAACATCGTGGTTTACTATGGCTATCGTGATATATAGGAACGTCCTTATTTCTCTTTCCATCCCTCGCGCGCAGCTCCCGTACTCTAAATCCCCATCCTTACCAACAGCCCCCCCCCCCTAACCTTTCCTTACTTCCCCCCCCCCGCAATCCCCGCAAATTGACTATCCCCGGATTTTAATCATGGCGGGAGATCAGATCGAGGGTAAGAAGAAGCGGAACTTCATCTACACGAGATGGATGGTTGGTATAAACTGCCACGTTTCGAACGGCGGATGACCGACGACAACGACAACGACAACGACGATGTATTGTAGTTCTCGTCCCGTATCGGGTTCGAAATCGACGGCAGCAGCAGAGATTTACCTGTTGTCGTGACCCCTTGGAGCTTGGGTACGGGGGGACAAAGAAAAAAAAACTGAGGTATGATAGTTGAAGAGCAGACGGAGACGGGTAAGCTGCCAGCTCGAGACTATAACTGGGTCCCCCAATAAGTAACAATTATCACTGCTGTTACTACCACCATCCCAGGGATTTGCCATTCCCCCCCCCCCCCCCCCCCCCCCCCCCCCCCTCTTCTTCACGAACTGGAACTACCCAAGCTCCAGATTCCCGATATGAATTGGTATGAATAGAGCTTCACGATCGGGATGGACTCTTTCGTCCTCTATCAGAAACAGGTCTGGACACGCGACAGGGCTAGGTACCTCTCCTCTGGCTCGATGTGTTGTTGGGGGCGACGTCAATCAACGTGTCCATACGGGAGATCATTCTATTAATTGCCTATCAGAGAATAAATCACGTTCCGGTGGGTTTCAGATGTGCTGTAAGCACTCTCGGAAGAGAGGATGGGGATCTTGGATTGCACTGAAACAAGGGGATGGGATTTTGTAGATTCGTGCCTGCAACAGATATTTCATCTCTATCCCCACATACCCCCCTCCTCTCCCCCCTCCTCTCCCCCCTCCTTCTTCCCCCTTCCTACCTTGAAGCTGTAAGCAGCATATGGGTTAGAGATATGTCGTTCCAATTCGACCGTAGTACCAATTCGACTCAGTACCCCGAATATTACTAGAATCCTCCTGAACAGATATTCAGGAGTTATGACGATGTTCAAAGGTGACAGACGTCAAAAAGATGCCGAACCATTCGAACAACACAGAAGAAGCCGGGATGATTAGGAAGCTTAAGAAACCTGTATTTTGCTAGAGTACCAGGAACCATAGGTAGGCCCAGGGTTATTGCATCTCCAAAATAGGACCCGGTAGGCTGGCTCATCAAGCTATTGGAACGATGCGCTGGCCAGGGGGCTGGGCATGGGGCGTAATTCTCCGAAGAGGTTGCAATTGGTTAAGTTTTTTTTCTCTCTCTCTTATGCTTTGTCAGGTACTTGCAAGCGGAGAAGGAAGGAGAGAGGTTTGTGCGAGTGAAAAGAAATAAAGAAAAGGGCCAGAGAAAGAAAGCACATCTCACGATGTATGTAAAGTAGTTTGGAATTGGTTGTAAGATCAGTGTCAAGGGCTGTTGTTTTGCGGTAAAGCCGATCATTACCAATCTCCACGATAAAGGCGAGCAACAGAACACGGGGCTAACCTAACATCGCATCAGAATGTTAGTTAACCTAAAGTTTACCATAACCGGGTGCGATGCCCATTTCGTTAATTCCAGCCACTCTCGTGAACGAAATCCCGACGCAGCAGCCAGATGATCGATGGTTTGTGCGGGGTTCGTTCAGTGGAGTCTGAGTCATGCCATTGTTTCCCCTCTGTTTGTCTTTTTTTTTTTTTTTACTACCTCCTCACCGGCACCGTCTGTGGAGAAGCACGTAGCTTAGCTGGGTGGTGGAGTGTAACTACTGTTCTCGTGATACCTAGATCGATGGAGTGCTTAAAGCCCGTCCTCGAAACCGACGGAGAGGAGAGAGTGGATGAGAATGTGATTGGTCAAGGAACAGGAGCCTCAACCTCGGCTGCTAATAAACGATTTGTTCCAAACAAGCCACCTGTCGTAATTCCAGTTCTAGCCAACCGTAACATTCCAAACGAGCCACGGCCCAGTGCTGAGTGTACCACCAATGTGCCAAGCCAAGTGTTGCTGCACGTATGTCGCCCTGCCCGATCCCAGCCACGTTCTGCTGCTACTACTGCTGCTGCTACTCCTGAGGCATTCACCGGTGGGATTGAACCCTCCAAACAATGCAATTCACTTTGTTTGGCTATGGGCAATCAAACTATTACATTACACTACTCACATTAACAATGCCATTTACTGCTCGTTTCCTTGGGTTCGTCCGCCCTTGCCGCGACTAGCGTAACGCTAGACAGTTCAGGGCCCCGACCACAGGACACGACGGTCACGCACATCGAGGTCTCCATGGATCTGTCCATCTTTGATTGATTGATTGATATCCCAGGGATCTATTCGAGGGCTCACTCATGGCTGACAGCTACTCCACATGTACCTACTCTAAACGATGATGGCGAATCTTGTGGAATGTTTCCCCAGAGGAGTAAGGAAACCTTTTTTATTTCCATTTCCTTTTTTGGGGTTCTAAAAGTACATGACATATCGTGCGTGATACTGCTCGGAAGGAGACCGAATCGCTTTGAATTGTTTCGAATACGAAAGCAATGCATGGGGAGAGAGGGGATTTCTAATTGTTCGACACGGAGATAACTTTTGCCCCATGGTACTGTTAACTGCACTGGACGGTACCGGTGCACATACGGCCGTGGCTATGACTACATATTGAATGCCCTACACTACCAGCCTGAGCATGTTGAAACTCGATTTGATGTGCATCCGAACGTCTTCTGCGGAGCAATGAAAGACGTAATGTAATGGATGAGGAAAGTCGGAAGGCAATTCTCGCTTTTCGCCTTTTCGCTCTTTTCCATTCGGCGCGTCCGGAAGCTGAACAAGCGAAGCTGATGATTGATGGTGGAGGCGGCGAGAATAGTCTTTCTACATACAGCCATGTCTGTACTCTATGTAGACGCAATCCAAATCTCATGCGCAAACAAATCCATCACACATCGGGCTGATGCTTACTTACATCCACGTTGATGTTGCTTCCCACCACCCCTCCACCCATCCACCGTCTGTTCCGGAGAATATCACCATCATAAATTTTAGTCTTACCCATGAAGTAAAAAAACAAAAATACCAATCATCATAGTTCCAATGTGTATCTTGATAGAGAATCCATTCATCATCCACCCCCTCCGGCCCCGACCGACCTACCGATCATGTCAATGACGCCAGCACCCACCCTGGGAGATCATCAGTCATCATCCACTCTCCCTCTACCGCAATGATTAGCGGGATCACCGCCCTGGCTTCAACCCTGACCCTCGTTGTTGCGGAGACGCGGGGTTGCTGGCTTGTTTGTTTTGTTTTGCGCATCACAGGCCGGCCGAGAGCACCTACCTCCTCTGATGCTCTATCACTCTATCGGCGGCGGGGTAGGTATCATATAGCAAGCAGGGACCACTATGTACTAGCGATAATATAAAGTCTGTCCACTTTGGTACATGTGTGGACAAGAAAGTTTGGTGTCCTACCTACGTACCAAAGGGGACAGACTTTATATTCCCGGTAGTATGTATCTACGTAGCTAGACTTGTTCCATCGCGACACCCGACAAGTCCAGACATCCGGTGAATCCGTACAAATAGCTTCATTCGAACCTAGCGCGCACATCTGTTTACTCTGTTCAGAAGTGTCAAGTGCCTGCTTGCCTGCGCCTTCGGTGTGATTGATGAGGTGCTTCTTGCAGCGGGTTTGTGTTCGATAAGTGAAGGGAGCGAGTGAATGGTTGCGAGGGGAACGGGTGATTGTTTACATCAAGGGCCACGAGGCGCTCACTCGCTCGCCGCCGCCGCCGCTGGTGCAATTAATCGCTGTATGTACCGTACCTGGCTGGGCCTAGGCAAGTACCTGCCTGCTCTACTTTACGTACATACCTGTAATCCATAGTCGACATGTGGAAGCACGTCCACGAGGAGTACGTAGAGCACAGTACCGTCAATATGTATGTAGCACACAAGATGATGAAAATAGTATCTACATACTCTGCTCTTCCTACTCCGGAGGTACAAACTGCGTGCCAGTGCGAACTCCGCTGCGCAAACCATCCCCTCCACCACTAAGTCGTAATAGTTAATCTAAGCCTCACATATCACGACATCAGGGCGAGATGCCCATCCGTACCCGTACCGCGGCGTCGCTACCCCTCCATCGTCCACCCCTCAAAGCAGGAACCGGACGATAGGGACATCACGCGCAAGTTGGGTGGGGAAAAGGGCGCGATAAGGCTGGGTGTTGGGCGGTTTTAATGGGGGGGATGGGGGGAATTACATGGTTAGCTAGTGCCTTTCTGCTACGACTACATCTACACCTAGATACTCCACAGAGATGTCCTCGTCCCTCCAAGCACTCGGAGGTAACACGATGGATCAGTCACATGAAGTGATAGCACAGTCCAAGTCGGTAGTATCATAGCATCATCATCACCACGCTGCCTGCCCACCCCCATGTCCTGTCTTGACTGCCTCATATGCGATGAACCAACACCACCAACACCCAAAGAATCCTTTACCGAGAAACTTAAACTTGATTCATCCCCCGCATCATATCATATCTCACCTATTTTTCCCATCTGGAGACTGTTTCCCCTCTCCACGGACCCTAGCCAGTCCGGGTGTGCGCATGTTAGACAGTACCTAACCCTGCACGTAGAAGCACATCACGAGCACCCTACGTCTTCGAGAAGCCTTCTGAAGGGCAGAGATAAGTGAATTGAATTGGCAGGCGGGTATGTAATATGTAGTCAGGTAGGCCCCGCATTGACATTGATTATCTTATCCGCCCCCCGAATAGGGTTTTGCTACTGATAGGTGTAGCTAGCTAGCTAGGTAGGCTCGCACTGACTGCCTGCTTGAGGCGGCGGCAAACATACAGGCCAGGTGAGACAAATGTCATAATTGATAAACATCTTTTTGAATACGTATATATTTTCGTTTTTGCACCTGCATGGAGCATGTAGGGAGTGAGTAAGTTGTACTCACATATCTACATAGAGCACTGTACGCGTTCTACACTTTTCTGCTGGGTCCGTGGTTAATAATTCGCTGTGTTTGAAGCCGTGTTGATTATAATTGTTCTACTATCTACATATCGACTGTCTATCTATATGCTATACGCATCTCGAGAAGTATGTAGAGTACATATCCGCTACCCAACCAGCCAGCCTGAGTCGAAATCTACAACTGCAGTGCTACTCGGAGTACATCATCTACCAGGTATATACCTACCGCTGTTGTACTCTCCTTCCTCCAGGTGCTGTCCTACCTACTACCGGCGTACATACATGTGTCGAGCAGGTAAGTACAGCACTGTACTCTAGGTAGGACCAGCTTTTATATCCTCCCCCCAGCCAGCATATATCCTCGCGCAAGACGGCACCCAGCATCAAAGTGCATACCACCAGAAACTCGGCCTTGTTCGCCCTCCAGCCCCCCCCCCCCCCCCATATGTCATGTAACGTGCACATCTGGCGGCGGGTGTGGGAAGGGAAGGGGGAATTTCGGGGTAACTTTTGTTTGGTTCGACGTTTATTTAATTTTTATGTATGTTCGCCTCCCACCCACCCCCACCAACCCTGGAGATGTTTCGTTTTGACGGTGCTGGGTTGGGCGCGAATCGGCAGGGCTTCACTGGGTGCGGCATCTTGATGCGGACAGGGAGGTGCTTTTATGTAGGCAGGACAGGGCATGGCAGGCAGGGCAGTTGAAGAAGCATCATCATCATATGTATGTCAAAAAAAAAAGTCCATGTAGGGCATGTAGCTGTAGAATCGGTAAGTAAAGTAGAAGCGGGCAGCCAACCAGCCCTGCCGCTCAATCGGTCGCACAGCAGTTGCCATCCTCCCACGACCACGACCGCCGCCGCCGCACGCACGTCCTAACGTTGGGGGAGTGTTTTCGCGGGCTCCCTCCCTTCCCCCCTCGCGCGAGATGGGACGACAGACAGACAGACAGATGTGGTGATGACCGTCCGGGAACGGAAGCGTGCCCGGCTCGCAAGGGCCCAGAGTTTCTTTCTTTTGGCTTCTGGGTGGTTCCGTGCTAAGGCGCGGTGGTGTATCGTGCAGGGACCAGGAGGGGTTCTATTTGTGTCATTTGCGTTTCCAGGAATGGGTTAGGGACAAATACCCCGTTCTGTTTTTGGGGGGGCGCGCGACGAGAGGGTGCAACAGTAAATAGTGCCCGATTTGGAATCATGGAGGGAATGAACCCCATTGGGGATTGGTGGTTTTTTCTTTCTTTCTGTCCTGTTGGCTAAGCTGCTGCTGCCCCCGCTTGACAGTCGATGATGGTTGGTGGTTTGGTTTGTGGATGTGAAAGGTTGTGGGTTATGGGTTGTGGTTACTATTGTGGTTGCTGCGGTGGTTACTGTCACTGTGGTGGTGCACTGGTGGCTAGCGAAACTTACAGTTATCTAGCAGCAGCGGCCACCCACAGAGCAAATCCCACAAACCATAAACGCCCTGAGGAGATTTTATCTATGTTTACTGTATGTATGTATATGCGGTGAAGGCGTTGTACCCCCTCCCCCTTCCAGATCAGTGTCTGCAGGACCCGTTTTTTATGTTTTGTTTTATTTTTCGATGTTCTATTTTTTATTTTAGTGTTTTTTTTTACCTGGAGAGGAGCCTCCCTTCCTGGTTTTCGCACCCACCACCACCACCCTATGCGTAGATACTCTTCTCGACATACGCGCCGGGAACGTGGGATTTTTCCTGATTGGCTGAGATTGTGGTTGTGGGATTGTTTCCCTATCAAGTAGTTCGGTCGGGAAGAAGGGGAAAGGACAAGGACTGGATTTGGCGCCCCACCACCACCACCACCACCCCTGGGCCGCTTCCTGCTCGTGAGGAGATATTTTATTTATTTGTAGAGATGAACCTATTTTACGCGGCGATTTAATAATAAATCACGGGGTAGATGTGATGTAGATTGGTATGTACCAGTTTGTACCCTACGCAGGGAATGTTTGGGACCCTACGAGTACCTACCCAGTGGGGGGGAAGAAGGGGGGGCAGCGACGTTACGGAAGCCGCAAGGTTTGCTCTCTCGGGGGAGGGTTTAATAGTGGTGAGAGGTTTTTTCGCTTGGGGGAAGGGGAAGGGTGAGGGGGAAGGATGGGATACGGGGGCCTTCTTGAATGTTTTTGAACAACTCATCAAAGTGGAATCGAGATCATTTTTCTGGTGGTTTGGAAGAGTGAGAAGAGAGGGCAACAAGAACGGGTAGGTATTGAAAGTGGTGAGCCAAAATCTGGGAGTGACTTCTTGGCTTTGCTGGGGGGTGGTGGTGGTGGCGGCCATGAACCAGTGGGAGTTTGGGTACTTTTGGGCCCTTGCGTGTTAACTTGTCTGTCTGTAGACTGCTGGTGTTGCTGCTCAGTGCTTGTGCTTGCCTGAGAGCTTCCCTTCCCTGCTTTGGCGTTGCCCTGGCTGGTCGCTCCCCGCAGGGCGTGTAAGCCAATCCGCGATGTCCCCTGCCCTTTCCTTTTCATAGTGCTGGCCGGTGTTGCTGTCCAGAAGAGTTCAGTTGGACGAGAGAGTAGCCATAGCAGGAGCATGAGGAGCAGCCTTTCTTAGCAGCTAGCACAAGCAGCAGGCAGGTCTTGGGACATCCCGCTCTCCCCACCATCACGAATTGGACAAGTGATAATACCCAATAGCCTGTTTGCCTGTTCTGTTCTTTCCCTCGCCCATCATCATCGCGCCCTCACTCACTCACTCTCCATCCGGGCCACACACCCACACCACCACCCATACCCATACCCAGACCCCATACCCATATCCACGCTCAGTCAGTCAGTGAGTGTTCTCACCCACCACAACTGTACGCAGCTCATGTCTCTGTCTGTCCTGCTGCACACACACCCAAAAACACAAACCAGTCAGTAACTCGGACAACAGGCAACTTTGCTCGCAAAAGTGAATTGGTCGTTTCATCACGCTCTTCCCCCTACTTCTCTACCCTACCTTATTCTCTACTATTATTCTCTTCTCTTGAACCTCACCTCGAAATTCACCCCCCCCCCCCCCCAATTTCTCTTTTATTTCTCCCCACACCCACTCTCCCCCCCATCTTGCATCTCAGTTGACCTACACCCCCCTCCCCCTCTCTTCCCCGAATTAACCCCCCCTCTTACTACCACCACATCCCCGCTTCTATCTATCGGTCGGGCCATCATCCCCATTGCTCTCTCTTCAATCGTCCGCTCGGAACGAAAAACAAACTCCGTGCTTTCTCCATATCACTGAATCTTTGAATTTTTTTTTTTTACTTTCTTCAATCTCTGTCTGCTACTGTTCTATCACCAGTCCAGTTCCAGTCCAGTCCCACGTTGCTTGTCCGGCATAGACATTCATCCGTCCTACCCCCCCTCTCCCCCGGTTGCATTAACTTGCAATCGAAACAGCCACGACTCTTTCTTTCTCTCTCCTCCGAAACAATCGAAACGCCGCCCATCTGATTTGACTGCCCTTTTGTTATTCGAGAGATCAACTCGGCTGCTTTGAAATCATATCTCCGGGAAACGAACCTGTCAAGACAGTTGTTCGTCCCTATTGTCCAGCCACCGCGCTGTGTTAGAAACAGGAAGAAGGGGCCTCTTTTGCAAATAGACTCCGTCTTACAGGCTTAGGCTTGCCTTTCCTCCTACTACTTACTACTACTACTACTACTATCTTCTACTTCTGCTATTTACTTCTTCTACTTCTACTTTTACTACTTTTTACGCTTAACGTACTTGTTTCTCTTTCGTTCCTTTTCATTACCCGCTAGCTGGTATTCGTCATCGAATTGCCATCTGCGTATACAGCACACTGCAGGTTCTGCGAGCCACCACCACTGCTTCTACTAAGCCCCCCCTTTTCTTGAGAGCCATACTCTCTCTCTCTCTTTCTTCATCCTTCCACAGGAAAAAGGAACTCAGGAGCAGGCCCAGCCAACCATATTGACTGTAGACCGTCAATATAACCAACCCCCCCTCCCTCTGAATGCTATAATCGTTCTTTTATTTCTATAACTCATTCACGCTACCATCTGGAATCGTTGCCTGGCTATTTGCAATAACTCAATCGACTACTACTTGCATATTATTCATCTCAATCCGGCGAGATCGTCCTTCGTTCCATCGACAGTACTTCTTCCATTCCGGTCCTGATCTAAACCACTCAGTCTTGGCATCTACTATTCCCACGCTACTCCATACTTGGCATCTACTATTACAAGTACCATTACCGAGTACACGTCGTTCCCTGTAGTAATACTCAAAAGTGGCCACTACTACTAGCGCATATTAGATCTCCCCACCTCCCTCTTCTTCCACCCCCCCCCCCCTCTTTCAACATCAACAGGACCCGTTAATCTTAATCAAAACTACTATTACCACCAGCCAGCTGCACACCTCTCGAGCAGAAGACTTTAACCACTAGTCTCTGCTCGTCTGTTACAGCCCCAAATCTACACACCCCCTATGGCGCTTCCGAAGATGACTACCGACCCCTATGCAGTCCTCGGAATACCTAACGATGCCGCCACAGCCGCCATCAGGAGTTCATACAAGAAGCTAATCCTGCAATGCCATCCCGACAAGGTGAAGGACGAGTCACTACGCGAGGAAAAGGCCATTCAGTTCCAGAAGGTCCAGGAGGCCTACGAGCTCCTGATCGACAGTCGCCGCAGGCGGAAATACGACGAAGAACTGGTGAAGCAGGCCAAAGCAGCAGAAGAAGCAGCAGCTAAACCACCACCACCACCCCCACAACCACAGCCACAACCAATGCAGACGCCCCACATGGCCCATGCCCACCCCCACTCATCACATCGGAGCGCCAGCGGACCCGGGCCATCCCCAGGAAGTGCGGAGCGAGCATCAGAGAGGACAGATCGACCGAGGAGGGAGAGGAGTGGTACTAACCCGTCGCCAGATGACAGACAGAAGGAGAAGGACCGGGAGGCGAGGCATGCAAGGAAGCGAGCAGAAGGACGGGGGGATAGAAAGTCGAGGGAAGAGTCCTCGTGGAGTCAGGAGGAGCGGAATATGAGGAAGGAGACGCAGGAAGAGCGTTATGCGTGGATAGAGCAAGAGGAGGCGAGGAAGTTTGAGGCAGCAGAGCGGGAGCGGTTATTAAGAAGGGAGTATGAGGAGGCTCAAAGGTATCCACAGCCGCAACCACAGGCCCCACCACAGTCACATTCGCGCCATCCCGATGAACAACCGACAAAGAAGGGATACAATAGATACAACCCGACGGTTCCCCGCGAAAATCATCATACGACCGACAATACGAAATTCCGATCCCGAGTACGAAAGTTCCGCCAGCAGCACCGATACCGCCGGTGGTACCCGACGTCCGACCCGGATATCTCGAAGCGAAGAAGGCTGAAGAGGAGAGGCTTGCCAAGGTCAAGGCGAAGATGAGCATGGCGGATGAACCAATCAGACCGCCTGTTTCAGAGGAGCGAGGGGATCTTAGAGCATCAGAAAAAGAGCAGGAAAGGCTACAGAGACAGGACAGAGAGCGCCGAGAAAGAGGGGGTAGAGATCGGGAGCGAGATCGTGGATCCGAGGTCCCGCACACTCGCGAACGAAGGTCTTCAAAAACCCCACCAATATTACGCAGAGGATCCTCTGTCACTTCAAGATGCGACGAAGTCCCTTCGACTCCGATGATGCGCCCCGCAGTCTACGGAGCATCGGCCCCAACCCACAATACCTCCCCATACTCTTCTAGCGGAGCAGCCAACTACGCGCCAAGACGAAGACACAGCAGCCCAAGTATCGAGAAACAGGCGTCCCGCATGCACCCTCGCGAGGGACCGGCACCGTGCGACTCTGGATACTCAAGCCCATCATCAACCGATACGCCAGTTCCCGACAAGAAAGTGCATACGTCTGAAACGCGCACGCCTGAAATGCGCACTACTACAGATGGGTAAGCACAGTAATGTCAATGATAAGTTTAACTTTTGCTGATTTTTCCCCCAAGCATCGATACTTCAAGTGGGACATGGAAGAGGTATACCTTCGAGGTTTACATCCACGAAAACATGGAAGCCGCCGCACAAGCCAAGGGAGGTGTACCGTCAGGGACCCACTACCGCCAACCTAGCTCCACCTCACCCTCAATACACCCCGCCGACCCCGCATGCGGCCCCGCACAGCCTCTCCCCGCCGAGCATGTCCGAAAAGCGGCGGAATTCTACGGCATACCATACTATCCTCCACCACCGGGCAGCAGCATCCACCCCCACTCGCCGCCAAGCAGTCACCACCCCCATTCGCCTCACTCGCCCCACGCCTCGCCGCCAAGGCATTCAAGCTCAAGGCACCACCACTCGCCCACGCTCTCGCCGAGGCTGGTGTCGGAGCCGGTGTTTGTCTCGCCAGGACTGTCGAGGTCAAACACGATGCCGACGTCGCACGCAGCTTACGCATCACACCCATCGCGGCCCCGGGAACGAGGGGATCACGGCGGGTATGGGTATGCGCCGTCACTGGGCCGCAATTCCACTTTCTCTAGTTAGTTAGCTTTTTCTTGTTATCATCATCATCATACCATGTGTTTTATGTTAGTCTAGATGAAGGGCAAGTGGCTGGTGTCTTTTTTTGTTACTTGTAGTAGTGGTGAATTGCGCGCGCGCACCCCCCTTTTTGTTTTTCTGGGTTATATGTGGGATGTTTTGATGAAACGGAGAATTGGAACCCTTTTTTTGGTTGTCTTTTTTTTTGGTCGGTGGGCTGCTTTGGTTTTGGGGACGGTACTAGGGGCAGGGGGTGCGGGAGGGAGTGTGATAAGGCCTTTTTTTGTGACTTTTTTTATCTATTTTTTTTGGTGGCTCCTTCTCATGGGGGTTGCTTGTTATTTTTTTGCTTTCGGATCTGTTTTTTCTTTTTTTTATCTTTTTATCCGTGGGGTGTTTATTGCTCGTTTTTTTTTTTTTTTGGTTGCGGTTGCGGTTTTTGTTTTATCGGATGCCAAATGCTACTTCTATAGCTTACCTACAATCTTTTTTCCGTCGTCTCCTCCTCCTCCTCCTCCTCTCTTTCATCTCCCACATTGTGTGTTTATTTCGCTGTTTATTTTTTGGGTGCCATTCCCTTTTTTTTCTTTGCAAACTGCCAATGATCAATTGTGGGGTTTTATTTTTTGGGAATTACCGGCCGTTTTTTTTTTTTTTTTGGTGACTGCATTTTTTGCGCTTTACTTGCTACTAAGTTACTAAGCTACAGAAGCTACAGAAGCTGCAGGAGCTACTAACTACTATACCCCTTATTATGTGGTATATCAAATCCTCCGCTTTTTTTTCTTTTTACTTGCTTTTTTTCTTTTTTTTCTTTTTTTTCTTGTCTCTATGGCAGCGGGGCGGGTATGTGCATTTTGCATTTCAGATTTTTTTATTTTTTTGCGGGGATGGGGCGGACCGGGGGTAATTTTTTTTTGGTTGACTCCTTGGAGTCTTGCCGGCCCCCCTCGTGCTCTATTATGCATGCATGACTTTTGATGTCTTTACGTCTCATGAATAACTATATACCAAAGAAAGAAGGAGAAGGAGGAATTGAAGGAAGGAAACGGAGCCAAAAAAAAGAGGATATACCCTACTATACCATTTCTGTTTTTAGCAAGATATAGCAACAATCATGGCATGTCAAACAACCCACCGCACTGACCCACCGACCCACCGACCCACGGGCTCACCGGCCGATTGGCGAGAAGAAACAAAGTAAGAAAGAAAGGCGCGATATACATAGCAGACACCAGGCAGCAGGCAGACAAACTCGACATTGCAGACTACAGTCGCTCACCTACCGACGGCGGATCCTGTCTGATGGTTCTGTTTGCAGTAATTTGCCCTTGGCGTCCAAAACCTAACTCTTTTATTGGCCTCAAATCCCTGACCGCCATTAGACAGGATCCGCCTTCACCCCGTGAGTGACTGTAGCTAGATAAACTCCATACCCGGTTTACCCGCCCATCGAATCGAGTCGGATCGGATCGCACGAGTCAGCCCTGTGGGGCCCGTTCGTTCGCACCTGCTGGTCCGGAAACGGGGGTTGGCTCAACCACGGTACTCTACCGGTTTGCACATACGGTTGGAGGAGGGGGAGAAGGGGGGATGAACGAAGGGTAGCTACACGGCACACAGCACACAATGGACTTCGGTGTTTCAGCTGCTGCGTGCATAACCTGGCGTTTCGTTCCCGGTGGCGGACCGACCATTCTTTATCTGGTGGAGTTTTTTTCAATTACGGGGAGGGTTGCTGCATGGGCTGTTTTCGGGGAGCGAGGGGAGCGAGAGGGATACATACCGTCCGTACCGTAACTTGTACTTGTTTTATGATTTTTTCTCCGTTTGATTTTTCCCGTTTGGAATCAAAGTGTACTATGTACTCCCCGAATTGTGTTTACTGTTTGTTTCTGTTGCATATTTTCCTGTGTTCCCTTTTTATGATTTCTCCTACCCCATTTTATGCACCCCATGTTTTCCTTTTTCTTGACACGATATGATGACGGTGATGATGATCTTCTGGTTAGTCTCTGACCAGACGAGCTGTTTTCCTTTGACTCTGCTCTGCTCTGTGACATTTGGGAGGTTATTGAGACTTGCTAAATTGTTTTTTTCTTCTTCTGATGTTGTGATGATATTGAAGACAGGGATGGGGTTTGGAGCTAGGGATTTTCCCGGGGTACAACTTAGTTGAGGACCGATGAGGTTGAACCCTTTTTTTGGACCTAATAGTAACACAGATTGTAACAAACGAAAAAAGGGAACATACCAAAGAATTATTTCTAAAGAACGCCGCGTTCCTACATACACACCTCGTGCACTTGATGAGATGGCGAAGGGCCTTCCTATTGCTGTTGGAAATGATTGGAGAAGGATTCGAGATCTACATATCTCCCTCAGTTCAGTTGGCCATCGAAATGTATTTTATGCAAGCTTCTTTTTTTTTAGAACCCGTGAGCGAGTGACATCATATTATCTCTAGAAATCTTCTCGAAGATTTCACTACAGGGCAGAGATAGATGATGACTTGGTACCGTATCTAAGCTGGACCGGAGCATCTGCTGCTGTTTCAGAGAATTGTGGTAGAGTATACCCTATTGATTATGGTGGAGGTACATATTCTCAAACATCGACGTCTGTATCTTAGTTGCCGGGTTTCTTGGCGGGTGTTTTACTTGGCATTTCCTTACCAATGGTTCCCATTCCAGTCAGCATGTGTAACCAACGACAACATCAGGTTCGCCAAACCTCCGCGATAGCTCCCGTTTCGTTTGGCTGGCGATCGAGGGAGGACAGTGAAAACGCAAGATGGTCGAAACAAACACCTCCTCATCTGCAGGTGGGTGATATAACCATGACACGCCAGCCTTCTCTTTCTCGCTTCCTCCTTGCTCCTGCAGCTCCGTCCAGTCGGGCCAAAAGATTATCTCCTATGCAGAAAACCAATTAATCGCTTAATTGTGCACATACGCCTTGGGTGTATCTTTATCCCAGGCGAACGAACCAGCTGGTCTGTTTTCCGTTTAAAGGGAGGGGGTGATGTTTTTTTGGGAATACAGTGGTGCATGCGTGGCAGTTGATATTTTTTTCCATTTGACAGCCGCCACACTAGTTGACATGGCGCATCGGAATTGGATGGATGGGATTGGGATGGTCTTCGTCTTGATTCCTGTTTGCCAACCATACATCACAATTTCAGAGTCGAATTTGTATTTGATTCCCCCGCCGACACTCTATAGAGCAGTGTGGAACTCATGCGTGTGTGGTCCGGTTGAGAATTTCCAGCGCAACCCAATGAATAAGTTGAATTTTCACTCACACACCCCTTTTTTTCCTTTTCTTGGTGAAAAGATGAGGGAGGATAGTTTTTTTTTGCTCTGCTGTTTTAGCTCAGCGTCCTCCACTGTGCTCCTACACACATACCAACTCAAGCTAAACAGAGTAGGTACATGGTACATAGATTCGTAGGACAGGTAGGGGTTCATCGTCGATCGGCGGCGTAAATTATTAAATTCCGGGGAAGAAAACCCTTGTCACTATCCATATACACTAGGTATTTTGCAGGCCTGGTTTGTTTGTCCCGAGAGTCGACAGGTTACAAACGTGTTTTTTTTCTTTTTATATTTTAGTTTGGGCGTTGATTCTTTCCTCGGATCGAGAAAACGTTTGACGTGGTCCCCGGTTCCGGTTTTCGGGAAGTCAACGGCGTCCGGCGGGAGTTGGTTGCGTCTTATGTAACTCAGGCCCGCCCCGCCCGCCGGGAACGATGTTTTTTTCTTTGGTTTTTCTGAGGAAGGGGGAAATATTTTTGTTGAGTGATTGGGCTTGGTTTGGTTCTCAAGCCGCCCACTTGGGCTGAGTTTTTATTATTCCTTTTCCCTTTGGTACCTGAGCGAGTGAATGTGCTCATACGTCTATCACAAGTATCTAGTTACTCCCTACATGATGTAGAGCAGAGAAGTGCGTAGAAATTGTAATGAATTAGACGTCTGGTGCATGTATACGCACCTAATTGACTATTTGTATGTAGATTAGTAGTAGATACTCTAAGGTACATAACTGGGTCGAGTGCATAAGCAACCCTTGTAACATTTACGTCCCAAGATCTGTAGAGTAGAAAACTGTGCAGCTTATTGAAGACTAGAAGATATGCACACGCTGTTTCTAGCAACTGCGTGTAACGGTACCGCTACATAGTCTACTATGCGGCGAATTATACTCTATCCGGCCGGGCTCTGCGCTGCCATAGAGTAGAGTAGACCAGTCTATACACTAATCTATGTAGGGCACCTTTACATTAGTATGTTTTCTTTTTCCTTTTCTTTCTCGGTAGTACCATTAGTTAATCCATCTATAGTAGGTCGTAGTATGCACTAGAGCCTCAAGGCGGATAAAAATTATTCTTTAGCTAATTAGGTAGAAGCAAACTTGGTATGGGTTATGATTGGTGAGGCCCGACATAAGAGATCACTCGCTATCGATGACTCCGTCAGCCTTCTGCACAATGCATAACATACTAGCAGTTTTACTGAGTGCAAACCACCCGCGATTGGGTAAGCGGGTGAGGGAATCGATCAACCAGGTCTCAGGTGAAGACACCGAGTGATATATGGTGACTCACTTTCGTAACTCAGGCAAACTAGTTGCCCAACAGAAAGACTAATTCAACGACTACGTTGTCGTATCCCCCAGTCAGAGTCTCCATAGACACTATCAAACAACGCAGAGATCCAAACAACGCAGAGGTCTAGGATGGCAACTAATCCAGTCGGCGGCCTTGTTACTCAGGCGGTAACGAAATAATCCATATGATATTTCGTAGATGCGTGTGGAACACAGTTCGAATATGGTGGCTCCAGTCGCCGTAGTAGATAAATCAGCTGCCTATTGTCTAGGTTCCAGCTCCAGCGATGTGTCTGGAGATTGGGGCATTTCCTGCATGTTGTGTGACGAGGATGCTGTCAACAGTTATGTAGATATGCCATGCTGTAGATCTATTATCTGCATATTTATTTCCTGCAGAGGAGCAAGGTATACCCTGCTGGCCCGAGAGTCGGGAGGTCGGCCGGAGAATTGGAGAAGGATGTCTGTGATAAAGATAAAAGCATGTGCCCATTCATGTATCGCCGAAACAACTGGGAGGAGACTTACAAGACGTAGCTATAGAGAATGAAGTTAAATCTAGGCTACTTCAGGGCTGACTGCATGCAGCAACGGTGTTCTCAACTGGGGGCTCAAACGCCTCGCCGAGGAGACATATGCAGGTAACATCCCGGGAGAGATGGTGATTTTCGGTAGAACCCTGCCATGACTCAACTAGAGAGGAGATCCATCACGTAACCTGTCAGGCCCAGATTTCGACGGCTGAGGCAATATCACACGGAATCACAGTTTGGGTGAGTAAGCTCGTGTGCGGTGCATTATATATTTGATGCAAGGCACCGATAATCAATTTTGCAGGCCGAGAGTATGTAGTAGGGTCTCGAAGGCAGAAATTGTCAGCCTCATGCATGCACGATTAGCCTTGTGAATACGACGAGGATTGTGTGAAGACGTCTCGATCTCGGGTGGTGTGACAGGTGTAGTACATACCACGGGCCAGGGTTAGGTGTATATTTAGCAAACGCAACCGGGATTTTGATATTGTAGGAGATGATATGATATATTTGAGGTCACAACTATAGATGTAGAGCATTAAAATTATATTGTTGAACAACTAAATTTAGTGAAGCGAAGGATGGTTATTTGGAGGAAACTGGCTATCTATAGATTATGACCTTCCATCTGATGCGTGTCTTCCTGTTTTATGTGACCGTGTCCTCTAAGTGTCAACCTGAATCCCTATGAGTACATGTAAGTACTACTTTCTGACCTATCCTTATACGCTATGATACCTTGTGGAATCGTCTAACACTCGAGTCTTCATCTCCCTGGGGTTTCAGCCATCAACTTCTCAAAGTATCTCTACATAAATAAGTGAACAGACACCTCAAATAGGAGGGAAATAATAATTATTTACTTCTTGTATAGATATACGCTTAATATTGCCGGTCCAAGTACAAAGAACCCCAAAATTACTGACCGTCTTATTATTAGCGGTGCCGAAACATACAAACAGTCGGATACTATAAGCTAGGGTGAGATATCTACTAGCTTATAGTGCTTTCAAGTGAGTTGCAGAGGTCGAGAAGCTCCGGCGACATCGGGCAAAACCAGTAATAAGGGCCGATTCTCAGCTCCGGCCACCGCTCACCCCTTCAGGGAAATCGGGATCAAAATAGCCTCCTAATTTATCCTACCACAAAGAAGAGGAAGAAGATGATGATGGTGACATTTACCTAGACCTGTGTCATCTTAGACTTTTCCGAAATAAGAAACCGGCGTTTTTTTTATTTTAGGAGGAACAAATTTGTAGGCCACATATCTCGGCCTGTAATTGTGATCTAATTCTACATGTGAGGGCCCATCCCCATTTTATTCTAACGTATAGCACTCATATAACCTAGGGCATGACTTGAGGCTGGCGCTGCCGTGGACGCCGCCGAATCGAGTGATAGGTTATGATTTAAATTACGGGGAGATATTTAGCCAATCCCTAATTCGAGTCTTCTTTCGTGCAACATGTCCACAATTGAAGGAATACCTGCTCATGGGTAGTGTCCCCAATGACGCGCGCAGATAGACTGTGGGGTTTTGATTTTCTGCTAACGGTCTGTTCTGGGTCTGTTGACACGCAAACTAGCTGTGGTCGCTGGGGCCATGCGCATGCGGGTATTGGGTATTCCATAGAAGTGCAGATTATGCTGAAAGAACGTTGAGAAAACGGACCCTTTGTTCTGTAGACCGAGCCACTGATTAAAAAGTTTCCCACAGAAATAAAGCACTTGCAACGGGAGTTCACTGGTTTTGTGGTTCTAGTGCCTGGCGCGATGCACTATTTCAACATCCACGAGCTCCAATAAATTAACAAAACGAGGCCATTCTGAGTACATGCAAGAGGACTGAGTGGCCATGTTACGTCCAAATTCTGGGTAGGGTTATGTCAGATTCGCGCGTTGGCGCCACCATAAATAATTCGGACCACTATTCACCTTCTTACTACCTTTTGGTGTATTCGATTATGGATCTAAATTATCGATTAACTACGTCAAACAAAACTTTTATCGGCAGCTACATATAGCACACCCAACCATCACCCAACTAACCAGCCAGGGGGGCCAACAAAGGAAACAAAAAACGAAACAGCGAGAAAAGAAAAAAAGCAGTCGCAACAACTCGCAGCCCCGCCTTCACCCGAACACCATATACGCCAATTTCCATCCCCGCCTCATCACACCCCACCACACCCGCAACCTCCCACTCGCTGCAAACACGAACACCACTAATGCCACCCCCGAAACTGTATAATACCAATCCCACTCGAGCTCAACCATCGCCAGCGCACACCATCCCACCAGAAACGTAATAATAGAGATCACAGTCCACCGCCACTCCCAGAGACAGGCTGGAGAAGGCAGCTCGAGGTGGTACTCTTGCAGTGGGGAGTAGATGTTCTCGTCGCTCCAGGAACCTTGACCAGGGGTAGGGGTTTGATACAGATACTCAAAGGGCTTATACCCGTGCCAGCTCTTGCTCGCGCTAGGGGTTACGCTGGGACGAGGAACCGGCAACGGCGTCACAAGATCCAACAACTCAGATAGATTCTCCTCATGCTCGCTATTTCCACTCGTACTGGGACGTGCAGGGACACGAGGGACTGGCAGCGGTGTCTCAAAATCTAACAAATCACCATACTCCTCACCCGGCGATGGCGGGGCCACTTCGTAGCTACTCCGTGCGTAGAGGAGAGATAGTACCTCGTCACTTATATCTGCATAGCTATAACAAGACTCTGCGTATTCGCTGCTTTCGTAACCTGAGTACGTATCAGCTCTGTCGAAGAACGGGTCGTAGTCGCCCCGCTGGAAGGGCCCGACAGTGTCGAAAGCTTCGGAGGTTCCGAGGATGTGTTGGGAGGGTCTGGTGGTGTCGTCACTTTCTGAGCTTCCTGGAGAGACGGGGTATAGCGGCGGTGGGTCGCGAGTGATGGGTGGTGACGCGGGCGCGGAGAGGAAAAGGCGCGGGAACGATAACGACCAGGGGGAGAACTGGAGGGTTAGTTTGTAAGCCATAGGGGCGGTGGAGATGGGGGTAGGCATAGGGATCGATTGTGGTGTAGATGAGTCTTCTGGCGTTGTTGTGTGCGATTAAGGTTGCAATTGTGCTAAAGTTATGGTTGAGGTTATTGCTGTGGTTTTTGTAGTACTTAATGGGGGAAGTTTCGTAGGTGGAGACAGGCGAGTGCTAGTTATAGTTATAGGATGGCGATTATCAAGATGGAGCCTTGGTGGTTCTGAAAGAAGGTCGTCTTCAAGGTACTGTTGAATGCGGACATGCTGAAAAGACTACCTCGTCTTGAAAACCGAGATGAATCATCGCCGTAACCCACCGGTTTGACTGCATGCACCTATGGCATGTACTCTTCTTTGATTCCCAATGCCATCTCTAGTAATTTGGTGTACCCTCAGCTCTCTACTGCCGATAGCACTCTACTTTAGCTTGGCCATACATGTTGGGAGCAATACCCTGGGCGAACCACTCAACTGGTCGTTTTTTGAAGTGCACATCGATGATATTACAAGCGCAAACCTTGCTTCGCTATTAGTAACACCTGGAGACAGGGTCGTTCGGGCGTGGCTACTTGTATCGATCGTGATTGTATTGGAACGCTTGCGCTTGAATAACTGGTGAGTGGTTAGCTTCTAGTTGTGATCATGGTCAAAAGCGATAGAAATACCGAACCCCATTCTCAGACATCATTTTCAACCGCTCACACTGCGCCATGCCTGGAGGCGTAGTTGTTGCCGTACCCTGACTTCTGACGTTGTTTCTTGTTGCAACATCCACGTCTTGGCGCGCCTCCGTTTTATCACTTTCTCTTAAAGAATTAACAGCGCCGAGACTTCACGATTCAGTGGTGTAGGGGTATCACGGGCGCTTGCCATCCTTGCAATGATATGCGCCCGACCCGGGTTCGATTCCCGGCTGATTCATAATAAGGGCAAGTTCCTAGATTTTTCTAGTAGATCCAAAGTTTGTGTCTCTTTTGCTGTGGTTATTATGAGTAGGCTCTTGTAAGGCGGAGGAGTATTTGTAGGATTTACTACGACTTGGTTCATTACAAGTCAAAAATAGAGGCAACTCTAATGATAATAGCAGAGAAATCCTATTAAGTTGTAGCACTATCCTCAATTCAATTTTTCAAATCATTTTTAAGGGCCCGTTTGGGAAGGGGCCCAAGATGGAGTTATGGGAGCTGATCAAAACTCCGTCCTGGGTAAAAGCTCTAGATAGTTCGAGAAAATAATTCTAGATAATACGTACATGCAGTTTGGCGGGGGTCTGGAAAAACAACATTAACTCTGCCAGAGGCGGGGTTTTCAAATCGCCCCTTTTAACACTACCATTGACACTATTGCGGACGGCTACATGATACATACGTGCTTAGTAGATCCAATGCGAGGTTGGTACATTCTTTGTTTCTCCCGAGTGATTGTCTATGATGCGACGGGCTATCGGGAAGACAAGGGGTACTACTTGCTTCCTCTTCACCGCCCCATAATCTCTCTTCCCTCATACCATCCCACCCACCACCCATTCACCCAGCTAAGAAGGATATAGCCCACAAACAGCCATCGCTTCTTTCTCTCCTATGGGGATGGAGTCTGGACACCAATCACTATACACGCCATCGGCCTCGGATTCACAACGGTGAGATGGAAGAGCACGAGGAAAGGGTTGAAATTCATGTCTTCGTGTTACCGAAAAAGCCCTCTTAACATCGTTTGGCCTTTAATGTAGCATGATCGAAGGCCGGTGTTGCGGGTGAGATTCGACCATGAGAAATAGGCAGTATTGTTAATTTTACTGCTGCTAGATTTTCGCTACTCCTACGTTCAAAAACTTCACCTGCGGTTGCGAAAAGTTGGAAAACTGCTATTGTCAATACCATGATACTTCAACCACAACAGTACCGCAAGGATCTCTAAGAGATTGAGCCACGTACCCGATAGCTCTCTCAGAACTGTTACCTGGTGGTACCGCTCTTTATGTGGAGTCTATAAACGGGTTATGCATGTATATGTAGGTACTCCTCTCCACTACTCAAAGTTTATATGATCTCTCCTCCCAATATGTATGTATAGGGTAAACATCTGCTAAGAAATCCCTCCCTAGTTATGTCGATATGGATTACCGCTTCTTATTATTCTTCGCTGTTCGCCACCATAGATCTAGAACCACCTGCTCCCGCTAGCTCCAGAAGCCACAACCCTGGTATAGGGCTGGTCAAGAAGTATAGATTGGCAACGATTAGTAGATCCCTTTCATCATCATCATACCGGGATACAGGAGGGTGATTTTCAGAGTCACAGTAGGTTTCGGATCACCTCTTTACAAATTCCTTTAATTCCTTCTTTGTTTTTCCATGCGCAGATGGAATTTGACGTACCCTTCCTCTTTTGTTATTTCCCGCTCCCGCAAACATTTTCATATCACTAACAAGCATTAGCAAAGAGTGCCCCCGCTGAGAAATGATCATGCCGTGTCACAGCAGCAGGGATACCACCGAGTGATAACCCAAGTAGGAACATACCAGCTCTAGGGTTAGGGTTAGCTACCTACTTCACCACACTGGAGCTGAAAAAAAACAACCTCCGAGAAAGAAAAAAAAACCTCGTTCCGGATAATCAGACACTTCGAAACCCGCCCCGTTCTACCCAAATCCACCCCTGGCGCTAAAACCTGCCCTGTTTCTAGAAACAAAAAGGAAAAAACGGGCTTATATATCGCCACCTACATACATAGGGTCCGTGAAGTGGATCAGTAGATCGTGTTGAGTAAATATACCTACATCCACATAATCGCCATACTAAACAGTATGTACCTAAGTAGAGTAGAGTAATGGAGAGAGCAAGAATAGAACCCGCTGCCGCCCGCCCGCCAAGACACCAAGACACCAAGCCAAGCAGCCAAGCTCCCAAGCTCCATGTGCAGCTCACCAATGATAACTCCACAACCTCGTGTCACCATCACGGTGAGACAGCAGTAGCAGCTTCTAGGCGGCTAAGCAAGCAAAGAAACACTTTTGAGCGCTACACAGAAGAACGGTTCTGGGATACCGCTGCAGTGGGGAAAAAAAAAGAAAACCGGTAGAGGACAGAGCGGTAGGATGCGGTACCTGGCATGGGCGGCGGGTGGGGGAGTAATCATTGGTAGGTACAGGCAGTAGAAGGGGCGGTAAATGATTTGAGGAGCAGGAGGAGGGTGGAGGTCAGTGGGTTGATGTGCTCTGTGTAGAGCACTTAGTGCAGAGTGCATTATACTCGGTAGCTAACCGGCCGGTACCGCAATAGCGGTAGCACCATCGATTTCCCACCGGTTGGGGGTGAGTGGATCAGCAACATTGAAGGTTAATTGTACCTACCTGCAACCCGGGTAGGTATCGGTGGGGTGGTATAAGTACCAACTATCAGGCCACTGCTGGAGTACTTTTTTTCTTTCTCCATCAGTAGTTCTATGTCTGGCTAGCTTGTTCATTCTCTATCTTCTCTCTTTTTCTCTCTCTCTTTTTTTCTCTTTTCGTTCTTTTTGAGGTTCCTTTGATAGGATACCCACTCATAGTTACACTCATTGCTTGCTTTGATACCTACGTTCATTCATTTCATCCATCCATCCATCCACTTTCCGTCTTTCCAATCATTTCCACCCCAGTACACCACCCACCCACAACACCATGCACTCACCCATCCTCCCAGCAGCAGCAGCAGCCCTCCTGCTCTCCCTCCTCGCGCCTGCCGCCCGCGCACACATGATCTTCAACACGCCCTCGACCTGGGGTCTCGCCACGCAAGGCGGTGACCTCGAAAAACCGCTCAACGCCGCCTTCGGCCCTAGCTGGCCGCACCACGGCGCAAAAAAGGACACCGAGGAGGTTGTAACCTTCACGCCGGGCAGCAACCCATCGTTCCCTATCACGTGCGGCGAGGCCGCGGGGGAGCCCGGGAAGGCGGCGGGCGTGTGTAAAACTGAAGCCGGTATGTCACCCCCAATTTCACTCCCCTCCCCCACAGTCTGATTTAAAAAAGAGAAGAAAGGAAGGAAAGAAGGAAGTAGGCTGATATGTGTGTGTGTGTGCGATAGATTTCCACGGCGGCGGCGGCTGCGCATTATCGATTGCGTATAACGCGGGGGGAACGCCCAAGCCGGAGGACTTTGTGGTCTTCTCCGTCACCCACGACTGCCCGACGTTCAACAAGTTCAATCACAACTTTGCCGTGCCCGCGAACCTGCCAGCGTGCGAGAGCTGCGTGTGTGCGTGGCACTGGGTCCCGGATCCAGATTTTGCTGCGGACGAGTCGGTATGTTCTTCCCTCCCTTTTTTGTTGGTCTAGCGGTGGGGTGTGGCGGGATGGATGGGGTGAATGATTGCTCATTGCTGACTGGTGGTGGGTGGTGATAGTACATGAACACGTTCAACTGCGCGGTGGGCGGTACAACGAAGGGCAAGATCACGGGCGGGAAGACGCCGAATTACTTTGGTGTGAGCGGGTACGAGGGCGGCGGGGAGCGGCCCATGTACAAGAGCACATTCCCGGCGGGGGCACAGAAGCTGACGGTGGGCGCGGCGGGGAAGAGGTGGGTTGCTTAGCTAGGAGGGTGTGGGTATGTGGGCGGTAGAGTAGGCTGTGGAGTTAGATAGGCCCTGGTTGGTCACTTAATGTTTAGCTTAGAGTATATATATATATGGGGATGTTTTGAATAGAATATATATCGGTTGATGCATGGACCTATGTGATGTTGTGTGGACGGGGAAGAAAATAGAGGCGGTGATGGAAAGGTTGTGAAATGTGCAGATATCGTGAGGATTTTTTTTGGTTCGCCCGGAGAAGCATTGGTCTGTCCGGGTCTGAATTCAAAGGCGGTGTCCGACATGATGCAAATATCAGCCGTGGAATTGCTTTGTGTCTACATATCTGCACGGTAGAGTACGGGAGGGATGTCAGCCAATCGCAAGCCCTCCACCCAGAAACTCCAGTATTACACGAGTAGAGTAAGAAGTTTAAAAGCTGCCTTTCAAACTCAATCATTCATTGATATACTGAATTGACCCGAGTGGTTAGATGCCACTTCCCTACCTAGAAGGTAAAGTTTGCATCTTGGCCCCATATCGCAAGACATACATATCTCGACAGTACCAGTGTGCTCTAGAGTGCTCCTCCTGTGGTGGTTTGCATAAAGCTCAAATCCCGTAAGCCCGGTCAGAGCCCTTACCAGACCGGCCCTTGGTAGGTGGAGCTCTTGTATGTGCCTAGCTCCTGCATCCGCTTCATGCCGCGATGATGTTGAGTTTGTGATCCGGCAGCTGTGGGAACTGCCATAATTGAGCGCAAACATGCAACCGCAGTTAGTTTGCTAAACGAATAAATCCACTGGGAGTAGAGAGAGAGAGACGTTGTAGAATTGAAATGCTAGGATGGATGGAGCCGGAGGTGTTCAGTGGTTACACACACACAGTGGTTGCACAAAGCGTGATAGTCCGTGCGGTGTGGTCTTGGCAGCGATATAACATCAACGCGTCTCTCTCCCTTCCTCTCTTCCCTCCCCAGACATCACGGTACGTCCCCCACAGAACCCCCCCCCCCCGATCCCTCCCCCCCTTGATTTCATATCTAACAACCACCAGACACGGGGATCTCAGTGACGACACAAAGAGAGCACACTACCGCCGTCGCTCCCTCCCCGGAGCGGAGCCGACGCACATGGGTGACCACGAACAGAGATCGGAGAGCATCCCCATCGTCGCGATGTCCATCCGCCTAGCTCGAGCTCGCAGCCCCCTCCCCACGCCACCTCCATCTCCTCGATTCCTCACGGGGTGTGCGGGACGGCGGCAGATGAAGAAATAGATAGAGGGCGCGAGGGCATGTGATGATGACCCACAGACCTACGGAGACCGATACTGCTGATGTGGCCGTGACTAGTGGGTCCGCCGGGTTAGGGCCTGGCTTGGGCTGCGAGAGTAGACCCGGGCTATGGAACTGGCGGCGGAGACGGTGGCGCGGCTGGTGGTGAGGTATGGTTGATGATGGGGTGTTGGATGTAGTTTTCAATCTGATGCTGGTATGCCCCCCCCCCCCCCCCCTTCTCTTTCTTGACTGGCTCCGCCGCTGACTTGGGCATTGGATACACAGAGCGTTTCTCTCTCTCTGGCTTCCTCTCTGTCGCGTCTCGTGTATGGGGATTGGTGTGTGCTGTGTGTGTGTGGTGCGGTTGCGGCCCGAGCGACGCACAAAACTTTGCCTGGTGATGACAAAAAATCAAAAGCCAAATCTGACCCGTTAACCCGGGCGCCCTCTTGCGCGGATCTGTTTTCTTTCCTTCGGGGAGGGAGGTGGGTCTGTGTGTGGGGTGCTCTGTGGTTGGCGAATGATCAAAAAAAATTGAGAGCTATAATTTTTATCTGAAGGCCCCCTCATCCCTTTGCCCCTTTTCGTATGAACTTGTTTTTTTGTACCTTGTTTGGCAATTTGATGGGTTCGCGAGTCATGTAGACAATAATTTAAACCTTTTATATTCCTAACATGTTGACTTCTACCTCTCCTCTACAGCTAATCCAGATTCCAATTGACCACTCTCACCAGATTTCAATTGACCGCATCTCATCTCTAGCTACCCCACCACATCACCACCCAACACCCTCCCCACCCTCCCCCAGTCCACCTTCTCCACCTTCTCCGGCCTCCCCCACTCCCTCCCCACCTCACCAGGATCCTCCCGCCCCGGCTCAACACACACCACCCTCCGCACCCTCACCTCCGGACACACCAGCTCCCGCCAGTCCGGCACACCCCCGCGCACATGGTCCCACGCGCACAGCAGCAGGAAGAATCCATACCCGAGCGCCAGCCCGGCCAGCGTCTGCGCGAGGAAGGTGTAGAGGCGTGCGCGGGCGGCGGCCCAGTTTATGGTGGGGGGTGGGCGGCGGCGGTGGAGGCGGCGGGTGCGTTTTGGGCGTGGGGAGGGGGTGGGGGAGGAGGACGGGGAGGGGGCGAGGGGGGGTTTGTAGATTGCTTTGGGGCGCATGGTTTGGTGGTTGGTGGTTGGTGGTTGTTGGGTTTTGGTTTTGGTTGTGGGTGTGGGTGTGGGTGTGTGTGTATATGTGGATAGATGTGTGTTGGTGAATGAAGAAAAGAAAGGGGGTATATATATACCGCCGGATTCAAGAGCGTAAATGGGGGTCTTGAAATACATATACCACTACCTACACGCATAGATAGCAGTTGCTACAAGAATTTACCAAGTGCATGTGTCTCTCTTGTATCAAAGCTTCATAACCATGAAAACCGAACCGCTGCAGTGACAGTCCCCTCACCATTGATTCTTCTTTGGGCTCTTGGTGTCCGTTGGTTATGAATGCCAAGCTCTAATGTACTATTCTCGAGACGCCCGACATCCATGGAGCTGGGGTGGTATGATGCTTGGGGGTGATGCTTTGTGAGATCGGCCCGAGAGTTCGTGGGCGACAGATCTACATAGAGAAAAGAACCGCACTTCTGCCTCGGGACTTGAATCCTGCGGTGTGTGGATTTCCAAATGAGAGCCCACCGCACCCGGCCTAGCTAGTTGCATCAGAGCGTTTGAAAACGGCGCGGTACAACTAGGCCCAACAACTCACCACCACCTAGCAATTCTCAAAGCCTAGGTCATGTAAGTGTGCAGTGTGCTTCCTTGCTTACTTCGTTTCGATATCGTCAAGTAGTATAGTGAAACCCGTCTTCACCGTCAGCTCGCGAATCTGCTGTTCGTCATCGGGGAAGGCCCTTGGGCTAAAACTCGGGGCCTTCGAGGGAGAGGTTGTATAAGGGGTGCGGTAGGTTGCGGGGTGGAACGAAATAAGTGTTCCGAGTGACGTGTTATGATGCCAAAGAGGTGGAAACCTAACCCTGGTATCCTAGCTTAACGGCGAATGGAAACAACTCTCTCTGAAATGCATGGGCTTATATGTACATAGAGAAAATCTGAAAGCCTAAAGATACTATAATCATTCACCCCCCCACTCCAGCCTCCCCGTCCGTCCCGTAGGGGGTTGCGTGCAATTAACGAATTAAATAAAAACAAACACATAGTAGATACATAATAATAAAAAAAAAACCCCGCTCGACATCAATAAAATTTTACAAAACAAAAAAAGAGCAAAAGTTCACAACACCGCCTATAGGCCTCGGTTGCTACGTCTTTCTACGTCCGGTCCGGAGGGGGGTTGAACGCTCACGAGTTCGGTACAGAGTGTGACCTCTATACCGCTGGGCCACGTCCAACCCCCATGTTCACATTGATTCCTTTAGTACTCTTAGCTGTATGGGGGGCTCGTACATACACTAGCTTGGCGATGTTATCCTTATCAGGACCCGGATGGGCTCCGCACCTACATCATGTAATCTATCTTCACCATGTACTTAACTAAGATGACGATCTCCTGCCACCCTGAGGAATATCAACAACAATAATTCTAATATATGGCCTTTATTTCATGAATACAGGAATGAAGAAAAAGGTCAATTGCTACCATAGAAGCTCGTAATATTTGGCTTGTTTTCTTGCTCGCGGAAGACACATAAACTCGAGCTCGGGTCCACATCATGAAGCATGTGTCCTCAATTGCAAAGGACTCCAAAAATAGATGTTTGAACACGTACACTAGTAAACAATGTGGCCTTTCGGATCACTTCGCCAGCGTGTCATAACGTTACCCTCCTCTCCCTCCGCAGCGGTCAAAACCGTTTTCGCGCCATCTCTCTTCCTTTTTCTTCTCTTCTTTCCTTGGGGGCGGCGGTGGTGAGGGCCCTCACAGAAAAAGCTTTGTTTTTATATTCTAGCTTTCCTTTATGGGAGGTTTACCTTTTATGAAGTAAGTGTTCTTTCATCTCCGTCATTTAAATTTACTACCTCGTTTCTGACGATCTTTTGTGTGTTGTACTTAAAGGGATTGAGCTATCTTTTTTCTTATTTTCTTTTATATCAATCATTTTCTTTTTCATTTGTAAGGAACACTCTTTTTCCCACTGGGTTTTTTAATGAGGTTCCTGTTGTCTTCATGTCTTCTCGTTTTTTTTTCTTTCCTACTTTATTTCTTTTGTGTTTCTTACTTTTTTCCTTTACTTGACATTTCTACTACATTTTTATTTCCCCCCTCATACCATTATCACGTCTTGTGGATCACCCATCTATGATACATGGGGTTCCTTTTTTATATTTCTTTTATATTTTTATTTCCCCCCTCATACCATTATCACGTCTTATAGATCACCCATCTTTATTGGATGGGGTTCCTGAAATGTATTTGTTGTGGCTTTGTATATCTCTAGAAGTCGGTTCGCTCTTTTCCCACTGGGGTTTTAACGAGGCTCCGTTCTTTCTATCTTGTCAATATAGAATACAAGTCACTTTAAAGTCATTAATTTGCCCGGTACTATGAAAACTGTTATATTGTAAGACATCGCGTACCAAACCCCCAATTCCCCGCGCTGTATATTCATTCTGAATATTCCTCTTTGGCCGTTTATCCTGTTTTCACTTTTTAGACTTGTGAACCCATCAATCAAGTACGTAGATGCAAAACCTCGTTGGTGTTTAAACCGAGTGACAGCTCATGATCCTCACCCGCAAAAACAGATTAGCGCCAACTGCAACCCCACGAAGATCCCAACTTCTCTTTATCACCACTCTCCGCTAACCCCCCCAGACAGATGACGAGACAATCCCCATCCATCCGCAAACTCACAGCCTTAAGCTTACAATCACAATGACAAGCAGCATCGCGTACATGGGCCACTCAAAGCTGCAATCACCAGCAGCAGCACACTATCCTCCCAGAAGAATATACCAGAAACTAGGTGAGCCAGGGTTGAAGATATCCGCCGGCCGCACTAGTCCAGCTACTCTGAAGACACACTCTCCGGGAACCCATTATACAAAGAACTTAACATATATCTATTAGCTTCACTGACGTATGACGGTAAGGGAGCTAGAAACAGGAGCCGGAGTACGGTATCATTGTTTTGAATACTCCTGAGTTGTAGCTTTGGTCTTAATGGGGCCGTGGATGGAAGTACGGACGTGAGGGAACCTTTGTGGCGGAGCCAGAGCTTGGTAGACGGGGAGGGGAGAGGGTATTGGGTGTTAATACATCACGGCCAAAAAGCTTGGGGTATGGTGTTCTCTTTTAAGAATAAGAATATCCGAATCTTGTGCGTGTGGCCTCAAGTGCTGGTATAGAGGGCTACAATTACCTACAAAGTCGAGTGGCCGGCGTAGATACGTATACAGTATTCATTGGCCTGTGATTTAGCTACTCTCACACACTCTTTCCCTCTGAATTTGCTCATTGTAGTTGTATGACAGCCAGGCAGGATGAAGTTAATGGGAAATGTATTCTTCAAACGATTGAGATCTTGTAATCGTGAATTGATTCTCTTCCTATTCTCTAAGTTAAAGAACTAGATGATTGCTTGCCACACCCCTCAATCCCCCCCCCCACCCCCCCGGGTCGTACATCGACAAGCGGGATTGCATGTTGAGGACCCCCCTCGCTCCTATAGAAGCACAGTATAACCGGAAAGAAAACAGAACGAAAGAAAAAACTCTAACACAAAGCGACAAGTTGAAACTCTCTCCCACAATGATCTAGCTAGATGTGGAGATTCTCCACCGTCTTCTCCGCCTCCTCCAGCTCTTTGGAAAACACATCCACTGGTATAGGCGCTCCGAAAGCTTCAAGAATAAAAGCATCAGTAGTTCTACCAATGCCTTCTTTGGCCCAATTTTCCAGCATCTCATCCGATGTTGATACAGCACTGATCACAAACTTTGCGACCCTCTTGATCCAGTTGACCGCCATTTCCCCGTTGAGAGTCCCCGCTGCCTGCCGAAACTCAATTGTATCCAAGGTAGGGATACTCGTAAAACTGTAGCGATAGCCCTTCCAGTGTGAAAAGGGTGTATGGTTGGCGTTGAGCATGAAATTGGGAATCGGGTTGATCGTATGGATAAGCTCGGCGCTCGATGTTGTCTTCTCAATTACCATCATCATATCGTAGTCACTAAGTCCGTTCAGATGCCCGCCCTTGCGGCAGGGAAGAATATGAGAACCGATTAGCGTGTAATGCGAGTTTCTGTATAGTGGATGCAGTGTATTCATGGCATCCTCGAAAAGTATAACTGCCTTTGCGACGCGTTTAAGATCTCTCAAGGTGTAGGGCCGTCCGATTCCAACGTGAACATGAAGAGCTGTAGTGCGATTAAAAGATATGTCGAAAGACCTTTTAAGAAGTGCCATCATGTCCGGGACGATAAAGGTCCACTCGTCATTTCTCATTATCGGAGTGATGACTTCGACCCCTGCAGAGTTTGATGGTTCCCAAATAGGAGTAGAAGTCTCAGCACCATTAGAATCTTGTTTTATATCTGTCTCGATGCTCAAGTCATCAATAACCTGAAAGAGCGTGTTGGGAAATGGAATATCTGGTAGTTTTAGGCCGTACTGATATGAGACACTTGTTCCTAATTCCTCGGCCAGCGGATATAAGACATCTGCAACAATCCTATGTACTTCCAAACAATCTTCGACTGTTAGGTTATCGATGATCGCTTCTAGCTCAACGCCAATTGTGAGGTCGAGTCGCCTAGGTGAAGTAAAGATCTCATGGGGATCTTCCGCGGTCGCGGGGGACGTATGACCATCGGTAGGAGGTACTTCAGCTGAGCTACTAGTGTCTGATTCGGACGATTCAAGTCTGGAGTAGCCATATAACGTAGGTGTGGGGGGTGCTGTGAACGTGGACCCCAGTGTGTTACTATCGGTGGTACCAGCTGCAGTCACTGCTGATGGCTTATCCGGTGAGGTCTCTGGCTGTGAGGGAGTGGTGGTAAGTTCTAGTTGTTCGAATGTACACGGAGGTATACTTACCGTCTCGACGAAGAGTAGATTACTATGCGACTCAGCTAAAGCCTCTCTCAAGCTGGTTATCTCGCTCCTTCTCATCGTTGATAAATGAAAACAATTTAGTGAATAATGGTGCTGAATGGCGAAGCGTAGTGTTGAAGGACTGCGAGGTATGTGATTAGTTACACTTAAAGTAGTTGGAAGTTAAGGCTACGAATGCGGTATCGAAGTGGTATAGGTGGTTGTAATTCTTAATACAGAACGACAGGTGTTGGAGAAAGAGGCGTTTGCTGCGAATGAGTGTTCTATTAATTGAAAAACCGAGTCCCTTATCTCTTATGCATTGGGGTATTTTGGATGAATCATAATTGGATACGGAAGGCTGCTTGGTGTCTCGCATAATGAAAGAAAAAGACAGGGAGCAATGAAACGAGTGATATTACATGATTCTCAATGTAAATTTGCGTGTAAAATTATATCAGGAACAAGACATCCAAGGGAGGTGTGAGTTACGTGTTTACTACATGTGCATATACTTATAAACTCCATACGCTCGGTGTTACAGTGAGATAGGTTGGTAACGTCCGATGAGTGCCGGCCCGGAATCAGAGCCAGCTAGCTTGCTTCAGCGCTGGAAATATCGCTTGCTTGGGTATATTATGTATTATATACATGCATGTACCTCTCTAAATCCCTCAATTCATCACCCTCCCGTTCGTCTACCGCTTCAACTAACTTGTACTTGGAGAGCACAGCAGCATGCCAACCATGCACCCATCGTACGTAGGAGTTGGATCAGTATCTAACAAAAAGGGTGGTGGAGAGTATATTGCTGATGCCACAGTTGCACCACACGAAATAACCTAAGTTCTTCCCAATCATAAGATTTGTTCAGGCATTATCCTACTTCACCGTTTTCTCCCCATTTTCTTATGTTCAATGCTCTGGGAAACGAACTCGTCACCTATAATTAACGACCGTAATAACGTCAGGCTCAGTCATAGAGAGGGTTATCCTCGGCCTAAATCATGTTTATTCCGGCCAGTCACACACAGTGACCACTCACCGGTAACAGAATTCGAATATATATACGGACCCTGAATATGCCATTGCTCATTTGAATGACGGAAAACACCCCCCATTATCGCTCATAAAGAGACTAGATTGTGGTAGTAGACTACTTCTTGGCACTTCCGGTAGTTCTCCTCGTGAAGTGGACTCTACTGGCAAGCATCTTGCTGCTAAGTAGGGGATGGTTTTGAGACTAAGCCGTGCCTGTCGTCCGTGGATAGGGGGCATCGATAGTTGGATCAGAGAGCTTCTCATCTCAACAATAGAGCTGAGGTAAAGAAGAAAAAAAAAGTGTTCTGTTGGAAAGTGGAATTACTAAGCGGGATTCGAACCCGGTATTCGCTGTCGTCATAAGTTTCCTAAACCGGAGGCATATACCGCTAACAGAACTTCAAGGGCTGCCTGCTAGGGAAGATCTTAAACTCACACGCAGACTAGTCCCGTACCAACATGTACTTATCTCGTACCAGTCCCCTACCAGCAGTAAGCTGCTTGCCAGTAGGTCTGTAACATTATCTCTCCGACAAGTGTCGGGGCTCAGTTCGGCCTTCTGTATCACAAGTCGGGCCTTTATATCACATTGTCCGCCTTTATATCTCAAGTCGGGCACCTACATCACATTTCAGGCCGACATGGTTTTTCCCGAAAGCCACCCTGACAGCTAATACCCCATACAAAAGGATCTCACCCAAGCTGGAAAGATATAGAACCAGCCCGTCCGCTGGAACCATGGAAGCAGACGGATTGGGGATCGACGAGCCTAGGCCGAACCATATACTATTCCCTTGTGACATGCAAAATCTGGATTGGAAGACCTGAATACATACCGGAGTATAGCCGGGGCTTATCTGAGTGTGTTGAGTTTGTTTAGAAGGCTCTGTATAGCCATTATTCCGAGTGAGTGGTGTTGATAAATATATCACTCGTCTTGAATAATTATTATAATTAGTCACTAGGCTCCAGAGGTTAATTTATGGCATAGTTTAATTTCGGTTTTCACAGCACATTTAGTGAATTTTCGTCTCATGAGCTGGGAGATGCCAATAAGCTGAGGGACTCCAGACATATAGAGGTAGAGCCCTTATTGGATAAGTCTTTCCGGCGCACTTGATCCTAGTCAATGGTGTCGTCAAAACACCTTTCTTGGGTTACTCAGTAACGAGACGGTTCATACTCCTATAAATTCATTGATATAAACCCGTGTACCACATCGGGCAGGGGTTCTTCAGGGCAGGGTTAGATCCCATATATCCTTTCCTATAATCAAAGATTAGAGCTCATCACTCACATGTCCACGACATAATAAAATTCACACCTGGTGACCCCATGATAGGCTTCACAACACTTCTAGATCTCTTAATTCCCGGATAGATCTCGTTTATATCTTCCGGAGGAGCTTCCCAACCACTTGGAAACGCTTTGGGCTCCGGTAGGACTGCACCCGTGCAAACTAAGAGTATTGGGTCTAACTGTGGGCCCTAAGAAGCCATCGGTTGATACTAAGTCGTATATCGCAATTAAATCTCTAAGAATATCGCTTTATAAAGGTACGACCTCTTGGTTCTGATTTGCTGTTGACCCAGGCCTAGGCCGGGGAGGTACGCTACATGTACTTATAATGGCGCTAGTCTCCAGCCCTGAATATACCTTTCTACGGAGAATCGACTGGACTAATACGTACTGCTGGGCTAGCTAGTGCTACACGCTATTCTCTGCACTAGCCATCCCCCAGCTCAAGTATAAGTTCCCGCGCTTGTAAGTCATCGGCGAGTGGTCAAGTGGATAATACACTCTGACTGCTCGTCATACACCGAGTATTTGATCCCTAGGACCTGGGTTCAAATCGGGGGTGGGAGTAGTGCAGTACGGGGCACAGTACTTTTTGTTGAGATGAGCTAGATGGAGGGATAAGGACGATATTATTTATTGTTTGGATACCGCAGTGGTAGTTCCTGGAATTTCGATTAGGGTTTAGATCAAGCACATGTAGTCAGGGCTCGCAGTGGTACCTATTAAATCGTTTTATACCCATATAATGTCCCACTAATGTACCTCCGGGCCGGGGCTGTACTGCTAGTTGATAATTCAATCACGCAATATTTTAAACCATTACACGTTGAATAAATGAAGCAATCAATCAACTGGTGCATGTTAAATGATGGAACCGAGTGGACTTTCATGCCTTCGTTCGTGTGATTACTGGTATGAAAAAGAACTAGGAAGGTCCCCAAAAAACAAAAGAGAACAGCTGGAAGGAGTGTAGACTCCCCCGGATGAATCAATCCTCCGGCGCTAAGCAGGTCTTTCCTTTGATGACGAGGCAGTGCTCAAGCTGTGCTGCTTCATTACATCTATCTTAATTATCGGTATATTTTGCTCCGAAACGACTTGATGGTAGAGATTACGCCATCCCCAATGATATGTATGGTTTATTACCCCATCAATTCCGTTGTGAGGTTTATGTTTACATCACCAATCTTCTGGTTTAGCTCGGCAACCTCCATTTTCGACTCCTAGCTTCTGAAGAATAGTATTCTGGGCGTAAAAGATATGACCGTAGCTGCTGGGCCCACAAATTCGCGAGAATTAAGGGAACGAATCTAATGGGCGTGTACGTGAATTGAAAACATTGTTTTATTTAATGTCCCCGAGAAACAAATCGAATCAATTGATTAATTAAAAGGGCTTAGAAAGTCCTCATTTTAAGATTTTCATTGTCATCAGTACTCTTGGCGGTGTGGTTTGGGCTCTGTGTGTGGTTGTCCGGGAGACAGAAGCAGTGTTTTGGGCCCTGCGCTCAACACCCGTGGCAAAATATCATCCTCATCGACGTCCTGTGATTCCAAATGTTAGTAGAGAAGAAGAGAAGAGAAGAAGAAGAAACTGACCTCTGTAATATGCCCCTCTCAAAACTGAAGTTACCATAGTGCTTCCTCCACCACATCTACCCAACCCTCGCTCCAAGGTTTTCCGAGTGACACTCCATGATTCTAGAAGCCCACTGTTTATCACCTCCACCTGCAACACCAACTCCACGTCTCCCTACCACCAGCTCCTAGGTAACCCCCACAAAAGCCTGTTACCCATTGTCATACCACACAACACAAACATGGACGACTACATGTACGAGGATGACGGCGAAGCTGCTGTCTATGACGAACGTAATACTGGCGGAGCCTTCGAGTCCGCCATTGACCATGATGCTCTTCTCAAAGCTGAACAGGATGAAAGCATCCGTCAGGAAGAAGCCGTAACCCACACCTTCCTCCACCTTCTTCTTGCCCCACTAACACCCCCCACAGATGAGCAAATTCATGAACAAGCTCCGTGACATGATCATCTGGGAACCCTTCCTGCTCGACAACACCATCGACGACCTCGAACTCGTCACCAAGAGTAGCATAGCCCAGCTCGAAGAGCTCGCCTACCGCCCCCACACACCCCCACCCCCTACCTCTGGCGCCATCCTCCCCACCGGCTGCCAGCACATTCAATCCGCTGCCGTCCTCCACCTCCTTAGCTCCTCGTCTGCCAGCCCGCGCACCGTCTTTCTCCGCCTCAAGCGTGATCTTGCAAATATCGATGAGTTTATGAGCAGCGTCACCCCCGCGAGAGTCGAGTCCGTCTACTGGAACGAGTTGGGGAAGTATGCGTTTATCAACTTCCTCGACGAGGCCACGGCGAAGGTGTATCGTGACTACATGAGCTACCATCCGAGCCATCCCTACAACTGGGAGGTCAAGGACACGCTCATGAACAATTCTGTGCGTCCCATGCGCCCCGAGATCGCTGAGGCCGTAATTGTCAATGGCGCCACGCGCATCCTCAGGCTGAATAAGGTGCCAATCAATGTTCCTTATGGGCGTGCGTGGCGGATTGCCGAGACCGGCCATCCACGATTCTGCCATGTGATTCGCATCAGAGAGGGGCCCGTAGACAAGGACTTTGCGATCGAGTTTGATGATGTTGGAAAGGCAATTAGCGCAAGGGATAGATTGGCGGCGAGGGCGGAGATGAGGGGTGTAGGATTCCTGTGGATGGGGAATGAGCTGGATAGGAAGATTGAAGAGTTTACGGAGGAGTTGAATGGTGTGATGGAGCCGGTGAAAATTAACCTTCGGGCTTGAGGAAACAGAAAGGAGTAGCGTCTCTTTTGCGTGCTATGGCTTGATGAGGAGCAAGTGTGTAACATAGTTCGATTCCAATTCTACCGTCTGCGACATACGGGCTTTGAAAAATGTTTGTTCCTTCTTATGCCGTGGTTATTGTCGTTGGTGATGAAGGAAAACGAAATTCAGTGTGTTGTATAAGTACAAGAAAAGAAGAAGGAGAAGAAACTGTGCTAATTTAATGAAAGAAACAGGAAAGCAAGATACATGTTCTTAGTAGGCTACGTATGCTTGTGCATGTTGTATCACCTCCCACCCACTTACATGTAGGTTACAACTTACTTCAATATCCGCACTTTATTCACACTTTATCTTTCCTTATTTTTTATGACATTTTAATGAGACATTTATTCAATATAGCGATAATTGAAATGTCCCAAGTCGGTTTATGCCATCAAAAAATCAAAGGGCCGACGGGCGAGCAATATAAAAGCAGCGTACTAGCGTGGGAAGGTTGCCACCATTGTGATTTATCGGGGAGGTACTTCATTTACTGCTAGTCTAGGGATATTCTGGGATTAGCTAAAGTACATCTAAGCACTGTACATCTCACGACAGTGGGTTCTTTCTAAAATCATCAGGCGCAGTCAATATATCGGCTGGTAGTTCTAATTTCTTAACCCGTCTATTTTAACAGGACTACACACTCCTTTTTCCACAGCGATATACAGACTCGGTATCCCCTACGACGCCGCTCAAGAGGGGGTAAAGTCCAGTACTACCCCGCTTTGATCTGGAGTCATTCGGTCGGTCAATCGACTTCTCTTGCTCATTAAGACAGGCGAGTGACAAATTGTGAACCAATACTCCCAAAACGCTCAACAAGGGTGCGATAACAAATAGAGGCTCAGGTAAATGAAGTTTTAAGTGCACTTAGGATTAGGGATGTTACGGCTCATTCACGAAGGCAGTTCACTCGCGAAGTCTCGTGAGTGAACTAGTTCAGCCAGGAGGTATTGATTATTACGGATGATCATATTGGGTTCTTAGATCTGATCTCCCTTCTCAACGTATTGTCCCTGAGAACAAAGGAAAGAAAGACCTCCAGGGACTGGATGAGCGCTGCAATACCATGTATGAGTGCCTGGAAGCATGAATGAACATGAGGTGGTAAGCGACAATGGGCAGAGGCTTAGGGTCAAATAAATTCGGGTTTTCTTTTTGCTGGCACTTTACCGCTGACTTTGTGAATGGACCGAATTATTCCTGACTCAGTTGATAAGTTCCGATATATATCTCACCTCCTGGGTGAACTGGTTCACTCCCGAAACTTCGTGAATAAACCGGCCTCGTGAATGAGCCGTAACAGGGACACTTGTAATCAGCTAAGATGATCGAAGGCGACCGCCATATTTCTTGTTCCTAGAGGAAGCTATAATAAATGTGTGCATGTTGAAGTACTCTCAAGACAGACACAAGGATTCCTTGGAAGTCCACCAAGAACTATACTCGGAGCTGTAGGTTTTTGTACTGTTGCTATGCAAAATGTGTTTTTGCTTATTTACACACTAATCATGCAGGAGACAAGCATCAACCGAGCGGGTTTCTTCAACATAGTGGGAACTTAGTCTCTATTCGCTAAGCATGACCATCCTAATACCTATTCTGCGCAAACAAACAATTGAGCTTGGAATATATCTGGTAATATCAGTGTGAAGGGCTGCCCCACGGTGCTATTGTAATGATCTTTACACCGGTTGTTCAAAATTGGAAAGAAGTTTCTCTCGTAAGCACATACTTTGTACTATGATTATTATCCTGTGCGCCCTTATTATCGAGGTGGGTAAAGATCCTAACGTACGCTATGGATGACGGTCTGCCTAGGGATAGGGTTATTTCAGGGCATTCCTGAGTGAGCCGGGGGCGGTCTACTGAGGAATGACTGTGAAGAGAACATAAAGGTTATCTCCGGAGCCTGGCAAAGTAACCATTCCTGGCTCCAAACGTTCTACTGAACGCATAGGAGCCTGATAGATCACACCATAAGCAATTCTTCTTCCAGCCGTTGGGTATGATAGTTCTTTCTCTAGAGTAACTCGGGCCATGACATATCGCTGATATAATAAGCACGTCCCTGTGTCAACGGTTCGTTTAGGAAGACTTCTGAGTGAGCCGCATCTGAATAACATGCAACGATACCTGCATTAGGTATCCTGTGGATGAAAGTTATTTGGAGGACTCTGAGAGCCTGTTCGGACCGCCTAATCTAGCGACTAATGCTCTCTAAGGAGGCTATGAGTCTATATTCACGATAAAAATCGTTGATTCTCATGAAGCGCAAGGCACTGAAGAGTCATAAGAGTTGAAAATGGGACAAGATGGTATGGCAGAGTGCCTGGGGGATTAAATACAAACAATGACGAACTAACAATATGATAAGTTGACTGATGTCCGCTCAGCAGCAAAAATAGTAGTTTAAAGGCGCTAGGAGAAACTTTCGAGCGAATTTGAAGCGCTGTGCGTGTGTGCTCCTCGATCCGTAAGACCTCCATGGCCTTGATTCCACCGGTACAGCCGATAGAAGCTCGGTCCGAGCTAGGAAGCACCCGGATTACTTTTAAAGCATAGGAGAGCGCCTCTGACAGGTCGGGGTACCAATTTGAGATGGAAGTGTAAATTGTGATTTCCAGCGGTCGACAGAGTGATATATCTAGGATCGCTGAACCCTAAACCCTAACAGCAGGGGGGGGATGTGGCACATGTGGACCCCCTGCAGAAAAAGGCCAGTCAGCAAAATATGTTCCCCGATCAGATCTCATCAGATTGGCAGCGGGTCATTCGGAGCGAGGAGGTCACCCTGTTATAAATGGCGCACGTTGTGCCCATTACGTGAGGAACTTGGCGGAGGGGTTTTTGTTATCAGGCAGGAAAGGAAAGGTGGGAAATATCTGAAATAGGAGATGGTACGTAGTTTTAGAGGCTTGGAAATGTTTTTTCTCCCTAGGGCCTGAGTTCTATCGGGACACGGCGGTACGTGTAGGTGCAGTGGCGCGCAAAAAGTAGTAACCCTAAGCCCCAATTAAGGTTGGGGCGGCATGGGCTGCTGCAACGAAGATTATCATCGGTGATTTTCCAAGCAACACCACACCTTACTCACATCCCGTTTAATATCCACCCACGACGCTCTCTCCCATCACAATTTCTTCGTCAAGCCTTCCCATCCCGCAGCGACCCTTGTTGTCTGTTGTTGCGCGAAGGACTATCGATACCAACGGAACCTCCTAACTGATCTCTCGACCCAACGTGACGTCACTTGATCAACAAAGAACGGAAGGATAATTGCAGTTGGGAATAAAAGCAGAAATGGTGATCAGAAATAAAGATCCGTGCCAGCCTTGCAGGCAAAAAAAAGTACGTAAACCTCTCAACTGTAATTTCAAGCACTTCCCCTGACCCGTGCAATTGTTATCGAAAAAGATAAGGTGCAATCATAATATACAACAGACCCCTAGCCCCGCGCCGGTCGTGAGCCCCAAAGCGTCCTTGACGCCCAGGAAGACGCGTCAGGCTATGGAGAAACCCTCAACCATTAGTCTTGGTAATATTCCGGTATTTGAAAGCCAGGAGGGTCTTGATGCGTTAGCCACGATCAGCAACAACAACCTTGGGGCTAGAGACAACACTCCGGACTTGCTGGAAACCTGCAACACAAAGCCAGTGGTTAAACCACGCAAAAGAGGCCTCTTTAGGGAGTCTCCGCCGGCAAAGCTCACAAAAAAGCAGAGGGTGGATAGTAGCCCAACAGACACATTCGAAGCAGAAATGAATGTATCGGTCCCGGCGTGGATGACTGAGAAACTTAAAAGCATCCCTGATTTCCGGGGCCCCATGGGCTCCAAGAGATCAGGTCTTAGGAACTGTCGAAAGAACCTCAAAACCTTCTTCGCCAATACCCGTGACTCGGAGGACTCGTCTAATGGCTCTGTGCAAAGCGCGTCAACTGGCGAACCAGAGAAAGAAGAGCGCTTGAGGATCGCCAAAGCCAGTTTAGATACCAATGCTTCGAGAAGCGGGTCTTCAAGGGCGACCACATCAATTGTGGTAATTGATGATGATGATAACCCGTTTCCTTCAATCAGCGAAGACTTTGAACACAACGAGAGGGTAAAAGGAGGAATTGGGGCATTGTCGCTAATGAGTCCCCCGGCTCCTGCCTTGATAGAGACTACTCTAGAAAATCCAGAAGCTGGCAATCCCGTAGAGGCTGAAAGACATAGTTCACTATCCGTCCAAGCTTTAGAGGAAGAGCCAGAAAAATCCATGAAACCTGGAAACGCGGGTTTGGGAATGCTCCAGGAAGTGGAAAGCAAGTTGCCCGAATCTGAACCGAGTGTTCCAGGCTCTTTATCAAGCGGTAAAAATCTTGAGAAACAGGTAAACGGACCCGTAGAGATTGAACCGCACCAGCAAGAGACGACAGACGATGTCGAAAATGCGCCTTATGGTTGTAAACCGCTGAGCACAAAAGAACTTGTACCGATGATCAATGGTGCGGTGGATGGCAAATTGTCTTCTGAGGGTAATGATTCAGAGAAGGTTCCTGTAGTTACTGGCCTTGGCGAACAAGGCATTGAACATCGGGGAGAAGAGCAATGCGTTGCTAGTAACCCCGATGACCCCTCTTCTGGAGAGCCGGGTCTTCAATCTATCGTTACATCAGATGGTTCTATTGATGACAAGGTCAATGTTGAGCATATTCCTCATCTTGGTAGCGCGGGTGATTCGCCACTGGACAAAGCAGGTGTCTCTGAGAAGAATGTCTTCAAGGATACGGTACAAAAGGATTTGGTGGAGGTCAAGAGGGGAGAATCAACCCAAGCTACTCTCAAGGATGTTCAACAAAGCCCAGACGAATCATCGGACCCCGAGGCAAACATTTTGTATCCTGATATCGTGTTTCCGCGGTATCAACTTCCAATAGCACCAATCCACCCCAATGGAATCGTGCAGAGTTCGGGCCTCAACCCGTGGAATAGAGCCTCTCGGGATGAAAGTTTAGTGTCTTCAGAGGGATCTATGGATAGCGACGATGCAAGACGAACGTTGTGGAGCAAAGAACAGGCTGAGAGCCCCTCTTTATCTACTATTGACAGGTCTCGCTGGAGGGATTTGGACGCTGGGCCAAGCCGTTTTTCAGGCCCTCGAATTGTTACACCGCTTCGCGCCACCCCTCTTGAACCTGGAATGGGCCTGGTAGATACAAAACGTTACTCTCAACATGAAGGGCTGTGGAACATGGTCACCAATGATGTAAGCATCCAATCTATACACAATCGCAGGTTATAGTTGCTGACTGTGGTATTAAAAGTACCTCGCAAAGTTCAAGCGCGTTTCTAAAGATAAAGAGGAAGAAAGGTTGTGATGGAATGGCTCTAGAGAGTGTTGATTTTGGGGATAATTTTGGGGATACCTTTGTGGAAGTCCTTTAAAGGTTCTTCATGTTGGAGTATTGAATTTACCCATCCTTTCTGTCAAGCGTGTCACTTTTATTGATCCAAGGGCTGCAATACTACCTGCGGTACATCTCAACATAGCTTTCTATATACCAGCACGGTAACTATCACATCTATCCTTCTACCTAGCTGGTCTCGGGGTATAATGTTTTGTATAATCATACTTCAAGTTTCTTGCATTGCAGTCAGGGGAACTACACCGGGCAGCTGGAGCCAATGTTGGAGCGAGATCTCTTACTGTCGCATAATACCTGTGTTGCGCAAGGGCACCGAGTATCGTAAGACCGCCCCCTTCAGGCAAATATAACCACAGTCCTACCGCCATAGCCTCTTTGCGTGAATACGGTGCGGCAGCTACAGTAACCATTATAAGTGGAGGTTGGTCACTTACTCCTCGTAACTCGGTCTGTTTGATTAGGATACATATAGGCCCATTTCAAGTTGCTTGGGAGCTGCATGAGGTCGTTTATAACATAGCACCTTGACCTCATATTCAACTAAGGCGCCTTTCGTGATCCCGCTGGCCAGTCTACGATACTGCCGAGTGTTAGCGATCCTGTAAAAATGTGAAAACCCCACAGCCTCAATTAATGGGCACCGTATCGAGATCAGCCTAGACGCATCCTAAGTTCATTGTGATATAACTCGACTTGAGTCCGGTCCGTTGAAGTTTCCCATATTATAGGGCGCTCGGCTCAAAGACAATCGGCTCGGCTTCAATACCAAGGTGTATGCGTGCAGGAAAAAAAAAACGTCAGGTCTCATCTGAGCGGTAGTAGAGGAATCTATGGCATTGCGGACGAAGGAAACCCGTTCCCATTGCGATCACCCACGAAGCTGACAAGCGTCCAACTTGTAATGCCCACAACTAGTACACGATGTTTTCAACTATCACCCAAACCGAAAGGTTGTAAACCATATCCTCCGCATTCTCCAGTTCCACCAACACATAAAGAATACTTATTCTCCCCTCCTTATTTTCGGAAGCAGTTATCATTTTAGCACCGCCAAAGTGGGGCCAGGGTTAGGGTTATTTGTACAGCAATCTCTGGAACGATCTTTTTAATCACGAATACTTTATCCCTCTCTCCTCTTTCTTTTTTGGTGCTTTTTTTTTCTTTTCTTTCTTGGATATGATGAATTCTTTTACCAGCTGCTCAAGCTTTTTAGGGGTGAGTTGGAGAACCCACAACAACCCACAGATGACTAAACAGGTCTTCTCTAGCATATCGTGCTCAAGGTCTCTCATCCCAGCGGACTTAAACGTCAGTAAGAGTATATCAAGACCAGTAGGGTTAGGGTTGTAGCGAAGAAAAACACTAAATACGGATGTATCTGGCGATTCGGAGTTGTAGGCCCTGTCATCTTCTTTTTCAATCATCGTGGAGCAGGATCAACTGGATTACATGTAGTCATGGCGCCTTTTGGTGTGGTTGGTGAGAAAGAAGGTGGTAGTCCGTAACCCTTTACTATTTTGGTGGGTTTGCGGTTAAGAAAGATTTTATCTGTATATTCATAGAGGGATTGGAGAGAAAGTTTCTTTGGATCTCTGGTGCTGTATGCTGACCGGCCAAAGGTTGTGCCTCCTCATAATTGGAGGGTTGTTGAACAATGACAGCGAGAGGGTTAGGGTTCTATCGTGTCTTGGCGCCAGCTGTGCGCATCAAGTACGGCTTCCGGGCAATGAAAAATAACAACGAGTCATCCAGTGGATGAGATATTGAGACCCTCGTCAGGCCATATACAGTCCCAATTTCTATCTCTGCGCCACTCCAATCGACGTGGTTGTGGTTCTTCCTGGCTCTTTAGAGGGCCATACAACGCGACACTACAACCTCGTCGTCACAAGATCTTGCGGCAATCAGATCTCTTGCGGCAGGCAGATGTTTCATCTAGAGAGTTATGGTCGGAGAATAGGTAAGTTGGTTAAGGTAAGTAAGTACCCCGCTTTCTGCCTGTGGTATCATTTCTCATATTAGTCATTAGTAGAAATTTCAGAGCCTTCCTCAGCTACGGCCAAGTCTTCCAGGACCATCAACGAGGTTGGCCAAGGCAGTCGGCGGGGATTCTTCTCGAGATGGAGGTCGATTGATGCTCTCTCCCCTCTTCACCTCGATATCTCTTATGCACCACACTGCCTGATTACTTAGGACTATAGTTTTTGATAACGAACCGCTACCAGTCCTCTTTCGAAGCTATTCCCCCCCCCCCCCACTTCCTAATGCGACAGAGGAGAAAGTGGCTCCTGTGTAAAGCAGTGACTATGGGTGAGGTCTATCGGTGATCTTCACCGACGCGCAAAGACTCTTGGTATATGGACATTCTGGTAGATTGGACAATCGAAAACTTCGGCAGGACTACAGGGCAGGGGTGGTTATTTTCATGACTTCGCCAAACAGCCTCCGAGCTCACCTCTTCATCTTGTACCTCTGATTTTCCGCTGTCCGGATCAACCCTTGCTAGAAAAACACAATATTGCTAGCTGACCGGTAAACTGGGGATCGGGGCCTATATTTGGGCTTACGTTTGGAGAAACGTTTTATGAAGGTAGAGACGGGCGATGCTCGTCTTATCTGCTAGGATAGTCTTTTCTTCCATGAGAGTTATCATACTTGTTAGGTTATTTAGCTTGTTAAGGAACTTCCTCTAGAGGGAACAATCTCCACACCTTCATGATTCAACTCATCTCAACGGAAATCTGGAATTTGTATGCTTATTTCGTCCAACTTTAAATCGTTTCGTCTCCCTTCCAAGGCGCGCGGAACAAAGACATGGCTTCCAAACGTTAAAAGAACTCTCCAAACGCTGGATCAAGCCCCCGGCAGGTTTTTAACTCAATCATAGGTTATCACTCGTCGGGGGCCTCTCATCACCACCACATGAGGAGCCTTCCTGGGACTGGATAATCATATATCTAATCGATATTACTGAGCTTCGGTGTAGCTCCTATTCTTTCTGGAGCTGTAAGGCTTGCCTCATAAATTATATCACTACCTAGTAGGGGCACGATGTACTTGGTACTCAATATACAACTTCCTCCAGAAGACACGAGGCAATGATCAAGATATACCTTGTCAATATCTTGATAATAATTTTGGTATCCGCTCGCGAGAACACCACCAATTCACGCCCTTCACGATTTGGTCAATCAAGGACACAAAGGAGAGCGAGACTGCCCTGAAAGCGTCCTACAAATTCTACGAAAGATATAAGACCCATAATATCATTACTAAATCTTTACCAAGATTATAGGATTACATACAATAAGCCTTCTTATCAAATCAAGGCCGGAAAAAAAAGCATAAAATAAGGCATCAAAGACAACCTATGTATCTGCCGAGAAGGCTATTATCAGTCTAGGTCCGAAATAAGGTTTACTCGTCGTCATCATAAGTTGAGTCACCATCAAAAGGTCAACAAGCTATTCTGCTTCTGGTTACATATTTTCAACAAAAAGTACTGTGCCCCTTACTGCACTACTCCCACCCCCGATTTGAACCCAGGTCCTAGGGATCAAATACTCGGTGTATGACGAGCGGCCAGAGTGTTTTACCCACTTGACCACCTGCCGATGTTCTACAAGCGCGGGAACTTATACTTGAAGGCCAGGGGCAGGCGCTAGACTAGTGGAGGGTCTAACCCTAGCAGCCCACGATATCAGTTAGCACCAAGTACATGTAGTAATAGCTGAATGCTTCGCAGCCACAACTTCTATGATGGACGCTGTCCCCGACTACTTAGATTCACAGTCATGCCGATATAAGCTCAAAAAATATATAAAGTAACAGCCTATTCCAACTCCTCGCTGGTACACCATCCCAACAAAAAGTACTGTGCCCCGTACTGCACTACTCCCACCCCCAATTTGAACCCAGGTCCTAGGGATCAAATACTCGGTGTCACACCTGGCGAGCAGTCAGAGTGTATTACCCACTTGACCACTCGCCGATGATTCGCAAGCGCGGGAACTTATACTTGAGCGGGCGGCAGGTGTGGAGGCTAGTGGTGTGCACCAGGGCTAGCGGTATTGGAAGCTTCGTAAATGACACCAACCACTTGACGCATCAAATGGCTGACTTCTAAGATTTAGAGAGGGTTGAAGGCTTGACAAGATCATATCGGAACACTAATATCACCTCCGGAGTCGTGCTGCTGAGGATATACACTCCTTCTGGACTTCCCGGGATAGCTCAGTTTCGAGCAGATGGGTGCATGATGTTGAGCGTATAGGACACACTCAAATGCAGAAAGATGTTTCAATGATGAGCGGTATAGCCCACAGGTCTACTCCATTGGCTTTTCTACACTTTGAAACTCCCTAACAACTATTTGGCTAACCTGACGTCTCCTTAAGGCTGTGGCCATGGGGGGAAATGATCTTGGTTGATCGCTCTCCTAAGAACATTGCAATCTATGGCAAGAGATGGAAACAAAGCCTCTTACTCTTCCTCACGTTCTCACTCCCAGGTCTTTTCTCTCCGTCACTACCGAGGATCCTTCATATATATGATGCCAATCATTAGGTATTACTCGGATATCTCAGCTCTATTCCAGTACTTCAAAGCAAAAATTCATTTCACCAAAGGCACATTACACTACATCATTCCAGCATTAGCACCCACCAATCCCCCAACCGCTCGCCCGCCTCATCCAGACCGCCCTGAATCGCCAGCCACCGGCCGCCCTTTCCTGCCGCGCCGAACCGCCCCCTCGCCAACGGCTTCTCGCCGGTGGTGACAACTTCGCACCACTCCGCCGCGGCGATATCATATGCCCAGATGTCTTGCAGGTACTTGACGACCTCGCCGCCGCTCTCGCCGGATTCGCCGAAGGCCGTGAGGAGGTATTCTTTCTTTGTGCCCGGGTGCAACAGTGGGACGAGACACGATGAATAGCGCGGTGCGGGGCCGGTCGAGGGCGGGTACTCGATTGTGCGCCAGGTGTCGTGTTGGATGTCATATCTACCCCACCTGTCAGTCCAACTCCCCCCTCACAAACACACTCAATCATTAAACCAATCATTCAATCCGTCAAGAAAGAAAGAAATAACTCACACGCCCACCTCCCCCCGAGAGCACCCACTCCATCCCACCCCGCAAACCTCCAAATCTCCCTTCCGCCCGTCACCGCCATCCCTACCGCACTCCTCTCACCCCCAGGCGCATCCCTCAACCTCACCCACCTTCTCTCCGCCACTACAAACGCCCACAAATCCCCGAGCATCCCACTCTCTGCTACCCCCGCATGCACATACACCCTCCCTTCCGCCGCCACCAGCGCATGGCCCCCCCTCGCACTCGGAAACTCCCCACCGTCAACCGGATCAACAGCCTCCCAGCTCTGCGCGCCCGCTGTGAACGACCACAGCCGACCGCCCTCTTCGAGCGGACTCATGTCTGCCCCACCGCGGCCGCCGAATACGTATAGTGTGTCGTCGAGGGTTGCAGCGGCGGCGTCTACGCGCGGGGAGGGCCCGGAGGGGGAGGCGAGAATCGTGATGGCCAGCGGGACGGTCGGGTCAAGGGGGAGGAGGTGTAGTTCGGCGCCGGAGGGGGGGCGGTTGTCGTGGGATTCGCCGGAGAAGTGGTGGAGGGTAGAGTGTAGGACTGAGAGGGTGTGGGAGGAGCGGGGGACGGAGGGAAGGTGGGCGAGGGGGTGCCATTTCGCTGAGAGGGGTGCCATTGCGATTGTGGGTGGAGACTTGTAAGAGGGAGACTTGTAAGAGGGAGAGGTGGTGGTGGGTGGGGTGATAATGGGGGTGCTGACTGTGATAACGGTTCTGTGGTCGTACAAGATCGCGGATCTTCGACAGGGTTTGCGGATGTCGTCTGCAGTGTAGACTAAGACTCCATAACTATATCAATCATGGAATAACAACTGAAACATCATAGGATTACTAGCATACGCACCGCGCGTAAAACCTAACGAGACACGCATGACCGATAATGGTAGCCTTCCTAACTTCTGGGATCTTGATAAACTTAGCCCTAAATCATCGCAAAGCCAGGAATCGGTGGCCACGCTCGCAGGAAGCACATTCACAAGCATACTATCAACCACCGATTATACCGCCATCACATCAGCTGCCACAATCGGATTCCATGATATCTCCATCACGCCGCGCAGCGACGAAGCTTTCCTGAAATATACTTCGCAGGGCCTCTAACTCCAGTAGTTGCTATTTCGGTCATTTCCTCGGCCTCTAACTATAGCACTGTGTTTGGGAAAGCGTAGGACTGTTGAAGTGGCGACAGACTGGCGCTGACTATTAGTCGGGTAGTAGATAAGGCGATTTGGCGGTTGGCTGGGTCGCAGCAGCTCTTTTGAGCTCTATTGCACTTACTTTAGCTTAACATGCTTTTGTGTATATAGTCACCTCTTCGAATTGAATTGCTTATACCTGCTAAAAAGGATTCGTAAGCCTTTAGTGCTCTATATAACTTCAGATAGCCTTTACGCAATAAACATGGTCTAGATAGCCAGCTGTAGAGTAGTACCACCCCTATATACAGCACTGCCGGTATGTATATGTATGGGAAGAACATCGCTATCAGAGAGACAAAGGACAGTGCGGTCTGTTGATCAGGTCACACGGAAGAGATTGTATGATTGAATTAAAAAAAAGTAACGAGAGAAGAAGGAGGAGGAGCAGGCTCCTTTTATAAGTGACAAAGTCGTGACAAACACGTATCATCAGGACAACTAAACCCGTTATCTTAACACAGTACTAATAGCAGACAGCAAAGACTATCGAATCAATAAGGTCTCACCTTACTGCCACGTTATAAACAGATAGAAGCGCATTTACTCTCAAATACCCCATCTCCCTCATATACACGGGGGCCTAGCTCATGAAGATGTGTTACCATTGACAGGGTTAGGGTTCCGAGTAGTCTTGGCAGATATATGTCTATATCGTTGATTTGGTTTCACAACCTTTTGATTTTATGGAACGCCCCAATAGAGTGTTTATTTCTAAGATGAAAGGCTGCATCTTATGGCATAAGGTTTTGTATTCATGTACCCCCTACAGGCGCCAAAGTTCATGTACTTAGACCCCGTCCCGACATCGCTGGCGCACATACATTGACGGTTTGAATTTAATAATCATAACCCATTAAATAAACCTATGAAGAAGCCCATAAACATTTTTATAGAAGAGAAGACTAAGTACACTGTTTCTTGGTGTTAACGACTTGAAAAAATTTCCTTATCAGAGTACACCTAATCACCGTGTTCCCAAATTCTCACTACCAGCATGTTTTCTTCCAACGGATGATTTTTCCCACTTAGTGCATCTCGGAGTACAAACTTAGTGTTATTACTCCCACACCTCCATCCCCATAAAATTCGCAATCCCTAAACTCCTAAGACTGGGCTTCTATTAGCGCCCCGCAAACAGCCCAACAGAAAAAAGGAGAGTGGAGAGAGGGGAGGTTACCTATAACGTAGATTAATATAATACAACTCTTTTAATACTTTCTTTTCTTTCCGGGTAGGTTAAAAGTGGCCATTTTTGGGGGCCTGGCTGGTACTTTTGATGTCTTAATATCTCGCAAGCGTGGGAGATATGAAAAATAGAGCTTCTCGCAATTGAGAATCGGTCCTTCATCATCCAGGGTGTTTTTTAATTGATAACAACAACTGCACTAAGATTAGGGTTCGGGCAAATGTCATCGACGAGGAAGTATTTGTCCAGCGTGTCGACAATCTTGGGCACCTCGCCCACAGCATTGGCTGTCTTGGAGTCTTCGCAGCTGGTGCTGGACGTCGTAGGACCTAATGTATATATACGTTAGCATTCCCCACCTCATATCACAAAAGATATAGAATCCACCCACTGTTTGCTGCGCCAATAAAGTACCCCGCCGCATAATCGCTCAAGCACCCCTCCCCCATTTTCGCCTCCCCCGGCAGCCCCTTCCCCCCTCTCGCCTCTCCCCCCGGGACTCTCCACTTGACACACCAAATATTAACCTTGACGGCCGTCCCTCCATCGCCGCCGCCCACCAGGGACGGCGAGAAAAGCGCCTTCACCTCCTCCACTGCACCCGTCACCAGCTCCCGCAGGCCCTTTGGGTAGTCCTCCCCAAACACCCTCGACATCTCCGCATACTTCCTCGGCCTCCCGCGCGGTCTGGGCGGCGAGTTGTTCTCCGAGATATATCCCGTCTCCGTGATGAAGCGCTTGTACAGGTTCTTCAGGTTCGCGCAGCCCGCGGAATCGCACGCTTTTAGTGCTTCAATGCCGACCTTCCAGCCTAGCTTGTCGACAGCGGACTTGAAGGCGGCGCGGAGAAGCTCCTTCATGGGTGCCTTGACATGCATCATGGGGAACGAGGCCAAGAAGACGTCATACGCTGCTAGTAGGGCCGCTTTTGTGGTGTCGTGGAGTACGAGCGTGATGTGGCCGGAGACGATGGTGGAGTTGCGGATGGAGCCGGTGTTGATGTTGGTAAGGCGGCATGTGATGCGGTCGAGCTTGGAAGCGGGGCCGTAGATACTGGCGGGCAGGGGGATAGAGGAGGTGATGGTTATGATGGAGGTCGGGGGGGTGAAGACCGCGGTGAGGGCGGTGTTGACGTGGAGGACGCGGGAGTCGGCGGGGAGGGAGAGGATTTCGAGGAGCCAGGCGGGGGTGGTTACCTTGGTCGAGCGAACGGAGAGTGAGGGGGTAGGAGAGGGCCAGGAGGTGGTAGGGGCGGGGGTTTGGGACATTCTGGGGGTGAATGGAGTTGTGTACGGAAGGATATTGATGGTTAAGGTTGGACGATGTGAAGAAGGATATTGTCTTTAGAGTACGATTAGTGTTCAGAACGATATGCGTAAAAACGATTGACGTGTAGAAAGAAAGTATTGCTAGGTCGAAGTTGAATTGAAGTGTAGAAAGTATTGTGTCGTCCCTCGTTTTATGACCTTATACCATTCGATGGCGTACCCATGACGCTCATGATGGACGTCAAGAGAGCTAACTCACCTCAACCTCAACGACCATGATATGACGTCTAAACCCGCCCAACACCTTCGCCCGCTTTCCGGTGCCATTGCAGTAATATGTGGAGATAATCTGCTGGATTATTACAGAAGTCAATGGTACAATCTTGAACCTTCAACAATTCCACCTTACATGTAGTTGATATAAAGCTATGTTCAGCAATCAGAACTGTGTATCTGATATATGCACAGTCAAGTCTCTCGAAGGGTATGTAAATCCCACGGTATTGTTCCGGTATAGAGGAGTCACCCGTAAGGTTCAGGGTTAGGGCTCAAGTCGAATTTCAGCCGAAACGTTTCTCCCGTCGTCCTGTGTTGTTGTGTCAGCCCCTCGAAGCTTAAATCCGAGTGATGAGTATACGTACCGTTCAGCTCTCAAGAGGTGAGGATGATTTATTACAAGTTTTGGAGGTCTGGCTATGTAGTTAAACAGTGATAGGATCTACATAAAGTGTAGCACCATGGTCTAGCTCTACATTAATTATGACAGAGTGGCTCAACGTGTCAAATTGACTGTACACCTAGCCCGTTGTAGGCCCTGAATTGAGCCGCTAGCTGCACTGTGCAACGATCTGGTAAAGCAAAAAGCCAGCGGAGCCTTTCTCAATGCTCATGAACTATCACTCGTCACACATTAAAGCAATCTACGAAACAACCTTTAGGCCATCTTAAGCGTGCTCAGCTAAGACACCAGAACTACATGTATGTACATGTACTTCAAAGACCCGATATCTACACGTATGTACGCAGTTGGCTCTCAGGAAACTTATGATCGTGCAAATGCGACCAAAATTAACCATGCTGCTCGTCGAGCATACGTATGCCATGCGGCATATCAAGTCTTAGTCTCAATAGCTCTCCTCTTTTTTGCCGTGAAGAGCCAGAGCCAGCGTACGCCTGAATGTCCCACTGGTCTCGCATATATAGCAGCTATCCCCTATACAGCCACGTTGCAAAATCCGGGAAGTAAAACACGTATACTACTGGATTCGTGAGTCAAGCTTTCTCTTTTTGCCTGGGACCTCTTATCGGCAACAATTTGAAGTTGCCGCCCAACAGCGGCATAGTACTATAGCTAAGGACGGATGAAAGAGCTTTTACCGGCGTGGAAGCGTACACCAAGGGCTAGGTGTGGCTTTATTTGTCCATTTCGTTTTTTCATGTCCAGTCAGCCGGCCCGCCCGGAGTTAATTCTTTCTTGCTATGAGTCGGGGGAATTAAGTACATGTTACCATAGTAATGTAAAGTCTACAGGCTTTTAACGACGAGGGTCTTTGGAAATTATTCGGCGACTGATCACATACTCTCACTCTAGTAATAAGAATTAGCAACGTTAAGCGGTTGGTTTTTGATTAGTTTAGCCATTGGATGTAACGTTAAGGAGCAAATAAGTGAAAAAAAGAATTCTATACAGACCTGATGAGTCCATTTCTGCGTTTCTCAAACCTTATTTTAATTTCGAAATGACATTATATTCCCTTCGGCACGTCCTACCCGCCTCCCCCTCCCCCCCCCCCCCCCCCGCCCCTCCCCACCCTCTCCCCGTCTCTCCACTCCCGCTCCTAGATCCTCATCGTCACATGTATGCCCCCCTTTCCCAGCATATACTGACATAAAAAATCGCCTGATTTTTTTTTTCACTCCTGGGACATCATCTCCACAAACGATTAATCCATCAACTTCCACATCGCCTATGACTTTGACAAGAACCTCTAGTCACATAGAATCAGATATATCAACGTCAAAACTTTTGTTGGTAGGTAGAAATCTTCTCTCCTGCTCTTTTCAATCTTGAATCTTTCTCTGCCTCTCTGCCACCGCAGTCTTTCTCCTCATTTATAATTATACTAGTTGAAGATAATTCTCATTCTGTTCCGGTGATTAGTCTCTACCGAAATTTCTGCCTGATCCAATACCATACCAAACCACTCCCGTGCCACGTAAACAATATGGCCGACACTGATCCACCCGACAATATTGACAAAACCAACCTGTGTGTGTGGAATCCACACAGCGTTTATTGGCATATCCGACCGATTCGCGCCCCATCTGGACCAATCTCCGATACCCCCTCCGCACCAATAGATATTATCAAACCCCCGGCTCCTAAGGTAACTCCTAAAGATCAAGAGGTGATTGTCGGATCACCTCCAAGAAGAAAAACGTCCGGGGCCCACCCTGCCCTTTTAGGGTCGAGTTTGTTGTTCAACCAGTGGAAATGGTGGACAGCAATCCAGATGGGACTAATGGGACCCTCCAAGCGTGATGGGAAAGATTCCAAATAATGATATTTCTTTAGGTTTGAGCTTATGGTTCAACGTTTAACCATTGAGCTCCATAGGAGTTGCAGTTTCTATATTGAGCGTATATGTCAACGTTTTTATTTTTCAAATACATGCACCGAAGGGCCAAACTCACTCAACATTGGCCGTCAATAACGCACCATTCTTCCATAGCTTCCGATTCTTGTTTCTTCGATTGTGGGAATGGAAAGGCCCGGTTTGGTCCGTTCGTTGTGCTGGAGCTGTTTATTGCCAGGTCTGTCCCTATCCTTCTCGTAACATCTGGGATTATATTTTGCTGACCAAAGTTAGATAAAATTATAAATCTACAAAAAAAATGTCTATATGGTGAAGCTTATATTACCGATACTCTCCTGGTTAATATTCCTTCGGTGAGAATTAACGGTTGAGATGATGCTAACTGACGACTTTCTTAGCAACCCAACATTTATCTCTCATGCATCGCGTCGATCATCTCACCTCCGTTATATCTCAACCCTCTGGAGTTTTTATTCGATGATGGCTATTCTATTCATGGCCAATTAGAAGCCATCATCTGATGTTCAAGAACCGATCAGAACGTTCCGCAACGATGGGCAAATTCGATAAATGCTTTTCAAATACTGGTTGGCAAACCCAGTGGTGATTTTCTTTTTTCACAACCTGGTTGTTCTTCAAAACCTGGTTGTCGAATGCACTGATAATTGTTTCCAAATGCTGGTTGTCGAATTAATTGATATGAAGGTATTTCCCCTTTGCTCGGTTGGATGTTTTATTGATTCGAGTACTAACGGAGCTTATCGAGTGTAGTGAAGATATTGTGGGAAAGGAAAAGGAATGGGAAAGGAAAGGTTGCTAAATTGTTCATACTTGAATGTGCCGTATCATGTGACACGGCTTATGATATCCTTTTCGGGATCTATACAAAATTTGTATGCTGGGAGGATAACGTCATGTTGATTAGACAGCTTGGCTGCCGTGGCTTGGTATTACGTGGATATATACCCCCCTTCTTTCTAAGGTTGTAAGGTATATGTTTTGTTATATACTAGTCTCAATACTACTCCTCCGCAGATAACAACGCATTTCGTCTGAATTCGTCGTTCTATTTTCAAGCGAAATTTCTTGCTCCCGTTGTTTCCTTTCGACTCCGACTCATGATTACGGGAATACCATAGGCTTCCGTTTCATATCCGATTCAGATTTCCTAACTGAGGATGAAAGGAAATCCAACCAGCCCAAATATCAATGTGGCTGTTGGCCGGAGCACTCGTCCACCCGATACTTTTGCGAGCAAAGCGATAGAGAGATGCTGCCGGTAACTTGTCATAGAACTACCATACTGACCGATGAACGATTAGATTAAGATAAATGGCTGAGAATTCTAGTTCATACGTATTTATAAAATCTTCTCCCTCCATTAAGGTTTCTTAAGTGAGAAGACTTTTGTTTATAAGGAGGGTGTAACTGGCAATACGTTCTATCTCAGATCAAAGCTGATATTTTATAGAACAGGCGCTGGATACACGGCCACGGGTGACTTTGAACGGTCCATACCAGGTTTCTGTTTCCAAGGTGGCATCAAGTCAGGATTATAACCTCAAGTGACTGACACCAACCGTGACTTACATCTAGTGTTCTGACAACCATTGGGGCAGATCAAGTTTTCATAGTGGAAGTTGAAAATATTGGGTAAACAACGTTAAATCATACGTTTTACCAGATGATGTGGAAACCTCCGAAACTCATTCAAGATAGATAAGTTAGTCCTACCCTTTAATTCTTTTTTTTTTCTTACAGAACCCAGCACCCAAGCCACCCTGATCGGTACGTTGACCAGCTGCCAGCGATAACGTCCACACCTAGCTTAATCGTATATAGTCTTACTTACTATAGGTGGTTCTTTGAACCATAATTTCTTGGTCGGAGAATGCCTTTATTTTCTTCCGGTACCTGGGTAGTATTCATCTACTACCTGTCAGGAGGTAGTCTATATTTCGGACCTTGCACCTTCCGTAATCATTTGATTTTCACTGCAGTACATCGGGAGATGTGCACCGTTAGGTACTCCCATCCATAGAAGCAGTCATGCATTATCACTCGATATTCATTGCCAAGAACTTACGGAAGAAGGCTTCAACTCATGACCAAGAACCACCAGGGCATCTACTCCGGGTCCAAACGGAGAAAGAAACAAATATGAAACATCTTCCGACACAGAGCTGAGCATGAATACTGATTGTGTAGGCAGTTGAAGTGGGTGTGGTAATATTATCGATTAAGACCGTTGGTTTTCTGTTTTGATACCTAAGACAAGAATGTAGTACAAGAGTTGAAAGTGTTACGGTCATGAGCCCTTCAAGAGCATATGATGTTATGCGACCGTGGTAATAAAACAGAATGCGTGCCTTTAATAATTCTCGGGATAATAATTGTGACAGCGTTGAGGACCTGAAGGCCTTCTTCCTCTACCCAAATACTGCACTCCCAAAGATCTCGGACGCGGGTCCTTCCCCGCAAACTGGAAGTCTCCGAAGCTAACCGATCACGAGCTCGGGTAAATTACCGGACCACCCAAAGCAACGCCTGATCTACGGTGCACCCTCTAATTGGAAGACGAGCCCTTGCTCGTGTGATCGGGTGCAGACAAATCTGCATGCATGGGAATGGTGCAGCCGCAGATGAGCAGGGCCCACACACTTTTTGGCGGGGCATGTCAGGGTTAGGTGTCGGCGTAGGCTAAAGAGGTAGCGATCTTCACAACACAAACAAACCCTGCGACGTACAACATGTACCTACTCCTCCCCTCAACTTATGCCGTCTGCGGTATTTCTTCGAACCTCGTTCACGGTATCGTGACTGAGGAGAAACTACGGAGCTGACGCTTCTTTGTCCATCACATCCAACTGTTCTGAGGAGTTGAGAAATTCAGCTCCTGATCATCTTTGGCCCCGCCCGCTGTTTCGTGTAAGCTTCCGTTCAAGGATCCGGTTAGCTCGAAAACCACTTTAAAACTGACCTCTTAGCTTCCCCGCATCTTGCTCTCCTCGGTCCATTTCGTTGCAATCAGCGCCAGTCGATTGCTCAACTCTTCAAAACAAATTGAATACGACCCAAAGAATGAAATCGCTCTTCTTTCTGCTTTCAGTAGCAGCTCTAAGCTCCCTGTCGGCAGCTTCATATACCAAACCCCCAGTACTGCCTCTCTTCGTCCGGAATCCGTACCTCAGCTTGTGGCTTAATGCTCGACACAATCCGTGGGATAGCTGGCCAATTTTCTGGCATGGACAGGAGGTTTGATTTCCGAGTCAATTATCCACTGCAGAATGAACTGACAGAAGTGTCCGACAGATTGGGTTCGGGGTGATGGCCCAAATACCCGCCACGAACACTGTTTACCCTCTCGTTGGGCGCCCGCAAGACGCCCTACTCCCAGCACATCCAAAGGATGGGTACACGGTTCAGTTTCCGACCTACACGGGCTTTCAATACGACTCATCAACTACGAACTTGACTTTCTCGCTTCCGAACCCATTGTCGGGAGATGTCCTTGTGACGTTGATGTTTACCAGCCCGATTACTCCAGAGAGTACGGAGAGACAGGCACTCCCGGCAAGCTATGTGGAGGTTATTGTGGAGGGTCAAGTGGACGTTAACATTTATGTTGATTTGAACGGACGTGAGTACTCTGGCAAACCGGTTTGATTTTTGTGCTTCGACGCGCTTCGTTTGAGAACAAAAGCTGACGTTTACTTCCTATAGTTTGGGTCACGCATGAACGAAAAGCAATCATTCAATGGGGTCTCACCAAGGGCAAAGACCTTACAACATGGTCGATTCACAAGCAAGATCAATGGACCTTTGCCGAAATTAGCGATCGAGCTGAATGGGGCGTGCTTCACTTCACCGGTCCTCAGGTAACTTTTATACCTAAATCTCTTCCCATTCCTTTTACTGACGTACATAGGACCCCACTGTCACATACGAGGCTGGCGTCTCTGGACCTCTGCGACGCCGATTCTCACGAAATGCAACACTCGCAAATACTTACGATACCGGCTTCCGCGAGGTCATGAATGAAGAGCCTGTTTTCTCATTCTCCAAGCACTTTGCACTGGGTAGCAAGAAGAATCATACCAGGACAGATTCAGTGCTTTTTACTGTGGCGCTCATCCAAGATCCTGTTACGCAGTTTGCAGCTGCTCGCGGCCTTACTCAGATGAGGCCATTTTGGAGGTTCCAACATGCGACAGATACTGATATGATCTCCTACCATTACTTTGACTATCCCAATGCTTACGCCCAAGGCAAGGCATTTGCGGACAAGGTTACTGCTCATGCTAGAGCTGTGGAGGGTGACACCTACGCCGATATTGTATCAATTTCGGCGAGGCAAGTGATGGGAGCAACCGTTTTTGCGGGCACTCCCGAGGATCCGATTTTGTTTTTGAAGGAGATTAGTAGTAATGGAAACTTCCAGACGGTGGATGTTATCTTCCCAGGATTCACATTCTTTTTGTATGCGAATCCGAAATGGCTGGCCTATCTGCTTGAGCCGTTGTTGGAGCATCAGATGGCCGGATTGTACCCAAACAAGTTAGGCTTCCCCGTTGGCTGATTAGAGAGACCAATACCAGTCCAAATTCATGGAAGTGCTAACAGGTATTTAATTTTAGGTACTCGATTCATGATCTTGGTGCTCATTTCCCCAACGCTACAGGGCACCCTGATGGCAATGACGAGCCAATGCCTGTGGAAGAGTGTGGAAACATGTTGGCAATGGCTTTGGCATATGTACAGACGTTGAATGATGGATCAAAGGCAGGGAAGAAGGCGGCACAGAAATGGATAGATAAGGATGGAAGATATGCTCTCTGGAAGCAGTGGACTGGGTACTTGACGGAGTTTGGATTGATCCCTGCTTATCAGCGTATGTGTGCCTCTTTTTCTTTTGTCTAAAGCTGTTGTAAACAGCGGTAGTTCTTCACCCTAAAGACCTTTACTGATACAGAACAGTGTCTACTGATGACTTTGCCGGCCGACTGGAGAATCAGACTAATCTTGCACTGAAGGCGATTGTCGGTATCAAGGCCATGGCAGAGTTGTCATCGGTAATGGGCAACACTGAGGACGCTGATTATTACACTAAAGTCGGCGATGCTTATGTCCCAGCCTGGATTAAGTTTTCCACGTCACGAGATGGATCCCATTTGAAACTTGCATACCATCTTTATGGTTCTTGGGGCACGCTATACAATCTATATCCGGAATCCCTTCTTTGTTTTGCCCAAAATGGTGATAGCGGTTATATTCCCCACGATATTTACCGTAAGCAGTCACGCTGGTACTCTGCCGTTCACCAAAAGTACGGTCTTCCATTGGATACCCGTCACCTCTACACCAAATCTGATTGGGAGGTCTGGGCTGCTGCGATCTCTAGCAAGCACACTCGTACGCAGATCTTAGAATTGATGGGGCTCTGGCTTAATGAGACAAAAACAAACCGTCCATTCCCGGACCTGTACGACACCGAAACCAGTGACTTCCCGGGAATCTATTTCATGGCCCGGCCAGTCGCCGGTGGTCACTTTGCTCTTCTGGCACTTGATGAAGCATGTGGTGGTACTGGGCTCTCCTTTTTGGAACAAAATATTTTCTCCTCGCCCGAGGAAGAGAAAGCCTTCTCTGCTGCTATTGACCCAGATGCATCTCGCGCCTATGATTATGAGCTCACCGGTACCCCTGTTCACGGCAGTAATGTTCAATTCCCACCATTCCCGCCAGGCGAGGGATGGCCAGATTCATGCAAGGAGTGGGACATTGAACATCCACCTAAGACACCCGAACAAATTGCGGATAAGGAGAAATGGCATCCTAAGATGTATTTGACCAAACAATATCTCACCGACGGTATTGGTTGTTGGTGGAAGGGAGGTTGCGGGGATGACCAGGTGGTCTACACAAGGCCGAGCGAGTATAGATGGGACTCTGTGGATGAGGTTCAAAGAATTGACCAGTGGCTCAAGACGATGAACGATCAGACACCGCTAAATTAGAGATTGGGCGGGGCCTTGCAGGACTTTTTATGGTTGATATGTTCATTATTTTTTGTATTTACTCCGTGATTTTCTTGTTTTGTTTACCGCATGGCGGGATATGGGGCTCAATGTGCGTCTGGATCTGGCATCAGGAGGTAACGTGGGTTGTATGTAAGGGGCATTTTTTGATGAGACATGTCTTAGAACAATCAATATATTAAAGATCTTCTTTCGGGGGAGTGACACGAAATTGTACATGACGGAGGTGATTGATCAAATAGAGCTGATTGCTACTATGTGAGGGTAGTTTATATCAGTTGATGCCGGTCACAAATACTCGACAGGTTCGACTTATACCGCATAGGGTGTTTATGTGGTGGGACCTGCTTCCACCGGGGATCGACGAACTGAAGTAAAAAAAACCGTCAAGATTATCTAAGAGAAAAAATAGTATTGGCTGATGTGAGGAGAAACGGACTGCTTAGTATATCTAGCCTGGTATACGGATTTACCGCCATCAGGGATACAACCAATGAAGTAATTAATCAATATCACCATCAGGCGAGACAGATGGCGGTAGTCATGTGATATCACTCGGTCTTGGCATTTGTGTGAGCGAGGGAAAGGGAGGAAATTTATCCGGAATGGAAATCAGTGCCTCGCGCGCTGTAGGAATAGGTTTATATTCTAGCACATAGCTATAGTCTAAGACTATGTATGCTAATAGAGTTTGAAAGGGGACTTACTGGGAGAGTTGGTGGGGTTATTTTCCTCGCCGGGTATCCTTACCGGCTAGAGTATATCTGCGGCAGTGACAGATGTGGAAGAGCCCCACTTCGGTGGTATAAGTTTCTCACTTAGTGCTCGCTGAAAAAGAAGTAGAGCCCGAGAGTGAATTTATAAAGATATACACACTAGTAATTTACCCGCAACAGATATATACACGATGGGCCAGGACACGATAGAAACCACAAATGCAATCAGAGTTTGGGTTGGAAATGTGAATAAATGTGTGCGGGTAATATCTCGTCATGAGCTTAAGAAATCTCTCGTAAATCGTTAAAGACGAATATTAGGCTCATATGAAAGGAGTGGATTCGCTGATGAGCAAGATTTGACCATCATCGTAAGTCCCCGCTGCGATTGTCTTGACTGAACCCTGGGATAACCTGGCTTGCACAGAGGTTGTTTTCTGAATCTTTGCTATATGCTTGTCGGGAGGATAAGTGTTTAACGCATTATCCACGATAAAGAGTCAATTTTCGTCCCTTTTTAACGGACGATTTGCGGGGCTTATCTTCCTTGAATGCTGAGTACTTTCTGTTCCTAGGAAAAGACTGGAATATCTCGTGCAGCCCGAGAATAAAAATTAGTAGTGCGTGCTCACCTGCCGACCAGCTTGCACTCTTGTTCTTTCCATGGTCATTGAAAATGCTAGCGGGCAGTAATGCTAAGTGCTTCTAGCTCCTCATACGGCGTAGAGTCAGGTACCAGCTGCCTAGGCATATTTATCGCTATGAAGACCGCCCTTATGGGGTTCAACTTCAAAGATTCCCATGCATTCGTGCCTGCTAAAGTTGAACTGGATGGGAGGAGTAAAAAGGTAGTTAGAGAAGCTCGGGGTATGGTAAAGAGTAATTATAAAAACTTTGTCAATCGGCTTATATCATCGAAGGAGGTGGGGAAGGGGTTGTTACAACGAAAGTACTGTCATAGTGAGCCAGTGTTTAGAAATTTGGGTGACTTGTCGCCATACCTCCGGTTTGGATGGACAACTTATTGGTGGTGACATGGGACAGCCATGGTGCTGCCCTTGCGCGTAATACCACACAGAGAAAGGACACCGACGGGTGCGTCTTCGCCAGTCCGAAACCCTCAGCGGCAAAAAAAAAAAAAAGACGAAAGAGCGTGAGTATTATAGAAATGATATATTTAGTATATATAGTGTAGACAAAAAGGACAAAAGGTTGCATTAATAGCAGCCCCCATGGCTACAACCTCCACCCCTGGATTAAACCATGGACCTTCGACAGGTACAACTTGGCACAACCACTCGGTGTATCCGGAAGGCGAGTGTTAACCGGTTAGCCACTCGCCCATGTGTGTTGTGAGCAGGAAATGGTATTTGAACGCCAGGTAAATACAGAGAAGGAAGTATAGTAGAGTGGGAAATATAGCTGCAGCTGGTCGACGGGGAGGGTAAAAAGGCGGGACTCTGGCAGGGCGGGGGGGCTGTGGGAAATTAGATACATACCGTTGGTGTGGAACAAATTCGAGAGCTTTTCCGATGTCATTCCCTTCTGTTCTCTCCACATTATCACCGAATATGTCTTTCACCTGACCCTTCATCGGTTTAAAAAGAAGTAAAACAGCTCCGTTGACCGTGGCCTCGACATGTCGGGGGAGTAAAACCTTGAGATGTAATTCAATGCTTCCTAATCTCTTCTGTCAGCCGGATCGCAGAGCCAGAACATCACCAGTAAAGCTTACTGAAGATTTCCTACCCCAAATAGAGCTTTCGCCGTTATCCCTTAGACATAGGCATGACTCATCGAAAGACTTTTTCTTTGCCGGAAAAGGGACTTTCAGTCTCGCTAATCGAAATCGCCTTTGAAAAGGCAGGGCCTTAAGCTTTGGGCCGAAGTCTCCTTGATTCATTAAATGTTCTCACTAAAAAAAAGGGCAAACACGGTACACGAGTGACCGGTAGAACGTAGCTTTTCCCAGCTGAAATAGATTTGGACCACCATTCATAAAGACATGGGTACTAGGGGATGTTCATAGCTGGTTGGCCGTATATACCGCAAATCTAGAACACCTTTAAGTTGCTCATCGGCCGAAGATCTGTAGGTGAAATGGGTGATGCCACCTACCAAGTATTTTATCCCCTCTTCCTCGCCGTGGCGTAGCAAGAAAAGAGCTATATGATGAGATGCAGGATCTTAAGATTTTACTGGATGGAGCAGATTGGCATGCATGCTCCCGTTGCCAAGAAAAAAAGATGGAATAAGCGGTGTGGATATATATAGGGATTCAGAGTAGCCCTCTTCTTTCGCATGGCTCAATTTACTAAGTATATATATACATAAGGTACATGGTAAAGAGACCGCTGGTTCGGATGTAGATTGTAGGCCAGCACGTATCTTGCTGCTTGAACTCCTTCAATCGCACAAACCTGGACTCAATAATGGTCGGCTCCTTGCGTTCAACTTGGCGGAAGATCAGCTGACTGGATTAAGTTTATGCACACTGGTCACGACATATAATCAAAGTACATGGATAGGGATAGATCCTCACGGCTTTCTCTTATCTATTCGAATCTCTCTTCCCATGAACTCGATTCCGTATCCTTGTCCTAGCCACCCCTGCGTCAGGTACTTCAATAATACAAAGAGTGTACTTTCCAGTATTCCAAGCTAGCCCGGGAGTGCTTATCGGATGTGTGTAGTCATTCACCCGATCTCGTAGCTATAGCATCTTTAACGTGTGTCTGGGTTGATAAATGCTTGGTGACGCCGATGACATTGCGGGTTGAAGACCACCTAAGATTTCTTGTTTTTTTTTAACAATGCGACCAGACGAAAGATACGTTTATTTCCTTTTCATAGTTACGGATCTCAGAGACAAGATGACCCCCATACATTGCGAACTGAGACACGGGGTACGTGGGTACCCGTCAAGGTATCACGGCGCGGGAGTGCGGATTGCTATATGTGCCTGGGTATAGGCATGCATATATCGTATGAAATAACATTCTAGAGTATAAGATGCTTAGAAATTGATATAAAGGTGTTATATGAGTGGATTGGGGAAAAACAAACGTAGTAATGGTAATTAACATTCGGGGAGAGCCGAGAGTATGTAGTACATTGTCGTTACAGCGGGTGAGATAAAGTTCTCGTGAGGTGATCTGTGTCTAAGGAGTGTATGTGTGTTTGAGTACATGTATCTTGTCCTGTTATCTTCTACGTATGTTAGAATTACCGTTTATACATTCCGAGTGATATATAATGATTCTGGTACTTCGTTGACTGTGTGGCAAGGGAGGGGTTAGGGGAGCTCGAGGGTGTTATAAGTTTGGACGCTCTACAATTAGAGCCATGAATTTCGTGTCACATAATACATTCGAGAAAACTAGAATGAAATAACTAGCAAAAATATTTTTCATTTTCCAGCACAAACTTTTCAATCCAGCTCAAGCAATCTAAAATCATAAGATTTTCAACAACAAAAACAGAAAATACAGAAAATACACGTTTGTAGTGATCAAGCAAAAATTGAAAGAGAAAGCCACAATCCTCCAATTAATACTTGACATATCTAGCATACTTTTTGGCAGCACAAGAGGCGGTAGGATCAACCTTGTTGATAACGATGTTATCGATTCCGAACCTTCCTGCGGGATGACCACTTGTTTGGTTCTTAATTTCCCACCTATTCTTCATATGGAAAGATACCAAATTGGTGAACTTTCTGTCAGGAAAGTCTTGGATAATCTCCATGGTGGTCTTTCTGACGGGCCTCTCGAAAGAAACAACTGAACCATCGATCCTTTTACCGGTAAAGGTGGTGAGGCATGCGGTGTCATTGGAGAAATAGCGGGGATTGACGAAACAACCAATCATCCAGAGAGAGACAACATCGAAGGCGTCACCCTTCTCGGCAACGGAGAACTCAGCGTGGGTGTTGTTGTAGTTGGGGCCGGTAACAAGAACGTTTGACGGAGAATGCGGGATGAACGGAATGTTCGGGCCAGCCTGAACGATGTTCCAGGAAGGATCGAACTTGAAGCCCTCGTAGAGGGTGGGAGCAGGGTGAAGAGCAGTAGTGGCGTTAAGATCGTCGAAGTTGACAGTAAAAGTATTGCGAACGCCGCCAGTAGGGAGGCAAACTGACTAAATAGTAAGAGTGTTAGAAGAGTTCTATCAGAGAAGAAGTTGATTTCTTACATTTTGAGCAGCAGCGTTGATAAGACTAGCAAATCCGAAGAGAATGAGAGAGGACAACATGGTGTTGCTGTGCTAGATGATTTATCAGAACGTGAAAGAGGGTGTGTAGATTAAGACGATAGATGATTGGAGATCGAGTTGAAGCTTGAGTTAAAGACTTGAGAGGACAGAAACTTCGGAATGCTGAGATGAGCAGATGATGGAGAAAAGAAGAGAGGAAGGGGCAGGTTCAGCCTTTTTTATAGCACAGAAAGCCTCAGATATTCCACAATACTGAGAATATATTGGGATTCGTCCTGTACTAGCAGAAGCTTAAAATGCCAAGTAAGTATCTTAAAATTGGCCGACTGTATGCCAAAGATGCCAGGTTTAAGAGAACCGAGCTTTTTTTTCCCGCCTACAAGGGGTGGAAGGTTCCGTTCAGTATACGTACGTAAGTCCAACCTACTCTATATACATGTGTGTACAGGCACCCATGGGTGAAAGCCGCATTCGGGAATCTATGCACTCTCCCGAAGGTTTTTGGTCAGAGTTTCCGGGATGAGTTATACATCTTCTCATGGCGTATCTTGTTCTAATATACATGGATGTAGATACGTAGAAGCAGCGAAGCGTCATGAGGTTGGATCATTTTTGCATAAGGTCCGGATAAACATTATTTCTTAACAGCGTATTTCAAATATTATAGATGAGAGTGGTAACTGTATCCCGTAAATGGTTGTGATAAACAATTCATAGACTTCAGAGTCGTTTGTTAAAGTGTATACATGTATTTCTAGATGTCGAGCCATAATCCATGCATCGGAAAGTTGAATCATGCTATTAATGGATAAAATGTCTTGGCACGCGTGTTTGCTTGAACGACAGAAGAACTGATTACAGGTTCATTAATTACGACAGAGGTACTGTACATGCATGCATGCTGTTAGACAGTTTGCGGTAATACCGCATATTTCGCATGCAAGATGTTCCCGAGAATCACATAAACGTTGCGTGTATTCCCTCAACCTGGACATGAACGCACGCTCGAGGGCATATAGAGTAATAGCGGTCGAGGAGGTAGGTTTTTGGGTTCCGGAAACGTGTCAACTAGTGTGAATGGGATTGTATGGGTTGAGAAGCGGGACATTTCCGTTCTTTCACGTACCTCCCTGTTCGAGATTCACAAAGATTGATTGGTGGCCAGCCTGCATTCGTGGATACGTACCCTAGAAATATTATCACCCCGCTATATAGTGGCAGCGTTCAAAAATAAGGACAAGGAGTGGGCATGGAGGCATACACTCATGCACTCAAATACACAGTAAGAATCCTCAATAATTGTCACAAGTACGTATACATTGATGGATTCTATGCGGGAGGCCAATGGGAATTTTCAACAAACTCTGATATTAGGCTCCAAGGTAATGGTAATTCGAAGCAGGTGAGGTACTCCGTTAATGGATTGGAAATCGATACTCATAATTGGAAGTCGCCAGCGAATATGTGAAACCGAGGTTACAGCTATCTTTTACGTATAGGGGTCACAGAGGTCTTGAGAACTGCCTCAGAAACATGCTAAGTTTTTTCAATTCCGACTTGTATCTTAATGCCATCTGGAACGCAATTTAGCGAAGGCATCTGTCTCGGGGCGTTGCCGAGTGCCTATACGAGAACTTTATCAATCGTCAGAGTCCGGATATATAACTTGCAAGAGAAGGGGCGGGAAGTGTTTACTCACTGATTAACCAAAAAGAGGTTATTCTCTGCTCCAAAGTTACGGTTCAAACTGCTACCCGGGTCGAAAAAAGAGCTACCAATATCCGGTTCCACCTGTCCCATGTCAACAGTACCCACACCACGCACCTTAAAGACACCACTTTTGAAGATGATCCCTCCCGGGAATAAAGGCATGAATCCCGGTGGCCCCGGAGGTCTTAAACACTGACTCTCGGGAGCAATTTGGCCTGTATATATAAGACTAAACCGTTCACACCGTATCAGATAGCGCAAATATTGAATAATATGATGGTGGTGTTGAATTAAGGTTATTGCACTGTCTTACATCAAACGTCAAACCCAATATGCTGTGACAATCACATCTTCAGGAACAGGAAAACCGAGGTTTTCATCGCGGGAGTACTGGGGTTACCGAGATCATGCTGTACGACTGGTCTTCTCGCCTCCTGAGACGAGGGGGTTGCGTTCACCTATTTAAGGCTAGGTGAATGTAATAAGCCTTTTGAGGCTTCAGTGCATGAGATAATGCCAATACCCATCTCAGGGGTGAGATGAGGGTAATGCAAGTTTCTCAGGCTGCTCGACAGTTCCCGAAATCAATACCTCAATTATTCTGATAGGATTCGTAGATTACTGCATGTTGAAATTTGGGTTACTATCCTCTCACCTTTTGAAACCTTCTTTGACTGACTGCAGCTACAGTCAGTGGCAAACGAAACTGGGCCATTTCAAAATATGAACGGGAAATGTGACAATGTCCGAAATGAGGTAGTGGAAAAAGGATACAAGGTGGGTTATATTCTATCCTGGCTGGTTTTACAACTGACATATTTCGGCCATCAGATTCTCTACTTCCTGGTTAGAAATTCTGTGGCGCAGGAGGCCTGATTTGACCTGGGTTAGCAATAGGCAATTAACCTAACCCTGATATCACGTGCTCACGGCAACACGAAATATCACTCGCTACGTTCATACATGTATTCAAATTTTTATTTTTTTTCCTTTTTAGCTAGGTGTACTCACTAATTATGTGCAACAGGGAGAGGGGGAATAACCCTTTGCAATGATTTCCGTTCTATGGGATTTCGCAATCAATGGTACTGCCGATCTTGCTTTCCTCCTGTTAGGGGGTGTGGCTCCGGGGTAGTTATAGGCGGCGAAAAACATACGTTGTGGGGAGTATGAGGAAGAGTTGCTCTCTCGCCCGTATGCTCCCACTGTGAGACCATTTGGTTACCGCCCTTAAGTTGGTCAACGACACGATCTGCTTGCCAGATTTCCAAGTGTATGACGGAACTGCGGCGGCGTCAGCGCCGTAACGGCGCAATGCACCACAATAAATCTTCAACGAAGCCCAACGCAATGGATTCCGTTCATTTATATGCTTGGTAATCATTGTTACCAATATACGGGCATTTTCCACCAACAAGAAGTATGGTTACGATACTTCTTCGGCATTGAGATGTTATATCAAGAGCGAGCACATATGGTTGCCACTCACCCTTCCTAGTAGTTCCGTCCTACACTTAAAAACTCGGCAAGTATCATCCTTCCTTCTTGTTTCCGTTGATATTTGTAGGGCTCGGAAGTTTGGAAGAAACACTAAAACATCGCGATAGATATTGAGAGGACTTGGGAGCGTCACCTTTCTATCAAGGAGAAGAGTTTATCTATCACTCGTGCATGTGGCATCTATGGACTTTGTGCTTGAGGGTATGATTTTTAATAATCAAGAAGTTATGCGCTATCTTCCGGGCTATGGATCGTACGTGAGATTATTGCAATACCTCGAGATACCATTTCTCGAGATACCATTAATTGAGTGGAAAAAATCTAGGCAAGAGCTCTTGAAAACCGTGATCTTGAAATCTTCTCGAATACTCCGCAATCTGGCCGTTTCCCAGAAACACATAGCACGTCAAAAGTTAACAAGCTTCTAATTCATTTCGATATTCTCATCTATCATTTCTCTGCTTTTCCTTATAACTCTCTTCTAATTCATTTCAATATCCTCATCTAATATTTCTCTATATTCTTCTCTCTCCGTCTCCTCCATCCACCACCCAGACCTCTTCCAAACCCCTACCCAGTCCCACCCCTCCTCTCGCACCCCCACGTATCCCCCACCTCCACCACCACATCGCCCAAAACACGATCCGCCATCCTACGAAGCGACACCGCCCTCCTTAGCGCCCGCAGGACCTTCCAGATCAGCGTCTTGCGCCTGACCTGCCATCTGCGCATCCTAGCCTCCGATTCGAGCAGAGACTCGGAGTTGAAGGTGTCGAAGCGGATCGATCCGCAATCTCGCTGTTGGTAGATTGTGGGGTCATTTTGGATCGGGAGTGAAGTGCCGTGGGGGGATGGCGTTGGGGGTCGTGGGATAGTTCGGCGGTGGGGGTTGTTGGTGTTGGGTGTGATAGGCATTTTTTGTTATGGTTTTGGTTTGCTTCGGTGATGATTTTTGTCCAGATCGTGCTAGTGGTGGGGGTATGCTTTGTAGTTTTGTATGATATGACGGAGTAGAGTGGTTGCAGGTTCTGATACTCATATCAGAGTGAGTAGAAATGGTTTATATATGGCTGAAAGAAGGTTCCAAGTTTCGGCGTCGGTTTCAACTTGAACATCGATGTTTGCCGTTTCATGCGCGCGGTGTGTGTGGAGCGCAAAGATGATACCTCGAGGGAGGTGATGTGTGATCAACATGAATCGTAGACCGTGTAGTGTGGTATCTGTTTCAAAGTAATATCAATATTTTCTCTGAGTACATATCACCGGCTTCAGAGGAGCCCGGGGGGTAGGAGAGCAGGAGGGCATACAAATATTTATCTATAAATAGAAGTTCCAAGGCAAGGTACTGCACAGCTGCAGCTTCATAGTACTGAAGTATCTCTAGATAGAAAGACTGAAGAAATATAAAACACTTTATCTAGCCGCAGAAACGCTGCCATACAATAAACGAACCACAGCGTCTTGGCAGATATTCCCGAGTGATAACCCATGAGTCTTGGATTCCAGTGCGTTAGTTGATGAAGATAGTCCGCTCGTGAGATGAACGTACATTATAAGTGAAGTTCCAAAGATGGTGGAGCTTCAGGCTTTCGGTGGCTTTCATTGTGCGGGTAGAAGTGCTGCAGCACCCGCTGCGTCTCCTGCGCTGACCGGTCCTTCAGGCCATATATCCTCACAAAGACGTAGCTAGCAGAACAAAGAAATGCGTTAGACTAAGAATGTCGACAGAGGGACTATCTCTTTATATTAACTCTAGTGACCTTCTGGAGGATAACACTCAATGGTAGGAGCTCCCTACCACAATTTAGTGGTCGTCTCAAGATTGATAGGTGTGCGTTTAAACCCTTCCCCAGTAGGTAGGTAGGTAGTCCCTGACGGTCTTTTAGCATAGTGAGTGGTATATGCCTCTGGTTTAACTAGGAAAATTACGATGATAGGGGATTGATACTGGGTTCGTTCGTATAGATCCCGCTTCGTAAATCTAGATCCACTTTCAAACTGAACACTTTTTTTTGAGTTTTATTGTTGCTGGACCATGATGAAAAGAAAATATCAAATCCTTAAAAATATCGGTAGAGTACTTGTACTTGTCGTTACTAGCAACGCTTGTTGACGTTGGCCGTTGACGTTTGCTGGTGCACGCATGGTGGGTGGTGCGGTGAAATGTTGGAAGGTCTGCGCTGTGTAGCCCTTCCCACCACCACTCTCTTTCCCACCACAACCTCACCTCACCACCACCACCACAACCTCCACCACAACCACCCAACCACCAACCCCTCCACCACCCCCCTGGAGTGTCCAAACCACCATCACCGCCGCCGCCGCAATGCCACTATGGTACCACCCCCCCGCGGTACCCGTCAACCTCGGCGCACCAGTCTAGTATGTACCCCACTCCCCCAAAACACCCACATTACTAACCCCACCACCCAACTCCAGCCCCGGCCCCCTCCTCTACCACCCCGCGCCAATCCTCATCGACCCCCGCCCCCAACACGCCCACGACACGCTCTACTGCGCCTGCCAATTCAGCCTCGGCCCCGCTCCCCCCGCCCACTCCCACCACTGGTCCTCCACCACCACTGCCCCGCTGCCCGAGAAGCTTCACACAGTCAAGAAACATGCCAGCTGGGCGGGGCCGTCAAGGGTCGAGAGAAGCACCACAGACGACGTTAGAGCCCTCAATATCCGATTATCCGGGGGCCATCTCCGCGCTCACTACACTCCCACGGCGGAGAGGGTGGTAGAGGGGGCGGCGAAGGTTGTCTCGTTGGACGAGGCGACGGTTGAGCGCATCAAGGCAGAGATCAGGAGGGATTTTGAGAGGGTTCGCCATGGGAAGGACGGGCACGCAGAACAAGTACCCACTGTTCCAGCTCAGCCCGAGCCCACCAGCCTGCACGACCACATCCACATCAAGAACGACCCCGCCCCGTCGGGCGAGATCTCTGAGTACGAGAAGGAAAAACTGGCAAAGATCCGAGACGAAGTCCGCCAAGAGCTGGCCGCGACATACGACGAGAAGATGAAAGCCCTTGAAGCCCGCGAGCTCGACATTCAGCGCCGGATGGACGCGATTCGGAAGAGGGAGGCGCAGTGGATCGAGAGTTACGGTGAGGGGGTCATTAAAGGAAAGCCTGCTGGTATGTAACAAAAAAGATCCAATTCCATGCCAGAATGTCAATGTCAATGTCGTGTCTTTTTGTTACGATGGAGTGATGGAGTGGGCGGTGTACGTTGTCTGTCTGGCTGGCTTTCGGGCTACTTTCAAAATAAAAATAATTACCCCACTATGTTTTCTCTATCATAGACAGCTATGACAATTCGAAATACCGCAATATCACTTCTCTTCCATCTGCCCTGCCTCGATATCCCTCTCCGTCGGAACATGTAGCAAAACCCACTCCATACACATCCCACTAACAACTCCAATCCAATCCAGTCTCCATCCGCCACCATTCCGCACCATCACTCGACGACCAGCCCTTCATCTCTGACCTCGACGATGCCAGCTCCAAGAACGACGCATCAGAATCCCCCGGCACCCCCAGCCCCAACGAGCGCCACCAGAACCCCCGCCCCATGCGCTGGCTCTTCCGCGACCACGAGCTCAAATCCTACCCCTCGCCCCCCCCACCCGGCAACGCAGAAGCACAGTCATCCACCGCCGGCGACGACACCCCCACCTCCCCGCAAAGCTCCACCCTCCACCCCTCCGAAAGCACCACCGACAGCGTCAACGCCAACGTCGCCCACCTCACCGGCGCCACAAAGCCGACCCGTTTTTTCGGCAAGGCCTCCCACATGTTCAACAGTCGGCCATCGAGCATGGTCGACGAAAACACCAATATCAATGTGTTCCGAGACGTTCCAGCAGCCGAAGGTTCTTGTTACAACTTCGACTTTTTCGATGCAGGCCCCTCCCGCCAGCCATGGAAGTGGTTCGAGACTGGGCGGGCCGAGAACATATCGAAAGGCGCAGTAATGGGGCCTACATACAACATCTCATCCCTAATCCCCAACCCAGAGGGGATAAGTCTCAAGCGCTCATACGACCCAGCCCCAGCAGATACTGGCACGGCCGGGAACACAAACCCCGATACCGCCTTCCAGCAGAAGCCGCCCTCGTCGTCATGTTCCTCCTCCTACGTCAGTGCCCTGCGCGACCTCAAGCTCGACAACAGCTCGCCCAAGCCAACACCAATGCCGCAGCCCACATCAGGGAGCAGAGGGCCAAAAACCTCGCCGCCTCTATCGCAGCGCACGTCGTCTTCACAAAGCACCGTGATCAAGACCCCGCAGACGTCGCCCGCAGAGAAAGGACTACCAAAGCTGCGCGACCATTTCACTGCAGCCGCATCTCCGCTCACCATGAAGGGCGGATATCCGCCCCGCATGTCAGCAGCGGCGGACGTGAAGCAGCCGGTGTACGAAGAAGCCCCTCTGGTTAAGACGGAATCATGCGGCAGCGATGTGTCAGAGGTGGCCGACTTGGAAGACCGTGATTTCTCGTTCCGTGAGCCGTTTTACGACTGGTCGATTCATGACCGCAGACTTCACAAGAACCAGTTCACGTTTGTGACGAAGGGCGAAGTCTTTGGTGGTGAATTACGGCCTGCAGTTCCTCCTCTACGTAGTGCGCCAGGTTCGGTCAATTTTGAATTTGGAGGGAATTCAGATCTGAGCACCAACTTATTCCAGGCCACGAAATACATGATGCGCGGCGCAAAGCTCACTACACGAGAGGATACCAGCATGACCGGCGGCGAGCTCAAATGGCCTCCCTCGCCGACCGTCTACACCCTCAGCAGCAGCACCTCCAGCTCTGATACTGGCGCACCTGAACCGCACCACGCCCAAAGCACCGCCGTGGAGGCCGACGGAGACCTCCTCCTCCCACCTACCAAGCGCCCACTCAACCCTCACCGCTCACCCACGAAAAGACCCGTGCCCCAGGAGCAGTCCCACATCCTCGATGAGCCCATCGTCTTCGCGCGGAACCCGTATCTACAGTTCCACTCGCCGCCGATAACACCCACAAAGCCCCATTCTCATGCTCACGCGCCTGTGCTGGATGGGGATGGAGCGGTGTTTACACTCCCGCCGAGCGCGACGGGTCATGAGCTGTGCATCACCATCTCACGCAGCGTCACGCCCACGTATAGCGGCGACGACGACGACGCTCCCCCTCCTGCCCAGCATTTCGATGGAAATGCAGACGAGCAAGGGAGGAAGACGAAACGGGTTAAGTCTGTGCACTGGGGTGCGGCGACTGATGCGGAGCGAAGGTTTGCGGAGGAGGAGGGGATAAGCTATTATGAAGTTGAGAGTGGTAGTGATGAGGAGGAGGATGAGGTTGTGTATGATTGGTCTGATGATGGGGAGGAAGGGGGTGATGAGGATGATGATGAGGATGATGATGAGGAGGGCGAGGAGGGGGAAGAGGAGGGGGATGGGGATGAGGAGGCTTCGCTTTGCGGGAGTCAGGTGTCCACGAGGGGGGTTGTTGATGCTGGTTGGTAGAGGTGGAGGAAATAGTGTTTCGGGCTTTGGGATGTCGAAAAAGGGAAGTTCTCACCACTTTCAAGGCTATTGGGCCTCCAACATCACCTCCGGCAAAAGGGCGTTAGGATGGTTCTCTTATCCATAATGATTTTTAAGTCCGGCGCAATTGATATCCTGTATTGTAGTATTTCGCGATAGGTCTTTGTATAGCTAGTCGGAATGGATGGAGGGAATAAAGTATGACTATCAATCTCGATGGAATCAATTGTGGCGGGGGCTTGTGGATATTAATATGAGTTTCTATCATATCTTTGATAGCTGGCTTTTTGTCAGCATTGGAATACGTTTATATTTTGACGGGATGCGTGTCCTCTGTATTTTTTTTTATCTCAAAGTGTTTTATTCCTTTCGCTCTTCCTTTAAGTAGACGCTACTTCAAGACATTCTCTAACCCGCGATAAAGCGCAATTTCAATCTCGGCCTCCACATTCTACTACATATGATCCAACTCAAAATCCAACTTCACTCCCCGCCCCCCTTCCGCCCCCCTCACTGCCCCCTCACGGCTAACCTCACCCCACCCCACACCTCCACAACCCCCCACAACCCATCCACCAACTCCTCCACCACAGCCTTCTGCTCACCCCCCCTCGCCTCCTCCTCCAACATCCCCATCCACCCCTCCGCCCACCCCAGCAGCTCCCTCACCTCCACACACCTCAAACTCCCCTTCGCCCTCCTCAGCACAATCACAATCCTCCACACCCTTGCCACCAGGCGGCGGAAGCGCTCGTCCGTGCGCTCGGCCGGTGGACAGTATACCGGGGTTGGGGGCGCGAGGCGGCGGATGAGCATATTTGGTGTTTCCATGCCTGTGTGGAAAGAGGGAAGGGGGTAAGTGTGTGCGGGGGGTGCACGGAAGGGTGCGTTGCCGGTGGGGGGCGTGGGGGCGGGGATGCGCATGGAGGTGCTGAGGTTGGATAAGAGGGTGAAGATGTCGGTGGTGCTGATTGTGAAGGGTTCTGTTGACATGTTGAGTTTTTGTTTTCTGTTTTGTTCGTGGTTTGGTATGGTTGATTGCTGTTGCTTTGTTCTTGTGATTTAGGTTGTTTGATACGATTTGTTTTTGTAGTTTCTTTGGGATTTAGATGGTTCGATATGATCTGGTGATTTTGTACGGAGGGTAGGTCGGTATATATAGAGATAAATACGTGTATATCAAACTATGATATCGATACTTGAATAAGGTTCTCAGGCTTTTACATGGAGAATCAAGGTAGCAGGGGGCAATAATTTCAAGTAGCGTCAAAGTTGAAGTATGATTTGGCGATGATGTAACCCGTAGATATCTCCCCCAGGAGCTTATTTCTCCACTGGTTTGAAAAAGGGCAGATGAGTTTCTATAGCCTATATTCCAGGCATTGTTGTTCAGGTATTCCGACGGATCACGGATTGTCACTCGTTCCGAGGTAGCGAGTGATTATTGGTGATCATACGCGCTATTTGCTGTGGATTTTTTTTGTTTAATTCCTTAATTGTATCATTGCTGTTGTTGGTTTTGACGTGAAGGAAAATACAGATCCTACCCGCCGAAACGTAAAGAGGAGATTTTATCGCGTTGGCCTAAAACTAGCTTCTACGAAGAGACGGATGTGACATTGTATTCACTTGGTGACTTGATGATAGATGGCGGATTAGCGGAGGATATTGGTGTATGTATCAAGCTAAGGCTACATGTATTTCGTAGGGACGTATCGGAACAGCGAGTTGACAAGAGATGGGGGTAAAGATACATAGACGACCTGTAACGTAAACTGTCACTAGGAATGATCAAAGAAAGCATTTGATATCATCTGCCACGAGCTCCCCATGGGGCTAACAGGAGCAAAGGAAACAAGGTGAACATGGGGTTGGACGTGGCCCAGCGGTATAGAGCTCACACTCTGTACCGAACTTGTGAGCGTTCAACCCCCCCTCCGGACGTAGAAAGGATGTAGCAACCGAGGCCTAGGCAGTGTTGTGAACCTTTTTGTTTTGTTTTGTAAAGTTTTGCTGATGTCGAGCGGGTTTTTTTATTTTTTTTATTATAATATTCGAGCAACAGCTATGTATGCACCTGAGGTTACTGGTGAAAGTATGATATATAGGTATGACGGGGTACTTCAAAATAGGACCGGAACTACCACCCCTATATAATATAGTAATTTTGCAGCTAGCACTACGTCTTTCACAATTCTCGGCCATAGTCACCAACCCATACGAACAATCTAGTATGTTCTCACCAAGCTGAATTAACCATTGTTCCTACTCAGCATTGTTCCTACTCAGCTAGCCAAACCAATCAGCAACCCTAATTTGCGAGATTTTACTCGTCCTGGTATTTTATATTATAGGGGATGGAGAAAAAGGAAGAGAAGAACGTTAAAACATGGCTTGATAGGCACCTATTCCGCGGAACAAGTATAATTTGACAGCAGTTCGTTCTCCTTATAAGTTCGCGGAGAGAGTGATGGAGCAACGATGTGACAAGAGATAGAGCTAAATGTGCACAAACGACTTGCAACGTAAACTTTGATTAGGAATAATCAAAGAAAGAATTCGATTTCACCAGCCGTGAAAAAAAAAAAAAAAAAGATAAAACATAATTTGTTAGTCGCCTATTCCGCGCAAAAAGAGTAATTCGCTAGTAATTCTCGATATAAGCGCGTCACAACCTTTCCTCGCAACAGGCAGTGTTCTGTTCTATTCCACCACTTCACGATTCGCAGCCCTCTTGATAATTTCACATCCATCCCCCTCCCCCGGCACTCTCCCCCTCAACCAGATCCTTCTCTTAACCCCATCCTCACCATCACCTTGCGTGCCCGCACTCTCCGCAACATCAGTGGTAGCCGCCGCCGCAGCCATCTCAACATCACCGTTCTCTGCATCCCTCATGAATTCCGCTATATTCTTCGGCGCCTTACCAGTACTATAATCCCAAGCCTCAACCTCCTCCGGCGCCTTTCGCTTATTCTGCTTAACGCGCTCTTCCAAGGCCTTGTTGGCCAGTTTTTGTTGCTTTCTCCACTGTTTAGAGGTCTTCTTTGGTGGTTTCGGCTTCGCCGCGGCAGCCACCTCTGTGGGCTCGTCAGTCTTGCCTCCCGGCATATTCGCCCTGCGCTTTTCGGGCTTGCCGCCGGATCCGCCTGGCCTCTCGGAGAGATGGCCTAGATTGACGGGCTTGGGGTAGTCTTGGAGCATATCGACTGTGATGATTGGAGAGAGCTTGCGCTCGGGGACCTCAACACAGATCCACTTTCCGTTAATCATGATATTCCGAGTAGGTAGTTGAAGTTGATATGGCTTCCAACCACGGTTAAGATCGCTGGGTTGGATAGCATTGGCGGTGGTGAAGCCGGCACCGGTGAAATCTTCAAAGTACGGCTCGTCAGGCTTTTCTTGATCGCTGTTCTTTTCAGAATCATGATGCGGAGAACCATCGCCCCGGCCATCGCGTGGAGTCTCTTCATGCGGAGAACCATCGTGGGGAGAGCCGTCACGCGGAGAGCCGTCACTTGGAGAATAGGTGGGTGAACGGGTTCGGGCTCTAAGGCAGCAACCATAATATGATATTTCTGAGTCTGAGTCTGAGTCTGAACCTGACTCTTCAGATTTGTTTCCCATGGCGGTGTCCACAGTGGCATCGGACATCTCATGGTCGTCCTTATGTTCTTCGGTAGATTTCGGGTCCTCCAGACGCTCCTTATCGTCGAGGTGTAGGTCTTCCTCCTCCTCTTGAAGACATGAGTCTTCGGGCTCACAGCTATCGCGATCGGATAAGACCACAGTGGAGGGGTATATCACGAGCTCAACACCCTGAGCCTTGCATGCCTTGTCTAGCGCGAGCCTGATCGTGTGCTTCAAAAGCTCTCGAATCCTATTTCACCTATTAGCGACGCGTCCTATACACACATAAAAAATGATTGAAAACCCACCTATCCGCGTGAGACTCCTCGTCCCACCACCACTTACAACTACTCTCGTGATTGAAGACATACTTCTCGAATTCGGCGTTGACAGCGCAGAACGTGGCCAGGTTCACATCCTGTATATAAACTGCATCTTTTGGGCGTCTCTCCTGTATAACGAGGGGAAAAGAAGGGTTTTCATCAATCACGTGCCGTTCATCACCGCCAACCGCTGCATCCGCTATCATCATCTCCGCATACCGCTCTGCAGCCGCCCACAGAACGTTCATCCTGAATCCCGAAAGCCCAGCGCTGTTACTCTCGACATATCGCGCCAGAGCGACTGGAAGAGCACGCTCTGAGAAGCGCCTGATTGTGCTCTGAGTTATGCTAACTTCGAGGGCGGCATCCAGGATTGTGACAGCGAGCGGGTGTTTTTGGAATCTGTTGCTTGATATCAGTTTCCATATGATTCATCCCGCCTATGAATAAAGAAAATAGAACTTATGTACAGATTATTCGGCTGTCTCACTCCCTGAGGAGACTCGGTGTAGCCGTTGTGCAGGACCCATGAGAGCAACAGATGATGCTGATCCTCAAAGCCTTCATAGAAACTCATCTCCTCACCAGATTCAGTGAGCGGAGGGGGACGGTGAACGTAGTCCATGGCTGCCATCTTGAGGATGTATTCTTGGAAGGGGTGCAAGTCGGCGCCTATATTGTTGCGGGGGATCGAGTAGGTAAGGTTATCCCAAGTGGAGGGCGGTGATGTAGGTTCCATCTTTGATCGAAATTGTAAATAGAGGTCTGGGTGATAGAGTACGTAGAATGTATGATGGTAAGGTTGAGATGTGTGGTTGGGGCGGAAGAGCGGGGTGGTGGGGCGGGTAGCAACCGGTCACCAGCTCTCACTCGGTGGCTGAGAAGCCGTTGCACGCTTGCATAAAGTCTAGTATGATCCCCGCTTCTAAGTCATCCCACCACCCTGCCCGCTTTTTGCCTCTTTATCACTATATCTGCATTCTTCTATCAGCATGCACGAATTTGAAGGGAACGCTGATAAATTATTTAGTTGGCAGACTCTGAAGCCTTTTGTTTTCTGTTCTTCATAGACTTATGCGCGTCTTCTCACTGCACCTTACGACGCGATGCCGATGCTAATCTCCACTGTAACATTCCACCTCCAGAGTGGGGCATGCTGACCGTAAGGACTTGAGTTCTCCGAAGCTAACCCCCTTATAGCTCACTAGTTATTAGGCTTTGGAAATCATATCGACTTTTTGTAATGGTAGATGTGCACTGATATAGAGAATGTCGGTAATGCTTGAATAGATAAATGCCGAATGATTCGTGTATTTAAATGTGCGATAGCTGTTTTCATACTTCTTCGGTTCCCCTTTTCTTTGCTGATCCATATATTATTTTACTTCCTCAACTTTCGTTTTTAGTTCACCAAAACGGAGCACCGCTATCATAGCTGGCCTAGACGTACACCAAGTTTCAACTATGGGTATTAGGGTTCTACCGGCAGCTTCGTTCACATAAAAACCCGAGATTCACCAGCAGGAAGGTATTATGATGAGCAGAGTTCTTTTATCAGCGGTCTGTGAAGGTCCAGACAACTGGTAGCTAACCGGATATCATAGGTCCAGGCTTATACTGGGGCAAAGACCAGGAACAGAACCACTTTCTTTCACCGGAAGAGACGCTATAAGGGAGATGAAGTTAGTACCGGAGGTCCAGAGGTCCTGCACGGTATGCAAAAGAGGATGTTCTGCTTGGAGCGGGAGAGAGCATTTCTGATTGTGCCATGTCCCCCGGGACATTTCCCTCTTCGTCCCTGTACTATGGTCCTACCACATCATGGGCGCGTCCTGTGAGGGTGTCCTAAAGTAGCGCGCAGAAACCGATTCCCTGTATATGGAGAAATGGGGCTTCAATTTGAGCTGCTAAGAGTTGAATAGTAATGTTTCGTCAGGTGAATGGGAGACATTTTATGAGATAAAGCTCCGAGGGTGAAAATAAAGTGTACCACAAATATGAGGATTCCAAGCTAAAATGATAGGAGATTTGGTGGGCTAGTTGGAAGGGGTCCCACTTCCTGATAGTGAATAACCGGTGGGTGGAAATTTGGACTACAAGTTAGAGGGGCCAGATGCTAGACATCAACGTATATAAAGTTGTTAAGGCCGTGTTAAGAGACGTGGTTATGCCGCTCCCAGTGCTTATTTTATTATAGAATGTCCCCCTGCGATCAATGAAATTATTATTGTTCCCCGTACGAGTCAAAAAGAAGGCGTTGTTGCCTACTCATGACGTAGCCATTGAAGAATTGCTGCGGTTGCATGGCTTCCTCATACAACTGGCAGCGCCAGATGCGCGCGGGTGGGGGGACTGCCGTGGTTCGGATCTTTTGCCAGTGAACCGCGCATTGCCGTTCCAACAGAGCACTTTTCACACCTCGGCAGCGTTGCCTATCGGCCGGCTTTGGGCGGTATGTAGGCAGGATAAGAAAAAATCAGTCATCCAGCATCCCGCCTACGTTACCAACTCGTTGCCTCCACTAGTACCTCCCACTTCCACACGTCTCCCTTGGAATTCCTTTACCAAACAACCCCCAAACATCCAACAACTCTGCCCTCCAAGAACAAGGACAAGAAATCTTTTTCTTTCTCCTTTCAACACAAGGCATGTCGACCCCCAACCAAGCGGAGTCATCAACCTCTGGCGATGGAGCTGTTCCTGCGCCTGTTCAGGTAGTCCCACCACCTCTGTCAACAAATAGATACACCATGGCCTCCGAGGCATTGCACAGATTGTTCGTTGAGAGCGGACTTTCTAGGGAGGAATCAAAAACCTTTTGGAATGTGATGAACGACTATGTTGTTGGTGAGATGCACACACTGTACTTCTCCCAAACTGCCACCCCAGAGGAACGTACTCTCTGTCGCATCAAGATCTTCAGCGAGATTTTGGTAAAGATTAGGACCTGGGCTAGCTCCACTTGCCGTTGGAGTGACGACATGTGTTCGGGTGATCCTGTCAAGATCTCTGCGTAAGTAATATGACTTATTTTTCTTTGGATTCCAAGTTGCATACTGATATTGAATAGCATCGAGCAGAAGGTTCACATTCTTCTGGGGCAAGCAATCACCTGCTTCGAGCTTGCAGTGACTGCCTACATTCGCACTGGTAGACACTACCTCTGGCTCATGCAGGATAGAGTATGTTACTATTGCATGAATTCGATAAAACAATGAAATGCTAACTCATCAAAGGTGACTGATCCTCCCAAGGAGTGGCAAAACTACTTTGAAATCCAGGGTACTCGGATTTCGTATCGTTAAGGATTATTGGTGATATCCTACGACGGTCGAAAGGCTCCAGAGGAGAAGGTTTTTAGGCTAGAGGTTTTTAGTTGACGAGCGGGTTCTTTTTCTTTTTCTTTTTTTCATTTCATGTGGAGCTATGCATCTTGTCTAAGAAAGGTTTCTTTGGCTATTGGGCGTATATATAGCAACGGTTCTATCACGTAGTAGATATTAGATGTTATTAGCCTAGCTAAATATGATCTTCGGTTTCTTGTTACCAAATCTCCCTTGGGGGTGGTGTGCTGCGCCACGGTTTCTCTTTTAGTACCTCGATATATCTGAAGATCAACGTGACCTCTAAAGACTTGAACTGTGACCAGGAAATCTTGATAAATATAGAGAAGAGGTGAGTTCAATATGATGGGGGACGTAATGGATGAGATTGGGAAGGAGATTGCTAGTGGTCTTATCGAAAGCATGAGATTAAGCTCCGGTAAATACCGAGCCTACCGTTATTGTCTTACCCGGCGATAAAATAAATTCATCACGTGACCTCCAATATTATTTTGGACTTCGGCTTATACTCGAAGCTCATTAAAACATCCAAATACAGCATCCTTCAGCAACTAATCTAAATATAGTAGGCGTCGCTTGCTTATATCACCTTTTTGTTCGAATCAGATTTCGCACCATTGGTACTCTGTGGCTACTTACTGGAGTTAAAATTCTATAAGCATGCGGCAATCACTGTTTCAACCAGAGTTCAGTTCCACTGATACAAAATGTGAGGTGCAGGTAGACTTGGGCTGCAAAAATGGGTCGGGGGCGTCCCTTCCACCGATGCTATCAGTAGCTATATGATATGATCCAGAACGGAATATACGGATTAGCTCTGTGTAATTAAGTGATATCTCCTTGATAAATAACCTGTTGTTTAACATCTATTGGTATATTATCGTTACTACAGCTGACCAAGAATATAGATCAAAAACAAAGACGGTGATTATCAAGACCTCGAGACGTGCCGATCCAAAGCTTACATGTATAGAGTGGATGCCACCGTTCACTTCATACCGAGAAAAGCTTGAGGCCTGCCTCTGCCTGAGCTGAAGGCATAGAAGCCGATGAGGCGGGAATGCTCGAGACAAACACTCCTCCGTGTCTAGAGGCGGGCCGTCTCTGTGGCAGGAGAGATTTTCATACGTTTAAATATAAATTGGTATTACCAGCTGCGTTCAGACAGCAGGAGTATTGTGATGTGGCGCCTCCCTACACGAGTGACTAAGTTTATATAACGCGAGAGGCAGAAACATCGCAAGCCTATGTATGTGCTTACTTCAAGCGGCAGGTGGCCGAGAGTAACGTTATTGCTGTGATGGCCGAAAATGAAGGAGCGGAAATTGACCAGCTAGATATTCAGATACAAAAGCCGTGCTATGTTGCACCTTGTACTGTGGATGGGAGCTCACGGGGGAAGGAGGGGGGACGTATAGGCACTAGGCTTAACGGGCATAGGCATAACTCTCTTTCCCTCTAATAAACAGCATGACCTTAGTCCTACACTATATTTTAATCTTTCTCTAAACCTAAATAAAGAAGAACGTCTACAAATAGGCTCAATACTTGGAATACTTCATTTTAGTGAGGTATGTGATGTTCTTCGTTAATTTAACATGATTCCTAGCCGAATATAAGAAATAAACCCGTTTCTGCATCACCGCAGGTCTTTCCTCTAATGTGTATCGATCATGCTATACCATTTATCAGTCGGCAACAGATATTTATTTTTTCATGGGTGTAAAGTTAAATATAGGCCCAGGTAGAAAATCTGGTGCAGCTCGGTGATATGGATCTCGGGGAAGAATACGTCATCCTTTTCATCCCAATGTTAGCAGTACGAATATGAAAGAATTAGTTCGTTGATGTTACTTTTACAATTCACTGCAGTTTTACTAGACTGGGAATTTCCAGTTACCATAAACAAAAAACAGGATGGATGAATATGATTATATGAAATTTGACTTATTAAGAGATCTCAATATCCCAGGTCATCTGATCATGATAAAGACCGCAGACATTCTATGGATGCCTATGATGAAGTCAACACTCATACCCCCAACCCTTAGTCCCTTCGCACTAAATAATTCCCTACATGTATTTAACCAACCCACATCCCTCTCTTTCCGTCAACTCATTCCTTAACAATTCCATACGCAATATCGAAGAGACAACCACAAAAACAGCTATGACGTCAAGTGCTAGAGAAATTCGCACCGCGCTTCGGAAAGAAAAGATGCAGCGCAAAAAAGACGCTGCCGAGCAAGCTGCAATTCCTTCCGCAGGTATGTCGACAATCCATCCAACTCAAGCAATGTTACTCATACAGATAATCATGACGCAGATAAAGACGTTGATATGAGCGATGGAAAAGAACCCAATGATAGCCCTATGAACCTCCTACCTCTCGGAGTCCTACCCCCAATCGTGACGGAAAGTCCGGCGAGAACGGCGATCCGGGCAAAGAAGAATAAAAAGAAAAAGGCGGCGAACAAGGCAACTGACCCGTCACCCCCCGGTGCGAACGAAGGGGGCCAGACAGGCGAGAAAGCTGAGCAATCCAAGGCACAACGGAAAAGGGTCAGACAGCAGAGAAGAGGTTAGTGATTCTTCCCGCCGTACTTGTGTACTCAAGCTAACTACTCGTAGAGGAATGGCGTGCAGTGTTGCTCCGCGTCGCCCAAAAGATTTCCGGCGACGATACTCTCTTGGATGCGGTCAGGGACTCTTACACGAGTGAAGGGCGCAACAAATTATTCAATGTCGTCGCTGCACTTGATCCCGGTGCTGGCAGAGATTCAAATCTCATTAGTGAGCTCAACGGCCTTTGTGATAGGCACACCCTAGAACCTCTCCGGCTAGCGCTGCAGTACCGACACGACGTGAAACTTCTCCGAGATAAAACGACCGAGAGAGAAAACGCGGAACTTCTGGCACGTCTCAAGGAGAGCGGATCGGTCGAGGAGTACGAAAATAAGAAGCTTGAGCTTGAGCAAAAGCGCCGGGTGGGACAGCGCAAATTTGTTCAGAACGAATCGGCTGCGGGTAGGTCAAGGAGAGATGTTAAGTTTCTTGAGATGTCTAGGCGTGAGAGAGCAAAGGTACAGAGTCGTCTTATGGCAAAGAAGAAGCGTGAGGAATTAGAGGCTGCTGAGATGGATGGGATTAGTGCTATCGTTGGTGGATTGAGGTTTGATGCTGGTGGAGTCGACGGTGACACTGGTTCAGGGACTGCTGCTGCCTCAGAGGTTGTGGATCTGGAGGGGATGTCTCTCCCTGATGCCTAGACAGAACATCTCACAGGTAGTGTAAGATGGGTGGAGCTCATTTTTGTTTGCCGACCTGGGTCTGTTGGGCACCACGTTACTGTGGGGGATTTCGGCGTCACCTATTTTAGTCTATTTTACAATTCGTATCTTGTGACATACTACTCCTTCTTCTGTGATTAATCGAGAGTTCTATTCTTGGCCTGTATCATTCATCATCCTGCTAATGATTATCCCATGACTAGGCTAGAAACGCCCCAGCTATTGTAGCCTCTAGGCCTCGCTATCGTGAAAGAAACGATGTAGTTGTTCATATTTTAATACAGCGCAATGATTTGTATGCGGGCATATTATCTTTCCGACCCCATTGAAACTTCCTGACTCTTCCTCATGCTTTCGTAAACTCAATGTACCTGTTTTAGTACCTTCTATCATCGTACTCATGTTTAGTCGTCAGAGGTGTAGCCTCAAAAATATGTAGAAAGAGAGAAGATCCACATCTTGCAAGTTCGAACTCTGCTGTGTTCACATGAAAAACACATCGCGGTCCATATTAGATAGCTTAGTCCCCACAAAACGAGCCCACCACAGCATGAAAGAATCTCGTTAAAGTTTCTATGAGCTCTTATACTTGAAGCATTCATCTAGTGTAATGTTTATTTTTTCGGAAAAATGACACAGTTTTCGGCAGAGGTGCTCTACAATAACACATGAATGCAAGATGACATAGTTCGGTATAATCCAAAATGAATACATCAATTAGTATACGTATTGGCTGAGCAATGATAGTAATATCGAAGTTCGATCTTCATCTTGGCACACTGCCAAGCTAGCTCAAGTATCACCTCGGGCACAGCATCTACTATGGGCGGGTGGTCTAGTGGATAGACTGCTCGTCGACACCGAGAGTACCCAGGATACAACCAATCACACATAAGGTCCTGGGTTCAGACCAGGGGTGGGGGTAGCAGTCGCAAATGTCTTAATAAGTCGCTGCAGTACCTTTTGTAGTTTTATAGAATGCTTTGTTCTTTTTTTCTTCTCCTTTTTTACTTGTAGTGACAGCGAACTGTGTCTTTTTGCATCATGTGTTATTTCGGAGCACGTATACATACCGAAAACTTTGTCATTTTAGGCCTTTTCCGTTATTTTTTCTACTATCTCAGTTCCAAGCACGAATGACATCTTACGATGACTGAATTAACGCAATGTCTACCGCTCACAGAGATTTCCACCATTTCCCCACGCTTACCTGCTACATTAAATAATTCCCAGGTCCACCTACCCCGCAGTGGAATTCTCACCATACCTGGGCGGCCCCCTCTCCACCCTTGTCCATCTTCTCATGTTTTCTAAAACCTGTTCCATCAACCCCCAGCACCCAGCAAAGTACCTACACATCTCCAGCACCTCTTTATCGAATCCCCGCCTCCTCTGGGCAATCAACCCATCCAGAAAATCATTTTTTAGTGCGTCTGGTATATGTGCCATCATATCGGCCGTTCCTGCTTCGAAAGCGTCCTCACGGTCAAGCACCTCCTTCAGCCCCCGATCACTGATAATCTCATAGTGAAGGAGGTCGGTTACGTTCTCGCGGAGGTCGTCAAGGCGTTGCTCAGTGGCGGAAGACATTGTGTATGAGTGTTTGTTTGTGTGTGTGTGTGTGTGTGTGTGTATTTGTGACTGTGTGTGTACGTATGAATCTTGAGTGCTATGAGTCCTACGTGAAGAGAGAGGTGGAATCCGCTTTTATAGGTGCTGATGGACTCTTTCAAGGGGATGGTTTGATATATAGCTAGTACTTTCATATCTCTAAAAAATGATAACTCGAATAATAAATTGAAGGTTACCGAGATAGTGGTTATGAACACGCAACGGACCAGGTCGTGTACGTGACACTGCCCCACCGAGCCAGGTATGTCTTCAGGAGGGTGCTGGACACATCCGTACGTCCAGTCCGATACTGGTGTATGGGGGCCGAGTTGAGGCCCGTTCGGTGTGCACGCTGTTTGGAAATCGTAGTGTTGCAACATGGCAACATTACAACCGAATATGTTATAATTAAAATCTGGTGAATTCCAGAATGTTGTGTCATGTTCTGCAAATCTAGAGGTCATGCACCTCAGTGTTTGCAATGGTGAAAACCAGTATGCAAACGTCACCGTATCGTACCACCAGTACCACCAGGACCTCAAAATCGTACTAACTACATGTATTTAACCACCTCTTCCAACATTGTTAAACCGGTAATACCATTTATACAAACGGTATATGGGTTAGGGTTCTTGGCGAGTGTTTCAGAACCGAAGGTTGCTCCGGAGGGGCAAAGGTTCTACCGAAGGCGGCGGAAAAACAATAGTCCGTGCTATTTGGTTAGTTGGTTTGTATCAGTTTAGGGTGTATCGTGTCTCAGCATAACCACCATCGTCTGAAACTCAAACTGTACTAACTGTCTCACTATTATCTAGTTTTTTTTACCGGTTTGTATCGCTAAACCGATGTCTCATTGCAAACACTGGTCATGGTGATGGTCACTTTTTATGTTGAGTACAATGATTGCAATCGGTGTATCATTATCGCAGTTCAAAGGTATGGGTCTGGCCCAAATGTTGTAAATCATGATATTGGGGCTTTTAACAGTTGTGAAATGGTAACGAAAGTGGTTGCTAGAATAGTACCACAAGATACAATATAGCAAAAAATTTCAATGTCGTGATAAAGGGTCGAATATCATCATATTGCGTTGCCACCGAACGGGCCCTTAATAGGCCCTCAATATCCAGTGTTTTCGATCATTTTAATCGCTTCTTCCTTTTGTGTCACTGGGCTTCGTTAGTTCTACTGGAAGACCATGCTGCTTCGGGGTGTGACGTATGAATTGGGGTTTCTCCCCTAGACTGAACTAATGAAATAAACGAAGTTATTTTATTTCAGGAGATTGAGAGGGTGGTTTAGATACTTCCGTTCTACCACGCCGTTCAATCGCCCACGCTTAGACTGGTACATCCGATCACCACATCTGGGGCTTGAACCAATAAAACAAGATGTTCTGTGAGAGAGAACTAAGTTTGCGACTTCCTCTGACTATAACGCCGAAAATATCCTTAGAACTATAAGATCCATGAAGTCTAGAAGCAACTCTGGTCATGTCGGGATATTAGTCAGCCAGTCCGTAATTGATCACTCGCTCTGGTTTCTTGGCAATTAGTCCCGAAAGGTCCTTCGGCGAATTGGGCCTGACCTCGTACCCAGTTTACTCGTAGTTTCATATTGCATACCATACAAAAAAGCGCCAAATCCACCTTTTTGTATGAATTTACGAGTTGCTGTGCCAAGACCTTCTTTCGTAGAGAATCACGTGACTGCCAAGAAGCTTGGGATGAGATCAAGCTCAAATTTGGCCCACCTGCGCGAATGTATATATATGGCCACAGGATTACTTTTGGTAAGTGCTATTTTCAAAGTCTTTTACCAACTCTTTTTACCTTCTAGTCAATCATTCATAATTTTGTCTCCCTCTCCCCACATGGTCAAAGCCGGATGTATGGTTGGGTCCGTTTAGCCAAAGCTTTCAGAAGTGATTCTTTATAGGATAGTGGATAACCAAACTATATACAGTTGCAGCTACTTAAGGTGGGGGGTTTAGGGAACTACTGCATGCGTAGTAAACCACCTTTTCTAGAAAAAATCGATACAATTCCAAACAATTAAAAGCTTGTGTCGGTCATACCACGTGCAAAGCATATACGGCGGTTGACGCATAGCACATAGAATAAAAACGGGTAATAAAGATTAAAGGTACACAAAGAGAAATTGGCTCCGCTGACATAAATACGCCATGGAGTCGCAAACCTCAACCCCATTCTAACTGGGATTGGGAAACCTTCACCAATACTTACGAAACTGGTGCCGCGCCGGTGATATCCCGTCAGCTCCGATAGACACAGGAGGCTCCGAGTCAGCAACCTGATCAGAGTTTTGTATCTTATCAGAGCCTAGGTTCATTGAGGTAAGTCTGTCTGTAATTTCCATCTCACCGTTCTTTGAACTACTACCAGAACCCGACGTTTGACCAGAGGTCGAAGCTCTGCTACCAAAACCCGACGTTTCGCCAGAAGTCGAAGCTTGGTTGAAGCTGAAATTCATTTGCCCAAGGCCGCTCAGCAAGTTCAGCTCGTCCTTCCTTACTCGATCCCTAAGATTGTTCAGCCTCTCCCGGGAATTGCGAAGTTTATTCATTGCGGCTGACGGCGGCGTCTTGAATCCATTTCGTCTCAGGAAGGCGTCATGCTGATGGGACATCTGGTGTGTTCTTTGATTACACTTCTTCAACTTATCGAAAGAACCTCCCCACGCGAGTGCGTCTAGCACTGGTTGGAGGTGCTGTTTACCTTGACAAGTGTTGCTCAAGACGTTTGTCAGCGTACCGCCCTTCACAACCAGTCTCGTTGCCTCAGGGAGGACATTAACGAGAGCGGCATGAAACGCACGATAATCAGAGATTTTATCTGTCCGCCGATATTCTCCGAGCTTCTGGATCAAGTGAGGGTGTTCAACTATGCTATTCGCTACACGCAAGTGGAATGCCGCACGCTCAGCTAGACGATGTCTGTTAGTCAAGCTCGCTGATCTCAAGAGCGGTGGTTACCTTTCTCGGCTGGTGGACAGGTACTTTCACCGAAGAACACTTCTTCTAAGCAGGCCACGGAATCTTCTCCAATTATGAGCATTGTAATTAATTATCTCACAATGTGATTCGTACCTGTGAGAGCGTGCATGGAAGCGAGTAATCCCGTAGCTGGTGGATCAGCGGAAGTGTGAGGAACGGCTGGTGTCCCCTCGGTGGTGTGGCGTTCCTTCATTGATTCGATCCACTCCGCAGCGCTTTCGTTGGTAAGACGATGGAAAACGAACGGTATCTCTGGTGTGGCATTTTGTTCCTCCATTTGCTCGGGCTGCGATGCAATTATTCCTCCATGAATATTTCCTGCTACTGTGCAAAATCAGAAAACATTCTCATTTCAGGAATACTGTTTCTCCACCGGGAGCGCATCTCTCACCACTACAGTACCCCATTCCGTTATAGACAGGGGGAACAGAGGAGCAGAAAGAATCATCCCCTGATTCAGCATTTGTTGGTAACCCAACACAGTGATCCCCAGGTGTAGAATCAATTAAAATAACTTTTCATACTTCGAGGCTTGAGAGTATTACCTGCTGAGGAGTTAACGCCGCTCATATTTTCTATCTCGAGTTATGCCTGTTACGCTTCGTTTCGATTGTTGACTTTGTGTCTATATTATAGAATAGCCGGACGTCTTCGCAGAACTTCTTGATCCCCTCCGGAATTAGTGATTTCGGAATTTTCTTTGTTGACTTTTGGTGTAGATGTTGGTATTATGGAGGGGAGAAGGAGTTGTGGGTAGAGGGCCTACTTGCTGTTAGTTGGCTCGTTGCCTATGCTACGAAGAATCTTACCCAAAACGTCATTGGGGTTTAGTGGCATCCGACAAAAATAGATTTCTCTTGTTACTTGAGGCGATACATCTCCGAGGAACTAGTTCGGGATTGGGGGCTCTCTGATCGCTGTCCCCCGACGTGGATCCCCAGGTCGAGGTGTTCACAAAATGAATATGAAGGATGACCAACGTATGATGAGTGATGTTGTCATACTATCGCGTGGTCTAGTCCATAAGAAAGGAGAAGTTTCTATTTCCCATGGAAAAGGGTTCATCTTTAGCGTAGAACAGAGTTGTGCAAAGCATTTAAAGAGGCCGGTTGGTCTCATAAACCATAAATCTCACTTCGTGCGCGGACTCTTCGAGGGTGCGGTCAGAGATTCCCTGACCGCGGATCTCAGCTTTTCTTGAATTTCTTGAACCAGTGCAATCCGAGAGAACGCTACGTCAGAGAGTAAAAATTATCATAGATGCAAAGACTCCATATTCAAACACTCGGAATGAACAGTATATACAGTACGAAAAGACGAGGTGAAATCAGTACTGTATGACTACGGGATTTAGCGAGGAATATGGGATTAAACCGGCATTACAAAAAGAATACCGTAGTAATGCCGTATTCTTGCTGCATTACTAGCGCATTAAGGGGAATAACGTAGCAAATCCATACCCCTTTTTGGTATTATATGCATCTACATCGAAAGCTATATGTAAGTTGATGTATGACCACACCTTGGTCGCTCTGCCGCATTATGAAAGAATGCTGTATATAAGAATGTCAGCGATGAAGGTTTTTAATATCGCCCAATCTATCTAATATATCATTCTTCTAATTAGAGTGACATCGCCGCTGGTCCGTATAGGTGTCTAGAACTATGGATATACCAACGGATTCCGTTCTTCACAGCTCACACCTCGGAAATCATCAATAAATCTGCGGTTAAACTTGGGCGTAGCCTGTATTTATAGTGATGAGAACGGCAGTAAAATAGATTCAAGTCACAAAGATCTTGTCCCATTTGTCCTCCAAATCGGGGGATGAAAACCTGAAGAAGCCAGATTTGTTCTGTCAAAGTCGCGAGATATTTCTGTGTGTATCCCCCGAATAGAAAAGCTCGAAAATTCATATAAAAATGATCGGAAATCACCGCATACATAATTTCAAAGAATTTTGAAGAAACCTGGAGGGACGCCCCCACCCGGAGAAGGAGACTCGCCCAGCCCTTCATTCCCTATCCGCTGCCAACACCCCTTCGCTTGCCAAAACCGTCAAGAAGACCTGTCTGGTACACATCACTACCGTAGTAGTTCGTCTCAGCGGGCGCCCACACTGACGTTGAAATTACTTGTTCTGGTAATTTGTCTTGAAAACGCCCCCTTAGTCTTCCCTCATATGCGCTATAAGGGGCGACTTCGACGTCTATGTAACCGTCCGCTAAGGGGAATTACTATAGTAGGTGATTGTCAAAGGCACCAATTAGCATTAATATCCGGAATCGCGACAAATATCGAGTCTCCGAGCGTAGGGCTGTGCTGATATTGTGTAAAGGGGGAGTCATATCAGGAACCACAATTGATCGTATTCCTCAAATCCCGTCCTAAAAGCTCGAACTTAATTCTTGGTCGTTCAGGCTTTTTGTATAAATACCCCTCCTCTATACCACAATTCCTACCACAACCAGCAGCAAGGTTCAATGTCTTTCCCTGTCCACATATACATCCTTCTCATCTAGTTGTCACGGTGGGGTGTCGGATAATGCCGCCATGCGCAGTAAGAATCTGGCGCCTGGGTATGTAACATCGATTAGCTCCGCCATAGAAACAGTCACCGCACCTATTCGATATCCCGGGAAGACTTCCGAAGCCGCTTAAAGGGGTGCCCGCATACTGAGCCATATGAGGGAAGATCATCCGCCCAGGTCCCCTTTTTGCTAGCGAGGATTTGATCTATACACGGATTACATGACTGGACGTTATGAGAGCGAGCCCAGCTGAATATCGAAATATCCACCGCCATCATAGCGTGATAAAATCTGCAAATGCTTACGGTTTTTCACAAGCCAGTTCAGACACAGGCTAACGTCACTGTTACTTCAGTGGGTCACCTACGATGCTTGAACCGTCCCCGAGATATTGATTTGATATAGCCTAGGAAGCGTTGAGGCATAGGGCGAGCTCGAGGTCTGATACCTTGGGCTCCCAAAGGTCTCCGCTCCCCGATGGGCACGAACTTCTGGTCGATCGCTCGGAGAGGTTGTTGCGGGAAAGGTCATTAGTCCTAGGCCCATTCGTAGAAATTGTAGAAGTATCTATTCTTACCAATAAAGGATACCCGAATGCGAATTCGGTAGTTCTGAAAATTGCCGGCATTCTGCATTTTTGATCCTCAATCGCGGAGGGTGGTGTGAGAGCTAAGCTAAATAAGAATAAGGCCCAAGATGAGCGACCGGAGTCTTGGCGCGTGAAACAGACTGCGAGTGATATGGTATGAAGCTGCGATTCGGCTCATGAGGAGTGGGTGGTACCCTAGGGCCCATGCGAAGATTGATACTGCGATACTGTGAAGGGAATAAAAATCCTGCACCTGCTGATAGACGAGCTGTCACCAGTGTAGGTTGTAGGAAGGAGGTCAGACTTAGCCCCAACCTCTCCATGAGGTTAATCATAATTTATTACAGGACAATAGTGTGGCCAGGAGGCAGTGATTCCAACGGTTGAAACCGGTTGTATTCGGAGGTCATACAATACCGAACTGAACTGAATTACATCTCCAACTGAACTGAACTGAACTGAACTGGATATCGGTTTTCTACACCGGTTTAAGAACTAGAATCTTTCTTTTGTTTGGTTTGCAGGTTCATAAACTAGATGTTTTTTCAGAATCTGTTTCTTGGTTTATTAGGTGCGATTGAGCCCGCCCAAAACCGGTCAATGTAAGGAAATACGTTGCCTAGCGAGTATGAATTAAACAAAAAAAAAAAAACAATACGTTCCCTATGTGACGGGTACCTGCATGATAGAACCGTTTAGTAAACCGGTTTGAACCGGTTTTTGATTGTGATGAACCGTTCAAACCGAATTAGCTCAAAGACAAAAACTAAACTGAAATATTAACTAAACGGGTTTACCAAAACCGGTTTGTTTGGTAGAACGGGTGAACCGTTGGAAACCCTACAAGGAGGTCATGATGTACATCGTGGTAGTTTGTGATCATAGGGTAGATATCCTCCTAATATCGATTAGATGCCTGGCCCGTAACCGCAGGTTGAACTAACCTCCTGCTAGTGATCTCGCCAATTAGATGCAGTCTCTCCCCTACCCATGGCCAGTCCCCGGTGTAGCATGAAGTTTGAGCAAAACCGCTCTATAGTATAGTTGACGTAGAACTTTGAAGTTTGAGAGAGGGTGAACCGTATCTCTCTACGTGCCCGTAGAGCCTAAGCTGGTATAAAGATCTATACACACTGGTTGGTGGTTAACCTACTGTCGTCGACCAAGTCACGTGGTATGGTTGGAAGCCCGGCAGGGCACACTCCATTGACTTTGAGACGTAGATCTAGATATTGTATAACCACAACACTCTCACTGTCTGTATACAAAGGATAAAGCCCAAAATGTCCACGGACCCCGCCAATCAATTTCCCTTCGAGAGAGGACTCCCTAACCTAAGATCTCCGCCGCCGCTCGCTGTTTCCGCAGAGGATAACTCAACTATCGATGTGACAACGTTCGCATGGCTCAAATCACCTGCTGCTGCGTCCGCCGCACCATCTATCAACAAAAGGTTAGCAAAGTATCATCCCGTCACGCCGTAGCGAGTAACCGCGCCCAAGGGAGTGCCCGCGGTAGGAGTGACGTCCGCAGAGCATTACGGGTGGCGGGCGGACCCGACGCCCACGCCCTTTCCCATGCTCCTCCCAAATTTCTCCAGAGGACAATCTCCCAATTTCTGCACGACAAAAAAAGCCTAATGCCAGGAAGCGTAAATCTTCCTTCCTACTTCGTTGGTATCTGCTAGGAGACTAACATGTCTTTTACCCTAGGTCTTCGCCGCTCCCTCATCTGGATGGATATCGTAAAGAGATTAACACGCAGTGAGCGGTTGCTGGGTCTTTTGAAGTACTATCAAGATGAAAGGAGAGATCCCGCTTCAAAGAAGGATATTGAAGATTGGCTCCGTAGTCGTATCCCGGGAGCTTCTGGGGTTGGTAACCTCTTGGAGGAGACAATCCGTATCCTTTCGGAGGAAGATGGAAAGAAGGGCGAGATCACCAAAGATAGGCAGTACTTGATAAAGGTTTAGGCCGGACTCAAGTACCGCGAGAAATTCTTAATAGGATCTGGTTCAATGGAGGGGGTGGAAGATGGTGCCCACATAGTCGCAGCGCAAAGTCCCGAGCCAGGGACAGAACCAGTTGTTCTTAGGTGGGAGAGGAAGGGGGGGCTTCAGTCTGTGGGGGCCTGTGAGGAGCTTTCGGGGCAGTCCGTTATCGGGCCTAGCACTGCGGAGTCCATTGGGCCAACTGCAGGTAAGGACGGCATCATGGGCGAAGAACACGTTGTACGAGGTTAAGGAGATGATGGCTGGGCGTAGATGGTGGGCAGCGTTGATAGGTCTGATAAATTCTTGGTTCACTATTCCTACATCCTCCAAGGCCAAATAATAATCGACTCTTGGTTTTCCTCGTCTACCGCTCCGCTGTACGCTTCGACTCTCTGTATAATAGATGTCTCTTCGTACACTGCACAGTAAACTGCGAGATAGAAAACATTCACTAACTATCAGCCCCCAATATCGTAGGATATATCTTGAGTACTGTATCTTGCGCTACATACCATTTTTGTTCACCAGCCAATTGAACCTTGCTCTTAGATGTGTCCTGCCTCGTCCAGAAATCTCCCGTTCGAGTACTTTACCGCGTGACGACGTGTATTTGTGGGTACTTGATTATCAGCTTGGTAGCTAGAATATAACTAGCCAGGTGATGAAAAGATAAGATTAAGCTGCAGGGGCATGACTCACTGCACCAAATCCCACAACAAAGAGATACAAGCTGGAGATGAGCATATGATGCTTTGAAGAGGGGTTAGGTGGCGGGTGGGGAGCTTTAAAGAAGTGGCCTTTTCACAATGTCTGTTATTGCGTAAGGTTACGGGATTTGGGGGGGAGGTGGGCTTTGGTGAACGGTGCAGGCGCGCTTGGAAAAGGTCGAAAGAGCAGAAGAATGTACTTGTTGGAGAGATCGGTTGGCCGGGATCTTCGGTATAACCTCCACCCCTCCCTTTGTGTATCCCCTTTGGTGTCGGTGCACCATACATCGATTTCGGCCGGTAGAATCGAGGACATATCTCGACGTGTGTGGATTCTAGTGCCTCCACCTGTATCTGGTTTTGGGAGTTATCTATTCGAGAATGATAATAGGGCTGTATTGTCGACATAAATGAGGTTTACTCTATTGTTGATCCCGGGACTCAAATGAACAATAATGTCATCTCCACTGGACTGTATGGCTCTAAGGCTGAGGAGATACTGCGTCTAGCCAAGGCTCGTCCCCAGCCCTCCTACTCACATGCTTCCAGCGGGAGATCTTGCAAATAGGACATGGATACGAGAATACCTCCAGCCGGTATGCCAGGCTAGCAGCGTCGTTCCCCAAGCCCTCTTCTGCCATATTCAAAGTCCTCTTCGAAAACGTGAGTAACGTTGCTGGAGATACTTGAGGCATACGATGGACGCGTTGACTACACATACTTGCAGTTAATCAGCGTATACAACCGTGCCTTTCGAGTCGTAGTAGACTATATGTTGCGTTGGGTGGGGTACATAAACGAAGATGTTCCAAAAAGTTCTCACGCCGGAATTGGCTAAGCGCCTCTGACTGTCCCTCGCGTCCCTGGGAGGCCACAATCATTTCCAGTCAACAACACACGTGAGCAAATAATCCATGGGTTTTCCGCTTTAATTATCTCTCAGAAAGCGCAGGAGCAGTAAGGCTGGGCAGATCGTAATGCGGTAACCGCTTGTTTTCCTTCTTTTGAATGATTGGTATCTGTGAGCAGCGATCGGAGAGCTGTACGGATAAACGATATAGATAACTCCATGTACTCATCGGTCCAGTCTATTCCCGTTGCACTATGCCTGCCGGAGATAGGTTTGACTTTGTGCTCTTACCATGTGTCCTGATTCGCTGATACTCTTTGAAGTGGTACAACCTAGTAAGAATATATTCAATCCATCTACTTGAGTTTTCTATTGGTATTTCCATATTACCAGATGAGACGTGTGAAGAATGCCCAGTCCATCTTTCCAGGTCTTGATAAATTAGTCAAGCTTATTAATTGTGATGTTTGGGTTTGAGGTCTAGGAGTCAGAAACCGGGGGGTGGAGACATGAGGGAAAGGGTCTTTTGTGCATCATCGCTCAAACCTATGGTTTATAGATTATCTAAACCTTACTCGGATACACTGTCATGGTAAATGAGGGAGTCAATTTGTTTATCACGCTAAGTAACGATTAAATTAGTTTTTTTGCGCAAACCTTTGGAAACACGTTCCTCCTTCTGCTCGTGAACAACACCACATGGTGGGCATGAGACTAAGATTAAATAACCTACATGTATTTTCTAATAAGAGTTCATCTCGTATCGTTTGGAGCATATCAACGGTATGCCTAACGTTGAACAAGATAGAAACTACGTTACAGAAATGATAAAAGTAGGAAACTGTAGATTCTCGTTTCAAGTACTCCTAAAATTAGGAAAAAAAGAACAGAGGGGGAAAAGCACTAGTAGATGACGTTTATTCCAAAAACCCATTTCCGATCCAGTCAACACTCATTTCGTCTTCCTTAACCGGCTCCTCGCTATTATTCTCCGCGCTCTCCTGAAATGACAACACTGACTCAAACCGGTCAACCAGGATTTTCGTTTCCTCAGGCCTCAATGTACCCCCCCTGGTCCTTTTCCGACCTCTCGGCGGCCTAGTTATCCTATTCTCGGTTCTGCGCACTAGAGGTTCTAAGGCCGTGCCTGGTAATCTCAAACCACCAACGGTCCGGTGCACCCTTCCTCCTGCTGGCCTAATGATTATATGCGGCGAGGCTGCCCACGGTCTCTTTTTCCCCTCCTTTATGCGGGACCGATGTAGCCTTCTCAAAAGATCATTAATCCCCCCCGCACTTGGGTAGAGCGAGATTAGGCGTAATCTTATCTCTTCGCCGCAGGTGGGGTCCGTCTCTGATCGCTTAAGAAGCTCATCGAGATCGGGGTCACGCATGACTGCTAACGTCATATACATGATCAGACGATTGTCTTCGTCATCTATATCTATGTTAATAACCTAGGGGTTTAAGGTGCGGTATCTGGAAGAATGAAGGGGAGGTACCAAGGCCACAGACAGCAGCAGCGTCACGTGAGGATTCGGAATGATAGATGCCAGTTTCTGCTGCGATGGATATTAGTATCCTTTCTACAGGAAAAGCGATATTCTGGGATTTTACGTGTTCTGGCGGGCTCTCGGTCGTCTTCGATCTCCAGAGGAATCCAGTACTCTGGCATTTTTCCCTTCTTGTCATAGTTTTCGTTTTCCATTGCGTGACCTTTCTGGGTCCTGGCTTTTAATAATCAAGATGTAGTCAGAAACGGTTGAAGGCGTGTTTGTGTTGTGTGGAACCTGGAGTCGTGGATTGGTGTTCAGGTAGAGGTGTGAAGGAGCTCGAGATTCGGGTCTCTTGTAGGTGTAGAAGGCTGTCCTATGCTTGCTGAGAGGTAAGAGTGATGTGAGTGTTCTTTCAGCGCGGGGTCTGTGAGGTAAGAGCAGCCCGAGGATGTTTTGTTTAAAGTTTGGAGATACATTCTACGACGGCATATGGCGCTATGGGTGTCGTCTAGGTGGTCAGTAGCACTAGGAAGTCATAGCGAGACCATTTTGAGAATGGTTTGGCAGAGACCAATCAGCACAAGCACCTAGAACATCTGTTAGTTATGATTGGATATAGTCTAGGCCCAGTGGATTAATCGGGTGGCTCATGATCTCACATTTGCCAATGTTTGGACATACTACTATGGAGTACTTCCGTGTGTCGAGATTCGTATCGAAGCTTGTAACTCTTCGGGATGGGACCCACCAGGACTAATTTGATACCTACTAGTTGAGGTATTGCGTGCGGGATGAACGACAAACAAACGACTAATAAGCTGTACATGTATGATCCCATACGGAGTGATAAAAACAAATCGTTTCACAGAGAACAATCAAAGAGCTAGAGGCATTAAATCATCCTTCTGTGGTTTCTCTTGCTTCAATTTGTGTAACACTGTTATAATTTATGGCGTGCCTGTGAATCCTTTGGGCTGATCACATTTGTCTCTCATATTGCTTTAATGTATAAGATAACTTTTCAGTTTCAACTGCTCCACCTCGCAGGGACGTAGGATAAAATTAAAAACAAAAAGTTTACAAATAAAACATTCCCTGAGAGATTTAACGCGCGACCCTAGAATACCTTGGTAAAGGTTGTCCCGAAGGGGAATTAACACAAGGAAGCTAATGTCTCAGCATGCTGTACCCAATGAAAAAGCCTGAATCTGGTCCGCCAGGGAGAAAAGATGAACTTGACTCACTACTTCTAACTACCCTATATTTTAATTTACCATTTCTGACCTAAGCCATTTCCTTAGGCCTGCCGTACACACCGAGAGAAACCAAATTTATGATCTACCAATCTATTAAAACTACATTAAGCCGAATTGGGTCTGGTTCAAGACAAGGATTGCACAGATCAGAGATTGACAATTACATGTATGTGAGATATATTTCATATATCATCCACTTCGATGAGGCTCTTAATACAGGCTAGTAGTTCTTGGTGATTGTCGGACATCCTTCGAGGGGGCCTATGGCCAAACCCATCCAAATTTACTCTATTCTAGGCCGACTAACGGCCAAACAAGCATATCACCATTGAACCTACCCCAGAGGAATCATCAAATCTCAGGAACTCACTGTTCAAGGCGTCACATCCCCACAAATCATTCACAAACATCCATTCCATGAGCAAGGACATTGGGAAAATTGCAAAGCAGACTCTCAATCCAAGACTTGACGCAGAATATTTATTAAAACAACGTTACACTGTGAGAACTATGCTACTAAGATAACTACTCCTCTCTCCTGTACAGGACACGTGAATAAGATTTCACTCCAAAGTATGCTTCTCTCTGCATCAATATCTTTTCGCATTTCTCATAACTCCTACAACCTCCAATTTTACACTAAGCCTCGCCATCCTTTCTCCCATTAATCAAAACACCAGATACAATCCGGGGACGTATTGATCGGCGGATTCTCATGATTGACGAATTTATCGAAATCAGAGTCGTACTGGCACGCGTTTTCACACGCAAGCTCCATCTTTTGAAGCGGAGATCTTGCTTTTGGGACATAACGCCTTTTCTGGATACCTCTCGGACCAGCACTGTCGGGACTGAGTTTAACCTTCTTCATCGCAGTCACTAAGGCATCTCGGGATGTGGACTGAAGGCCTGATGAGCAGAAGTCTTGGTAGTCTTTCTCATCCTTCTCATGAGGCATCACGGGCATCGTGCAGTCACGTAGCATGACCTTGTTGGGATTCTATTTAGCATCACATACCAATGTTAGTTTCATATACTATAAAAGTAGAAATTTTCTAAGCTTCAACAAAGAAAGGCACAGGAATCCTACCACATAAGCAGGGTGTCTGATACCACCGACTTTCAGTCCCAGAAGCGGTGTGGACGAGATCATCTCCTCCGGCTCGAAGTTCTCCTTTGAAGCCAGTCCCCTTTTGGCGTGGATGTTTTCTAACATCGTGCAATAGACACTGCCAAGATCAGTAAGAGTGCTCAGCAAGGCTCTCTCTAACTTCTTCCCCATGATACCCTTACTCAACCTCGATAAAGCTATGGTAGAATCAGAGCGATAAATTAAAACATTAGGTCCCAACAGACGAGCATTGTGAAAGTTGTGTTCGAGCATCGTGAGGTTCTCTGGGGAGTCACCCCAAGAGGTCTGGAGCTCGTCACCTCGCGGAGTTTCCGACCACTCACAAGCGGATGAGACGCGTCTAGTCTCAGTCGGAATGTCCTCCACATCAAGTTCGAGACAAATCCCGATGAGTTCCCGGACGATCTGATAAGCACTAGTAAAGATACATATGTCAATGGAGTCTCCTGATCATAATTATCACATAAGGAACTTACTGAGCGAATCTTTCTTGTTGGTTAAAATTTTGATCCTGCAAGTAGTTCCCCCATACAACCGGTATGATCTGTCTGGCGAACCTATAAACCATAGGTCTGCAGACATCCTGCTTAGAACTATCCAATAGAATTTCACGGGATTGCGACATGAAGAGAACTACGGAGTGCGTGAGAACCGCAAACGAGACTTCAGGAAGACAAGATCTGCCGATTAGGTCACTTGCGGCGAGAGGTACCCAGGCTGTGATCCTCTCATCGTCGTCAAGATAAAAGAACTGTGTATCCTCCGGCGCTGCACCAATTGGGGTCACTAATTCAGATTAGCGACAATCTTCACATTTTGGGAACTGCTGTCATCTTACGATTACATGTATGCGGGTCATTTTCCTCTCCGGTAGCTTTCGCGGGTTCTCCACCAGCTCGCAAGGTTCCTTCGGTCACTGCCATTGCAAGAGCGTTCTATACGTGTTACGAGTACTATGGCTTGCGTTATCTATTAACACAAGATGTTAGAAAGAGGCGAACTGAACCCTTCTGCTTGGCAGAGTTCACACTGGCCACCGGACAACACGAGTTCAGTAGGTTTGCCTGAAAAGTGAGGTAGGAGGAGGGGAGGAGGGAAAGATGATGGAGAGTGTTCAGGTATGAACGTACAATTACAAAAACTCCCGGACTAAGTGCGTGTCCGGATTTGTTATAACCTTCGCGGTGTTGGATTGGTGTATTCTTTTCTGGTGTTTAGGTTTGGGAGGTTGTGTATGAGCAGCTTTCTTTGGATAGGTGATCGCTTTGGGCGTTGCTTTGGGCTTTATATAAGGTGGAGGAAGTGCGGGTGTACCTGAGGCATGAGGTTGCAGAGCGAAGTTTAGCACCACTGACTACCAGCGATGACGTGACGAAACACACATTCGAAATAAAGAACACCTATCCCTAAGAAACAAATCAACTAAAGTAGGAAGCACACCCCAATAACGTCCACAAGGCGAGATCGCTGTCTGCAATTAATAGAACTGCGCTACAGAGTATGATGCTACAGAAGTAGTCCGACACAGACCGAACACGGTCGCACATCTAGATTCTCTGCTCACTTAGCCTTGACACGACAGGCACAAACCACTCCGTGACAATGTAACACCGAAAGAAAGCACCGTTTCCATTCGTGTAGGTTTGTTCTTGCTGGCATGGACTTAGTTACTTAGGACCCTACAGTAGCTGATAGGCCGTCAACCTTATCACCCCCACCCGTATGCTACTGAACAGAAACATCCACTTTAGGTTGCTGATACTATACAGCATACCATCCAGACCTTCCTGTGTGTTCTTCCCGTTCACAACTTACATTTTCAAAGGAGATAGCTACCATGGGAAGTCTTACTCCCGGATGAACTCAAATGTTGTCCATACGATACGTACACGGGTGACGTAGGTTACGCGTGAGATAGCAACACAAAGCGGGCAGGCACCACCTACTTCACCGACGAAGAGAAAGGAGCCTGGGGTTGACCTCTATTGACGTATTCTATGCCGATCCCACCAGAAGCTCCGCATGTTCCCAACGTGTGACCCTATAAACGGAGTCGGGTAAACAAAACATTATAATCATGGAATATCACTCGATAGTGCTACTACTGCCGATGAGCTCGGAAGCATAGAAAGGCGAGATAACAGGAACTTTATATAACCGGAGCTTCTTTTTACAGAGATACGGTGCGTTTCAAGCAAGTTTGCCGACATTCCCCGTACATAATGGAATTTAAGACGTTGGGTGTCAAGTGACAGCATACATTCAGAGAATTCTATAGATTACCGTTTGTACCATTTCTATTTAGAGGGGCATCGGTGTATGATACGACAAGGTTGTGGTATTGCAGACTCGTAAGAACATGCAGGCTTAGGGGTGGGGAACAGGTGCCGCCAAGAGAGTGATGACAACATGCAGGGTATGTGCTTCACGATAACTAGCACGGCGGAGAGATTCCAGATCACGCAACAGAGGAGTTATCGATTAGGGCCGAGGTCTCTACATCGATATAGTCTTATTAATGCTCGAAAAGGTAGAGCATGCATACTCATTGACGGAGGCGAGGTTATCCGATTCCCTTTTCTGATGAAACTTCGAAATCTTTAACTGCGGGGGTCCCGGTTCACTGAGGCAAGCCTTTGTGAACTGGCCAACCCGCTATGGATACATGTGCTCAACGGTTAAGTTAAAGCCCACCATCATAGAGTGAGAAAAAGATGTATAAAAGCGACTATCTCAGTGTTTGGCGGTGTCGTACTATTTCCGTAACACTGTTGTATACTTCGTGCTCATGCAGTATCAGCTCTACCCCATTTCTGATACTGAGCTTAGTCATCCATGCGAGTGATACTCTGTGCTTCCGCGAAAAGATGCCTAACTCGCTAAGTCTCCATGACAAGAATTCTGGTTCAAGTTGATAAATTAAAACCAATAACGGAGAGCGATATTTCTAATTCAGCCGCGTTGGATTTATCATATCCAACACTTATTCTTCCGTTAATTCGAATGTCCGAGTAATGCCGTGGGCCATGGGTAGGACGTCATGCGACGGAGCCGGTATTTATGTCATGATGTAGTATCGGTCTTCCGAAGTTTGCACATTGTTTCAGCGGGACATCAAGATCGAGGCTAGCCAGCACCTTACGGATGGAAGAAACTGGTCGTTTCTGACGGTCTAGAGAGGGCTTTGCTGTTCCTCGCTGCCACAACATCCTCTTCCTGGTTCTCCATTCACATCAACTCCGTCGCTCTTTTCTTTGTGTCTCAACCGAAAGTACAGTTTTAATTCTGGTTCCCGATCGCGAGCCGAACGTGCCATCACCTTCAAAGTGTTACCAGTAGACAGACATCAAAAAGCTACGGCTATGGCACGGAGGACTAGCTCCGGAAGTGCTATTATGACACAGCCCGTCTAACAAATATTCGATTACAGGCTGGGGTTTCTCCTTCCTCAGTGTTTCCAACAGTAAAACCGGTTCTTACTTTTAGCAGAGGTGAACTGAACTAAACTAAACTAAACTGAATAAGGTCCTGTTCGGTTACAAAAACTATCGGCTCAATCTGCATGGAATAAAAACTAGTGTTTAATAACCACCTATTTTTACCATCCAAAACCGAGTGAAATCACAAAAGGGCCATAATTTGAACTTCACCTCAGTGGGTAAATCTCAGATATTTTTGCATGGACTGAGCGGGTGTCACATATAAAGCCACAACAACAAAAGATTTTAAAATTTTAATTTTTGGGCAGCTATGGGCTTTCCTACCAATAGATCTCATAGTAAACAAAAAATTAAGATTGGAGTGATGGTGATGGAGTTGTGAGACCCTTTATTGTATTGAGGACAAGAAGCGATGAAGTCGAGATTGAGATAAAAAGTAGGCTCAGCCACACTTCCAGTTTTGGCTGCAACCCATGGAACGACAATAATTTTTCACGATCAACAGAACAGGGCCTAAAAATGGCCGACAACTAAACCAGTCGAATAAGAACCGGTTTATGCTGCAGAACTGTTCTGAGGTCTTGGCACTGGTCTGGCAGGGACTCTGCACTAAAAGTGTTCTGGGTTAGGGTTGATCCTGATAGGGTGTTCGTACTTTGTATGAGGGGTTCCACCTGCATACAAAACTGGTTTAGCCGAAGTCATAAACTGAACTAAACTAAATAGTGAATAGGCAAAACTGAACTGAACTGTTTCCTTAGACGGTTCTAGAAGACTGGTTTGAACTAATAAACCGAAAAACCATTAGAAACACTATCCTCCCTAGCCTACTAGAGTGACACCGCTCCTTATGGTATTGGATCTGTATTTGAAGAACTTGTAAACTTGAACCCCGCAAAGCCACCCGCGGAAGGAGTACCGATTATGCTCGAAGGGGAAGAATGGTACCGGTGAAGATGGAACAATATAAGAGAGTCTTGATGATGGCGTAACCGTCAGCCGGAGGTTCCAAGAGCCATCTGTAGTTTGGCGGATAATTTATAACGATATCAAAATTGCAACATGCTGGTAGCAGCAGTTCATAGTCGTAACCTGGGTGAGTGAGATGAGTTTTCTTGTTGCAATTTCTCATAATCGAAGGTTCAACGGGAAGATGGACGAACCAGTGTTGCCATGTCAAGTAAACCCTTCAAGGAAAAAAAGGAAAAGAAAAAAGAAAACAGATCACCGCTGGAGCCTGGGGTCATCGAGTGAAATGACTGTCACCCATATGATATTTTAATCCGATGAAACTCATTGAGGCCTATGGAAGGCACGGGGAACAATTGATCTTTTATTAGAAGAGAAACCGGTGAGAGCCGCTGAAGTAGAACATTGGTTTGCAAGTGTTTACGTAACCACATGTAACCCGAGCAGTCCCTACATGTTCCTCCATGCATATAGTCCCGACGACTATCAAATCACATATACGTTCTCCGCCTTGAATCAACACCAACTCGGTAAATGAGATCCAGAGAGATTGAAAGAAATCGAGTCAACAAGAAACTTAAAGAAAATGGAGAAGTAACTCCCGGACTATAGGTTTGCCCTATGTGTCAAATAAGAGCAGGAAGCTTATATAAAATCAAAGCAACAACATTATCATGCGAAAACGACGTAGGAAAATCGATTGAGAAAAAGTGTGTAAGTCTTCAACAACTGATGAAAGAGACCAGTCGGATTTTTAGCTTTGAAATCGGCGAATAACAGAAAATATTGAAAGAAAATTTAGCGTGTGCACTCTAGCCAGATGCAAGAAAGCGGCAAGATTGAGATGAGAAGGAAAATGACCGCCACCATCCTAAGGAACTATAACCTCCACTACCTTCCGTCCTCCTGAACCAACCCCTTTCCAGACCGTTAGCTGCCCGGTGTTGGTAGAATCGGTATTTAACTGGCCGATGGGCGCGGTTTTGACTTTTCGGCGATCGGGGGCGGTGGTATCGGCTCTTTTCTGGTTACCGGTTGTCCTCTTAGTGTCCGAAGGACAACTGGGCGGCCAATCAGGACGCAGAGGCTTATTAGTGTGAGGAAAGGTGTAATTTCGTTTAAAGAAGCTGGTGTTCCACGGTGTACGCATGTTTTGAGGTGAAGCTCTAGCAACGTCCGAGTCGGCACCACGAATGTTCATCCCAAGGCTTATCTTGGTTACCACCCTGCCTTTCTTCGGAAGGTCCTTCTTGGAACACACTCTGCCATCCGGCGTTGTATACATTGAGAACTTGATCTTTAAATATTTTCCTCTCAGTACTGGCTCAGTGATGAGATCACGGCTCGCTTTGACACTGATCCTAATTTTGTACTCACTTTACCACACATTAAATTAGCATTGACATTCGATACGATTGAGGTTTCACGGAGAGCATACATGTAAAGGTAAACACGTTTTCCAGATGTTCTGTTGAAAAGACCTTGGGCTAATTTTTCCTTTATCCAAGCAAGGATACTGCTCTTGAATGCCCAGATGATCACAACCCTTAACAACCACGGGGTGTAGACCAAACTACGGTCCACCACAAGGTTCACAACCCTCTGATGAAAAACAGTTATTAGAGTGGGCTTAAGCTTCAGAGAATGGAGGAGATATCATACATTCGAAGCCATCGTAATAGAGTATGGATCGCAGGAGAGAGAAATAGCTTGTTACTTGAGGATTGCTCAGAAAAGTGGAGATGACTAGGGATGAAGAAATGTCTTGGGCAAAATGGGAGATGTGGGAGTGTGGCACTCACCTCAGATTGAATGAAAGTCACGCTTATTAAGGATAGGGCTTTAACCATGACCGAGAAGCTTCATAAGCTTCACAGCACTGGTGGGTCCAAGCGTAAAGTTTAAGTGTGCACGAATAACTATTTCCGCTGGGGATAGAACACAAAAGAATTGCGATAATGAACATTGGGGCTTCTTACTATTATAGTTTGGAGAGGAAAGTAATATGTGCCATCCCGATAATTTCAAATTGATAATTAGGTGATTTACGACGTCACCTCCTGAAGACTACAATGTTATTTGGGTCTCCGATGCTAAAACCTACTCTGAGTTGCTTGACATACTACATACATGTAGTGAATAAACATTGTAAAGGCAGTGTGGTATACCGAGGGAGCTGTTGAGAATTTAGGTGTATGTTACAATTTCGCCTTAATTCTTGGTCCCCTTTACTCAGGCGTTCAGGAAAAGGTCGCGAAAAGTCGCCCCGTTGCAACGCTTATTTTCACGACCTTTTACTAAACGCCTTAGTACATCATCTGGTTAACACTAGAAAAATACAACTCCTGCACTATACGGTTGGGAAGTGAAGTATAACCTGCTAATCAAGAGCTGTATCTCAGGTTATCATATATAGCCTTTCACGACGTCTTGAACATGTAATGCTAATCCATGTCCATAGGTACAGCGCGAGGTAAAAAGTGAAGGCTGGCAACCAAAAATACACCAAAATTAGCTTAAACAGAACGAAAACACACATCCCAATTGCGATCGGGAATAAAGAAGGCTTTATAGAGTAAGAATTTGGGTACCAAATTTAATATATCTAAAAGGACACTCTCTCAGGTCAGATATGAAAGAAAGTACATGAGCTAGAAGTAGAGCAATTTGGAGATTTGGCTACATCCCATACAAATATGTGGTCTTGGCGTGTTTTTTGGCAACTCAACACAATAAAATCAACATAGCTCAGGCTAGAGGAATAATAGTTTAATTTTGAGCTAATAAGTCAATTCTTGACATGCAAGAAATATACTTCTCCAATTCTCGGAGATTATTTATGATAATTGGTGGTCTAGGGCCACGTTGAAAAGTAGCATTTTTGGTGTAAAATGGGTGCCCAGCCTTCACTTTTTACCTCGCGCTGTACGTATCTAGACTCAATAGAAAGTACTTCATTTCTATCAATTCCGACCTCAACCATCTGTGCTCATCTAGTACCTCTACCCCCTGGGGTAAACCTCATTCACGCCCGACTACTACAGACCTTCCAGCAAGAGATAAGATTCTCCTTAGGCCCCGCGCTCAACATATTCCACACCAAGATGTTATATCCCTGGATATTAAGGGTCACACACACTGATCCCGAGCCTGAGGCGGAGGCCCCCCACTCGCCCCCCCGGGGGGGGGGGGGGGGGTTGCCCGGAACGGAAACCGGAAACCTTCAGGATCAACCTTGTATTGCGGATTTGTTCTGGAGAATTATTATTGGGCCCGGGAAATGTAACATACTGGATATTTTAAGAATTGATATCGATTCGGGAGAAGGTTGGTGAAAGGACGGAGGAGTCTTAGGCATCAATTTTGCCTTTCCCATAAGTACTAGAGCGCTGGGCACATCTGGCAGCAAAGGAATGATCGAGCTGAGAAGCGATGAATCACGTCCGACAAGCTTCAGTGTTAGGGTAGAACGATGTAATTTATGAGATTTTGGAGACGGGATTCTGGCACGGCATATATATGGAATTAAATTCTTTATTATCGAGATAATTAGGGATAAGAACCAGAAGAACGATTCACGCCAAAAGAAGGCAGTACTGTACCGCTAAAAAAAATCGAAGATTATCGGTATATGTAATAGAAAGCCTTGAAAAGAAATTAAATGCTGAGCGCGCAAACTATAGCACTGATCGTTCATAAATAACGTGTACGCATGTTAACATTACCGTTGGCCATAAGAAAAGAAAGTGATAGCGAAAGTCGTACAAATGAAATAGAACTATTGATGAGGATAAAAAGCAAACAGAGTCAGAAAGAAATCGGCCAAAGTAGTTTCAGATTCATAATTAAATGGTAAGTGAAAAGATTAGTTATCTCGAAGCGAGTTAGGTAAAATAGACCATAGACATGAGCCAAGCTATTGTGATGTCCAATCATCTTGCTCTGTATATGGATAGAACTTGCGAACAACCACGCCTTCGGAGTTCGTTTCTTCGAGGAAATATCCGAAATCATTGGCATCTGGGAGTTCGGTCTCCTCGGCATTGTACTCCGGGAAACCCCAATCATAGACATGGAGGCCAGTTAAAGAACTTATAGTTCTTCCCTCGTTTGGGGGAGCATGAAGGGACATGTTAGTGGTCACTTGATTAGAGCCGCTCGCAACTGGGTCATTAATATCCATTGATCCTTTGAAAAATTCCGATATCTCTAATTCTGTTCCAACCATATCCGAAGCGTTTTCCGAAAAGAAAGCAAGGTCAAAGTAGCTAAATGCCTGCGGATCATAAGCCCAATCAATCCCTTCGTCTGCCCGAATTTCGGCTTCGATCATGTCATTTTCACTTGGTGGTAAAGGCTGTTCACCGTTAAATCTAGGCGTTTCCCAATTGGTTCCTGGTGGTAATTCGAAATTACTGCGTAATTTCAATTCTCCTGTCTTCATGTTACCTGCTCGTTCAGAGAGCCATGAGTTCTCCTCACGAGCACGGGAGAGGTATATATTGTCAAAATTGGGATTTTTGGAGAGAAGAACGGGATCAATACACCCATCCTCAAAATGCGGAAGCACCTCCGGAGATTTTTCTTTGTGATGCATGCGAACCGCTTGAGTGCTAGCTCCCTCGTTAAACTCACCAATCACTTCGGGCGCTTTTCCCTTGTCAATTTTGGGAGTTTTCCCCCCGGTCTTTCTCTTTACAGCTCTGCGGACAACGTTCGGGGCCTTACGCTTCTCAGCTCGGCGAACAACCTCTGGAGCCTTCCCCTTGTCCGGTACGGGTATTTTCTCTGGCGCCTTCCCCTTGTCAACTCTCAATATAATCTCTGGAGCTATCTCCTTGTCAACTGCGTGAAAAATCTCTGGACCCTTTCCCTTGCTAATTATTAGAGTTGCCTCTGCAGTCTCTTCTTCCGCAGCTTCAGGAAGCATCTTAGGATCCTTATCTTCATCGAGATTGTATACCGCGTCCGGTAACTTTTCATTCTCAATGCCATCAACACTAGTTTTTGAACAAGAGCCAGCTTGTAAGGCCGGAGTGCGTCGCTTTAACACCTCTACAGGTCCACGCCGGGTATGCCGGCGAGGAGATCTCCGTAATTCACCAGCCGCTTGTGAGGGCCTAGCAGAGGGCTCTGGGACGGGCAGGGATGGCGTAAAACTATCCTCAAACATTTCCCTGTCACCGTGTATGTCCGTCCAGGGGCGTTCCGGCACTTCCAAGTGTTCGGTGGGACTGGTGAGCACGACACTTGGAACAAATGGAAAACTTGGATGTATGACGCGGTCTTCGTACATATAGGTTCCGGTTCTTAGGTCCTCCGCAGATTGCTCGTTAACTGTTTGAGCAGATGAGAGATTATGCCTAGCTCGGATCCGGAGGATAAGTTCTTCGTCGGTGGAGTACTGCTCATCGAGATCAGGATCAGTGGCTTTACCGTCAAGCCCTAGCTTAGATCCAGTCGCTGAGCTCAACTTGCGAATCTCTTCCGTAAGTATAGCGGCCTCCACCACACGAATCTCTTCGGCCAGCGCACCTTCCCTTGGGTCTTTGCCTTCTACGAGTGTAGACATCTTGGGGGCAATCTCCCGCAAGGGGCGAATTGGTTTGTCGTATCTATTCTGACCTCGGGCGCGACGGCTTCTGGTGCGCTTTCTTGAAGAAGGACCAGGTTCTTGAGCAGAGTTTGAACTCATATTGAGATCTTACAGATGTTAAAGTATAAAACACAGAACGATAGACGTCAGGGAGCACTGATTTATTAAGCTCTAGTGAGTTCGATGGGAAGGCGTGAGGGAATCTGTGGGGCTTCTGCACTCTAGGGTTGAATAGGATTGTGTTGGTAGTAAATCCTCAATGGAATGCGTGGTCTCGGAATTTCGCTGTTATCAATATTCTGATGAGAATTTGAGCTTTCTGAATGTTGCGTAGTGCGTGTTGTGGTAGAAGTTGATGTTCTGGTTGTGAGGTCGGGGTAGACGCAATACATAAACCAACCTCGAGTTACTTACAAGCGTCCCATACACATAGAAGGTGATTCGCGTTTGACTGTGACCTGTACTCCTTCATAGGACGGTTCCTCTACTTCCAAGGGGTGTTTCATGATTATTGTAAACACCCATAGGGTATATGGGTTAATTCGTAGCTGTATACCTTGCCCCGACTCTGAAAAAGGTACGTACTCAGGGCCCTACAAAACAAGGTGTAGTTAGTCCATAGAATAATCACATAGTTTAAAGATTGGACTGAATATGTGACTAACATTTATGAAGTCCCTGGAGACATTTTCGATATTATTCTGGCCAGCCTATGGGGAAAGCATTTTTGATATTGTACATATGATCGACTTGAGCACATGAGCCTTTAGATTAGTTGAGTATAGTATGAGCGGGATCGCCTTTTCGGAGCTTGATCAAGTGATGATGGCCAAGATGACACCTCAAACGCGCGTTGGTCATCATCATACGGCGATGGAGGTATAGATCTGTCCATACTATTCCTTCAAATTGAACCGTAAGCTGTGATTTGTGCGCCTTGGGCTGTGTGTTGAGGAAAACGTATTGAATACTCTGAGGCGCAAGTCTTATGGTACTGTGCTTGCTGATCCAGTGAAAAGAATGAGTGAGATTTGCGATGAAGAGGTCCGCATTCGAGAGCATGATAGGTACACATTGAGTGTATTCACCCTGCTAAGGTGATATTTTCAATTTAAATAGAAGGTGCCCCTGAGTGAGCGAGGATATAACTATGTCCGTATGAGCTGGTAAACAGACCGATAGTGCATTAAGCTACCGAGGGTGTTGATTTGTGTGCGTTGTATGAACGTGGATGAGCTGAATGTAGCATTGTAGAACTGGTACCACTCCACGGACAGATACATAGCTTATAATCCGGGGGTGCTTGCGCCTCTATAAGACGAACTTAGGTGGGATAATCGGGCGAGCAGGGTCCCCCCAACAAGAGATTCTGGCTGAAATTAACCTCTATGTTTATTGAGGATACTAACTTTATCTTTTTGAGTGTTCTATCGGCATCTTCTCCGGCGCTGCCCTGCTGTTGTGTGCATGGGTCTCTTTCTGTCGTGCCTACGCAATTGAACCGGAATGCATGTTCCGGGACCAACAGGGGCGAGTGATGGGATATGAGTCTCCCAAGTCAAATCAGTCCGGAATATGAAAGCTATTATATTAGCCTCTGGCTATGATACAATGTTCTCGATACTGCAGCTACGATTCTCTACAAAATCTAAAGTTCTCTTTAACAAAACTAAAGCCTGGTAAATATATACATCCAATAAGTCAGCTATTTAAAACAACAAAAACAAGTACAAATTCATCATCCTTTAGTCTTACCAACTATCACAAGAATGTATGTGTAAGGTTTTGGAATATCCATTGGGTAGGTAAGAATCTTAATATACATTTGGTTACCTACATTTTCCGGTACTTCGTTTGGACACCTGGCAATTTTCTCGGCTGTTACGAAAGTATAAACCGATTCGTACATCAGTAGCCGTAAGGACACGATTATCATCCATCCAGTGTGCACAGGGTGGACCCTGTTAAAACATAGAAATAGTTCATAAACTCTTGTTCTAGTATCCTCGACTCCTTCTTTCCCTCTTATTATAGTCCTCTATCCAGATCTCTCATTTGTCTTTTGTTGGTAGTATAAAATACCGTCAAGATGTTTGATTCTCCGTGTTTTCTTGCAACGAGGTATCTACCTCTTGAGAAATATCTATTTCTATTTGCTGGATTTTCACCTCTCGAGGGATCGTATCCCAATTTCTCACGCCTTCTCATCCCTTAGTGTCTTATTTTTTAACTCGTGTCACGGTCTTTTGGATAACAAGGCAATATCCCGTTCCATGAGGTGGGGGGCTTCTTTCAGTATCCACAACTTAGAGGCTCCTTCCTTCTTTTTTTCCTTATTCCCTGGGCAGGAGACAAATAGGAATATTAGTTCCATATTCGCCGCCGTTGGGTGGGTTGCAAAACCTACCCAGAACGTCGTTGTAGTCGAGTATGTATTTCTGATTTTTCTTGCTTGAACAAAGCCAAGAAGATTCTTACATTTCAAGAAGGGCAAACCCTATCAGATCGTCCCACCCATTTTATCGGTAGCTAGGCTACTAGTTTAAGAGGACCAACATCTGAAGAGACCTCGAAGGCCCATATTAGGTTACAAGATATCGTGCGGTATCCATTAACGGGATGGCTAATCTCGAGAAGGTTTTTAAAACCAATGTTTGTTTGATCTTTCCTCTGATATTACTTCGTTTGGACTATGCTAATTGCAATCTTGACTTCTAGTCCAGCTATACACTTTTGTATGGTGGCTATGAGAAGCCTACCAGTAGACTATTCCTCGAGGCACTCAATCACTCGCAAAGGTTATATCCGCGTTATTCTATGCGAACCATGAACCTAGCGCCAGCATATATCGAATGAACAAATTGGCCACGGCATCCCTTGGCAAATCAAATCTTCGTCTGCACAATTGGGGTATCTACCTCAAGACGGCCTCAATAATCGCTTGATCTACGTGAGAAAGATATAGCCAGTTTCTGGGTGTGGTGGTTAGTCGAACCGGCCTCTAGTTCCTTCAATCACAGTAAGTTTATACGCCTGGCGATATCAGTTGTGAGATTCCAGTTATACTGACAAACCCTGGCTCCTACCTAGGCGTCTGTGGCGCATTCTGGCCCTCAACGGATCGCTCTCTTTAACAGACTATGTGTATTAGCCCCGTCGGTGGCATCGGCCCGAATCGGATAGGAGCTGAAAGGCGTGATATCACGTTGCCTTGCAGTAGCGTCCCAAGCCCATAGGTAATAATTGGTTCCTAATGCGCGCTAGTCGATTCCTTGCTAACCACATTCGACCAATATCTAGGCTTTACTAGAATACCCAGCGGGATGGCAAATCAAACTACCATTGGGTGAGGCGAATAGCTTGAGATATCACTGGTCGGGACTGGGTTGTTGTGGTGGGAGTTGTGCTGTTGGGCGGGGGCGCTCCCTACCAGTAGAAAAGGCCTAATGAGTGAGTAACTGGCTTTCTTAGTTTGGTCGCCACACATAAGAGATTTATATATTATGCTAACAGTCGGAGGTGTGAATCAGGCTGGTGCTGAGGTTCAAAGCATCATTGGGACCGATACGATTTACCTGCAGGATGTCATCTCAATCGGACTGGAAGAATCCATAGCCGGGCCAGAGGCTTCTAAAGAAGCTTCTCAAAGGATCTCTGTCCTGGGTGTGGATGGGCCACATCTAAGCAGAGTCCTTTGAAGAAGCTTCTCAAAGGACATAACTGGGTCTTGGGTAAATAAGGTTAGGGAGACGTTAAAGCCAAAAGTATACAGTGAGGCAGTTGCTCTGATGATCATACTGTCCTTGACCCACAGCCAGCGAAGGAACCGAAACAGGGCCAAGAGCTTAGCCATCAAGTAGAACAGCGGGGTCCCCAAAAAGGCTGGCCCAGACTCATGGAAGACACGTGTGTAAGAGAAACAAGGCTCCTGGCGTTGGACTACGTTTCGGGGTAAGTTGATTCTCCAGCTTATTGAGTCTTCTATGTTAATATGTTACCAGTTTCGCGAGGCTTATTCGCCATCTTGTCTCAACAGCTTCATTTGCCGGCTGGCTCCCCTTCTACCATCGATAGTGATGTTGCTTATCCAGTGAGTTCCAATCCATCATTCTGTTTTTAAACCAGTAGCCTGAGCTAAGACGCGGTTTTTCCACCAAGGACAGAAAGAAGGCACATTTGGCACTTGTTGCTCAATCAATCCTGCCTCTGCTTCCGCCCTGTAAGAGAGTTCTGGAGTTGTCTTCCACCATGACATGTAGGGGGCATGAGGGAGAAAAGGGTGGTCTGGGCGCCAGTAAAGCGTAATAAATATTATAGAAGGCGGAAGTATTAAGGGGTCTACTCCCTACACCTTCTTTGATCCAATATAGGACTATTAGATTTATACTTGAAAATCCTCTCCAGCCTACGGACTATAAGTAGGAGAATAGTGTCCTACTATAGTGTAGATAAGTACCTCGACTTCATGCATCAAGCTACTGCATATCACCAATTACAAGGCGAAGCAGAATCTCAACCCTTCAGTGTTAATACTCAACCACCCATCCATGTATTCATTCTGAATCATAACGAACTGTGTCACCTGTACCAGGTGTTATTGTGTCAATTTTTACCGAAAAACGCATCATTTAGCTTATTAGTTCGGTGGTGCTAAGCCGGAAAGTCAGCGATACTCCCAACTTGGCTTTTATTTCATGCGATACTCTCATAGGTGTATGTATTCCTGGTAGGATGCTAAGGTCCCATCGTATGGGATCATACGTGCTACACAAAGATGTATGTAGGGAAACAGATATACTTTGTATCGGCATACGTGGCAAGGATCGAAGATTCTGCCAACAATATTTTGTGAAAAATGTATTACTTCGTTTTACCCCATTGCTTATTCTAATAAGTACTCGTTGTCCAATCACCTCTTCTCGCTCCACCCCTCTAGTTATTGATCGCTGAAGAGAAGATTACTCTTCTCTCGTTTGGTCTGCTGGCTGACGAGATTCCCGGTGTATCTCGCGGCCATGGAATGCCCGGTAGATGAGGGGGCGGACTAAGACTTTGACGAAGTGCGCTTAGAAAAGGTCTTCCACAAAATTATAACGGAACTTCAGATTTAATTTACCCCTGGTGCTTTGACACTTTATTGCGGAGGTCTATAACCCCCGTCCCTGCGACCCTACGCTGATCAAATTCCATTTTTAACCTCAACTAACTAGATATCTGTGCCTACATGTAGTACTAGTACACTTCACTGGCCCAATGGGAATTCTACAAAAGCGCTCTATAGTATCGGGAGACGCTGACATCCGCCAAGATGATATCTGTCCGTGTAAGTTACATATTAGCGGAAGTGAGATATATTTCTATAATGAAAGGGGAAACTAACTCTATCATATCGACGGGGCTACGGAGATAAATTCTCACTACTATTTTGAAAACACACAAATTCTACTCTACACAGAGTCGTCATCGCCTAATAGAAAAGAATAGACCGATTCCATTATGTTTTTCGAGCCATCAGAACCTGTCTATTAAGCCAGAGGCTACAGAGCTTAGAGTTCGTAATGCCAAGAATGATTGTGGCCTTCTTCTCGTCCTCTAGGATAATGAGGCACTCGTTCATCTCCTCCACGTCGAGAATATCGGAATAATCGTCCGTGAGGATTGTAACAGCGCGTTCTATTTTGGTGCTCATTTGATGATCCGTTTTACCGAATTGCTCAGCCTAGGCAGGCCTCTTGGTTCCATCCCCCTCACCTTTCTTCGTTTCTTCAGCCCAAGGTAGAGTATTACTGGATGGCAAATTACTCCCTGGGTGTATGTATGCGTTCCTTTGTTGTGGTCCTTCAGAAGCGTGTTTTGAGGGGTGGTCGACCATCTCGATATCGTCATTAAATATGTCTAAATCGGTGGGCTTTGCAAATAGGAGGTTGAGCTGGTGGAAAAACGGAAGGATTGGTCGTGGAGAGAGGTTCTTCTCCTCCGTGGATCCCTACCAGCAACTATTAGTCTGTAATCCTTAATATGACCTCGGCAAAATACCTTCTCATTGAAAGATGAGAAACATCGCAGATGAGCGTCATTCCTGGCGCTGAGATGAGCGTTGATTATCCTTATCTTTTTACTCTGAACATAGTTGAGGTAGCCTACTCCCAACTATAAGAAAACTTTCATTAGTTACTACACATTGCAGGAAAGATTTAAACTTACGCTTTTATACTTATCGGCTATTTCCTGGCACGAAACCGAAGCACCGCTCCCGCTAATGAGCTCCTCTCGAATCACTATAAAGGCCGAATAAAGGTACATCAAACCTTCACCTTCGCCGGCTTCGCGGAGCATTGAGTCGAGCAATACCTGGATTTCTGAGTCCCGCCAACAAGCTTGATTGACGAACTGATTCTGCTCCATTTTTACGGTCTCCGGAATGCTCGCGTGTTGGAGTGCGGGGCCTATTGGTCTCTGATGGATGTGTTTATTATCTCGTGTGTTACAGCTGGCGTGGGGTGCGAATGTGCCATTTCTCGCTTAATTCTGGAATAACGCTAAGCGGCAAAAGGTACCTAACTTGATATCGCTTTGCCTTCGATTTCTCCTTCCCACATAGATTTATTTATCACTTTCTATCTGTACCTGAGATAATTAATGATTTTATTATTGCTTTTTTCAACCCTGACTCCGACACATATATATGATATGCATAAATATGCGGAGTTTGCCGTTGCCAAGTTATACTTGAAGTAGGGATCTGGTTATGATCAGCATCGAGTGAGAGCGCATGAATTGAAGATAACCGCTCACCGAGTACCACTTCACCCACATCTATAGTAGAGAAATAGTATAATTACCATCGTCTATAAATAGGAGAAGCTACACGGTATCGGTTTCTTTGTTTTCCATGATCTTCGGAGACATGTGCATGGCGGGATTGATGAAATTTTACAAATATATGGGCCTTAGTGGGGGCGGCAAGAAAATATGTAAAGTTGCAGAGCTAAAATTAATTTGATGCTTACTGAGTATGCAATGAGTGCTAGATCAGTGTGCCCTGTGAATACTTGGGCGTGGCTATATAATATCACTATTGTGCCCAGGAAATATCGCAAGCAGATTTCACCAGCGAAATCCCTGACCACTGTGTACAAACTACACAAGAAGACCCATCTATATATAAAGAGAGCCTCGAATAATTGAAATGGTATTTCTCGCCGAACCGTTCAGTTATTGCCTTCCACTACTCTCCCCATAAGAGGCATAGGGTGCCCGGTATAATTCAGACACCGCCGAAAACGTCTCATTACTCGCATAGTCCCACCAGGATCTGAACCACCAGCCGAGATGAACTCTCTCGGATCATGAGGGTTTCAGCAATCCTTCCCATGTATGAGAGGAGATGGTGACAACCACTTGAATGATGCCCTCTCCTACATTGATCTCGCCTGGTCCCCAATTGAAGTCTCTGGTGGAAGATGATCTTAGGGACCCTAAACGTATCAGCACTGAAACTTGCAAATTGAAACCTGCCGCGGAACTACATTTATGTCGAAGGCTACCGTTTTGAATCGAATTTTCATACCTTTACATTTATCCTTCCGGGATCTTAAACCGTAGTGGGGAGTGTCCGGGAGAAAATCACACCTGACAAGGAACTGATAAACACGACAAATTATTCGTCTTTTTAAAGCCAGTGTCAATCCCGTTCCAAGGTTCTAGGCTTGCTTAGTTGACCCATTGGGTGAAGCCCCCGCGCCAGGGGGGTTATTGAACGGCTCAAACCAGATTAGAGACTGCTTTCAACACGACATGGGGCGACATGGGGTTTATGTGACCGCTTGGTTTTGATATCATGTCAAGCTAGCGTGGAAAGTTCAACTGGCTCAGGCCAGGTTCAGGCCAGATGCGTGCCATCGCACTAAACCCCCACTCCCAACAAATCCACTCTCCACAATGATCCTCTTTGAGAGAGTCTATTTCCCATATCCACCGAATAGTCTCAAAGTAGGGCTGCCGCCGGGTCGTCTTCTCCTGCCGGCGGCTGAGTTGTAGAGGTAGGTGACTCTATTTTAATCTTCGACTTTGAGATGATGGTCTAATTATGATGCAAACCTATCAGGCTTCAATTTGTCTCAAGTTCAGCCTGACTTTGAAATCGAGTTAAATCGCCTTGATGGCACCGGACAAACTTGCGACATAGACTGCAAACGGCTCCGGGCGCTACAGAAGCATATACGTCTTCACCACCTCCCTGAAACCATAGAGGAGAGGCGTCCTCAGTTGCAGTACCTCGCGCTTGTCCCCGGTATTGGGGGGCATTTCCTTCATCGTACGGATTTCTCGGAATTCGTGCATTTGTTTAAGGAACGACCCAGAATCCAAAAGCTGATCGCTCAAGGTCAAGAAACACCCGTACGAAACCCTCGGAAGCGATCCTGTCCCAAACTAACAACCGACGTAGCAAGTCTTAGTCAGCGAGCATGGTGGCGGGGGTGTTCCGTCCGGAAAATGGGGCATATTACGGACGGCGATATGGCTGTTGAGCACGAAGTTGACGCCGCAGTCTACCAAGACATGGAAGACGCTACACACCCGGAGGACGGCGACACTGTTAACACAGAGGCAGAAGAGAGGGTGGATGGGCCTAAGGATAACTTGGACTGGTTGAGGAACCTCACTGATGATGAGGCCTTAGAGGCTTATGAGTGGTTTGGTCACGAGTATATTTAGAGAGCCGCCGCGATCTCCATGTTCCCCCAAACAAACCACATGTAAACGGTCTGTAATAACCTTCTTTGCCTGGTTACCAATAGAAAAAGACCCTTTAAGTCCTTTAAAGAACCTGAGTGTACTCCGAGTCAGTGAATAGATATCTTCCCTCATGTCATGGGTTTCATTGTTCTGTTGTCGTATCCGATTTAGGATAAATAGGTTGATATGTCGGGATATGTATTTTGATACCGCCGAGAAGATTCAGTTCGTTTCAATCGGTTCCTTAGAAAATCTTAAATGTAAAAGGATAGTAGGCTGCTTTCTTATTGTGTGATTCTTATCAGTCTAAAAAGAGAATATGAAAATGGCAGTTGTGACTATAATGTACTGCAGTGTTACTCGTGATGGACGCACAGCACTAGTGGCGGTAGGAAGTGCGACGCATTGTTTTGAGAGGGGAGTTGGAACTCTAAAACGTACATTATAATAGAAAACGCGACCACATTTCGCGTGAGGGGATTTCTGCTTATCCACGCGCACCTACCACCTCCCGGTCACGCGCGTCTAAGACAATTTTAGAGTTGGAGGAGAAAAATGGATGTAGGAAAAGGAATCCGCCCCAGCTTTAACGAAAAGCAGAAAGAGAGGCATTTTGCGCTGCTCTTTTCGACCCAGTCCCAGTGTTTCCACCAAGCCTGGGAGGTAGACGATTCGAACCGCCGACCTCGGTCCCTCTGGGCGACACCATAGTAACTGGGCTACGGCGGTGGATGGTATGTATTGTCCTGGTACGCCTATGTGTGTATCCATGATATCGATAGATCTATATCAGCAATCAGTGCAAACAAGTACCGTCATGCAATATCACTCGCCTCATAGATCCCATCCCCATCATAGAACGTCACTCGTGCCAAGCCGGTTTCTCAGGCTCATACCTGCTGCCCCAGGCAAATTCCACATAAATTTATTGTTTGCGCACAACTAAACCTACCGTTAATTTAGCACAGCCTGTGTCCTAGATAACCGTTGTAACCTCTATTCCGCTGAAGGAAAACGAGAGAAGCGATAATTATGGTCTCAAAATATATCTATCCCTCACTACCATGGTATGAAGTGTGTTGATTATATTTGGGGCGTGCTTCCTATGTGCCTTGCAATTGTTGAATTATGCACTATACTATAACCATTGGCGTTGAATTCAGTTGGTTCTCTTACCTTGGCACTCTGAAGTTGATGGTCTCCCCCGCGGAGGTGCGGTGTAAGGCTCTTGGCCTTAATGGGCCCTATAGGTCTTACTCCTACCATAGGATTCAGTAAAAGAGCAACTGCATGTAGTATAAATCTATGACACATAGTATATGAATCACTCCCGAAGCATGGTTCACGGGTTTTTCGATGAAAGAACAGGTAGCCTTCAAAGGCGGAGGTGTCCGTAGGATATCTGCCGGCTTGAGATGGTGATTTTACCTACGATGTCAAGCAGAGTCACCAACTACCTCAACAAAAAATAGGGTCAGAAATCAATAGAAAGTTTATTCGGATTCAAGTGTTGAAGTTTCCTGTGATTTTCTCATTTAAGTTATCTTCATCCCCTTGGTATCTGGTTACCATTCAAAGATGTGACTACCCCCACAGAGCGATATAACAGTAACATCACCCCCATCTTTTCCAAACCTAAAATATTCACAAAGATAATAGATTACTATCTTAAGGCTGCGATAATTACAAATTTCAGAACTCAAGCATCCTTTATCTCCAGAAAACCCAGATAAATCGAAGACTACCTGTTTTTCCAACCAAACACCGAACTCGACTATAATTATGCCAAACACTAACGTTCAGGTAAATGTTACTCTCAAGATAAAGATCCCAAAAGACAGGGAAGGGGATCTCACTGTAAGTAAATACCTGCCCACGTAACTACCTTTACTTATATTTTACTGTCTAGGTTGTTCCACTCACCGGAGCAGCCGGGATACAGTGCTGTAGCATGGAGGTAACATTGGACAGTGGAGAAATTATGGTAAGCTAATTAATGCTCACATAATTTACTCTGCTAACAGTAAACCATCTAGTCTGTGCCTCTCGCGGAGGTGAATAACCCACAATGCGGGTCTGCAGAAATATCTTTAAGTGCTGAAGAATGGGATGCTATCTTTGCTGAAGGAAGCTCCAGCTCGGACACCCCGTTTTCACCGGAGTCTCTCTCTCGGCAATTACAAGGAGGATCAGAGGCAACAGAGAGGGGGGACCCTACACATGTTATCCCCGATGTAACGAGTAGTACCTCCCCGGAACGAACTAGTGGGAGTGTTTCACAAGAGAAAGGCAAAGCGCGCGAGGTATTGGGGGCGAAAACTCCAGTGCAAGACAATATTCCACTCCCAGAGTTCAACTCTGCAATATTCTCCATGGCTCTGGAGGAGGCCGATCGGAAATATGCCGAGTTTTTAGGAAGCGGAATCAGTTTGGTCGGCATTGGGGGGTTAGAGGAGATCGGATTCCATGAGTCTGGCAACGTTCAAGAACCTTCATCTATGCAAGATAATGAACTTGGACCTATCCCGGGATATGGCTGGCAGAGCGACGAAGATCTCATTCAACTTCTACAGGCCACGCTGGAGGGTTCCGACGGTGGGGAAGTAGGACGAGAAAAATGCATTAAAGTTGTTGGCCCGGAGGAGGGTTCTGGCGATAGGGGAGCAGGACCGGAAGAACCCAATACAGTAGTTGGCCTGGAGGAGATCCAGACACCTCAACAAAAGCAGGATGCAGAGCTAAATGAGACAGAGGACTATGATTTCGAAGATGCATTATTGACTTCCATAACTGAGCCTAGCAGCTCTGTAGACGACGGCTACATTTTTTCACAGGAAGATCCAACATGGGAAGGATACTCCATTCGTCGGACACAATCATTTAGCTCTCTATTCGGTAACTCCCCGGACGCTTCTGAAGAAACGTCTCCGCCAGGTAGTTCTCAAACAGAGATATTCGAGCCATCGCCAGCGCCTAGCAGTGAAGCCAGACCTATCAACTCGCCCGACCACGATTCAGAAATGGAAATTGACAGTTCCACGGAATACGACGAGGATGCATCAGAGGATGAATCAGAGGATGAATGTATGGGAGTTGACGATTCTTCCGATCCTAGTGATGATGATATGGAGGATTCGGAAGGACTACCCAGTGACATGACGACAGAAAATGCAACATATGAGCCAACAGCAATGAAGAATCCTTCTCCTATACCAGAAACGCCACGCTCGATCGACGAATATGTGTCCGCACCCGCCCCCGCACGTGTTGATAATGAGATACGACTCTATCAGCGGAACTCGGTATACTGGGAAGGACAAGGAAACGCTGCGCACACAATCTATCCTCAGCCATGGGAAGTGGAGGTTAACGAAGAGGCTCGGACATTGGTGTATGATGGCCAGATATACCAACTTATGGATTTCTCTTCTTAGTTCCAGCCTGTGGCGTTACGAGAGAACGGAGCTTCGATTTCAACGGTTGCTTGAATTTGAAGGTGTTTTGGAAGATTGGAGGACTATGTCTTTGGTAGGAATTGTATTCATTTTCTACCGTTTCCTTATTTTCTTTTGTTATTAAGTTTCCTTCTCATAATAGTTGTCATAAAGATTTAAGGGAAGAAATGATAAAGTATTATACCTCTGAAAAGTGCAGTATATTTTAGTCCTCCACCGGGGATGTTGTGCGTCCATCAACTCGCAGCCAGAGCCTTGATATTGAACTCAAGCATATTCTACGCGGTCCGGAGAGCAGTAATGAATCATCTTTCCATAGTGTCATTATCAGAGTAATCCTTGAAACGAAAAGTTCAACTCAAGCCCCGAGACCGAAATTGTCATACTTGCCACTTGACAGCAGCCAATACACAAACTATACCGTCGTAGAAAATATTACAAGTTCACACCGAGAATCCATAGTCCCATCCAATTGTTGACTCGAATCTCTACTAACCCAAGGGCAAACAAATGTTGACCGGAGAAGCAGCACTTGGTGTATCCCACCTCTCCGCTGGCATCGGAGGTCTTGGCCCTCCGATTCCGAGATAACTGGTGACAACTCGGAGTCTAGATCGCAGCTGTCTTTCCCTTTAGCAGCCTGATACCACATGTTATCCGAATTGAGGCTTACAGAATGCTCGTTGTGCTATGGTAGCAGGATCCATGAAGGATATCAGGTCTCAATAGCTCTCCGGACACTTCAGAAGAAACACCATGACAGAGAATTTTCTTTCCAGGAACTTAAGAGAAAAATGTTTTAATTGGGCTTCATTTATTCTGTTAACTAATGGTCGTAAGTAAATGTGCACGTATACGTAGCTTTGTCTACAAGATGCTAGGAAAAATTACCGGCGATGAATAGCAAATAAGAATGACCGCCACCTTCAGACGTCTGGAGAGGGTTAATATCTATTAGATATCTGCCTTTTTCTTTTGTTCTGTGGGGGCGGTTTTCCACTGCTATGCTCCTCTTGGGAGTTGTCTCAAAGCTGCAGACCTGGTCTGACCGAGTTCAGTTGTTGTTACAAGAGTACTAGGCCAAATCGGGCTTAGTTCGGGATAACTCCCGCAAGATATGTTTTGGAAGTCCCGGCATATTATTCAAGGGAGACACGCCTTTGGCGATGGGAATGTCCTCAGTCTAAGAGCTTCACAGCTTTGGGTAGGATTAGGTTAACTCTGGAGGTTATTTAAACCAGTATTGAACACGCATATAGCTATAGGCTGATCCCCAAGCTACGTTGAACCTATTCATTGACGCCCAACAACTGGGGATAAAGCATTAAGGAGGAAAACAATAAAGAAATTTCCATAAAGAGGCGGAGACACAAGGATTTAAATTTATGACTTTAATAATCCCGATTAAAAGGCTGAGAGTATAAATGAATAACGCGTAGAAAGAAACCTGGGAAATGAAGACCGATGTCCTTATATTTAGATCAAAAGCCCTTAAGGGGAGATTTGATACTCGAACTCTGATCAATAATTTAAGAATATTCTGAAGAGAGTGCCTGCGCATCCTTGGTATCCCCCTGTCCTAGTTACCAGGACTCCAACGATAGAACCCATCACCAACACAAGTCATGTTAAGGTTCTTGCAAAGATTTCCAAACCGAGATTTCCCATAAGCGGGAGGAACAGCTTGCTTGACCACCTGTAACCTAGACGGAACAGGTTCCTCAAGCTCATCATCGTCTTGCCAGCTACCGCCAAGTGTCCATCCCCGAGCTTCAAATTCGGCATCAATATCTCCCAACTGCGAGCTCTGCACATAGTAACATGATTAGTATTGTTTTCCTAAATGAAAGTCGTTGACTCACAGTATTGACGAGTGGTACCTCTGTGGAGGTATCCTCATCTCCAAGAGAGATTACGATCACCTTTGGAGCATCAGGTTCATGCCCAGTAGCCGTGACAGGAGAATGCAACGAAGACTGATCGCTGCTGTCACTGTCACCCGCACAGACATACCCCTCAAGGCCTTCTACACCGTTACATCTATCAGGGCCCTCGTATTCCGACGCAGTGTCAACCGCCGGCGTGGGAGGCTGGGTGATTGGAGAAGGATGTCAGCATCAGACGGTCACCTACTTAACATGATGGGGCGAGTGGAGAAATACAAACCTCACATCTGACAGGAATGGAGTCAGGAAACAGTTTACAAATAGGAGCAGACGGCTCGCCAAGAACGAAGATAGGAGTAGTTTGGGCAAATTCAAGCTCTGGATAGGAATGGTCGTTTGCTGATTTCAAGATTGTCCCAACCAGATAAGTTTCACCGTGAACGATTTTACATGCTTTCGGGAGACTAATATCCGTGGCTTCAGACTGTGGGAGCTGAGGGAGACATTAGTGCATAACGTCTTGAAGTTGAGACAAAATTAGAGTTCTTACACGATCAAGAGCCATCTGAGGCGGAGAAAGAATCAACCTCTCTTCATTAATCATGACGTCGTCCTGGTAAGTTGATGTTAGCCTTAGAAAATCTTAGGACTAAGAGATGCTTCCAATCTGTACCTGCGTAATATCTGCTGATAACGATAATTCTCCCTCTGATAAGAACTCGCTGTATGGTACCGTTGTCTCTGGCGTTTCTTCATTCTCCATCAAATTATTATCTGTCACCTTAGTCACGCCGTTATTATGTAGGCCAGGGGTGTTAACTGGCACTCAGAAGTTATTATATTAGTGAAATGCGTTGGGAGGGAGGGGAGAGGTAAATGATTGACATACGGCAATCACGTCGTAGTCGAGTGGAGCACATTGAACAACCTCGTCAATCACGGGGTTGGAAGAGATACTATTGTCATTCCTTTCCGGTATGACATTCAGATCAAGTTTCTATATTACTCAGTCAGTAAAGGAGGAAACGGAAAGGGTAAGGAACTTCTCCACACACAATATCTTGAGCCAGAAGAGCCTCCCCGAGAGAGGCCTTCCAAGTAGAGGTATCATCACACATAAGATGTCCACACGGATCTTCTTTTAGGGAGTCATTATCTTCCTTTGAACAAGACACCTGTCAGTTCGAGATTCAAGGTAGGGGAAGATACAAGGCATACATGAGCTTTCACAATTTCATTCTTGCACCTAGGATCACGAACATTTGTGTCCGCTATAGAAGATACATCAACAGACTGAGATTCGAGGGATGACTTCAAAAACGATAACGCAGAGTCAACAAACATTCTAACCACGAAGCTTTGAATTCATTGTGTCAACTTACATGTTTGGGAAGCTGTTTATCGGAGGAGCAGTATGTAGTTCCAGAGCGAGAGTCTTCATTGTCAGAATCACTAAACACACTGGATGAATCTGACGCGTGAGATGTTGTAGCACTATCATCATGAATTGGAGTCAATGAAGAAATGTTAAGAGGTGAAAGCTGGACTAGGGGACGAGAGCGCTTAGAGACCACTCTTTTCGTCACTCGAGTTGTAAGTGCTTCGTTGGGCTTTGCCAGTTCCTTTCTGAGGGACTCGAGACTGCCCTTTGTCAGCTGAGCAGACAGCTTATCAAAGCTGTCGGGCTTCTTCTTGGATGACGCGGCGCCAAGATTTGGATTCTCGGCTTGGATGGCAGTCCACTCAATCTGGACCGCGGTAATGTCAAAGCTTTGTAGCTTGCGAGCGAGGAGAGACAGTTGCTCCTCGGGCTCGATATAGGTAGAACAGGGTGCATCAACTGGGTCGTAGACACCAAATGGAACCTTGAATTGTGGTGCAACGTAGGACCTGAAGAATAAGGCGGAAAGAAACTCGAGGGCCTCAGGGCTTGGAACGAACTTGGTCGGCTCGGAGGACGGGGGAGGAGCGGTGGAAGCGAAGACAGATTGGACACTATATTAAATCGGTTAGCTGCTGCTTGAAGGGCAAGGTTTAAGGAGAACACACTTGACAACAGCCTCAGCCGGCTTGGCTGGGAGCTGACGAAACATGATGAACGGCAACGCAATGCCATTCGCGGCATCGGTCTCCCGATGGATGTTTTGACAAGCCGAGCGCTTGCTCGGATGGCTGCAATCAATGATAGCACCAGTGGAAATGCACTTGGACGACATGGAAGCCATTTCGGAAATGATTCTAGAATCTGGTGGATGTTAGATACATTCCAGACAGTGCTGCTACATAGTATCTGACGGCTGATTGAAAGAGGAAGGTACAAGACAGGGTGACAAGGTGGCATTATTATATGTAGACTTACTTGGAAGGGATCAGGACTTGAGATGTTGAATGGTTGAGTGTAAATAGTTGATGGAGGTCGACAGAGCTTAGAGCAATCAGGCTTTGTCCATTGATTGGTGAAGGTTGACGGAAATTGGATGAATGAAGCTTTGTTTACTGATCGATGCAAAGAGATGTTTGTTTGTGGAGGAAGGTAGGTAGGTGTTTGTGGATGTATGAGATCAAAGGTAGGAAGTGGGCTATGCCAAGGTTGGTACGAGTTTGGGGACCACCAGTTACAGCAAGAGAGTGGTACCACTTCCCAACTGCCCTCTGCCAGAATTAGTCGCCGACTACACTTGAGTTGCAATCCCTAAGGACCCCGCTCCACCAACTTTCCATCACGGATGGAAGTGGCGGCGGAGGTCTCCGGCGGGTGACAGGGCACGACGTCCCTGATTGAGTAAAGACACTCGCCCCTCCTTCCACACGCCCAACACTTCTCCGGTATGTTTATTCACCGGATATCACTCGGACGTACCCAGAACAAGACTTCCACATCCCACCTTCCCTTCAGCAGATATCATAGGCAAAGAACAACGTGTACGGGTAGCATATCATACACTAGCCCTAACATAGGGATCTTGGAATACTAAAGGGCTAGAAGCAGTTATCTTACTTCCGACTTACTCGCTACTCGCCCCTCTCACGCACGAGCTGGCCCTCGCATGCTTTATCTCCTATAATATAGAATGTCCGGACGAGTAGAATTTCGCAAATGCGGATTGCTGATTGGTTTGGCTAGCTAGGTAGGAATAATGCTGAGTAGGAACAATTGTTAATTCGGCTTGGTGAGAACATACTGGATTGTTCGTATGGGTTTGTGACTATGGCCGACAATTGTGAACAAAGGCACTTCTGAAAGACGTAGGGCTAGCTGCAAAATTACTATATTATATAGGAGGGGTGGTTCCGGTCTAATCTTGTTCTTAGACTGTTTTGTTGTCGCACTGCGTGCAGCAAACACAGGCTGGGCACGAGACTAGTTGCGGTCCTATTTTGAAGCACCCGGTCATACCTATATATCATAATTTTACCAGTAACCTTAAGTACATACATAGCTGTTGCTGGAATATTATAATAAGAAGAAAAAAACCCGCTCGACATCAATAAAACTTTACAAAACAAAACAAAAAGGTTCACAACACTGCCTAGGCCTCGGTTGCTACATCCTTTCTACGTCCGGAGGGGGGGTTGAACGCTCACAAGTTCGGTACAGAGTGTGAGCTCTATACCGCTGGGCCACGTCCAACCCCATGTTCACCTTCTTTCCTTTCCTGCTCTTACCTCCATGGGGGGCTCGTAGGAGTATAGTATCTCCAATTGAAGTGTGACTTTTCATTTCGCTATAGAATAACGCTCTTCCGATCCATCCTTGAATTCTTCAATAATGATTTTGATATACTATTTTAAATTTCCGAACGATGGGGCCTGGGTTACCGGAAATTGTGTACGTTTCGCACTGTTCCTAAAACTCCTTTCTAGTGATGCGCCACATCTAGCTCACGTATCCCTTCTAGTATAGCTCAATCACTCTGTGTACTCCAGTATATACCAAACCGAAGCGGATAGCCATAAGCGAGTGATCTGTGATGATGCGGGTGTGCGAAACCGCTCGATAAAGCCTGCACTATGAATATACATGGGACCATTCGACTTCTATATCAACCAACGAAAGCATACTAGATACCCATATAGTAATATCTCTAACCTGTGTCCAAGAATCTGCTGGGTATACGCGTTTACTTTCTATTCTACAAATCCGTTCACATTGTTATTTTGTGAGTCCCGTAGGACGTAGTCTTATACTGAAAAATGCATACCACCCCAGTACAATAGCAGGCAGCGAACCTGGCCTAAGTGGCAGTGTGCTCTCAGTTTATTGTATTTATTGTTGAATACCAAACTGTAACCTGTGTTTGAGACCAACCCCAAACTGCTCTCGATCTTGCTCTTTGGTATAAGATACTCTGATTTACGTTAATCAGTTGATATGGGAATAATTCATCACCAGATAGTAACAATTCAATATTTTCACACCGATGTTTCCTTTTATTTCTTTTCCACAATTCAATAGAAAATAGATACGCTACGAACTCCCTAACAACAGGACCATGACGGTTGAAATCCCGATAGCTAGCCCAATGAACTGGGCGCCAAGTGTTTTTGTACGGCCCGGGCCCCGCGGGGAGTGTTTGATACTTCATTTGTATCTCCTCAAAGAATTGAAGCGGAAGATCAACCACCGTACGTTCTTGCGCTCTCTGCTGCCGAATGTAAGATGCGACTCCCGAAGAGCGGATAGCTACATCCCCGGGCTTCCAGCACCACACACTGTAGAGAATATAGGTTGTAAGACATTCTCGCTTAATGAAACTAAAAACATGTCATTCTCCTTTGGACTGCATCGAGTCCTCAGATTTTCCAGTTCAAATTCAAATCAAGAAACCCCATCATTGACCTCCGAGTGATAGAACATGGTTCATATTCTTTTGAATTCTTTTCAGTCCCTGTTACTATGAATTAATATTCAAATACGGTTAGGTCTCAGACGCATATATTGCGCATCTTTTGTATCCTCGATCTAGATATGTGTAACAGCTCTGCGTGTCAATGACTACGTACTGGTTCTCTCCCCAGTCAACGCAATTTGAAAGACGGGGGTGGTATGGGGCAATAGAAATCCTTCTCCTGAAGATTGTTTTATTTTAAAACGTCTTCCGCAGCAAACCCCACCCGGATATACACAGGCCAGTTATTTGCCTGATCGTGAAATACAAAGATATTTACTCCAGGAGCCATCTTTCGAGCTTCGATCCCTTCGCCTCTCATCGCTATGAATGAGTGATTTGCGCAGCGTCCCTCTGCACGCGCCGAGCAAGGGTGTGCTCAGTGGTGTGCCTAGAGGAGAGAAGCCTAGACATGGCTAGCTCCTGAGCCTATAGTCAGTACAGTAGGCGGGAACATGTGAGTCTTAACAACGGGGGAAGAGTTTGTGTATCTTCCATACCTGCCCCCCTCTCCACCCACCTTTTACCCCCCTTACCATTATCATTGGGCTATACATAGGCGGTCAAACCCTGTTTGGGGGGCGGCCAAATCCCTCTCTTGGAAGCGGCCAAATCCTCCTCTTGGGCGGCCAAATCATGCAATACCTGTCCTGAAGAAAATATTGTAAGCTGCCAAGGTTGTCTTGGAAATTGGGAGTATAAAAGACCTCCGTTCCTCCCCGTCTCCTTCTTTCTCTCTTCTCCACCATTCATTCTTATCCATCATTCTGATCCAAGAGACATTGAAATCTCTTTTCTGAGTATCAGTTCCTTCTCGTTTCTTCCGCCTCTCCAGACGCTTTAATTCATCATGAGAGCCCAAGGGAATGGGAATATCCTCTTCTCCATGGGACTTAGAAGAGTGAACTCCCCATACTCGGAATAGAGGTCTCATGCTTCTTCCGTTTAACCCCCCTCTCTCCTCTTCTCACTCCTCCTCACCCTTCTCTCCCCTCGTGTGGTGTATTACCTCTCCTTTGAGAGGGTACCCCATCTCGCACCCCCGGCTGCTGCGACCTCTCGCCACTGGAAGAGGCCGACAAAGGTATTTCTCCTTCTCTCTCAGCTTTAACATGACACGTATTAACTACTTTTTAGAATATGTGACTGGGGCCCTACTCACCCAGACACTCAGTGGCCTCTTCCACTCTGTTGGCAGAGCTCAAGATCGACCTTCTGGATGGTCGGTGCATACTTCATGCAAGCATCTGCAGGCCTCTGGTGGACATATCGAGTATGTCTCTCTCCCCATCCCTTCATCTTTGTGCCTTGGCTGACGTTTAAAAAGCCAGCTGTGCGGCACGCTGGGTTGCGGTGGTATGTGTGCATCGCTCGCTGCTCACGAGGGAATATCAGTCGCCCCTCGGCGACTCTTAATACCTCCTTCGAAGGCTTCCTGGCTTGATCTCTGGCGGGCACTTCACACCGCCATCTCATTGCCTCCTCCTAGGCTAGGTTGCGGCAGGCCCTTCACATCGCCATCTCATGGCCTGTGGGTTTGGGCTGTGGTAGCCGTTTCACACCGCCATCTCATGGCCTCCTGGTCTAGGTTCTGGAACAGCAAGGTAAGCAGGTGTTTCCCTACCAGTCTATATTTCCAACAGAAGCTGACAGTGAGAAAGAACGTTTCTGAACTTAGTGATCTTTATCACTACCACATCGGGAACGATGAAGACCGGTGAGACACACCGTGGGTGTGAGGTGTTGGAGGAATTTGGTAAGTCTTACTCTTCTCATAACCTTTGAAACATTGGTACTGATTCCGTTTGCATTCGTTCGTAGAGGTGGAGTGTGTTCCCTTAAAGTACGAAAAAGGATCTTGTGTCCTCGCTCCTGCTCGGAGACGCTCTGGCGTCTGCCGTGTAGGCAGAGATTCTCTGGTGCCTACCGTATAGGCAAGCTTACTACTACCTACCGATAGGCAATGCTTTTTGGCGCCTGCCGTATCGGTGGGTTGCCTCGCGTCTGCCGTGTAGGCAGAGCCTATCTGGTGTGTCGTTTTCCTTTTCTATAAATTTATTTATAAAACCAAGATCTCTCTTTAAGTTCTTTCGTGGCTCTGTGACTATCGTCAGTGTTATACATGCTTCTAGTGATTGGGATAGATTACTTTCTGTAGATATGTCCTGTGCTTGAGATACCTTAGTCGCCATTTGTAGTGATTCAACTCGCCCAGTTTCTTGCCTCCAGGATCATTGCAACGATAGGTGATACCGTAACACCGTGCCTAGCCCTCCAATCGTGTTGCGAGGGCACAGTCAAGACCCCTAGCTAGCATCGATGTTTGAGTGTGAACTATAACAGACCGCAGGTGCTCTGAGCTTCAAGTCATGTACCTATAAGATTTCCTTCAAATACAGTCGCATCTTGCTTTGGTTGGCGTACAGGCTGCTAGCCGTCTTAAGGAGTGTCGTTGGGGTGGAATGGTGCTCGTGAGACGTCATTACACCTTTCATTGATATTTCAACAAAACCAGGAGACACTACATGCAGTCCCACTACGAACAATCTTACGAACACAAAGAAATGGCCACTTCACCATTGAAACTCACGATGAGAATAAAATTACGGATATATTGATGCCCGCTTTTTAGGTGGCCTCCGATAGCAAGGGGTATTTATATCACTGGGAAGACCCCTTCTCCTCGATAATACTACTCTCATTCAATAAGACCTTTGATAATCTTATCACTTGTTTTACCTATAAGCCCATATTTTGCGCCATAAACTGCCTCGAACCTACGGAAACACTGTATGAACAAAAAGGAATACTTGGTCTGGCATAACAGGGCGAGACTCCTTGTCCTATTACTATAGTAATGGTCGGGCTCTGAGTGAAGCTATAGATAATACACAACTACCACTACAGCACACATCCACCACATCCCACTCCATACCGAGCTCCAGAGTATCCAAACCTATTCCCATACGCCAGTTATCCCACCCCCACCCCCATCCCCACGACCACACCCCTCATACCCAACCCACAACACCACCAACCCCCCCCGCCCTCACCCTTACAAACCAGCACCATCACCCCACCACCTCCGCCACCTTCACCTCAACCTCCACCTGACTCGCACCCGGTCCTTCAACCCTAACCCACGTCTCCCAATCCAACTGACAGTCCTCATCCTCGGGCTCAATGCACAGCTTGCTGCCCTTAAAGTCGAGCACCACCGCCGTGATCACCTGCCGCGGCGCCAGCCGGTGCTTCTTGCGCAGTTTCTCGAGCACCTCTGTGAATGGTAATGGTGTGAGTGTCTCCCCGCGGATGAGGCGGATCTCGTGGCGGCGCTCGTCGCGCTGCACGTAGGTCATGAAGAGGAGTTCGGCGGGGATTTGTGGTGTTGTGGTGGTGGTGGGGGCGGGGGCGGGGATGGGTTTGTTTGAAGAGGACGGGATGGTGGCGGTGGGAGCGGTGGGGGCGGCAAGTGGGGGAATGTGTGGTGGGAGGGCGGGCGGGAATACGGCGCCGATGGGGTCGAGGCGGAAGACGGCGTCGGGTGTGGGTTCGAGGGAGACGGGGCCGTGGGGGCGTATAGCGCCTGCCGTATTCCTTTTCCGGGTGCGAATATGTGTGCTGGTATCTGGCGGGGCCTCGTCTTGCTCCCTTTCGGCATTCGTTAGCAAGACCATGATGCGCTCCAGCCTTGGGTGCTTCTGGCTTGGCTCGCCGTCGCCTTGGTGTGCTGAGGTGTAGTGCAGAGACGCTGGATCTATCTCGCGCTGGCGCTTCTTGGGGAGTCCTTTCTGTGCACAGGGGCTATGGTCTTGGTCGATGGTGGTGTGCTGCGCCGCTGGGATCTTGATGGGCGGGTGGGTGCGCATCCAGGTTGTGCCGCCGCTGGGACCGCCGCTGGGGCCGCCGCCACCGGGGCCGGTGGAGGAACCGTTAGACTTTTTGCCCTTTGACGCCTATGGTTTTCAGATATAGTTAGATATAATGCCTGGTTCTCCCTGTGATCGGGGGTATTCTTACCTTGCGTGCAATCCGTGCCCGGTGGATGCGCTCCTTCTGAAAGAAGTTCATAAACAGCCGGCGCAGAAAGTCCTTGATCCTACCAGCCGCATTGTCAGCATCTGCACACCTAGCTATCGCCGGAGTAGAGTGATAAATACAAGACACGATCCCCCGCACGGTCTCCGGCCCACCACCGGCCCTTCATCTTTGTGCCCCAATGCCTCTCTGCATAGACGTCGCAGAGCGGGCTGAAATGCTCCTCCCAGGCTTTTGCCTTATCCTCATTCTCGAGCATGACGTCAAGGCCCGCGGGACCCCTCACGTCTCGGGCAACGCACAGACACAGATTCATCCACTCCGACTCGTCCAGCTTGCTCTCTGCGCGGAGCGCATTGAACTTCTTCGTGTACGCGCCAGGGAGGTAATTTTCCTCCTCCTCCGCCGCCGTCCCATCCATCGCTGGATCCTCATCGGCGTCAGCGCCCGCCATATCTGGCGAGTTTTCGTAGGGGGCCTCCCCGCCTTTGCAGCGCGCCTTACACTTAGCACACTGCCTCAGCACCCATCCCACCTCCTCGCGCGTGATGTGGTAGAACTTGTCCTTGAGGTAGTGGAACACCTTCTCCCTCCCCGCATGGCCGTACTTGAGATGCGACTCGACAATGAGCCCATACGCCTCGTCGTCGTTGATGACTGTTCGCGGCGGCCGGCCGTCCTCGGGGATGTACTGGAGTGTGTCGTTGTTGTTGAGACGGTAGCGCGAGCGTACGTGCGACTTGTTGCAGGAGGTGGCGTCGCCGATGTAGATGCCGCGAAGGACCTCGAGGATGAAGGCGAGTTTCTCGGGGGAGGGGCGCTGGCGAGAGCGGCCGTTGAGTTCTGGGTATTGCCGCCAGAGGTTGAGGGTTTCGTCGGTGAAACTTGAGGGAGGGTCGGGGGTGTTGGTGGACATTTTGGATGTCTGTGTGTGTGGTGGTGGTGGTGGTTAATATGTCGCTCTTTGATATGAGTTGTTTCCTAGACAGCGCGGGCCAGCGAGGGGATTCTCTGTGCTACTTATAACATGCGTGTGGCCAAGCCCCGCCGTCTGTTGCTGCTCGCGTACCGGGTCATGAACGGCGTGGGGCGGTGGCCTCGCCTAGCTGCGAGTGGCCGCGCCAACAACGAGCGAGAAATGCGACCGGAATAAACTGCGTCTGTGCTGCAGGACGCTACTGCAGTGAGAATCGAGAATCCGGAACAGAAAACCGATTTTCGACATCTGGGGGAATCGGGTGTGTTGCTGGGACGCTCCCATGGGGATGCTTACTCGCCTGGCACGCCATACCGGAACTCTCCCTCACACCCCACACGCCAACCCACCAACCGCTAACTCGGTACTCGCTTTCAACACCCACACAGCGTACTAAACGCCATATCCCCACACCCACAGGCCGATCGGCATCGTCTGCACTTGACGCATCGTCACGGCGATGTGAATGAATTGACAGCCGGGTTGGACGAGTCACTTGTGGGTCAGGCCGCTCCCCCATATCTACTCCAAGCCGTGCGTACTAACCAAACAATAGATCGTCCCAAGATGGAAATCCTGATATATGACCAGACCAATAACACGGCAACCCACAGCACCACCCCGCCAATCACAACCCGCCCCCACCCTCCCTCAGCCATGGGTAGGCAACTATTACGCACATCCAGACGTTCCCCAACGGCGCGTGGCTGGAGAGTAAGTTCTATCGACCGACTCCCCCATTCCAGTGGTGATATAGGTGGGTGGTTGCGCTGCATGGATGGCTGGACGGCCCCACACGCAGACAGGGCGCCTATACTTGCTGTTTCTGCGGCGCAATCGGGATGTGCACCCGATCGGTTACTACAGGGTTGGAATCGGGATTGTTCTAGCCGTCAGGCGAGAGGTGGGATCTTTGTCCAGGATGTGTATGGCGTGTGTTATGTACGGGAATGGACTGGACCAGATGTGGTGAACGGGCAACAGGAAGGGAAATGGGAAACAGGTGAGAGTGGGTTGGGGTGGAACGTTTGGATCCGAGGTATTTGGGTTTTTCAACGAAGATGGGGATGGAGAGTTTCGGTCAGTTCTGGTTGATTGGATGATCTGATAGGACCATGTCTTCCCTCTCCGTTTGCGTCCCTTTTATATAACCTAACAATACACATATTCTGTCACCCAGTTACTATCTGTCCCCACTGTGTCCCGCCTCTCTTCGCGACGTCAACTGTGTCTCTAAGAGGTCACACATAACGTGCCTGTTTGGACAGTATACAGAGAGACAGCGTCTAAAGGCGCATGAGAAGGAAGAATTTTAAACATCACAGAATTCAAAGTTCGGTTTAACTGGGCGTCCTGTTTTCCAGGGTATTGCAGCATTATGTAGTTCGAAGGTGTTCCAGGGCGCCGGAAGTGCGTCCTGCGGTATCACTCGCTTAGCGAATTGTCAACAAGGGAATTGATCAACAGCTGCGTAGGACATTGATGTATTTAAGTCTCCTCTTGTTAGTTTTATAAGTTTCAAGAGGATATAAATATAAAGCTTTACTTATTTCTTCTTTCTTTTTTTTGGACAGACAGGGTGGAAATTGGAAGAGTTGTGGTGGTAAAGAGCACACGATGCTTTGTAATGTAACTTACTGTAGACTAAGTTCCAAAGATTTTGGTTACGATTATGAACATGACCACTATAAACATGGCAAAATCGACTCTATACCAAATCAAAAACCTTGGCATGACCTATCGTATATTTCTCACAACTTCCTCCAGCTGCCGCTTCAGAACATCCCTCCAGCCATCGGAGGGAGCTCCACAATGTCCGGAGTACGCTGACGGTACATTTCGGCCTCGTCGACGTCGCGGTTCCAGGACATCTCGGTCACACCGCCCATGGAGATCCAGTTGTCCCCCACGTGCTCCCAGACGTCTTCGGTAAAGCCTAGGATAGTGTAAGTAATGTGAACCAGGGGTCCTTTTTTTGGTTTAATTAATTAATTGCATTGTGAACCAGAGGTCGGGAGTGGATGTACGTACTGAAGACTATGCAGTGGATCAGTCCTTGGGATGCAACACAGGCCTAGGGACACCGGGGTGGTCAGTAGGAGTGGAAAACTTGACTTTGAAAGGAAGATTTACCTTCTCGAGAATAGTCAACCACTGAGGGGTGCCCCATCGTTCGCCGGAGGCGTGATAGACGTGCACGCAGGTGGGTATAATCCAGACCACAGCCCACGCCAACGGATACTTCATCATCCTGAACGAAGCCTATTTCCCCGCATCAGTTCTCCTGTGTACACTCCACCAAATATCCATAAAATCAAAGAAGTGGCAAGAAACGTACAGCACGTAGATCCTTCTCCGTAGCCTGATAGTTCACCGGCGCCTCCGCAAAGCTCTCTCCCCCGCCCCGGACCATGGTATCGTCTCTCTCCCTGATGCGGCGGTGGAACTCCATGTCGTCGGTGTCAAAGTCGGAGGACTTGGTGATGTAGCGGAAGAGGGAGATGTAGATTGTCATGATGACGAAGACAATGGTCCAACGGGGGATGTAGTTGATGAAGAGAGACATTCCGTCATTTTGGAACCAGCACCCTACATGCGTGTTAGTACAGGTATATATATTTTCTACGAAGTGGTAAAATTTGTGATGTAGGGAGTCAAAACATACAGGCGCCAACATCACCGTATCCCACAAGTGCCAGAGAGACAGAAGCACAAGTGATGGAAAGCAGCCATGGGATTGCCCATATCACGCCCACACTGTCACGGATGAACTTGGCATATTTTCCACCCCAGCCCACCATAATCCATGTGTTAATTGCAATAGTCAGAGCCCAATAATCGGCTGTGGTTCGCCAGGAGTGCAAAGGTTAGCCGGTAGTCCCACAGGAAAGAAAGAAGTAGGAAGGAAGTCAATTACTTTGGACCACAAACAACTGTGTCAAGAACCCACTTGTAGAGCAGAGCTTGGGGTGGTCCTGCTGGTTGATAACTCGGCCACTCATCTGGAATGCCGTGCTGAAGAGGAAGTTGAGACTCAGGAGCATGTCGCTGGTTGCCAGGCCTGTTGGGGAGTTAACATGACCGCTTTGTCACTTTCTGCCAGAACGAAACAAAGACATACCTGGCAGGACCTTGTGCCTATAGTATCTCATAGATCTCATGAACTAACCAAAATCACCCTGCGTCAGCAACCCCACTAATTTACCCCTGGCCACTAACAGAGAGACACCACTAGGACAAAAAGCCCACCTTGCAACTCAAAACGATAACCAACGAAGCCAAAAACGACAGCAACGCAATCACAAACAAAATCACATTCATCGATATACTGGGCGTGTAGTGCTCTACATGGTCCATCATATCATCCCCGTGCCCGTGCCCGTACCCGTGCCCATGGTGGTCGTTGATATCGGGTTCAGAGTGCGAGTGGCCGTGGTGGGTGTCGAGGGCAATCTCGCAGGCTTCGACAAAGCTGGTGTTGGTGATCTGGGTGAGGATCACCCTTGCACAGTCGGCAGTGAGGTTTTGCATTTGTGCGAAGGAGGAGGGAGGTAGTGAACGTGGGTGTGTAATTGTTATAAAAGAGCGTTGGCTATGATATAGTTGAGTTGGAGGGGAAGTGGAATGGGAGAGTTTGATCGAGGGAGGAAATTTTCATTCATGAAGGTGGGTGGGGTTTCTCCTTTTACCCCCAAGGTGTTTGTTTGTTTATTGGCTATCTCAGTGGGCTTGGTCTTTGGGTGTAAAACCTCAGGTGGGTTGCAGAGAGCGGATCTGAGTGATAGTTCATGATGGTGTTTCTGCAATGAAGTCCCCTCCTGTGGCACCAGATCACAACGCAAAACCGAATGGTTTTTCATTTTAGATCAATCATTGACTTACATTGCTAAGCACGCTTCTGCTCTATTTTCCCTTCCACGAATTGTGATCTTTGGTCCTCGGCGGAGGTCTCCTAACATCAGATTAGATATTGGTAGAAGCGGCAGGCTCGGCTCTGCGGCGGGATAGGGATAAAACGGCCATTTTGTGCTCAGGTGCTCCCTCTCCTTCTTGCAATTCTCCTACTATGCTATGAGATTTACAATATTGGCGGCGGCAGCACAACATTTACGACCGAGTTCATCCGAATAGGCCCTAGTCACACTGAAACCTCGACAAGCTTGTTTACAGTAAACCCGATGAGCCCAGCATCGGGTTTGCGCTCCTTAGAGCGGAGGGAGATAGTTTTCCCACCAATGCTACAAAACCGGCAGCCGCGTCGCGGTCCTCCTGTTCTAGATGCAAGATAAGAATCTCAAGAAGTTCAGTGCAGAAGACGTAGAACGAACACATCTCCAGCCCATACCCGTCCTTCTTGATCATTTAATTTGCGAAAACATTGATAATGCCAGCACTAGGAAATGACCCAAACCACACCCCGAGTGTTCTGAGTTGCGAGGTATAATGTTGTTCTTTTTCTTCCCTCCATTGAAGATGACAAGTTTATTATTTCAGTCTGCATTATTGTTTAAATTAAACCCCGTCTGGAGAGTGACGTGGGAAACCCTAGACAAAAGCTGGCACACGCCGTTACCCGGCCACTGCAGTAACAGAGAGTGAGTACATTTATAGAGGGGTCCCCGTCAACTACACACTCCGATGGACGTTTGCAAACCACACCGCGCACAGCCCTCTGTATGCAGACAACTATCGTGAGATTTCGCTACTCGAATCTAACCCGAATCCTCTAGACGATACAGAAGGTAAGTACATCCGGTTGACGCCTCGCTTAAACCCCCCCCCCCCCCCTTCCGGTTCTTTACTGAAGAGAATGAACAGAGACATGGCTGCTCCCGATCAAGAACAGCCCGACCCACAGGCGATGGCCAGTCAGTTCACGGAGTTGGCTACGAACGTTCCGAGGTTTCGCGACATCCCCGCTTTCGACAGTGGGACATTGATACTTGCAGAGCTGAGGGCGATGCGACAGGAGATGAGGAACATGGAGCGGAGGATGACGACTCGTCTAGAGGCGGCTTGAGTATTGACTGCCGCTCACCCGAGATAATAGACACTGACGATATGTTCAGTGATTATAACGCGGTAGCTCGGTTGGCGAACAGCTCTCTGGCTGTGACGGTTGAGTCGCAACTGATTCCTTTACGGAAGTCCGACAACCAGGAGGTGGAAGAATTCGCGGTGACACAGGCAGATATCGATAGGCTGAACTGTGAGTGTCCGAGGCTCTCGTGTGTTATAATGGAGATTGGTTGACTCTTCGTGAAAGCGGCGGATCTGAACAGTTTGCTCGAGAGTTATGGCCTGCCGACGGTGGGCCAGATAGCTGTTCGACGATGGCAGTTGAAGAAGTACTTCGGCATCACGGTGGCCGGGATATAGACTCTGCCCTGGCCAACCTGGCGAGGATGACTTAAGAGGAGTAGCATGTTCTATAGAAATCACGCCAAGTGATTGCATCTCAATATAAAGACAGTCGATTCTAGAGAAGTTCAACCACACACCGTTACTCACGCATCTGAATACAAGTAAAATTCGTGAGATAAGTTTATTTTTCAGCTACTCTTCCCCATCGCTTCTTTCCCTTCATTCTCTCGCCTCCTTAATTCATTTCACCCAATGCCCGCCGTTCGTAACTTTATTTTTTTTGGTATGCGGAGAATGCAGGATCTTACACGTACAGTTTCTTTGCGGTATTATCCCTGTGCGTAAGGGAACACTCTCGTTAGTCATAACGTCACTTAGTAGTGGGGGAAAAAAGAAAGAAAAAAACGGAAAAGAAAAAAAGGAAATGTGGGACTTTGCACCACGCAAAACAGTTGCGCTTTTTCGGACACTTACAAGCGCAACCCACTACTGGCAACTACTTGCATTCGGTATCTTCCTTCTACCCCTTTGCCCCTCAACTCTTGGGAGACCTAAACGCCTCCCCCTCTAGGTAAGGGAAGCCGTCCAGGCTTCCTCCAATCCTTTTCAGATATGCTGCATCAAAGTATTTATGCTTCTGGACATTGATACCCTTGAAGACGGAAGTGATGGTTGAGCTAGAGACCGCAACACAATGCGCAATTATGCCTACCTCCACATTCATATCTAGAACCTTTGCTATGGCGTAAATCGCAACCCCCGCAATGGTGTTTGAGTTTCTTGCGCTGAAGTTGCTGTCCATGATCATTTTCTTGACCAACTCCTCCGCCAGTCCTATAAACATCATGTCGTAACCTAGCAGATTGCAGAAGCGTATCATATCCTTTGTAGTATTGGCGTGGGGTGTAGGAATATACGGCTTAGCTGGAGGTACTACAGAAGTTTGTTTCTTTGGCGGAGCCGCCTCCGGATCCAGGTAAGGAAAACAGTCTAGGCTCCCTCCAATCTTCTTGAGATACTCCGGATCGAAATATTTATGCTTATGAGCATTGATACGCTTAAACATGGAGGTGATGGTTGGGACAGAGACACCAAGGCAACTCGCGATCGTTGCTTGTTCGGCCTTAATCCTCAGAACCTTCGCCATTGTGTAAATCGCACCCCCTGCAATGCTGAGCGGACTCCTCGCGCAGAAGATATTGTCCTTAGACATTTTCTTGACTAGCTCCTCCGCTGCAACAGTAAACTTTATATCGTAGCCTAGTATGTTGCAGAAGCGTGTCATGATTTGCCCAGCCTCAGTGTGTGTTGTGGAGATGTACTGATTCACAGGGGCACGCGTGGTTTTGTTACCATCTTCGTCTGACGTGGCGGGTGCACTGGATTTAAGAAGAAAGTGTTCGATGCGCTTGAAGGTACGGCCAATGTCCTTCTTGGGCACATTGGTCAAGAGGAATATCTCACGGAAGGTTCTGTCAACCTTGCACTGACGACAAGCAATCAAAATACAACTCGCCACCACTGCCTCATGCACAGTGGACCTGTTGTTCAACTTCATGCCCTCGTCCACACTCTTGTAGATATGCTTCGCCACATCCCTCACATCGTCTTGAATCCCATTCTTCCCACAGTAGATCTCGATTTCAGCGTAGGCCCTAGTGAGAAACCTACTCTCAGTGGAGCTATTGATCTTTTTATGGGTTCTTTTCATTAGCTGAGCGTGTCTGTCACCCTGCTTATCGGCAATGGTGGTATCGAATCCAGTCCCACTTTCAAAGACGCTTTGAGCTGCGCCAACTCTGTTTGGATCTGCTTTACTGGAGTCGTCTCCAGTAGTGAAACTGCGCCATTCAGCGCGTTGATCAATCATGTGATCGGCCATGACAAGGCCACACGATCCGCAGATTGTATCTCCGGAAGAGTACTCGTCGATGAGATTCGGGGGATCTTCGCGGCAGTAGGGACAGACAACCTTGACGGCAACGTCGAGGGTCCACTTTGGCCCTTTCGGCTTTGCGGGTGGGGCCATTGCAGCGGGGGGCTGCTCGGCAGAAAGGGAAGATATGAGGCTGGAAACTGTTCACAAAGCAGTTAACTCTCTGGGAGCAACTTTCCTGCTCACAGTGACTAACATTTGGAATGTGTTATGGCAGCCCAATACAGTGTTTTTTTTACAGTCTTTGCAGGCAGAGGGTTGCTTTAGATGCGTCTAGAAGCTGCTTCTGCAGCACGCCGAAAAAAGAAAAGGGAGTTTTTTTCCCGCTCAATCTGAATGTTCACATTAGCTTGTTCCTAGGTCAAGTACATTTAGCTTGAAAGAAGAATGCTAGGGTCTGCACTCACACTTCGACACGAAAAATACAATACCAAAAGTGTATTCCTTGACGGAAGCGAAATCTCACTGTGAACAACTTAGGTGTGTAGGTATTTTCTGTGTTGAATACATGTACCTAGAGCAAGATGAAGAGGTGGGAGGGTGCTAAGCGCCGGGTAATTTGAACCAGTCAACACTTCCCCAGACCTGAGCAACTTAGAATGAGTAAATTTTGGGTTTGGGCGTTGGTAAATTTTGATTGGCTGAGCATTTGTCTAAATTCGTGCAACAAGTGAGTTTGCACAGAACATCTTTTCTTCCTATAAATAATCCGCCCCGAACTACAGACCAAAGTTTAATCCTGGTCACTGGTCCGCCAGTTCTGTCTACAAAGGATTTAGTCAGTGACTCCTAGACTCTTTCACAACATGAAATTCTTTGATCAACTAGAGTAATGAATATAAGGTAGTCAGGATATACCTGCGGGCGATTAAAGCACACCCCTTGTGTTAGTAGAAATATACTTTCTTATACTGCTACATGTGGGTTTATTTTCCAGCATATATAATAAAGCAAAGATACCTTTTGGAGTTTAGTTGACTTTCCCTATGGCAGAGAAAGTAGAAGCTCCCTGCTATAGGTTTTGTGGTGGGTATGCACGTGGATGGCCTTAATAAATTTGGGTGGGAAGAAAAACTTGATTCCCTCTTCATGTTTTAACGTGTGTAGACAGTCTGTACATCCGCAGGACTAGGTGTTAAGAGAAGCTTGTGTACAAGAAAAGAGAAATCATTATGAACAGTTTGAGATAACGCTAGCCATGTGGCCGTGAAAGTCCAATTCTGACCACTCAGATACGGAATATCACTCACGCATTCCTTCATTAATCAATCTCAACTCTTTTGATCTACCCAATTACCCTTTCTCCCCTTATCAAAGGTCCGTCAGCCCGACTCATCTCCTCATGCCAAGTAGCCCACTTGTAGTACAGCTGCTCAGCAGTGACCTGCTTGTTTGGGTAACGAGTACTGAAGTCACGCGCCAGCAGCCTGAAATGATCAGCATTTACCACGGTTCCCATCTGTTTCACTGCCCAGATAAGCCAGCGCAGATCCTCACAGTTGAATCCTGTAGGGGTTGTTGCAATGGCTTTGGCTGCTGCTTCTGACAAGTCATCTTCTGAGCAAGTATTTCCGAACCTGTTGACATATGTGGTGCGAAGGACCTCTCGTGGAATATTGTTTTCATCTGCGTAGGTAGTATGCTCTAGTAGTATTTAAACACACGTATATTGTTAGTCTTGAGAACAACTTCGTCAAGGCCTGAAGTGGTACAACTTACGATGAAGTAGGATAAGAGATAGAGCAGCCTCCCACTCATCGCGACTGACATGTATAGTAGGACTTTCTGAAGCTTTGGGTGGAGGGCTTCCTGAATGCAGTGACTCCTGCTCAATTGTACTGTCACTACCAGGAATATGTACTTCGAGATTCCTATTCGGGGGTGTGGTAGGCTCGTCGTAGGTAACGCTCTGACGGAGTTGAGACTGTTGAATTGGAGTGGACATGATTCGATGTGCGTTTGGGGGCACAATCGGGCCCTGTACAACTCTGAGTTTACTGGCAAGGTTCTTGTGACGCTGTCTGAGAACCTCTGGGCTTTGGTGGTTAGGTAACTTCGGTTGTCCCATGTGTTGCTGTTTGGAGAACCGGTGGTGATTATCATCTAGAGTGACATTTTTAGTAGGCACCTGATTTTCCGAGAGACAAGTCAACTTTGCTCACCGTTGCCCGACCCTCGGTGCCTCGATAGGCTCTCCACGTTATTTGTACCAGTTCCTCGGAGGGAACTCTTTGCAGCTACCATAAACTTTTCAGCATCTTTGCTGACTAGATTTTTGACCTCTGAAGGAGCATGAGGAGGATTTTTGTGAAACATAAATTCGATACTGGCTGGGCTCCGGAGTTCTTTGGAGTTGTAGTGGACAAGGCAAAAGTAATTTTTTGTACCTTGGGAGCGGGGAAGTACGATTGAGAGATCAATATAGACAGTAGGGCGGAATAGATGTGTTCATGTAGGTTTGATAACTTATACAGGTGTGCACTCGGAATGGGCCCCCTTGAAGGCTGCCGAGTACGTCAGGGATTCTGGTAAAAAATACTATGAAGAGGGGCCCGCCCGGCTTGGCTTAGTGTCTCTTTTCTGCCTCCCTGGCAGTGAACAAGGCCCCGGTACCACGGCGTAAGATCAAATTGACGATTGTCCACCTACCTACACATTCTGTACATGTACATGTAGTTTTCATCTATCGGTTTAAAAAGGTTTACGTAGATGAGAGTCTACTATTCCCCTCAAATTGAAAGGCCACTGTGGCTCTAACTGCCTCCATGTGAAATACGAGCCCCGCAAGGCAGGAACCTACGAAGCACCTGTCACTCCCGAAAACATTCCAAGACACGATATGATTCTTTTAGTTTCTGCATCGACCTTTCCTATCCCCGCTCATACTAAACAAGGCCTGTGCATCAGATTTTCGAACCGTTTTTCATAGAGTGCAGTACATGTAGTCTTTCTCTATGTTGCCCAATGGCAAGGTCAGCTAGCTGAGGTTGGGCAAATTGAACTAAGAGGTCCACCTAACCTTTTCGAGGGTGAACATACAGGAAGTTCACTTGAAATATAGCGTTACCACACCTTTCACATCTCATGTCATACATGTACTTACATGTACATCGCATTATAATTGCTTCCGTCTGCCTCCGAGAACACTTGTCGGCAAAGTAATATCACTACGCATACGCGAGGGGAGAGGTCAAGCCCTCTAGAATGGTCAAATGGTAAGATGTTTGAATTCGAGCGTATCAAAAGTCCTTTCGCCGTTTCCTTTATATTTAATTTTCTTACGACGCTTATGGAATAAGACACTAGTATCTTGGCATTCCTGTAGAAATCCGAACGCATGCAGGTACACACCAGGACACCTTAGCTCAGCTGAGAGGGTGGAGGTTAGCAAACATAATAAGAATTCAATTCTTACGTAACCTCCAAAAAACAAAATATCATCTGCATCAGAAGTTGGCAGGACGAACGCAGAGCCTTGGCAAGGATTGTTTAAAAAACTGAATATCGTTAGCCCGGCACCTTGCCAAGGCGTGTTCTTACTTTTTTCTGAGGCTCTACGGAGCTTGCCGGTAATAAGTTCCAACACGGGTTACAACAGTCAACCCAAGCAGCAGAAAGAGGAGCTGAGTGAATACTTAGGTCTACAATCATAGAGAGATATCTACACTATAAAGGTGAGAGCCCAGACAGCCCTTGCGAAACGCAAACAACACTATATGTCCTTCTCTTTCACACAAACAGGGACGAAAGAGCGACGACGAAACAACTGACAAGCCAAGGTTAGCAAAACATCCCTTCTATCATTCAATCCTAGATGATTCCGAGAGCTAAGGTAACCTGGATGACTCTTCTAGTAGGGGCTTCTATCAACTTCAATATAAGCGAGGTTACGACTGATCGTTCATGACCAACCTCCATTACAATAACAACGGACCTCGCACGCCGAGCGCAAAAGCGAGAAGGCAATCGTTCCCACCAATTCTACCACAAAAATTACAGTCTACGATTATCCCTTCTGCTCCATACGAACTGTACTCTATATTTGTCGGATTTAACCCTACGCTGGACAAATATCTGGACCTCAATGTGACAATGCTAGGTTTGGACACTTATTAGATACTTCTGGCCTCATATTTCTTCATGGTTTCGGGAAGTGCTTTGTCGATTGTGTTTTACGACCTTTCTTGGGGAGGCTCCTATCTTGTGGCTGCCGCGAGTGATAACACTGGAAGATGTATCGCAAGTCTTGGCAACAACTCTAGCCCACGACAAGGAAAGACATACGGCGAGCGCCGGAGAAAATTCCAACACACGAGGAACAATCGTGTTTATAGTGGATAGATCATACTAGATCCCCCGTCCATCATCTAGTTCGAAGAAATCTGCTCACTAGTTATATGGGAGGAGTTGTTGCTATTCCCGGCGCCATCTAGAATCCGGAAGATGGGGCTCAAGAAGAAAGATAGCGATTGAAGACAGCGACGATATGTAAGCTCCTGGGTCAGTAGCTATCGCCTGGAGATTAAGGCTAAGGAAGATTATGGGTTTTTGTAAAACCATTTTCCACATTTATTAAACCGCGAGTACAGTCGGATGAGGTGTGATTGGCATCAACTGTAGACATCAAGCGCAACCCAAGCCTCAGAGAATGATGCCCGGAAAAAAGCCCGTTTGGTATAGTGGAAGTGAAAGGTAGGTGAATGTATCATCGTTTCAATCACCGGTTGCGGTGATTGGAGTTGCCCAAACAAAGGATCTCTTTAGTGGGTTCATTGTTGCGGAACCACGTGGGAAGATAAATCCTTTGTTCTAAAATAGACATAAAATTCCAATCCTAGATATTTGATTAATGTGCAAATACTATAAGGCAGTCGCTTACCTCTACCCCCGCAGCTCCTCTTCACCGCTCTCCGAAACCTCCGAAACCTACATTGAAATCCAAATATTCGACGAAATGACGACGAGAACATTAGTAGCTACCCCTACGAAGGCGGCACTGACACCATACAAAAGACCATCCAAAAGAAAGCTCAGAGAAGAAGACGCTCTCCAGGAAGCCAGAGTAAAAGAGGCGAGATCCCGTATTATTGTGACGGGCGCGTTCATTCCCGAAACAAGCGGGGGCAAAGACGTGCCGAGGCCTGATAGAGGAAAAGGCCGTACTCTTGCTGACCCTCCTCCGCCTTTCGATGAAAACAGCCGTTACCTCCAAAGCAACGAAATCTCTCCTTACTTCGCCTGGACCGAGAAGCTTGACCTTGACCGCGCCTCCCTCCCATGGTGGGTGCGTGTTCCGACAAGGCCGAATATCACCCACTTCGAATATATGAAGCAAACACGGAGCGTCGCGCGCACAACACAACTGCTCAACGAAGCTCTGAGAACGATGCAGACCCCGGAGAACCGGCGCACAAAGGAGATGAATATGGGGCTGCTCCCGGCGTTAAGCGAGTATGAGCAGAGCATGCATGGGAATGGGGAGAAGGGCAAATGGGAGCTGCCAAGGTCGACACACGAGACCTATGATAAGCTGGTTGTTCTATTGAGCCAAGGGGCGCCGGAGTTTCTTAGACCTCCGCCGCGATCGGAGAGGGAGATAAAAAAGTACCCGTTTGGCAGGTTTAAAAAAGTAGTGGTAAAGAAGTTGCCGCCCTTAGAAATGCCCTTGAAATGGGAGCCAATATACCTTAGCGATTGGGAGGAGCACATGTCGTGGGGGCCGAAGGAAGTTTTGGAGAGTCTTAGCTCGAGTGGTCTGGGAGAGGAGAGGAAGCAGAAGGTACGCGAGATGATGAAAGGGATCGAGTGAAGACCGATTGGAATTGCCTCTTATGTATAATAAATCTTTTTGTGGTTTTATGACGCTAGTAACTGACTGTAGCGCTTTGAGCGGACAGTCCTAGGGAAATTTTATTGTTGAGTAGCTTGATCTAGCAGGATGTAGTTTGTATAAGCCTTGGGCAGGTGCATAATTCTCCCGCCCATCGTAGAAAACCTAACCCTATCACCGCTAGTCGTAAAGATAAGATTATCGATGCCAAGCCACAACGTTGGCAATGTCAGGGCGTGCAACAGAGGAACGGACCTCCTTCTTGACATTTTTCGCCTCTTCTGCGGGAAGCTCCCCGCATGAGACTATTTTTCATTCCGGATCGTTGGCGACGGTGTTGTGCAGCTACTCATTCTGCTCCGGTTAAAAGTCATTGGCTGCCAGCAATTTCCACTTCGCCAGGTTCTTGAATCTTGAAAAATGACAAAGGCTGTTGTGAGCGAGAACTGCCAAGTACGAAGTGGGGTCATAAAAATCACAGATTACCCTTCACAATCTATGCTAGAGCCTCATCGTACTAGATCAGTATGGTGCCCAAGACTCTAGCAGGTACAGGAATGAAAGTGGAACTAGTATCTTTGTTCATAGGAAGTACATGTCGAGAGGGTCGACAAGAATGCTACAGAAATTAATTAATGCCGGGTGGAAAGAACTCAACATGGAGAGGCCGAGTGTCTTTTTTCTCTAACAGATGTGGCGCAACACAGGTGTGGGAATCTATGGGTTGAAAGGTATGGGTAAGAGAGAAAGCGTTGACCCCTCGTAAGGCAAGGTTGGGCGGTGATAATGGTACATGTAGCAGTAGTTGTCTTGGAACGAACATCCTTTGGTCCTTTAGCCACATTGACTGCCCGGTGTCCTTACCCTATTACAAGCTGGCTGTAAGAAAACCCTTTTCCACCCACAAAGCAGTCCTCTAGAAAAAGCCCCACACAAAGCCTTCCTCTCCACTTCGACTCCCACATAAATACTTCTGCCAAACAAACAATCCCTTCATCACCACCAACATTCACTCTCATTTTTCCGTATCACCGTCAGAAGTAAATTCTAAACGCCCTCACTCCTTAATCAAAATGCAGTTTTCTACGCTCACATTTGGTCTCGTTGCTATGCTTATGGCTGCTCTCCCTGCCATTTCCGCTCCGCAGAGGTATTTCTTTTCCGCTCCAGCTAGTTTGCTTCTCTTGGTATTCTTCTGTGATTTTTCTGATCTGGTGTTCCAACAGTGGCCCCGAGTTCGACGATGCTGAATTCATGCTTCCTGATGTTCCCTCCGAGGTTGCCAACATGTTCACACCCCCTGAGGGCCTGAAAATCATCACCGACACTACCCTTCCACAGATGACCGAGGGGCTTGCTAGTGTCTTGATGACTATGGTCACCGCCATCGGTGTTACCACTACTCAACCTCCTTCCCTGATGCTGCCGACCTCCACCGGGGATGTGGTACCGCAGCATGATCATGATCTTGACAACATTGAGGACATGGAAGATATCGAGGACATTGCGCTGCCAACTCAACTTGTTTCCCTTCCAGGTATGAATCGGTCGCTCTAACGATTTTTATGGACGATAATTAATTTGTACACACAGTCTTCACTTACTCCTCGAGTGCTGCTACCGAGACCGCTTCTTCCGTCATGTCAGCCCCTACCAGCCAGGCCTCCAGTAATGGTACAACCGTTGGTCCCATTGATCTTGCTAACCCGGCAACCATGGTTACTAGTACTATTCCAACATCCATCAATGCTACCACTACCGGCAACGGTACTCATACTCACACCATGACAATGCCAACCGCTCTTGCCAACTCCGCCAGCGGTTTGCAACCTTTCTTGCTCTCCGCTACTACTCTCCTCGCCCTTGGTATTGCGATTTTGGCGTTGTAGGATGGCCAATGGGTCGAATTGAGTCGGATTCAGTAAATATAATTTACCACGTTCTTTTCTCAATTTCTTTTGTTTGTCTGGTCGTTCTGTAACATCCAAGAAGATGAGTTAGTGTTGTTTGTTTCTAATCACTTGTACTATTCCAAGCGATGGTTAATATGTTTCCTTGTTTTAGTTTGTGAATTGGGCTATAAACTCTCCTTGTTTTCTTCTTGTATTCACCGTTTCTTTAGAGCTTGATATTTGAGCTGGTTCACTCTGAATCTACTTATTCCTGCATTTCAGTTCGTCTATGGTATAGCTGTTCGTTATGTCTCAGCTCCTCTATACCGTGGACCTCGAAATAGCTATAGAGAAAGTCAGATACTTCACGTCTCTTATCGTCTTTGTTTTTTCCTACTCGGTGTGACCCCACATGCGGGGCCTCCAGGGGTGGGGGTGTCACCAATAAATATTGCGTTCTCTACAAATTCCTGTCTTAGAAATAGGCAACTGAAAAATAACTATGACTGTTATACAGCTTGGTATGTTGATAATGAGGCTGATCCAGTTCACGGGTTACCTGTAAGCCATTCTGTCAATAATCAAGTGCTTTATTCTCTTGATGTAAATATAGTATTCATATTACAGTCAGAGGTTAAGTTCTCCATGCTCTCTGAAAACAAGGAAGATCGCTTCAAATAAGTAAATACATGAAGATGGTGGGTAGAGCTAACGCTACATCCGTAAATTTCAGGTACCCTCTCATCCGCCGCTCCTTTTTCCACACGACCGCCGGGAACTCACGCATATCGCAGACCCCATCATGGATGTCACCAACACCAGTGCACTACTTTTAATGCTATTTTCCTGGGGGCTGCGTCCTGTCCGCCGGGCTGTGGCCCACGGGTGGGTATATATTCGATCGGCATAAAAGCGAGATTGTCAGCTTAGAGAAAGAAGAAGACCAACTGAAAAATAGTGGAGGAAAAGGAAGAAAAAGATGATTGAATAACGCCCTGGTCAGGAATCGAACCGAAATCCCCCAGAATGAAAGGCCGCTGCGCGTGGCGGACATTCCGAGGTACATTGTCCACTACATGTATGCTAACAGAGCTTAGATGAATGTGCCTTGGGGTGCATGTTGAAAATGGTTTTTTCGTCTGATGCCGTTGCGGCCTGAATCACCAGCACTAGCACTACGCGCGCTACTTCGTACCATCTTGCTCTCGGTGAAGCTACTTAGGAATTTGACTAGCAGTGCCGGTAGTGCGTAGGTGCTACAAGCAGCTCCTTCCCCCCACGCTGGGATCTGTCCCAAACTCCCAATTACAGAGTAAACATCTCCCAGGTATACCTCTCCGCATCCCAGATGACAAAATCACAATATTATAAGCACCTAATTCTAGACTGGAAGTCGACAACAATAGAACTGACCATTTAACTGCCATCCTTAACGTTGACTGTCGCTTGTTTAGCATCTGTCCATGTCGCAGCTCAAAAAAAATCAAAAAAATCAAACAATAATCTACCGTATTTCGAGCACTAAGTGGTAACTGGAAAAGAACACCCTGGCCCTTGGATAAGAGTAGAGTGGTGCACAGGGAGGTAAATTCAAACTGATATCAAATCCAGGTAGACAATCGAAGCTGTCGGGGTATACGCCTCCGCCCCTGCGTTTCTTGCGTGGAGGTTCAACGAAATGAAGGAAAGAATATTGAAGAGAGGGCAGGTGTTTTCAGCACATAGAGCAGAGCGTTTTTTCGAGTTCAAAAAGCGGGCCTTTGTAACTTGAACTTCCTCGATTGTGCTAAAGTGCACAGATTGTCCTATATACTAACTACATGTATCCAGCCATATTGGCCATACCGCTGAATGACCTCGCCTCTTTATGTACCGGGAACTCTATACACTATATTCTGCTGAACAGAAACTCGAAATCAGCATAGATATGCCCACACCAGAAGCAGAGTTTTGGTGCGCGTTGCGGAGGAGCGGGAAAAGGTAGACCCGCGGATGCATTTACCCTCGCAGCATTCCTTTCACTAAGCTGTCTTTTAATTTCACCGCAGGGGCAGTGATATAGAGCAGAATATGGCGCGTTGTTTGGCGTTACCCATACACTGCCTCCCATGTCCCGTATTGCATTCATGTCGACGGGGATGAACAGTCTCGGAGGTCTGTTCATAGAGTCCTTACTTCAGCTAGGAAACTAATAGGAAGGCACATATACCCAACTCACCCAAGTCTAACTCAGAGTACGCTTGTTTTAACACTCGGTACCGTAAAAGCAAATAGGGCCCGTGGGTTATGTTCAATCTTTGTAAAGTATTGACCATAATGTCGGGTGGGTACTCCGCAACCGTTGGGTGGGGACTGTACAATAAAGGAAAGAAATTCTCAAATCTTCTGGGCTAAAAACGATTGGTTTGAATGTAACAAATAACGACAAACAACGTGTTAAACCTTTGAATCATATCGTCACTCGCGATTACATGAATCATGGAATATCACTCGCGGCGGCAACCTAGCGCACTGCCTGATATCGGAGAAAGCAACACGCGGGGGACACAGATTTCTAGTCGGACTTTAAAGTAGCTTTCCAACACAAATTTCGTGTTTGTACTGGCTATCTCTGAAGAATTAATCGAACGTACTAGTAGATCAGTGCTGCGACCCCCCGGGGGGGTCATTCCGATTAGTAAGGCTGGGCGGTAATGGTTCGCTGGAGGTTTATGCGGCGTTTTAGAATCGCGCTTAAATTTTTACGTTAGAGTCCGGCGTTATCTCTTCGTGAGGAAAAGGGCTAGAGCCCAATTGATATTATAAATAACCTAAATATTCCATATTCGGTGGTATAAAAAAGAGCAAACACCAACCATTCGGTTGCCATATGGGTTCCCACTGTATCAATAAAGGAAAATGAACAAACCCCACGCGGTTTAAAGACAAGAAGACATGGCTCATCGTGAGAAAGAGAACCAAAACACCCCGGATAAAAAAAAGATGAATGAGATTTAAAGAAAGGGTATAGTGCATATCATTATTAAACTTGTGTATCATCAAAACATGAAGCAAGATTCATACAAGCACTGAAATTTGCAAAGACAGGCTCAAGGAAAAGCGGTGAGCAATGTTGCTGAAACAGAACAACCTGAAAGGAAAGACGGTTGCCAACAGAAGGAATGCGCCCTCTAATCCCACCCCGGATCTGGTCCCAACCCAACCCAGCTCTTCATCTTCCTGGCAAAGCGCTCAAGTTTCATCTGAAACTCGCTCTGCGCAAACCTCTCCATATTCCCATGGCGTCTCTCCAACTGTTTCCTAACCTTCCTCCTCTCCTTATCCCTTGCCCTAATCGCCGTCTCCGCCTCCTTATCCTCGGCTTTGAGTCTCTTACGCTCCTCCGCCTCCTGCTTTTTGGTGCGAATGGCAGCCTGCTTCTCTTCTTCCTTGTTGAACTTATCGAGCTCCGCCTTGACGCGGAGTGACCTCTTCTCTGCGTCGCGCCGTTCTTTGTCGGTCATGGCGGCGCGGGCGGTGAAGCGTTGTTCGGCGATGTCCATTTGCAGGGCTGTCGAGCGGTGGACGTCCATTGAGACACACTCACGGCTAGTGGAGGTCCGGATGGACTGCTCGACGCGGAGTTGGGAGACGAGGTTAGCTGGGGTGGAGACACTAACATTGTCCTCGGTGTTCTCAGTGTGCTCGAGCTCGAGCTTGTCTGCAGGGCGTGCTTTAGGTGACGGCTGAGTGACAGTGACCATTGGAAGCGCAGGCTTGATAGGACTTGGGATAGGTTCACCGGGTACTTGGATGTAGGTGAGGGGGGGAAGAACGTATGGAAGATCTGTAGGACCCGGCGGAGCAAGTAGCGCGGGAGGCGCCGCGGGTGGCTGGATGTAGGTGAGAGGCGGGATTACGTAGGGCAGATCAACTATCACGGGAGGGACAGTAACCTTACTCCTTCTCAGACTACCAAAAATGCTAGAGCGGCTGTTTTCAGAGGGAGCCGAGGTAAGCGAATCGCGGAAACTTGGAGTGCTGATCTGCTTTCGAATATCCCCGGCCAGATTAGGAGGGCGTAGGTTTACTTCGCTTCTCTGAACTCGAAGAATTGAGGTATTGATTGTGTTTTCGGGAGGCGGGGCAGCAACTGCGTTGAAAGTAGCATCGATGGAGCCGCTGATCTTAGTCTCGGTGTTGTTCGCCGGGGTAATTGTCGGGACCTTTGTAATGGCTTCTCTAGTTTCACCTATTTCTTGTAACTTGGGAGTCTCATCAGTCCCTTGTTGAGAGGTGATTGTCCCTGTGAGTCCTGCTGTATCTGAGTTGTCGGGAAAGAGATCTGGAGGTACAGGAGAGCGTGCCTGGCTGAGGTTCATATGCTCTTGAAAGCGGGAGACATAGGCCTGGCTTCCCACACTTGTACGGAAACTGTTGAAGTTGGAGAAAGATCCCTGGCTTCCTAGGCTTCCCTGGAGACTGGGAGGATTGGAGCCATAGTAGGATGAAGACTCTACAGGCGGCTGGGGATACGGGTAAGGGTTGGAATTGAAGAGTTTGCCGTACTCCGACATTTGTTAAAGGTAATGACTGTGGTTGTAAATGACAAGAAAGGACAGTGGGGGAGTGTAGTTGGGGAGTTGGGTGAGAGATTTTAGGGTGGGGGGAGGGAGGAGGAGACTGTGGGCGAGAAATTGAAGAAAGTGGAAGGTCCTCCAGATGGCAGCTTCCACACGAACAAGAACCCCAGCTGGACCCAACACAGTACCCGCAGTAGTAAGTAACCATTCCCCGAGTTCAGCCTGCGCATACCAACCTATGCTTGGAAGTAGTTGCCGAAGCCATTCCTTTCTTTGAATAATTCTAAAAATGCTAGTCAAACCTTTCTTCGTAGAGGAAGAGATAGATGTATATGCGCTGGGGTAGTAGGAGGTGATATGAGGCCTTCGAAGCCTCGAGATCGTTAGGATACCTTCCGGTTGCCACTTTGAGTAAGATAGAGAAGACGATATTTAGGAAAAGGGACATTTGGTAAACTCGTAGATTGGTGTGGTGATTTTCCTACCCGAACAGTTTCAACTTCACTCACTGTGCAGAAGCTAGTCTGTGCACAAGTATCCGAGAAAAGAATAATTGAGTTAGTGACCTATGCGGATTGTAGATAATATTTGGGGGGCTAAGAAAGTGGAAAGAAGTTGTACAGTCTATAAAGGAAGAAGTGCAGCTTTTGACAGATATATCCCATTACACAAAGTACATCTAGTCAGCTCTTCCAGAGTGCAGGGGGTAAGAAGGAGACTCCGACCACTAAGAAATCGCAACGACTTACTTTTTTATCATCGGAGGTTTGAAAAATTAATTTACTCCCGAAATTCACCGATCAACGCGGAACTGAGATTACATGTAGTCCGGGGGCCGTTCTCCGGGAGAGTGTAGAATCATCTGCTATAACTTAATTAATTAAAAACGGTAGTGCTAATAGCTTCCGATAATATACCTACATGTATGAGAAATTTTGAAACCGCGTTGCTAATTACAGAGTTTGAGCTACGGTGAAGCCCAAATATAGAGGAACAGATTGAGACTTACTATTTCAACTGCGTACACCTGTAAAATACTTGAGGTATCGGGCCCTATCACTTCCAAAATCTTCCGTTATGTTAGTTAGTCACCGAGATCGAGATGCTCAATTAAATATTAAGAAATAACCACTTTCCACCCCTGTCTCGCCAGTGCTCCTCCTCCGGTTGGTGGGGAGGTAGTAAGCCAAGTAACTCCGATGCCGAGCAGGATTGAGTTTGAAGATATAGTCGCTTATATATCATAGAACATAACATTGTTTGTCACAGGAATAATAAACATTAACTTAGCTTTGCTATATCATTGTATATAGGCTTTCATATGAATCCGACTGTAACAGATATAGAACCGGAACGCCACATTTCTTGGCAATGCCACCACAAACATCAGATACTGTGTGCTTGGCTAGCGGCACAGTAGCCGAGATATCTTTAAAAGATCATTCCTGGGAATCAGCTACAGCTGTTCACTTAAATCAATGAAGGACTCTGAACCTATAAAACTTCAGAAAAATATCACTTTTATTCTCCACGCAGTACGAAATATCCCTCCAAACCTATAGCTAGCAATAGATCCGAATTTCTTTTCCACCCGTTCCCAAACGCACTGCTAACAATCAACCATATAGAAGCCTGCATGGAAGCCCATTCCACCGACATAAGACGCCCAGTAGATCACTTAAGGATCATATGCTTAGCCACCTTCCCTGCTCTAGATCTCCGCCAGCAGCACTCAAACCTCCTCATTTTCATCGATATCTATAACTCCGAAGAACCCTGACAAGCTTCTGAACACCTTGGCTATGAGTCCATTGTCTTTGACAGTGTCCCTTACATCTTCACATCATCATGATCAGTCTCATACATATCCCATGTAGCTGTATCGAACATATCAGACTCACTTTGAATGACGCCAGGAGCAGACGACCCAGCACGACAAGCCTTGTCCCAGATTTCCCACGGGGAACCCTCCTCCCCATCCACCGCTCCAAAGTCCTGGTAGAACTCGGGACGATTGCGTGCCCTTGCCACTAATGGCAAGTTGGCATAAGGATACAAGTCCGCATCGAACATTCCCTCAGGACGCTTTCCCTCACGGACGTGAACAGTGTTCGCAGCGTGGTCAAGATAGGTTCCAGAGCCATAAAGCTGAAGCCTTAAGGGAGGTGGCATTCTCGCGATGTCGTCCTTAGTACGTGTGCAATACGTATAATACTTGTAGGGACACTGTTCATAGCAGTGATACGGTTCCTTACACTCATGGCCGGGAGAGGAGTGGAACATATAATAGTCGAGGATCTGAGCGAGGAGTTGATTGTTGGATTGATCGACACAGCGGGTGTAAAACAACGTTTTGACTGCCTGCTCAGCGAGGTAGTTATGTTTGCTGCGGTCATCGTCGGTGATTGACATCAGGCAGGCAGTGCAAGGGGACTCGCTGTAGTCGTGGGAGACGACGTTGTGGATAGTCTCGGAACAGTCCATGCTGGTCTTTGTCGACGTGAAGACCGGGTGGAAGCAGCTGTGGTGGGTGAGGATATTGAGGCACATATTTGTGTTTGATTTTGAAATAGAGGATGAGTGGAAAACGAGATAGAACTACTTATGGGAGGGTATAGGAAGTTTGCTGTTTGCTATTGATGGATGATCGATTGAAAACGGTGTGGGAAGAAAGATGTTTGGTTGTGGGTGCTACAATGATTATATGGCACGGGAAGACTCGAGTTGATCGCTAACGGCTTGGCTCGAGGGATGAAATACGGCTTTTGAAAGGAAAACGCTAACCAAGGGGGGGTAGGACATTTGATCTGTTTATTCAGGTGCTTGAGAACAGGCGGGGAATCCTCTTTCGTGTAGTCTCTAATAGTATTTAGTTTCAAGCAGTCTTCCCTGCGATTGTTATCCCACCGAATTGTACAATGACAGATTTAAGAATACTGTCCATTGTCGACCACAACGCGCGATAAAAATTTCATGACTGATATACGGATTAATCATAGGCGGTACTTGAATAGATAAAATATCATTTAAAATAGAATTGGATTTCATCCAACGCTCCGTAGCAAATAGCTTCTGTGACGCAGATCCTCCGCACTCTTTACGAATAAACAGACTATGCGCTTAGTAGCCCACTTCCTGCATATGCTTTTAAGAGGGATTGCACACTCGCAAACTCTAGTTAATTACCATTACTCTCCTCGTCCTTCATCCCGATACCCCGGTAGAAGGATAGAAGGGGGTAAGATCTACGCCTTCAAAGTAGAATAAGATAACCGGACATAGAAAACAAAACTCACCATAATATCCGCCACAACACTTCAAATGTATTAAGAACCGTTCGTGGGAATCATTGAAAACACTATTTAGGTCAAGTGTGACAACCAGATTCATGAACGATCACTCGAACATCGAGCGAGAACCTATGACTGACTATGTTGTGATGGCGGTGAGCATTACGAAGAACCACCAGCGAGTGTCCTTAGAGTCCTTAGAGTTTTAATAGAAGTTGGATGTAAAAAAAAAACCAGGGAACGGCCTTTTTCTGTGGTGCCTCAACCAATGGGGTAGGGGAAGGTCATGCGGGTGTTTATGTCCTCTCCACCGAGGAAATAGTCATGAAATTAAAAAGAGAAGCAAGCCCAGTAGTGCGCAGCAAAAGGCACTATGTCCTACGTTCAAAAGACATAAAATACTGAGGATCTGTCGGCTGAAGTAACATAAGAACAGACTTAACTTAGTTTTCCTATACGTCCAGGCGTTACACTCTTAGTTATGATATGAATCCGGGGATATGTCCCATATATAAGATTTATGAAGAGGATTTACTGAGATATAAAGAGAGTGATTGTTTGTGCGGTTGTCTTCTCTGTATGCGACAGCCAACTCAATCCCCACTTCGACCTGCGCCGAAGGGCATCCGCTCCTGCAGCCAACAACTTCACCTCACCTCTCACATACACGACAGCGTTTGACTGACCACAAGAAACTCATCAAACCACTGTCAACGTTATCTCCTTCGCATTCTGTTTCTTCCGCCTTGCATCTAGGTGCATTCCTTTTGTCATCTACACTCTCTACCCCCAAATCATCGAGCCCGGTCTCCTGTGTTTTTTACACCGGTTTGCTTACTGATGTTGCAGACGCACCAGTTGATTTAAAAACGTATTCATCACAAACTCCTGCCAGTAATTTTTCTTATTTTCCATCCAAGCCTAACAAACCCCAATAGCCATCGCACTATAACTTGGCTGGGCCTTTTTCATTCGAGCGCATCCCGAAAAGATTGAATTGATCACAATTCTGTCTAGATCTCGCGTCATCAAGTTTTCAATCAAGGTAATTTGCATCACTTGTTCATGTTCTTTCTCCCTCACGTCCTAACTCGCGATACGTGATTTTCAGGAATCCTTTCGTAAAATCATCAAAAATCCTCCTTGCAAGACCCGACCAGGATAGAAGCGATTCCAATGGTGGCTACGAGAACAGGTCCGCGTCGAACACTTCGCCGTGTTAAACATCTCCAAATCACGAACGATTTGCGGGGTGGGCGATCACTAGAATTTGGTCGCCAGTATCATTCGAGCCCGTCCGACGTCAGACGCGATGTAGTGCCCTCAAGCAGAACACCTCGGCAGTCTCCCCAGAGCCCCCGCCGATCACTGAGGTCCAGGCGGTCTGTACGCAGTTTCAGCTCATTTGATTCACTATTAAGTCAAGATATAACACCACCCACTCCAGGACGACCGGTATCGAGAAGCACGCCGACAATCGGAGGAGCCTCAACCACCCCTAGCGATGGTGCGACCAGAAGACAATTCACCGGAATTCTTGAGCCATTATTCACACCGGCACAACGCTCATCAGTTCAAAAGATGGTCAGTTATTTGGAGGACGGGACACAAGTGACTACCTTTGTGATGACCTCACCCACCAGCCATGGGAGCGCCGACTCCGATGGTTTCCGGAGTCCTTTTCAGCGTGATCCGAGTCCGCCACTCACACCCAGCGATGCCGACAGTATCTGGCGGGAGAATCGGAGGCACTCAATTGAAATTAGAAACCAGATTTCGCGCCTTTTGAGCTTCGACTCAACCCTATCAGAGGGGGATGAAACCACCCATCGTCAAATATTTTCCGTACGCTCGAGGTCAAACAGCCTCGAGAGTCGCGCGGAAACATCATCTATACTTTCCATCATATACGCTTCCTCCAATAATGGAAATAACGAGGAGGGGAGTGTTTCATCACATCAGTATGTGGAGGATACAGCCGGCACCTCGCCTGTCGAAAAATCGCGTCGAACTGCGTCAACACCTCCATCCAATTCAACTGAGAAACCAAGCATTGAGATCAGGTCTCGCCGGAACAGTTCCGTTAGCGTGATTGCAATGTTGGCCCCATCATCCAAGAAAAATCTCGCATCGGCGGGAAAGACAATGACAGCTCGCTTCTTCATTTCCGGGTCGAAGGCATGTAAAAGATTGGTTTCTCGGATTGGGATATGTGATATTTTTGCCCGTCGTGCTACAGGTCCCTATACGTCAGCTGGGTCAACAGCATCTTCCGAAGCATCAACTTTGTGTACCAGTGTAAATAATCTCACCGCAAGGTCCGATGGGAGAAACTATCTCCTAAACTCGGGCAGTCACCTGGAGTCAATCTGGAGTGTTGAAAGAGACGAGACCGTTGGTGCTTGGTCGCCACGCGAGGGAAGTCCGGCGGGTGAGAGCGAGAAGAATGCAGATGGAGATATTGGCGGCTACGGCTGTTTATCCACTAGTGAGGAGTACTCCCGGGGCACTAGTACAACGCACGAAACCACTATGTCAAGCATGAGCTCAGGTCTCAAAAATTCAGGATGCGATCGCTACCTGCGTCTATGCCATACTAGCAGCAGTGAAGAATATCAGAGACCACCAACTGCAGCCTATTATGAAGATCCTTCCGATCCGACCTCGTATTACCGCCCAGAGCACACTCAGTCCGATATTGACAATGACGTGCCAACTCCTCCTTCCGGGCGATGTGTTCGACCAGCATGCTATACAACAATCGAACCAAACACTTCGTTATCAAGGGCATGGACCGTCCTTCGACCTAACTGGAAAAGAGAATTCAATACTGCCAGTAATGAGAGAGAAGTGGACGATCAAATGAAGGGGAGATGCCAGGACATATCGTATCTCTCCAATGATTCGTCCATCTCCATAGGAAGTACTGCAACCGTTATCAAAAAAGTTCCACTAGAGAACCACGATAAGCAATTGGGGAGCCAAGCAGCGGATCAGATGGCTACGTCACGTTCCCAGCTCGAGAGCCTCTGCTTCGCAGATGCGACAGATGAGGATGAAGCTGCAAATAAAAGCGACCGTAGTTCGATAAGAGCGATTCCGTCAACACCAACCACCTTGGAGCAAACTCACGATCTACTCCACGTTCTCGCACAAGCTACCTCTCAGCTTCCCACAGTACCAGATACTATGCACCAGATTATCGCGGATACACGAAGCTCTAACGTCTCCAATGAGACCGTTTTTCAACCGGGACAGCCAGGAGCGGTCGCTCTTTCCGAAGCCGCGAAAGCCGTCCCGACCCAAGATTCTCTGGATACCGAAGGGAGTAAGAGCCAGTCTTGGCTTAAACAAATTTCTCTGAGAGTTAAAGCCAGCGTGATGGATCTCCGGAAACGCGACCTCGGCAACAATACAGATCGTCGAAGTCGCTAGTTTCGAGAACGTCGTCATGTGGATACCTGTTCTCATTTTTCGGCGTTTTCCCAAATGATGCTTTCTCTCGCTCCCCAGATCCCCCAATAATGTTTAATCACCACCTTCATTTGAATCCCCAAATCCTGTTTTCATTCGTTAGGCACACTCTTCCCTTCCTCTAAAAGTTGTCATTCCTTTCATCGTGTTTAGAATAACCCCCGCATATCTGCGCAGGCAATAAATGCCCAATTACTTTCTTTACCCAGGTTTTCTTTTTAACAGGTCAAAACAGTTATCACATCTTATTTGGCGCTTTCGCGGTGAGGTTTTCATACTAGTCGTATCATTTATTTCATCTTGGCGAGTTTCTATTCGGGTATCTCTCAAAGTCCGAAGCCTTTCCGTATTCTCACATTTATAATACGTTGGGAGGAGAGTTGTTGAAACAGTTTCTAGAAAGTGTAACACATAACGCCTAGATAAAGGAGTGTGAAAGTGGGGGAGGAATATATATCCATTTTGCAACCAAGACCTTTGACAACAGCTAGATGATTGTCCGATGAGATTGATGAAGAAAATGGCTGAGAGGGCTTTTCACAAGCTTTGTAGGGGAAGATTGACTGTCTATCTAGGAAAAATGTTACTGGGGCCCAATATAATACCCATAACATGACACACATTAAATACTGGTTATGGCTAATATATAATTCTATATTGGCAAATTGATGACAAGCTAGGGATAGATTTACGCCCTTTCTATACCATGGAGTTAGAAAGTAAATCTTGACCCTCTTGGGGTAAATGATCTAGTGATTCCTGTCCGAATAAATCACATGATATTGAGAGAAAATCGAACCGTAGCAGCTGGATAGAAATGGCAACTTCCGCCTTTCGATACTTTGAAGACATGTTTGGATATAACAAATATCGCTGTAGTTAAGAACAACACCGTAAGCCTACTCAAGTTGCATGTATATGGGTCTCGGAACGTCGTAAGGTCACAATGTCAAATACTAAAAGGACCTTCTGGTAAAAGAGTTGGCTATATGTACATCTCACTACATGTTGGTCAGCCTTACAGCCTCCGTCTCTTATACGGTGTGGCATCATCTCAAAGACCGTATAAGACTCGTGAAAGTTCTAGTTTCCATAACCGTCTGATGAAATGCGAGTGATATTCTATGACCGTAATTCCACACGGAATGTGGTATTGATAAGCTAATATAAACCATAATACTAGCTGGAAACTAAAGCAATTCAATAAGGCTATATGGTACAACCTGTAGCCTGGCAGGAGGTATAGCCCTCGCCCCCCCCCTCTCAGGGTAAACCTATTGCCCGAGGTTACTTGAATTTGACTATATCACGAAGATAACAAGGCATTAAGAGAACTACGACCTATAAATTTATATACCGAAATAGGAACAATAATATAAAGCTATCTGCCACCTGGCAAGGTTTTAAAAAGCATAGGCGCGCCGAAACCACAAGAAAGCAAGAACAAAGGAGCCAAGACGGGGTTAATGTTACAAGGCAAGATCCCCATGTATGATTGTCCCCATTTAGCTCTCATGGTGAGTTGGGGAAGAGGTATCTTCAAGCTACTGGGGTGTATAAATTGTTCTAAATAACATTGAAAATAAGGTTCCTGGGTGTTTGGAAACTAAAGATGGGATTAAGTTATTAAAAGGAGGAAGAGTGCGTACTACCCTTGTTCGGGATACTCTGCTGCTCTGGGGAGTATTACTGGAATGGAAAAGATAGATCAAGATTATTGCATCATCAGCATTATTAAATCAGGATATACCCGGAATCATTCATCAATACCCAATATCACATGAAAAAAGGCGTGAGTGGTTGAAGACAAAAGTGTAACTCACTCTAAGTTTTGAAAGAAGATTTATTCTGATCCAGACTAAGCAAAGGAGGGAAAGAAAAAGGTAAGAGTGAAAAGCCAGTTCCTTCCTACAAGACTGAAGTGAAAGAATATGATGCTGACATGAAATTGGATTAAAAAAACGTTGCTTTAAACCAGGAAAAAATAGAAACCATTGATAACTCTCATACGCTAAAACAGAACAAGATTCTTATTATAATACTGTACAGCCCCAGTATCAGAATTGTAGAGGACCTTCATCGCGCACTTGAACTTCTCTTCAATATGAGAAAGTCGCACCTGAAGCTGGTAGCTCTCCTCCTCCATTGACATCGGGTGCCAGATAGCTCGTGCAAGCATCACTTTAATTTGATCATTTGACTCCTTCGCTCCCTGAGCCGGGTCTTGAACTCCAAACATTCTCTCAAGTGTCGCCTGTGCCGCGAGTCTATGATCAATGATAGCAGTCTCCCTAGCACGATAGGCGTCAACAATCATCAAGGAATTGTGCTCTATAATCCCCAGCGGCTGACCACTGTTGAACACCGGAATATCTGAATCCACGGTACGCATATCAATACCATTAAGGATTTTGGAAATGAGGTTGTTGACAGGCACTGAGAGTGTCCAGCCTATATTACTGTCGGACATCGCTCGGGAGATTGTGTTGAACTGAACCTGAGTGATGGACGTCGGAGTTGATGCATTTTGCTTCAGGATAACATGAGCATCACGGATTGAAATTGTAAGGCTATTGACCCAGTTGGTAATTTCAACAACTTGGGCGGCCTCGAGCGTGACGCTTCCGATCATGATGAGTGATTGATATATATATGATATTTATGTAATGGGCTTTTAATTTGGTTTTGCAGAGGGATGTGGTGATATGGTCTATGAAAATATTGAGTATTATGGAGGGAGGAGATCAGAGATCTGAGGGTTCTTATAGTGAGATTCGAAGGCCCCAAGATATCACATTGAACGGCTGATTATAAAGTAACGTTCAATACATGTATGTTATCTAGAGCCTCTCTCAAAGTATAATTTTAGACAATGCTATTATAGTAAAGGGCACCAGGTACATGTACCTAGAATACAATGAAGTATCTCCGGTAGTAGCATGCGCAGCAGGGGTTCATCTATCTCACATTTGGGTTCTCCAGATGCTACAGGTACCTCTTGCGAAATACCTCTAGGCGTATATGTGTATATCCCTTTTTTGACTAATACGTACGGAACGTTTTCATATGCTCGGCAGTTATTGTTCGAATAATCGTATTCCACATAGAATGTCGACGGTGGAAGCGAGGTAAAAGTGTTGGCATTATATGATACATGTTCAACAAAGTTCTCGTTTCGATATCAATATAGAATATCGAAAGTGCAAGTCACACTATATACGTGGTATTGTATACATGTAGTCTAACAGGTTACTCTACGATCAACTATTCTATTATAATTACTCATATGATCAAACACAACAAAAACCTGATTCCTCTGGCCCTTATGTCTGTGCGGTAAGCGATAGAGTATTCCTTATGGCGATATACTTCAATTCATGTATAATATATATATCTTGGAATGATTGAAGTCCGCATAAAGTTTCGAAATTTATCAGCCCGAATGAAATGCAACTTTACATACGAAGGAAACAATAGAGAATATGTAAGTATGAGTTACTACGACCAGAACAGGAATAAAGAAACTGTGTTAAGAAAATAATCTCGTAATACGTAAAGGAAATTAATATGTTTGTAATCTCTACCAGCCCCTAACCACCTCAGGCTCGCCAGTCAAGCCAGGGATGAAGAACTCAATCATGCCGAGCTCGGGATAATAAATTGTTTTAAAAGAGCTCTTAACTTTAAACTCTATATCGGAGAGATGAAGATTAAAATTGCGGCGTTGAACGTTGTCTTCCGCGGAGGTGTATATTGCTTTGGTCACTCCTGCCACCGGTTCTGTAAGCTCCCTCTCATCATAGTCTGGATTCCGAACGCGAAACTTCTGATATGCTAATGACGCTAATTCAGCCCTTGAGGTCACCATGTCTTCTCTTATCTGTAGATGTAACTGGCAAATCAATAAAGCGTTTCGTTCCATGATACCAAGAACATCTCCGTCATGGTAGGTCGGTTCGACATTATTGCAGGTTGACGGATCAACACCGGTTGGCTCAACTTTTTCGACAAGCTTGGGGAGCAAGTTATTTAAAGTGTATGAAATATTGCTTTCCGTTAAGGCCCTGATAATCTTTCTGACCTTGTCATTAGCGTAGTCCTCTGGAGGGCTCGGGTTATCTTTGATAATTTTGATGGCGTCGTGCAATCTCCCAATTATTGCGGAATATTGAGTATTCAACTTTGCCAGCTGTGTAGCTTCAATACTGATGTTTGAGATGACCATATTGTCCTCGAAGTGTTGATGGAATAATCGGCGTTGACACGAGATGCTAAGGAGTAATCAATTTGGCGATGTTTTGGTGGCGTACCGGTGTTGAATGGACTATGGCAAATGTCCTGGAGATCGGAAGATCCTATTTATATCAACTTCGAGCTATAGTGGGGGTGGTACAGCTGGCGAAAATCTCCCTACCTTTTAATGTACATCGGCAGTTCAGCTGAGTGTATTGGTAGATTTGACTTTAGTCACTACATGTACCTACATTCCGAAGTCCTACAGCCTTCAGCTTTGTAGAACCCCCACGCAATGTCTCTTGAGTGACGTCGGCATATGGTTCCATATGTTACATCTGCAGGTGAGTATCCTGTAAGTGATACAGGCGTAACAACATCTCGGGTAAAAGAAAGCTAAGTTATAGCTAGTTTGCGTTCCTTCCGATGAAGCAATGACAGGTTTGGGTTCTAGAATCTATATCTGGAGTCTCGCGTAGGTCAGCTTGGTTTACCAATACAGGATTGAGGGTCTACGTACAAATGTTTGAGGCCGTACGACCTATATGTTTTTCTTCGCGTTGACGGGGATTTGACCAAGTTCAAAAAAATGTGAATATAAAAATTGTAACGTACTATTACTATGGTCTGAGCACGTGCTCACGCCCGTTCCGAAGTTGAACCTGGGTGCGGCTCTGCGGATGCAGTGTAGATCACTTTAGCGCCTTGGCCTTACGAGCTCAACGTCGCGACCAAGAACAGGTGCGCGCTCAGACCTAAACTCATCAATCCATATTACCGCTACCTTTTGGTCGCAGCTTGCCTCTTTGAACTGAAATTTCGTTTGTTCGGATTCCGATGCATCGAATACAGCTACACGAGTTAAGCTCAGCTCGCACAGGCCCATAGTGGAATAATTACCGCACAGGGATTTATGCAATTAAAGGTAGGTCAGCTAGTTACTGCCCATCAGAAATATTATTTTCTTGAAACTGAGGGTTAAACCTTCCCAATTATTTTATGTTGATATCATCTAAGCAATTTTACCGCATCTCTTGCCGGGCAAGCACGCTCTTCGCCGCTAAGGAACAAGAATGATCCTGTCAAGATATCTGACTGACCAAGAGCATGTGACAAACAAAAGGCCTAGATCACGACGTCGACCTTGAGTCAGCATATATTTTGTTATTCTACTCCTTGGAACGTAAGTTCCTTGCTATCGCTTATGTTATCTCCTCATGAATTTCGTCATATGAATTGACGTTCTAAAAATTCGCACGATTCCTTGAACAGGGCACTGCGAATGGAAAACGAACTGTGTGGCTCATGGTTCAAGCAGACCCATAGACATCGTTGCTTCTTTCATATAGCTTGTTTTGCACAAGTACTTGCTGTGGGGCGGCCTTTCAAACAATATAGTAGGCTGGATATGAGGTGGACGTGTATATAGATCCCGATAGAGTGATAAACGTTCTCAGCCATGATGGATCAATAGTAGCCTGGGTTTGGAGCCAAGATAAAAGTGTATTACTGGCCAAGGGCCGTTGAGACCCATGGATACTCCATCAAAAGGTGAAGGAACTGGCACTATTGATCCTTACACCTTGTAGGGAACAGAACTAAAAACCCATTGAATACACCCCGATATGTAAGTAACATTTATAATCTTACGCACTGTTGGGGTATGTTTTACTACCTTAGAAAGCATGTTACTTCCTCTTCCTCTACTTGCGGTAAATAGACTCGCTTAGAATAAAGAGGGTGGGTTTCGTAGGTTATAAAGATAGAGTAAGGATTATATGAAGACTCCCCATAAGGGATTTAATTTAGATGGCGAAATAGTATTCTGCTTTATCACTGCCAGCACATCAATGCATCCCAAGGTACTAGAGAGCTCTGAAGCCCATCGTCGGGTGAGATGGAGTGGAATACCTAAAAACTCCACACGATATTCGGAGAGCTCATTAGTATAGTTGAGGAAGGTGGGGGGGGGGGGGGGGAGGGATGGAGTGAAGAGTTGGCAGAAAAAAATGTATATATATCTAAAATGGACAATCACATATAGAATAATTTCCGAATCCAAACAGCAGTAACTTGTGGTTTGGCGTTATCGATGTTCTTCCATTTTCTACCTACAACTCCAGATTTTCTAAGATCGAATATATACTGGGGTAGAAGGGGAAGAAGGGCAAAGGTAGATACATTTCACCTCTGCGCTTCTGCAAGAGTGACCTGTAATGACTCAGGCCCAGATCAGATTAGTGTAACATCCATCTTCAGATATTTTATAAAGTAACATGCAGTGCTGAGTGATGAATAATTGAAATGTTGATCAAGGAGCTAATGTTTGAATGAAGATATAAATATATTTAGCTTGAAGAACACCCGCAAACCCCTCGATCATGTACAATCATTTGTATAGATAACCAACATCTGAAGGTTGAACGAATGAATTCACACGGAGAGGAATAAAGCCACGATATGATAGTTAGTAAGCGTATTGGCAAACCCTGTTGTTCCATAAGTGTGCCACCAGGAGGGCATAAACCCCGATCATCTGCCCACACTAGCTAGGTTAGACGCGACTGCTATACCCTGGAAAACCCACAACAAACTCAGAGATAAACTTCATTGGATAATAGACTCAATCAGAAGACATCACTCGACCGAGTGATAGCAAAAGTGGGCAACGGCACATTCAGTTCTCTGAATTTAACCGTCAAGTCTACGGTACCCATTAGTCGAGGTCCTTCCTTTACTGCAAGAATCATACTACCCTAAACGATTCAAGTTTCATCCCCCACCCCCCCACCCCCCCCACTCCTCTCTCACACTCCCCCTCAGTAGTGTTTGCAGCATCATCAAAAGAAAGTTCCACGATTTCTCATTGGTATAAAAGACCAAAGGATTATATAAAGGTAAATGTTATCAACGCTGGTAGCTGTTTGGGTGTTCTTTATTCCTTAGGTTCTAACTAAATTGAAAGTTTCCTACTGTTCAATCCAGCAATATGCCCCCTATTCGCCAGGCCGCACATCCCCCCGCCGGAGTTAATGCCTTAGCCAATACGAAGACCGCCCAAGAGGTTCGTCAAGCAGCTGAAAGGGCCGCTGCGTTCCTCGCCCAGAGGGACCTCCATAGCCAACCCGCATCTAGTGTAAACGCGGGAAATAGTGCTGATACGAATACCTCCTTTGAGTTTGCTTCAATATCTGAATACGAGGCAAGCTTCTCTGCGCGTGTAATCGACGAGATGGTTGAGCGTGGACAGATTGGTCCGGAATGGAGGGAGCTCGCTCGGACTCGAGCTATCCAAAATGTCTTAAACAGGGGTCCTCTGGCCGAGGCTAGATCATCTCTTCTCAGCACATTGGCGAATAGTACGAGTGGTAATGTAGGGTCACTTGGGCATTTGGACAGGCCGAGGCTTCCAGCGGAATCAGAGATTCCTCCTCGCTCGCGACTAGTTCGTGGACGAGCGCGCAGAGCAGCTTTACCGCGTGGTGGAAGGCATGCTAACCCCCCTCGTGCGTTGCCTGTTCAAGGGCCTAAATTAGAACCCTTCGATCTTGAAAAAAGCCGTGAAGGGTTAGCCAGATGTCTTGGAGCGTACATGGACAAGGTCATGCCTGGCGTCAATCCCTCTTCTCTGTCAGCTGATGACACAGCAAAACTGATAAACGATATGGAGCAAATGATTATCGAAGGTACTGGATCGATAAATGGCCTGAGTGCATATATGAACACACCTGGAGGTTCTTCAGGTATCCCTGGCAACAGCGGGCAAGACGAGATCAGGGGTGATGAACTTCCACCACTTGGGTGGAAAATGTCCAAGGAGCGATATATTTGGCTGGTTACCTATATGAAACGCTACATGCCCCTTGACACTCCATCAACCATTAGTGAAGATGAAAGGGCAGAGCACATGCTCCTTTATGACCAAGCCATGCCTAAGGACAGCCTCAACGTTGACGTACCTAAAGTGAAACAAGGGAAGAGCATTGCTCACAAACCCAAAGATAATACAACACACAGTATTTCGGAGGATGTGAATAGGTCAGACACAAAAACTCACTCGGCTGATCCCATTTCTGCCGTCCACAAGCACCTACCATATCCTCCAACACCATATACGGAGGAAGACCTGAGCCGACTGGCTAGGGTGTCTTACGAAATTGCCATGAAGAAAGTCCGCGAGGCAGGCGGATCGCAGCGTGCTATTAACCATGGAGATGAGGGCCAGGATGAGTGCGATACTGATCACCACCATTGCTTGATTTCTGAAACTTTGCACCAAGTGTTGCTTGAACAGGTCACAGGTTTTATAGGGGATAGTCAGGTAGACACCCAGAACACAGACCTTCTCAAACAGGAAAGTTCAACCCCTACCAAACCTGATCTCACTTCCCCCGGACCTCGTACAGCTCGCGAAGCAGTTACCCGTCCCAGAGGTGGGCGAGGCAGAGGCCGGGTTACAGGAAATGAAAACCACCAAGGCCAAACTAAACGAGCAGTCAACTCAAATCATCACATTGTACCTACGTCGAAAATGGCTCCCGACGCTTCCACCATGACTGAAGACAAACGTGAAACACTTGCTTCCTATATGGAGAGAACAAAGTCCATGAGAAATTCCTCTGTCCCACGTGGAAAGAAAAGTGGAAAATCCCGCCAGATTGAGGATGAGATTAGAGCGGCAGTGGCTGATGAGCTCCCGGTTTGCACCAATCCTCATTGCCAATGTAACCAATCTTTGCCTCTCGAGGGCTCTGTCAGCGAAGCGGGTAGTGGATCGGGGCCGAAGCTTTTTGAGCCGGTGCGTCCTTTCACCACTCTACACCTCTTGCAATCTACTGATCACTTGATATTTAGCCTACCTCATCCAACGGTGCCAATTATGGTAGTGACAGTGAGGCGTCTAGCCCCGCACCCTTCAGGGAAACCTTCGAAAAAGCCCTTTTGGCTACCTCCGCATTTTCCGAGCGTGTCAAAGTCACTCCACGCAGTGAACGCCAAACCACCCACATGTCTGGTGTCGACGAGTTGCTTGCTAAAGCCCAAATGTTGGAGCACGATCAGTGCCCTCTGGAAGCCGAGAAATCGGGTTACGATAGGCCGGCTGCCGGTGGCCATCCGCCGGGAGGACCAGACACGCCTCTCGATAACCAGGCTGCCGAGCCTGATGAAACTTTGACCGAAGCCAGAAAGGCAGAGTTGGATTTGTTGGTCAAGCAATATCTCAACTGCACATTGGAGCCTGGACGTATCGGCGACGTGGTTGGATGTCACTATCGTCAAAGCACCATCTCGTCATCCCTCAAGGAGCGCGACCGCTTATTCCACGCCATGGATGAGTTGAACGCACCGCCGCCGAAACCAGCATGCACTCATAAGACTCGCCCCAAGCGCGAGAAGGTTAGTGCTTGTGGTGCAACAAACAGCGAAATTTACTCCGGCTTCCGAGCCGTCGTCGCTGAACAATTTAAGGCTCCTTCTAAGACCTCGGAGGATGGACCTGGTCTCAACCTCCCGGCCTTCCTGCTGCCTGGTCTTTACGACTATGTCATGAGTCAGAAGAACGATGGTGCCCCCGCTCCGAAGCCTCGCCGCCGCCGTGTCAGGTACAAGACCGTTGTAGCGCCCATCCCTGCCGACCTCAAGAGGGAGATTAACCACTGGGAGACAGAGTTCAAGGAGTTGGGGATCCCGGAGGAAAACTACATGAAGTGGATGACCGGGAGGTACAACTCTTACTGCAAAGGCCTCGCCAAGCTTCAGCAGCTGGTTACCGACATGAAACAGGGTCCCTCTAGCCCTGAAATCAACCATATCCTCCATGCTGCTCAGGGTGCGACTGGGGTGGCGGCCGACACTTACCTGTTGAAGTCTGATGCGGAACCCTCTTCTTCTACTAAAACTCCAACCCGTAAGAAGTAAATGTGGGAGGGGGTTTATGTCACAAACTGAGCGGTGTCTCGGGGTGGCCTCTAGATGTGGAGGGGTGGGGAAAGATACCAAATGGGTCTAGCTGTGCGTGGATAGCTGGGAAAAGGGTGGGAATAATCAGTGTAGTCTTGTTGAAGAGCACGGGCTTCATTTGTCTTGTATGGCGGTCTCGGTGGTCTGAAGAAAAATCTTTGAGGAAGAGTATTAGTGTATCCAGTAAACAAAAAGTGGAGAAGGATTTAGTTTAGTCACCTACCGTCACAAGAAATTGAAATGATCTAGTCAGCTAGCTGATAATATCCCCAATGCAACTTGATAGCATAGTTTCAGTTCCTCCTCACTCTATATGCAATAGTATTCCTGTTTTGTTAAGAGGATGTGATATGCATATGAGCAAGAACTGAACTGTGGTTCCTTTCCCAAAGAAAGTATTCAGGTGACAAAGAATTTTTATTTTCTTGTTAAACCGACATTTTGTTCGGAAAGAAGATGAAAAGAATAAATTAACAAGCTCGGAAACGTAGGAAAGAGGATGGAAGAAGAAGCAAAATAAGTGCTGATTATGCTTGGCTGGGAGCCACATCTCTAGATATATCTCAAAACGTATCATCAATAACATTCTGCCTACATCGTACTATAACAATGTCTCAGAGAAACATCGGCTTCCTTCCTGTGCTGGTAGGTGGCGCGGTGGGAGGCCCGCATATATGTATCTACACATGCTCTGGAAGCCACCTTGAGCCCGGGAGTCATCTCGAGTCGTAGCATAAGACCCCATACTAATGGAATACTTCCACTCATTTCCTCATCACAATTCAAGTATTGACCTTGCCCGGATTTCAACATGCTCGGTACTTCCACCCCCTTTGAGTAAGATATTTTTTTGGTCTATGGAACAGAAAGAATGGTCCCACCACGTATCGACTATGCTCGTAATCATCGACATATTTTGCGAGATTGGGACTACATAATAATGGAGATATCGAAAGGTTGTAGACACCTATCATTAATATAAAGACCCCCGACTCGTATGGTATAGATGTGTACTACATTTTTCCTTTCCCCTCACAATCCTGTCTGCCCCTTTTGTTATTTTTCTTTTTTTGGATGACCTTTCTTCTCTTCCTTTCTCCTCCTGCCATTTTTCTGTCTTCCTCGGAAAACCTTTCTTTTTTTGTCTTTCGTTCGGCAAACCGGGCCCGGACGTGAGGGCACAAGGTCATAGGGTTTTTTTTAACACACTATTTATAGAAGGTTTCACTGGGGATGCACACAGTGGGACCTGACCCTATAAGCTCAATTATGGGTCCCTGGTGATCTATTTCCGATAATATAATGATTACTCTACCACCGCTCGTTTTGATATGGGAATTACCGCGAGGTACGATTGGAGCGATAGCATAGGGTTAGGGTTACAAGTAAAAAGAGGGTTTTTCTCTTCTGTTTCTGTAATCTATTTTTTTTAGGGTAACTATGTTTCTATTTAATGAACTGGTTTATGATGATAACCTGTTTTCCATACTAGGAAAGTCATTTTAACTTGTTTATAATTTCAATTGAGTATTCCTATCATATGCACTGAAAATCTATGGGCATAGACCAAGCTTGCTACACAGTACTAAATGTGTGAGGCTATATTAGCAGCGAATGTGTTCTCTCCAGTTATCTAGATGAGTCCCACCATATTAACCATTAGTATTTGCTGTTGCATTCAATGATATATTGAACTACACGTGCCGGAAATGGGACTAATCATTGACCAAAAATCATCAAATATCAGATATCATAGCCGCAATATAATCAGAAAGAACGAAAGAAGAATCCGGCGACTTAAGAAGTAGTGTTCCACTGTCCGGGGGGGCTTCTGGGCTGATTAGGTTGCCGCCGTTCAAGGCTAATTCACTTCGGCGGTATAGGTTATGTCCCCAATTATGGGCCACCTTCGTCCAAACCAGCATGCCCAGACAGAAGACCAGTTCGATAAGTCTGTGCCCTGGAAAACCACATTTTACTCCCGCACCTCATCGGGAGCAGTACTACACCCACCCTTCAAGTTTCATCCTGCCATCATCAAATTTGCTCCTGTTCTCTTTCCTCACGTTTTCGGGTTCCCACAGGCACAAAGGGATTCTTTGATACGGCCACTGCATACCGGAACTCCGGCACATGAGAGAGAGCTTGGGGGTCCAGGCACAGAGAGACGAGTATTTCACTTGCTACTGTCTCTATCCTTACGCACTGTTTGTATCTCCACTAGAGATTACTCAGTACACTCGAGTTGTGTTGAAGAGATAGTATGTTCTCTACCCCCAATGAATTTCAAATTTCTAACTGTCTAGGAAGTAGAGACCCTACTTGACGATGAAGACGGTTCACGGATCGAGTAGACGCTTGCTGGGTGGCCGGAGTGGGGGAGTAGTATCCGAACGTATCTCAGGAAGAGAGGGAACAGGTGTAGGTATATCATACGCATTTTTTCGCCTCAATTGCTAATCCTAAAGTAGGCAATTATTCCCGCGGTCTGGAAGGGGTTCACAATGGCAAAGATGATTGAAACTCCCGTGCGCCATGCATTCATGCGCAGTACTGATAACAATTTGCAACAAGAATATGGGGGGACGGAAAGGCCTACAGGGCGGTCTTCTTCTGAAGTTGGGGAGGCAATCAATCACCCATCTCTAGGGGCATTTTCTACTACCGCTGCCGACTTTGATGATACAAAGACACTTGATCCACGACTGTCAACGGATAGGACCCGTTCAAAGCTTGGTGTAGCTATCCCTTATCCAATGGAAGACCAGCCTTCGTCGCCTCCATCTTTGCCATTCATTGCTCCTCTGCACCTTCAAAATACGGAAAACTATGAGCAATGGGTTGAGCGAGAGAGAGCAGAGGCGATTGTAAAGAGACGGTCACTCAGTGAAATGGAGCGATTAAGTCCCATGAAGAGGAGATTGTATTCTCCATCTTGTGCATCTGGAGTAGGCTCACCACCGCGATACCAGCAGTATATCAACCCGGACAAGGATTCAGATATTTGCAGTTCACAATATCTTCCGAAGTTGTTAGATGAGCCTGAATCGAACATGGAGTGTTCTAGGATTAGGATGGGGAGGGCTCGATCTAATGCAACAGCAAGCACTACCTCCAGCAGCCATGACATTCCAGGATTGACCTCATCAAAGGGAAAGGAGGTTGCGGATGCCACCGAAGCCGATTTGGTGGAAGATGTTTGGTTGGATAATTCCTACGAAGAGAACTTGGTTAGGTGGAAGGAGGAATTTAATGAGCTCAGAAATCGATTACAACCACAATGCAGCGTTGCGTCAACATTGACGGGTGCATTCACCACGGTATCAGAACCCGAGGAATCGCTTGCTCAAATTCTGACACGCCTCAAAACCGCTGGGGCTGCTGAAAGAACTGAAAATGAGTCGTTTGATCTAATCGATCAACATATCAATTGTGTCAATGTTGAGGCAGGTCAAACTCATCGTGCCCGATGCAGGATGCCAACAAGCGACCCGGTATTTGATGACACACCAGAGTTTATATTTTCTCCGGACGGTCAAGCCCAGATCAATGCGGAACTCGAGGAACTTCGGAAAGAGGCACTTACGTACCAGAGCGTGCGTGGTGTATGCACTAGTCCTCAACTAGGTTCTCCAAATACGCAGCGCATTCGGTATGACCCTGATAAAATTAACTACGGTACCTTCGAATACGTTCCTTTCAATATCAACACGACCTCAGGCTCTACGGCACCTAAGATGTCCGTGACAATTCCAGAGACACGAGTTGGAAATATCACGATCCAGTCAAGGCCTCCTGTACTGGTGCCAAAGCCAAAGAGAAAACGGACAAAACCATTTAACAAAGCTTTTGACTGGATATATGAGAAACTCATGAACCTTGGCCAAAGCGTCGTCGTGGTTCGAGAGAAACGTTGGCACATTCCTACCCAGAGGTTCGTTCCTCGTGGCTCATCGTTGCCTAGTTAGAGTTAAAACTCAGGTTACTGAAGTCCAAGGCCAGTATGATTCGGCCAACTCTTGGCCTGTAGCTAAACATACTACATCCACTACGGAATTTGCTGCCTTACCACATTCTTTTACTACTTTGACCCCAAACGAGATATAAAGGGTCCAGTTATCTTCACCTCCTCCCAATAACTATATCCTATCGCTACATAGCTTCAGCAACTATCTTATCTCGCTTCTGGCAATTAGGTTCCATACGCGTCGAGCATATCTTGTACTCATCGTACATACGGAAGACCTCGAATTCTTCCCTTTTACTAGATTTCGACACTCTGTTTATAGATATAAGCCCCCTCAACCTTTTCGAGTGCCATATTGCGAAGTTTCATTGGCTTTGAATCATTCCCTCTCGTTCCAACCTCTTACGTTCATTATATATCTAGCATGGAGTCAATCAATTTAACACTCGTTCTTTATAACTAGCCTACCTATATTTACATTGTTTTAGGAGACCAGGAACGGCCGACAGCGTATAGTACGTCAGGAAGCAGGGTCTCTCGAGATTATTCGACCCAAATAAGTAGAGTATGATTTAATGATTTTCTTTGGCTAGTGTCAAGGGCTTCGCTTTGATAGAACACTTAGCGTCCATTGGTTTTCGAACTGGCAGGGCAGCCAACTCACCGATGTTATAGTACGGTCCTAACCATGTTAATTACTAGTCTTACCAGAAGAGTAGTGCAATCTGGTGGGGCTATGGGGTACTCGACCTTTCTCTTTCCTATTCTATTTCTCTCCCTATGTTTGTATTTACGTTAGCAATCCTAGACCCACCTAGTTCTCCCCAGATAAGTCTGTATCTCAGCTTGGGAAGAGGGCTGAAATATTGTGTCAAGATGGAACCGCTACATATCTACAGTCTTTAAGATTCTCAACGTTCCATATTTTCTCTCGTAAGTTCGTTGCCAGCCGCATGGGCGTGAGAGGGGCGTGAAGTTGGTATTAGGCAGCCTCATGATACGGCACCCGCTCACGGAGAAATGCCAAACAATCTTGTATTTCTTTATTACAGCATAACCCCGATGAGGATCTCACGTTGCATTAGACTAAGTAGGAGAGAATATATTCCAATGAGCAAGATAGAGCTGGAAGTGAAACATCAGGGACAGCGCAAGCGGTAGGCCGCGGCGGCACTTGTTCTCTGATTTAAAGCTTCATTTTGTACCGTTCTTCTGCCCCAATTTGGATATGGTACAGATATATTGATCCTGAGCTTCTTTCTTGGATGCAAGATTTACAATTTCAAAGTTGTTTCTTTTCCTCTTCGCTGGTTTAGTCGGACTTTTGGATTATTTTTGTTACTGATGTGTCCGCAACATATCCCGATCCCCTACCAGGAGCTGAGGAAGATACACAGTTATAATCATGGACTAGCACTCGCAGTCATGAAGCATCACTCGCTGATTCATCACTCCACCACCTCGAGTGCAATCTACATTTCTCCTCATCACCGAGATATATCATTCAGTAAAATACATTCTACTACCTGTTTAACAATCCTTAATTGAATATATATCTAAGATCAGAAAAATGGGGAGTCCTTGTGTGCTATGTTTTGCCGGGAGCCATGTTTAACCTGTGAGTCATCGATTCTCACTCGCAGTACTGTGGCTCGTTTTCCGGGGTAACCAGGATGAGATTTTCGCAATGTATAATCGGTATTAGCTAGGTGATAGTAGAAAGAGAGGAGCTCAAAGTCACCAGGAGAGGGGCTTGGGCTGGGGGACATTTAACGAAAAATGCAATTGGAATTGTAATGTATTACTCGTTCAACTGGGAACTGGGTGGGTTTCGTTTATTGTTTTAGCAAGATAACGGATCAGAATGGGTGCACGTCGCCGGGTAGATTGGACAATCTAATAGGAGAAAAAAAGAAAAAAAAGGATCGTGTGATTTTCACTTGTACTAGTGGAGCTCTAAGTATCTCATACGCGGCAAGATCCATAGATTCGTAAAAGCAAATAAAAGGTTGAGCCTGATATCCTTCTTCTGACCCCCTCCCTTTCGTCTTTCTGTGTGATATGGATGCGAAAACTGTCGCACCAGACCTTTAATATGCCGGTACCTTTAGTGTCATTGGATACTTATAGCTTATCCGGGAGGGCCAATCCAACACTGGAAGTGGTCGGTACATCAGGGAACGATGGGGATTAAGATTGAGGCCAATCAATATCACGAGGAAGAGTGTGGGCAGGCTAGCAAGTATTACCTCTTTCGTATGATTATAGCTGCCGCCCGGTTGCACCAACATACATAGAATGGTGAAAAGTCTTACTACAGGGAGAAAACTCACCTTATTGGCTGCTGACTTGCTGTTGCAATCCTTAGGTCAGTAGCGCAATAGTGGCGGTTCACTGGTCGCCCGGATGGTTGCGGTTGCTACCATAGTGAAAGACCCTTCATTGTTTACCTCCCGACCTATCGTCTTAGCAACCAGACCCTCTCGACGAATCCACTTTCCGTTGCTCCCACCACAACAAACCAACCAACCCACCTTCTCTCCACTTCTTCTCAAACCATTGGTTAAAATCATAATTTGCGTTTCACTCCGAAGCATAATTACGATCTCGAAACATCCGCTACGTTCCGTTCAAACCTTCGCCCCCTCTTCAACAATCATCGTCTCTTCTACTTCATTCACTACTTCCCTCTATCGTCTCTTTGCATAAGAGTCATTCTCATCTGTCTATGGTCTTTGCTTTGACCTATTCTTCTCCTTTCTTCGTACTGCTGTTAAAAAGAGTATTCTGTGTTTCGCCATTCTCAGCGTGTATCATCTCGGACAAGGTGGTCGCAGGTATTTGAAGCATCGCCATCTCGCTTTTCATTTACCTCTACTAATTTACCATTAGCTTCAACGCTTCAAAACTTCAGCAAGATCAACATGTCCGCCAACGTCCAGCTGCCCCGCGCTATTGGTAAGAAATACCCCCTCTCTCAATGTGAAGAAAAGCAAGGGCCGACTAACATGTTTTTACAGCGCGGAAACCCAAGCAGTTGGATTCTCCAACTGAATCGAAGAGCCCAACCTCCAACGGCTCTCGTAACTCGTCCAACTCTGATTCTTCATCCTTCACAAGTGTTGAAGACTTCAACGCTGCCAAAATCCCCACCCACATTTGCGGGCACACTTCTCCCATGAAGAACAAGTTGAAGAATATTCAATCAATTCACCAAGCGGTCCCTCCTACTCCTTTATCGAGGATTCCCAGGCCTAGCTGCCACTTGCACAAGAAGGTCGTCCTAGAAGAGGACCTTCAAGCACGGAAACTCAAGTCCTCAGTCAAGCGTGCAGTTCCTGTCCCTGTTACTTGCCCTCACCGTAACCTCAATGCCAACCCGACAGCCGATGAACACAAGCCCATCAGCAAAAGCAAGCCAATCAAACCCGTCTCCGACATGGAAAATGCCAAAAAGGAAGCCACTCAAGTAGTGGTCAAGCAAATGCAGGCAACCGAGACGAAGCCTCTCACCAAAGGCGAACAACTCAAACTCGCCTTTGCAAAGGGAGGAGCCGAAAAAGAAGCCACTCGAGCAGCCAAACGAGCGCAAATGCCGTTTGCACTGCCGACAGCAGAAGAGATGCAGGCGCAGATCAAGCTTGAGACTGCTGCACGCATCAAGCAAAGGAATGAAGAAAGAGACCGTGTTGCGCAGGAGGAGAAAGCTAAGAAAGAGGCCGCAAAATCTGTTGTCCTTTCTGAGCAGTCAACCTCCGTAGGGTCTGCTAATCCGCCGCTCACTAATTCTGAATTGATAATATTGAGGATGGCGAATGATGCCAAAAAGAACGAGGAAGAAAGGACAGTAAGAGAGGCTGATAGGGAGGCTCTTCGTCGGCGGTGCGTGGATAGCATTGAAAATGCCACTTGGTCGCCTCCTACATCTCCTGCCAAGCGATGTGAGCGACGGATCCAACCTGCCATCTCACCGCAAGCTACTCCAGAAGGGATCCGTAGTGAGGATTACCTTCCCAGGGGCCTACCCCGTTCCCTTCAGTCTGCCATCCAGGTTCAGGGGCCTCCAGAAGAGATCCGTAGCGAGGATTACTTGCCTAGGGGATTACCCCGTCCTATTCCATCTATCTCACAACTTCAGGCAGCTCCAGAGGAAGTTCGTGGTGAGGGCTATCTTCTCACAGATGTACCTGGTCCCATTCAACCAGCAACGCCCAAAACCACTATCGTTACTCGGAAGCGGTCCAGCTGCACCATCTCTATGCCTGTCCCACGTCAAAAAAAGGTTGTTTTCGAGCTTGAATGTTCTGGCGACGACGAGTCCGATGAATCTCCAGACCCTACCTGCATCACAATTCCAGAATTCCCTAACAGCGATGAGCCCAATAAATCACCCCTACCGCCATTTGTCGCGCATTCTGAGTCTACCGGGTCTCCTGTGCTTCTCTCACACGTTGAGCAGGTTCAGGAAAAGGATGTCGAAGCAGAGAGGGCGCAGATCCTTGCAGACCTTAAGACGCGCGTCCAAATTGAGCTTGACATCTGTAAGGCTCAGCAACGCAAAAGGTTTGGGTGGGTGGACAAGGTTATTCCTCCCCGCACGCGTCAGATATTTCCACCTATCGTCACTGGTTTTGAAAACCTTGGCATCTATGTTCCCGATCCCAGAAACGGAACGCCAGATAGATGTGCTACATCTTGGGGCAACTACCTCACATACCCTCTTGACAACGTGAACATGGATCTGCATAGGGCGAAGCACCAAGAAATTCAGCGTTGTCTCACTTACTTTGCAGAGGCGAACAAGATCCGGATCAAGAAGCTTCGCTTTAAACATGAGTATTTGCATGTGCCATTCGAACATCACAGAGCTTTTAAGCACGACCAGCTGTGCATTGCGAACACTGAGGGCCCGGTTTATGACCATCAGAGAACAATGTCCTACCGCAACTCCCGCTTTAAGCATGAGCCTGAGAACTGCTGGAATTGTCACCTTGCCACAGTGCCTGAGGTTAAAACCATCTGGGAAGAGGAAGACGAACTTCAGGAAGAGGTCTACGAAGAAGAAGAGAGCTGCATGATTGAGCTGTACGATGAGGATGGCTTTTTGATCGAGGAGAATGTGTGTGGGTTTGAGGATGGTTATGAAAGAGAAGAAGACTTTTACGATGGCGAAGTGGGAGTTTATCAAAATAATGTCCACTCTGAGGACGAGAAGTCTTTCGAGATTGGGAATATCTTCGATGCTGAAGGGTGTGGTATCAATGAACAGGCAGCTGCACCTGCCCACGTGCAGGAAGTCCTTGAAGTTGTAGAATGCCTCGAAGCAGAGACAACACCTAGGATGATTGAGGAGAACCAGCTCCTTCAAGTCAAGGAGAGATCCCCAACTCAACTCATTGCTCTCAAAGCAAATACCAAACATTCTCAAGCCATCAACATCTCAAAGATTCAGCCTGCTCTTCTTGTGCATATCAAGTCACTTTCGCCATCAATCCTCGCCAGAACAGCTAAGGTGTTCCACACAGTTTTCAACTCTATCATCCTTACCAACTCCATCGATACTACTATCAAACTTCCCCTCCAGCGGTACTTCTCTGACCTCTTTATCGTTCTTACAAGGTCCCACAACTGCGCCAGAATCTTTTCGTATAAATACACTACATTTTTCCGAGTAGCAGCACCTTCTACTCTTCTTGTACTATCGTCTATTACATCGGCTACCAGTATCACCATGCCTAGTCTTACCATAGGCTCAGCGAACGCAGAGGGGAACAGTGCTATCAAACTTCTTACTCAGTTTTCTAGGGAAAATGGAATCACTCGAGGACCGGTTAACGTCATCAAATCATGGTTACTTGACATGCCACCCTGCAAGCAAGTCGTTGCGTGTGTTCAGGAGGTTGGAAACGTGATGAGACGTATTTTCGGGTACGCAACCGGTGAAAACGCATAGAAGATTCTATCCCTCTAAAGAAGATGGGTTTTTTTGTTAGGGGGATTTTGGGGTTGGCGATATCATTCTTACGGCGGTCTTTTTTTTTCATTGGCATATTTTACTGTTACCATTCCTCATTTTGTATTAATTATCTCTTGGGATGAGATTCTGTTAGAATAATGACATGCGTACAATATTTCTGTATTATCCTTTTGCGAGAGTCTGTAGTAGTCTTGGGAGTCTCGGGAGGTTAGGCTTCTGTATTCTTTTGTGTGTTTGGAGTATGCTCGAAATACTGTCTTTCTCTTGCTCAATATGTTGTAGGAATTATCGTTAAATACTATATCAACCTTAAACCCCTTCATCACGGCCAGCGGTTTGCACCAAAGATTTCTTGAATCGTGGTGTTTTTTTTCTGCCTGCCACTCTGTCGAAGCCGTATATCCTTCTAATCTGATATTTCTTACTTCTTGAGCCTTTTCTCCAACCTCTGAAAAAAGGCTCTCATAACAGAATGATCAAATACATCGAGACCCCCGGAGATACATCTCTTCTCTCTCTTGCTCCTCATTCAACCTTATTCTCATTCTGTAAACATACCGCAGAGTATTGTATACAGATCATGTGTACCTCTCCGCACCGCCCCATCCAGTCGGTCAAGCCGAAAGGTGGAACCGCTCACTTAAAACCGGGAAAGACGCGTGGTTCCGGCGGCCTGGCGGTGCTTGGTGCTTGTTCCTTCCAACCCGAGTCCAATATCCCTTAGCAGCTGTAAATCTGGGCTGAGAACTGATAACAGAAACTTGGTAGCCCTCTCTTTGCCGTGGGTTAGGTATGTGGAAAGACTAAAAAAGGTGCAGAGGTCTCGGTATTGGTATTAGACTCGTGCTGTCCACCCCGTTCAGATACTCTCGCAATCGAATGTCTCTCGCTGATTCAATTAGGAGTATACGATGCCTTAAGAGCTGCAGAATGCATCCACCGATAGAACGGGGTAGAGTATAAAGAGAGGCGACTGGGACCGGATTCCTGCTGTTGCTGCGGAAGGAACAGTCTGTCATTTCCGCAAAATGGGTAAGAATGATGGGGAAACAAGGCTACCCATTTATCGCACCAATGCTAGGAAAACGAGCCTATCATTTCAGAGCAGTTGTAGTCCTTACACGAGCCCACACTTGCGGAACCCTCTTTGTTAGGGATCGAGCTTAGCGCTGCGTTTCCCACTAGCTACATGCATGTATGGGACTACTACTCGTCTCGTACCAATCCATGCATCCTTAGCAACACGCTTCTCACCAAGGCACGGAGGTGGAGGGGCCGGGGACGAGCCTAGACTGCTGCATACATGTAGGTACATGTACATGTACATATATCTGTCGCTAAAGACACCGTGTCGTTACCTTTGACAATTAATCCAGCCACTACATGTACCCACTAGACAACCCGCCCATGGTGTACACTGCGCTGGAAGTGATACATCAGCTAGCTTGGCGGCGCGCCAAGACGAAGCCGACCCCAACAACCCTTAGGAATCGTACCTACATATATGCGCATACATGTACTAGGAAGCCGCCTCCAGCTACGAAGTTCAAATGTGCCCATCATTTGCGTGATGTACGTACTCAATCTCCAACTCCTCTCCCTCCCATTGGTGAAGCCACTGGCGCAGGGTTAGGGTTCCAGGACGTTTTTTTGTTTTTTTGTTTTTCTCCTCTTTTGCGTTCCCTAGTAGTCGCCCCCGAGTTTACCGGCGAAAGAATTTCGCCTTGCCCGACTAGGGGGAGAACATCACTGGAGACAGTATATTCGCACCTTAAGTGGTGGGGTGGCGTTGATTACCTCATCCCTGCACTCATGGGAGATCACTCGTTCTTGGCCCCACACATTAAACTCAGCAGTCTGAAACACCTCGAGTGATATCCTATGATTACCTCTTCTTCCCCTCCCGGCTCTCTCTTAAGAGAAATTAAAAATTAAAGACAGCCCTTCCTCCGGGTATTTTTTTCTCTCTGAGTTTACACAAAAAAAGAACAAAAGGTACTGCAACGGCGGCCCGTTACTACCCCCACTCCTTCAAGGTTGGAACCCAGGACCTCGCGGTCCTGAGCAAACACAGTGTCTCACCAGACGCCGGGGTCTAAACCTTTAGACCGCTCGCCCTTGTTGGCATTGCGTGGGGAGTGATATTTAGCGCGCGTGGCGGAAAGTATCGTTGCAACTACAACTGTAACTGCTCACGCCCGCAACCATAGAGTTTTCTCAGGACAGAAATAGAAATATAAATACTTGAAGTCATCTCTATGATATTCAAGGTATTCTTCTTCACCCAGAAATGTAGCTCCCGCTTAGGCAACTTAAATCCACCCCGATCACTCTCCAATAAATACACTAAGGGCCTGAACGGGAACCTCAAAATGTCAAAGAATCCTCCCGAAGGTGGATGATCTGGTTCCACATTCTAGCTCCGGTAGAGGTAGAAACACATGTGTAGAAAACATGAATCCGCCATAGTATCGATTCTTGTCACAAGAATTGTACGTCCTATCCTCTCCTGAGATACTATTCCTACCATCTTCCCGCAGGTCAAGACCGATATCGAGTGATTACTACATGTACCCAAACCCCATCTCAAATCTTACTGCTCCTACTCGTCGCCCTAAACAGTCCCCTACTACACTCCATATAGACCTCTTCCTCACGTCCACGGAGAGGTATAAGTAGCTCCTGGATGCGGCCGGGGGATACTGAAAAGCTAGAAGGGAGTCCCTCCACCCCCCCTCCCCCCACACTTGGGTCCCTTCTGAAGGTTAAGTTCACTAGAGTAAGATCCACTTGATTGGGTAATGCTTTCAATCATCAATACAGACGAAAGGACACCCCACACTGGATGTTCTTCACCCGGTAGTAGGGATCGATTACGAGTGATATCCCATGATTACGTTACACCAGTGTGCGCGTGTTTAATTAGACGCAAGACGATTCTATGATTTTTAAAAAACGAAACCGGTAGTACACTGCTATCTTTCACTACCTCAGCTACCTTAAGTATGATGCTAGTTGACTAGTTACAAATTTTTCGTTGCCTTCTTGTGCCCAACGGTCGCTAAGAGAAAAACCATTATCTCACCTACATATTCTTGAAATAGCACCCACAAACCCGTTAGCTTTCAACTTCCACTATTAAACCAACTACCTCACACCACATTACTCACCTTCAATATTAATCCTTCACTTCAACACATCTCACACCTCTCCCATATCCAATCACCGCATTCTCTCTCCCCCCTATAGCAAGATGCCGCATACACTCAGCTACAGTGAATTCACGTCCTCCTCTCCCGACCTAGAGTTTTCACCCTCTAGAAAAAATGTTTTCTACATTCCAATTCCACCATCCGGCGAAATCGTCTTCCAAAGTCTCACCCGCGAGCAGAAGCGTCTTCTCCGCAATATGGGGAAGCCGTCCCCGAAGCAGATCTTCGACGAAAGTCCACCACCAACTCCTGAGAAACGCACCTTTCGCCGACATAGCCTTGTGCTCTCTCCGGTGCTTCCTGTCTCCGAAGACAGTGACAATCCGGCATATGAAATGTCACCAAAGGTCCGGGAATCAACTGAGAAAGTCCGCCTTTACAAGGAAAGACTCGTCGCGATGAGAGCAAGTCGCTCTCCCGGTAGTACTAGCGCTTCTGTTTCTTCCGTCACAGGGAGTGACGTAAACACTGAAAAGGTTGTTAAAGCTTCTGATAACAACTCCATGCGCTTCGAGTATCCTGGCGTGAACGAGAGTGAAGATGCCCATATCCAGGTTTGTGAGGCTGCACATATGCCCGTCATGGTTGGTGAAGGCGAGAATAAAGACGGAGCGTGGGAGCCCCTTTTTTCAGGCGCAGACGAGGGGAGACCTTTCGGTCTTGAAGGCCTAGGTATCAGTGTATGGACAGAAAATACCTACAATACCGGGAAGCTATTTAAAAATGACTGTTCCGAGGGTAATTTCACTGTCGGCAGTGCAACCGAAAGAGATGAACCGACTTCCGGAGAAGTTGCGACTACTTCAGCAGATGCGGTCACACTTTCTACCGCGCCCGATATACATCAATCACATTCATGCTGTAATCTCTTAGACGTGGATTGTCTTATGGATTTCCGTGTCCACGAAGCTGCCATAACGCCGGTACCGGTCAAAATAAGCGATCGTGAAGACGGAATCTGGGAACCTATATTTTCAGGCTCGAGTAAAGACAAGAGCCTCGGTCTCGAAGGCCTAGGCATCAGTATATGGATAGGGAGCACACACAGTGTGGAGAGGCTTGCCCAAGGTAGCTGCTCCGATGATGTTGTCGCTATTAATACCGCTGTAGGGAGTGAAGGATCGGATGTTTGGGAGGATATTGCTCTATCTGACGATGAAGGTAAGTTTTCTTCCTTTTTCGATACATACTGGACATAGGCTTACCATAATCTATCAAAAGTAAATGTTCCTATGGAAAATACTATTACGCTCGCCGACGTGCGATCTCCTCCGGAAAGCGACACAGCCCACCACGATGCCCCTTCAACACCAACAATAGGCGATAAAAGCCCTCTCCCATCTTTCGTCTTCTCTCCTGGTCGTCGTCTGTGCTGCACCGGAGCCGTCAGCAGATCGGTTCTACTGTTACAGTGGGGGTGGATGAGTGCAACTTTCGCGCGAAAAGAGGGAGAATTCAATTACCTCGAGAGGAGGATTGAAAAGGCTAGAAAGAACATTGGAGTGAGTTGACAGGGCCTGAAAGATGCTTATATTCAATTTCATGTAAATATTATGAATTTAAGCGTGGATGCTTTTTTGAGAATAGAACTTATATTTCGCGAATAAAGTGATGGCATGAAGGAGAACGATAGAAAGAGGCGTCTAGCGTAAGGATTAAATGTGTGGAAAGTCAAAGGATAAATATTTCGTGAGCTTGAGACCAATGTGGTCTGACGAGGCTCGAAAATAAATTAGGTTTTGGTGGCCTATAAAGACATTTACGTTTCCGATTTCTGCGGTAGGATTGCCGTGTCAGAGCGACCCTACGCGTCCCAAAGACAAACATCCACCCTAAGCCTGTTATGCCTTCCCTCAAATCACGAAGTTAGAATCCTAGAATTCCGCAATCCTTGCAATTATCCTGGTATAATATTAGTCAGGTGCCAAGCGTCTAGGCCCGAGTGACATGTCATGACTATCTCTAGTAACAGCTCGTAACAACAATAGCCTCGAAACAGAGCAGTATAAGGAAACAAAAGAAGCACCAAAGGTAAATTGAAGTTCCGAAACAGACCATTCTTTTCAATTCAGAATCTCACTAATCTAAAATCTTTATCACTCCCGGTCCCGTTGAGGAGATATCTTCTGATCAGACATGTAATTTTTGAGTTCAACTCGCAATCTCCACAGAGAACATGATACTCTGGAGTCTCGACAGCCTCTGTGCGGCGGGTGGTGAGGAGGAGAAGAAAATGGGAGGAGGTAGATAATACCCAAACTACCGGTGGTAAATGTCTTGACGAATTGTATAATGTGATAGCATTGATTTGATAGTGATGAGTGGTTTAGTGAATCTCTGAAAAAGCTACATTTGAAACGAAGCACAGAGAGGTCAAGTCAGACTATTTTGAGAGATCATGTGGAATAGATACAGGACAATTGCGGGCGTCACGTCGATATCCATATGAATCAAGTGGCCATAGAATTCTACGGTTTTTTATTTGTAAATTGAGGGCCGCAGTTACCCAAAATCGATCTAAACGCCGCCTTGAGCTCGATGCTGGCCCCCCCCAAACAGTCCGCGGGAGTTTGGACATTAATCATATAGCTCGCTAACGGCTCGTTCTTTCCCGCAGAGTTTTACCACACATACATGAGCGGAACTGCTCGGCGACCAACTTCACCCAGCTAAAAACGTCCCATCCCCATCACGCTCAAGATGCAATCGTAATACACCGCAGGTAACGGTTATAGGCTGCATGTCATCCTACTTGAAAATCAGGCTCGGCGTCTTTTCACTTCTTCTCACCATCTCCTTCTACCTCTACCGAACCTAACTAGGCTTCCACAACTACGGTTTGGGAAGGATCACATTCCAACAAAAAAAGGTTCATAGTAGGTTTTTATTTCAAACATTTCTCATCCGTGGGCTTCTCCGACTTCACAAGGAACTCGTGTTTTCATTTAAAAATTCCTCACAAGTGTTGGCTCGCTCGAATTATATTTTAGTGATTCCTCGATGGAAACCTCCATACTAAAACGATCAATACAGGACTATATTCTCCGGTTATACACCTCCAGAGTTAGCATACCACACATACCATGTATCCCCGCCACCATTCCACGCCGAATCCCCCGGTGCCTCCCCACCGCCCCAACTCGCGCACAATCTTCCAACAAAACCAAGCGCAGTTCCAACAAAGCATAGCCTGCAACCACCGCGGTCCAAACGGGGTCCTCTATAGCAGCGAGATCTGCGAGATCTGCTTCTGCCGCATGAATGACGTCCCCCTCGAGGAACCCCCTCTGAACCTCCCACGGAGCCAGACTGTCCCAGGTACCCCTTCAAGTTCCCCACTAGACTTGGTCGGCAGCCCAACCTGGGTGCGGCAGGCGTTAACACCGGATAAAGCAGTAACCCAGTTCATGCAGAACCGTAGTTTCGCCAACATGAACTTTGTTGAGAACAACAATATCAACATCGTCGAGAGCGATAATAGTATACCTCATGCAAGTGGCTATGGGACGGACACTGTGGGCAGTCGTCTGTTTGACGCGGACCCGATCGATATCAACTCTACACGATCCGACCCCCGCCGGGTCTTGAGGCTGCCAGTAGCGCAGCCAGAGTTTGCGGGTGTGGACACGATTGCGAGACTCAACGATGACCCAGTTAGGCTGGACGACATGGCTTTTGGAGGGGACTTTGGGACCTGGCGTAGCAATGGGACTAGGCGTATGAAGTTTGATCCGCCGGTCAAGCCTTTGAGTATGAAGAGCATTGAAAAAAAGGGTGTTAGGGGATTCCTCAAAAGGGCGTTTGGAAGGAAACGCACCTAGGGTACACCAAATACAGAGGATGACCAGCCAGGCGGAGGTATTAAAACATCTATCAGTGTGGAGGGGGAGATGATTGGCGATGTGGCAGGGATATCATATCTGGTATCACTTGCAATGGTGTTTAGATAAATCTCTCTCTAGAAGTTTTAAGTTCAAAGTTGGAGGCATTGTTGCAGACAGATATTTTAACGAACGAGCTAAACTACTACCATGTCTTTCTTCACCTGTACTGGCTCTCTTATTTCTCTCGTCTTTATTATTTTCTCGAATAGTCGGCTTGGACTATGAAGATTCCTTTCGCTTTGTTTTTATGAGGATGTTTAATATCTCGCGTCCCAGTACTTGCGGGTTTAGCTCATTCAATCATGAGATTGATGAGAGTTGTTATATATCAGACTTTCATTTAGGTTAAATGAATAAATAAATCACGCTTGAGTTACAAAATTTATTCCACTCTGTTAGACATATTTGGAACACTGTGGTCTGATTGACAGAGACCTGGAACCAGTAGATCGTCATTACCCTTTCTTTAGCAGTGCACTTAGTATCTTATCGAGAGCTATAGTGCGTGCAGTGCAGTGTTGTTTCAGTAGGGTGGGAGTATAAGATACCTGCAATGGTGAGTATGGGCAATCTATAACCATAGTAAACTCGACATGAACGATTATGTCTGAACTCAAAGCCTGAGGGAGCTGTTGTTTGCCCTACGAGGATAGCAACTGCAGTCTATTTATTGTCCGCGAGTATCTAGTGAGTAAATGAGCAGTCTTCCAAGAATTGCCAGTTAATAAAGGAAGATAACACCTATTTTGACCTCTTTCTAGGCACTGGCGCAAAATTCATTGGACAGCTATTGGGCCCGTTGGAGATGACCCTCTGTTCTTTCATAAATAATATGCTCAATAATGAGAGAGAGGGAAGACAAAAAAGGGTGTATTTGAGATCCTATGATAGAACGTACATCAAACTATGCCTATCTAGATTTTAGTAGGGTACATTCTTTGGTAAAAACGAGCTGAATATCATGTATCAATACCAGTAGGTCAGTTCTCAATATCTTCATTAAAAGAATGCCCTAAGCTGTTCTGGTTCCACGAATATATAACTTGTCCTTCGTATATCTACACCCCCAGAAGCGTCTTGGGACATGTAGGGGGTTCAGTTCGATGGTTAAAGTCTTCGGCTCCGTATTTGTACGGGCTAGCAAAGTTCAAATTTAAATGTAGGTCTGCGTCAGGTTTTGTACTGTGTTTTATTCCAACACTCAAAAGAGTCGAGTAGGTAGATGTCTGCTTCTTAGAATCTTAGACCAATCATGAAGAAAGATAGAAACATCTGATCGGAAATGGGTTACCGGAGCAGAAGAAAAAACCATTTCTGCGTAAACTTTCAACCGTCTGCGGTCTGATTGAACATTGGATCTACCGCGGGTGGCTTTCTCTGGAACTTGATCCTTGTAGATGAGATAACGAATCCCTGTAGATCAGAACAAGCGTCCCGGGCATAGAGCCCGTCCTTTTTGTCAATGACCAGAATACTGCCAAGCCAGGGAAGATGTATATCTTGTATTGAAGGACTTTTAGTGGTTTGGGCCAGTTGGCAGTTGTAGGTATGAAACATTGGTCCTGGAGTCATACGCCAAGCCAAACGAGGGCAGCTCCCTTCACGCCTCTCTCGCTTCCCTCAACACAGCACTCTTCCTTCCTCCTTCCAGGCCACACAAAGTAACATTCATCCCTAATCTGAAGGGATCTCACTCACGACCGTAAAGGTATTGATAGTTATTTCCAGATCCTATCTTCAATCAATTCTGCTCACTGTCTTCCTTTGCCTGCTTTGCCTCTATGTTTTCCCCCAAGTACATGTCAGCTAACCTTTTCAGCGTTGTCATAACGCCTGCCGCAAAGCTTTCTTCTCCTTGAATTTGACAGCCTCATTCTCCATTGTCAACCTCAAGTCCTCGTGAGTACTCTTACTAAGTGTGTACCTCATATTTTCTTCATCTTACTGATTTGCTGCATCGTATAAGACGGTCAGATAGACGTCAGACAAGATCCTTGGTTTTCTAAAAAGGCCTTACGTCATCCATACCAGGAAGAGTAAGTCAGCCACTATCTGTTACTGTTGTTAATTATTGGCCTATTTTCTGACAAATATATAGAGATGTCTTGCAGCGGGGGATGTCCCGGGTTTTCTGAGAAGGACTTCCAGGCATTTAAGAGTGAGCTTGAAGCAAATACAGACTCTGTTCTACTCCTTAACCTTGCCGACACTGGCAAGGCTACACAGGACAGGCGCCGTGGCCATACAGGCCCTGTCGACAAAGGCTTCCGCCAAGTTAGAGGCCACCGCAGGCAGTCTGCGATCAGGTCGAACAGCGAGTTCGAGGCGTATTTCGGTTCTCGACCTTGTTCTAGTGCGGCCCAGACTGAAATCTCTGTCCCCTGCAATGTGGTTATCCCTACTATTGTCATTCACACTCCCGCAATGACCGAAACCGAAATTTCCGAACCAAATGTTCCCTCTGCCGCCTCTGCCGAGGAGGATGGAAACCTTGGAGAAGCCTTTGAGGTCCAGGATGACGTTCATGCGGCTGCGAAAAAAAAACCTTTTCATGCCGCATGTGATAGCATCCTTATGTTCTTAAAGAAGGTTCTTCGCCTCAATTGAGGAAAGAACTGGAGTCATTGAACCCTTCGTACGATTCCTCTTTCGAGCAACTTTTCGTTCTGTGCTAACGTTCTCATGAAGTATTTCATCTGTGTCTCTTAGGCCACCGCACCTCCCTAACTCTACTCATGGAGCTGTTAGGCATAGTCACGAGAAACGAAATAGTATTGGAGACTCACATATGTATTCTTATCTTCCTTGGGGCGTTTTCATCTCGGGTCTTTCTTAAACTTCCTTAGCCTGTTTATGCTCTTCGTGCTCTTTGGTCTTTGGCGTTTGATACTTCGTCTTCTCATTTTTGCGCTGATCGTTGCCGTGGGCCTGGAAAAGGTGTCTTTTTCGGACTATTGTCCTGTTTAATGCGAGTTTGTTTGATTGCTACTCTCTTGTTTTCCTGGCTTTTGCTGAGTGATAAAGATCTTATGTTTCTTCAGAGAAATTTCTTGAATTTCTGTACAAGTTTGCTTGGATCCTGCTTATTTTCTTTCTAGCTCCTGATACTGTCCGCTTCAGATTTTTTCTTCGCTTGTTGCTTGGTGGGACGGGGGTGTTTTAGGAAGCGATGATGAACTGACTATGCATGAGATTCCTTAGAGGGGGAGATGAGAAGTGTTCTAAAATGACATCTGTCCAGAGATCAGGATGAGGTGTCGTCTTCAGCATAATACGCTTCACCAAATTTGGATATCGGGTATCTTGGCTGCGATAAGATCTCTATGCATGGTCCGTGCACGATAAAGAAATTCTTATTCTCACTTCACCTCACCACATTACACTTTGTTTTATTTCCGGGATTTATGGACTTCGGTGCTACGTTATTGGAATATTGAGCCTTGTGTCTTTAACTATTCTGGGGTTATAAACGGGAGGAGAGAGCTGGACCTTTAAATATTAGCATCATACTTAATTATGAGCTCTGGTTAATACATATGATGTTCGTCGAGCTGATACATGAGTATCAAAATATCGTGACCAAATTAAAGTACTTGAATAACTAACGAACAGAACAATACTATCATGCCTCTTAAGCGCCCCGGTTTATTTTAAACAAATAGAAGGTTCTCTTGTATTACGATTGTGAAACTGTAGTTCGTAGATCTAGAATCTTGAAATATATGAAATACCGGTCATTGCTTATATAGTGAACTAGGATCTCACTATTTCTATAAGTATTTTCTTTCTTTATTCTATCGATCGCTTTGTCAACTACACGAATATATTGAAGAGGAGGCCAGAAAGCCTGCTAGTGAAGTATTTATTTTCCTATAACCCTGACGACACCAGTTTCCTTTGCGCAAGGTTATATAAAATCCTTATTTTCTTTGCTAAAAAGGCCATAATGCCTAGAATACGCTCACGACCTAACACAGCATAGCTCGATATATGCTACGTATAATGTAGAGTAATTCTTGAGCTCAAAAGTGCGATGTCGAAGCCATGGTAGCAGGATGCAATTAAAGTATCAGTTTCCAGTTGGTAGGATTTTTACAGTCCAGAAAAAATGTATATCCAGAGGGTAATGAGAGACATTCGCCGTTCTGAGATCTGTGTCACAAGAAAATGAGGCACACCACAGCATCGTACTACTCCTCCATAAAATAGATAAACTTGATCGATTATTGACGGTGGCATAGAATTTACAATACTTGATACCCTTGATCCTCTGACTCAGTGTGTGGTTCCATGTATCATCAGACCTCGATTCGTATATCCGTCAAGTATACCCTATATCAAACACAAACACACTATCCAATCAGATGCTGTCTTCTGTGTGCGGGCCTTCGCACTGGTCGTTTCAACTAAATCGATCCCCTAATTACGATAGGGTTAGTGCAAAACACAAGTAAACACATCAGTTACAGCCTCGGCGTGCACTAAACATAATCCTCGTAAAATGCGCGGGGATCAGTGATTTCCCAATGGAACATAAACAGATGAGCGTAGTAGCATTCCTTAAATCGGAAGCTTTCCCCATCTTGTTCTCACACCTACGCCCTTCCCCATTTACCGATTTCCATCAGCGCTCGTCCCCTCTATCTCGCTTTCTCTGCTCCCAACCTGCCATAATGACCGCTATTTGTTTATCAAAGATGACGAACATGTCGGAAGCCAAGTATGTCCTTTATGACATCGAGAAGTACAAGCGTGATCATGGCACAAGATGGATGCTCGAGACCTACAAGAAGACATCTGCCGTAGGAGGCCCTCTTGACCTGTCCCAATTCGACCCCGGTACAGCCCATGTTTTGTGGGAATGCCAGCAGCCGGTCTGGCTAAGATTCGGCCTTGTAATATTCCGCGCTGTACACAGGGGTGGTGATAATGTGCCGCCTGGATTTGTCCTTGGTATTGTGGCAAAAGAGGATTTGGATCTCGAGGTGAGAATGCGCCCACCGAAAGGCGTGTGGTACGATGCTAATAAAGGTTGATAGTTGGCGCAATTTGATATCCATCTTGGATTCATAAGTGAGTTATTTGTTAGCCATGTAGGTGTTAAGGCCAGGTACCTCTGTCGCGAGAAGCATCCTAAAACAGTAAATTTAGGGATGGAAGATTATTGACCTCTGGATCCAAGAGGATCATTTGTATATTGATATCGAACTAGATGTGAGGTTTAAAAACCAACTTTGATTGGGAAAGACTGCTGACTGTTGACGCTTCAGGTCGATGCCATTGCTGCTGTTAATGGGGATGTTGAAGATTATCTAGAGCCGGCAGGATATTCACGGTTGAGGGATGCTAGGCTATCTCGAGGGCTGCATAAAAATCCCAACTCGTTCGTGATGGTATTAACATTCCTGGATGGTATCCCACCAATGCCCAGAAACTGGATGCTTCCTAGTGAGACACAACTCCCGGCCCCAAGGACTCGATCGCCCCAACAACGAACCTCTCTATCATCCACCAATCAAAATTTTGAAGATCGATCCATTACACCAGCCTATTCATCGGACGAGTACGAAGCAGATAATTCAGCATCTCCCTCAAGTGTCGCATCCGATCCCGAGCAGGTTATGGAAGACTACTCCGATACTTTCCCTTTTGCTGAGGACAATTTAACAGTTATGGCCGACAATGAAGAAAGGCTTGCTGCTAGAATGGATGCTGAGTATCGTCTGACGCGCGGTACTATGAATCCTGACCAAGCCACTTTCCAAGACGGTGAAAACAATGCAAGCGCTGGTGACAATCCGGACGACTCCGCTGGTTACTCTTCGGGTGCGGCCTTGAGGGACCTGCTCGGACTGGATGGACAACGCACCTTCACTATGCCTAACAACGAGGGTCCCATTAGAAATGCCGCGGCGTCAGCTGATTCTGCAGGAAGCGATCCACCCAGCCGCTACAGGCATAACTCCGCCGGAAACAATATATTCAGCGAGCCTGTTCATCACTCTACAAATGAAATGGAGCCGCAATTACCCACCCACTTGGCCGAAACCGAGACCACAGAGGCCGCCCCGCTGTATATCGATTCTGATGGGTCTTCACCCCCAAGGCGGAGGGCTAAGGATCTTGGAGAGTACCTCGGTGTTTTTCAGAAGCCACTCAAGAAATCTCAGCACACACCTTCGCAAAGTTCATCATCCGAAGAAAGCATAAAAGGATCGGGATCTAAGTCGAAGTTTCTGCCTGGGATGTTCAAAGGTAAGGAAAAGCCTAACTCTGCTTCCACTTTGTCTTCCGAGGGAGGTGCCACTTCACCTCGACGTCTGGTGAAGACTCGACCCGCTCCTACTGGAAATAAATCGGGAGCCGCACAAGGTGGATCCTTTAGTCGTGCTACCGGTCCTGGCTTAGCCAGGAGTGAAAACATTCTCGCAGGATCAATAGGAAGAGCTACTAGGACTATCGCCAATGAGGACGTCGATCATGGGCCCAATACACCAGCACTAGCCTCCCCAGCTGCCTCTGGGACCCGTCGTCGCCGCAGAGGTGGGAACCGGGATAGCGCTGAGACAGTCAACCAGGAACAATATAGGAACAGTAGCAACTTAGTCAACCGTGAATTTCAAAATAATAATTCCGCTCCAGTCGCTTCAGCCACCAGAAATGCATTCTCCACCAGTTCTACCCCCTCCAACCCGCTCCCCACCAATACACAGAACGGCGCCGGCGTAGCCGCCGTTCAGACTCCCACTATTGTCTCACGGGTATTCCCAGCTGATAGCTGGCAGGCCAGAGTGAGGGGAAACTACAACACCAAAGTCGATCAGGCCGAGGATGACTACGAGGCTATCGCGGAAATCGATGAATTCGAAGAAGCCAGGAGAGTGGATGAGGAGAGAGAAAGGACTAGATGGTACTGGCAGACAAGAGGTTAAGCAAAGGAAAGAGGTCAACACGGGTTTAAAAAATTACTCATTTACAATCCCCTCCCTCTGTAATATTACGCGTTGTTTTCCTTTGTCATAGGTGCACCAGCCCATATACCCTATCTATCGCCCCTGGTGCTGTCACCACCGTTAGTTCATGTCCCAGAGAGTCCTTCCCGAGAGGGAACCACTACATTGTAATTTATTTACATTGTCAGCTCCATATATTAGCCCAGTTATTAATCCAATAATTAATTAGAACATAGTGGCTTCGCGTCCTGTCAATCCTGAGCAGGGATTCATCTCCTTTCCAAGAACACTAGATTAGATATCGAGCACTTTAGGTCTTAAGACACAGGGGGCAAACCTTCTAGGTTCTAATTTATTACATGATCGATACTTACACACTAGTATACAATCTTGGAGCACTACATACATGTATGTATGGTGTAAGTACATGGACGCAATGATAATTTATAAACATACCTACCCCTTACCGAGAACTTTGAGACTTTAATTGATATAAATGAGAAACTCTATCATATGTTTTATACCGTAATGGCTGCTACGTTGATGAAACAAAATGATGCGGCTCAGCCTTTCCACCGAACCGAGTGATAATCCATGAACCTAATATATGTTACTCGTCCAATGGAATCGGTGTTTTCTCTAGCTTAACGTACGAGAATTCGATTGAACACTCCTCTTACTGTGAGATTAAGCTTCTTCTTCCTTGACTACATTTTATTATATTCAAGTCATTTTTCAATCTTCAGAAGCGGTAAATACTCCACCGGCCCTTGACAAGTCGGAAGATTGTGACTTTCTTTGAGTAAGAGGAATTAACCTGCAGCGCTGGGAGAGAAGTCTCCAATCAGGGACTCGTTACCCCAGAGCGCTCAGTTATTCTCTGCACCGTTATGTTGGACGCGGTCCCTTGACCATAATTCCCCTGCGCAACCACCACCTTACAACATTTACCCCACCACCTACACACGTCAAACACCACACTTACCTCAATCACAAACACCAAACCCCACATATCGATATACTACACCTGTGGTAGTACCTTTTATCATTTTTACGGCGGAAAGGCTCCTACTCTAGATCTGATCTTTCACATAACGCTCAATGTACCCCGCTTACACTTCAGCGCACCGCAACTTAAATCCAAACTCCAACCAAGAATGGGAAGAGGACACTGCAATTACACCAACGACCCATAGTTGTCATTCGGCTTCTCGTCAGGCGTTTCAGGACATCAAAGATGAAGAGTACGAAGGGGAGAATGACACGGATCCCACGCTCAGAGGAAGGGTGGATGGGAAATCAATCAAGGTGTACGAGCTTGACGCAGACACGGGGATAGAGGAATGTGCAGAGCTTGAGGCGGCATGCTTGCTCATGCTTGGGGATATGGCGTGGGAAGATATTCAGTTTCAATTTGGCCCACCTCGAATGCCTGGAAATTTCGTAAGTGGCATAAAGATCTGCCACAGCGTGTGGGATCACAACTAACTGTAGTAATCTCTAGTCTCACGAGCAACGCATTTGTTATGAGGAAATAGTTGAAATGTTTCACCTTGCAGTAAGATATGACGACACTACGGGAGTGCCTTCGTTTTATGCTAATGGGAAGGTTGCAGGATTATCAACTGAAGGACGTAACGGTTTCGGAAGAGGGACTGCAGTTTGTTGTAGACCATTGTGTAAGCTTGAGATCCCTTTTGACAGTACAATCTCTAACAATGAGTAGTATGCGAAAACGCGATACAGGAAAGGCACAAAGAGGGAACATCTTTCTGAGGAATCTTTCAGGTGGGCTGTAGAGGAAGGGGTTGAAAACAGGAGAACAAATTCAACTACGTCTACTGGATCAACTCAAGGACCTACCTATACCAGAAGTGGCAGAGTCCTCGAGAGAATGAAAACATATGAAAGTCTCTCCCAACATGCACCCTCATCAGAAGACTATCTTCCCATGAGACCACCCCGTCCTAGGTTACGTTCAACGAGCAGAGGGATCGTCTCTGAAAATGGTGTCGTACGGAAGGTAAAAACTATGGGGAGATTATCATTACGCTCAGAATTCACAAAAGGCACTTCAGAGTGCAACAAATGCGACGAAGATCCCGAAACTGGAACTGACGCAAGGACTACATGTATGAAACATAAGAATCCTCTAGACTATTTCCCGGGCAACCACTCTATTCAAAACTTCACAGATCAATCGTCTCCCACCGCCAATCAGCCAGATTCGGCGAGTGATGAGCCCTGGGGAACATGGGGCGGTGCGAGGACTTCACCAACGGGAGCCTTGCCGGTCTCCTCGAATACATGTCAGCAAATAAAAAACAAGCATAATAAGACTAGACGTTTGAACTGCCCTCATCTAGAAATAGCCACCGACCCACTACTTCCCAATACTCCCTCAAGTCCTCTCGGTCATTTAAAAAATATCTCGCTCGAGAGTCTTGGTACTGTGAACCGAAAAGGCAAAGACCAACGAGGCCCTGTAATATCTGATGAGGCTGCAAGAACTGGGTCTGACCTTGGGGACAGCTTGAGTGAGGGTTCAAAGAGGCTTTCTCGAATGCAATCAATATTCGTTTCAAGACAGCTCAATAAGCCTGAATACTTCGAGGCTCCATTCCCTCAAGAGACCTCGAACCCTGAGCTATCTAGGGCGGAGTTCAATACCCATGTTCAGGAAAAGCTATATAGCAAGGATGAAGAAGAATATACCCTTGCCGCAAGTCAGTACGAAATGACTGGACGAAAATATCTCTCTCGCTCACGCTCCTCTTCTAACCAATCAACTAAATCTGATCGATCAATGATTATGGAAGTTGACCCAGACCTACTGGCCTGGATGAAAAAAGAGATCTTAACTGTCAAAGTTAGAAGAGATAGCGAAGTGACAGTATCAGACTCGACCTCATATGGAGATAGCCGCCGGAATTCTAGCTCTTGTTTCGGGGAGCAGCCTTCAACGACATCTGTCTCTGCGTGTCCAGCTCCTCCGCATAGCTTCTCCGACGCTGCGTTAGCAATAGCCATGCGAGTTCCGAACCCATCCCGTTTGCCTTCTGAAAGCTGTGAGAATGTCAGAGACTCCGGAGGATATTTCAGCTCTTCTCTTTCACGCCCGTGTCATATGCCTATTGCCTCTGAGCAGAGTTACGAGACATTCGCGAGAAATGAGGACGCAGAGAGCGCTATTGTTCCTACAGGACTCTCCACATGGAGGTTAGAGGAGCCAGGCGGACGTCCTGAGGGAATAGCAGGCGGGATGGATGCAAACGGCGATAGCTTGAATGGAACAGAAGTTGTCTATCCTGCGCTAAATGGTGTCTCACTTCGATCAGGTATCAAAGCACCGTGCCAGATGTGCATGACGGACCAGGCTCATTAATACTCTACTCCGCATTCACATCTTGCTCCTTTTGAATCACCAGATCAAATTTGGAGGATGATATGTTTTACATCAGGGTTGAGAATGGAAACATCACGAAAGATAGGGGACGTTCAACCTATAGTGTATGATCAGGTTTCATAAAATTTAAAGTAAAAGGTTGACTGGATACAACCAGTCTCAATAACCATTTTCTCCTTCGTTTTTGTGCTACTTGGAGGCTGGCGTGTTTATTTTTACAATTAATGGAAGAACCTGGATTGAAGATGAAATATAGAAGGAAATATTCTATAGTGTCAACAAGAGTACAATTTCGTTAGAACGAGGTTAAAGGACATTTGATGAAATATGCCCATTTGCCATCCTTATCTTTGGAACATGAACTGTTAGAAAAGGATAGAATGAACTGATTTGGGTAATTCCTAAACCACTACATATCGAAAATGGTAAAGGTATTGGCTGCACAGAAAACGGGTTACTCTTTGGAGAGTGAAAAAAAGCGCCGTCTATGATATCAATATCTTTAATAGCAAGCAGTGCAGAGAGAACCGATTTAGCCTAGCTTCCGTATGACCTATGTGACAATATCCCCCACATTCAGCAAATAAAATGGAGAATGGCTATGTTGGACGCAATATTTCCTGTCCGTAATCGACATGCCCGTCCCTGCTATAGTTCATGAACTCCCTGACCATTCTTATATAATTGACCTTGTCTTCGATCTTTCTTTTAGCCTTCATCCAGCCCGCCGCTTGAGCCTCGCTCTCCATAAATGCCTCAAGATCAGCCTCCAGCCCAGGCTTGTGTTCCGTTTTGTTTTTGCATTTGACTCTGGTTGACTCATCTCGATTGATGTTGTTTAGGTAATCAGTATAATCTTTCTTTAACGCTTCAATCTTTGGAGTTGACTCTTTAACTTCGGCAGGTTGGGTAAGTGCTACCCGTGGAAGAAGGGGCAGAGGTTCCTTTGGAATCTGAGTTGGTGCTTGAGGTGCAGTAGGAACAGGAGGCAAAGGCCTTGTCGGAGGTGAGGTCGGTGCTTGGGCCAGAAGCTCCTCAAAGTTGTCAGGAACGTAGAAGATGTACTTCTTCACCGTCTTTTCCTTCTTGACCCTACGTGTTCTCGGCATTCTTTCTACCTGAGGCTTAATCGGATTTGGGGGAATGACAGTCCCGATCGATGCGTTGTCGTCCTCGCCAGATGAGTCGTCGGACTCCAGAAATCCCTTTGCAGGCGGATTGGTCACATTGTCGAGATCAAAGTGTGTCATATATTCCTGGAAATGATCGACTGTAGGGGTTGTGGAATTGAGAGAGCTAGTGGAGACCTGACTTTGAGCAATTTCCGCTCTCTCTACTCTAAGGGATGAGTGACTAAGAGTTTTGCTACGAGAGCCTTGAAGTTGTTCGGTCTCTCTAAGGCTATCCACATCCACATGGGCACGCCTTAGTCTGAGATCCATTTCCACACTGAGAAATCCTGAGGAAATTATGTTTCTTTCGGCTATTGGGGCGGATATTGCAGCGGAATGAGTAGTGTGAATAGAGGTACTGCTGCCAGAATCACTTCCAAAGGAGGTTCCAAGATTGCTTGAGTTCCTGCTCCTAGGAGGCTTGGGACGGGCGTTGTCTTCAATTACCATTGCTTCGAGTTTGAGAGTAGCCAGTTCGGCGGGGATGAGCGGACGAATATTTTGCTGCAGAATCTTTGACAGGTGCCTAGTAGTGTTATACAGGTGCTTGGTGTCTTTATCGTGCGGTGCGGAGTCCCAGGTTGTTGAAGTACTTGGCTCTCTGCGGGTGTCAAGATCAACGTTCTCATTTACTAACAAAGTTCCGAAAGAACTGGGATCGATGTTTGCGACCGCTAAGCCCTTTTTAACTGCCATCATAACACGCCCCCCGGAGGTTGATTGGAAGGCTTGGAGGGAGGTGGATTCAGAAGAACTCTGACCGACGACCTTAGTGGAGTTATTAACATCTTCTGACATGTTGAAGGGAATCTTCAATGATGTAGGTGAGGAGGAGGAGGAAGTGGAGGTCTGAGTGTTGTAGTCCTTATTTAAAGGTCTTGTTAACAGAGATCGCGGGACATTGGCAGATACGTTGAATTTTTCGGGCACCCAAATTATGGTTCCTTCGTCAGAACAACAGCCGCTCTCATCCGACTCGTTATCCAAGAACCAAGATTCTCCTGCTAGACCTCCTGCAGACTGCGCCGCAGCAGACTGAGAGCTTATTAACTCTTCCCCGGAGTATCTCTCAAAATTACAGTTCTCATAGACCTTCGCATGATGAATGATTAGCATAACTTCAAACTTGTAATAGACTGGTCGTCAGTATACTTACATTTTCTTCTAACGTATATGTACTATTTCCAGTTGGCAACAGCGTTTCTTCTGTGCTATATCCCTATAGACCACTCCATTAATATCCTTCCCAAGCCCATGAATCAGCTCAGGATAGCACACAACTAACATTTGTCCCACAGTGTTTGCTGAAAGTAAGGAACATATTTCGAGTCTCTGGAGACTTTTTTAAAAGGACTATTAGTCAATATCGTCAGGAGAAATGGCAAGATCCATCATACCAAATAATACCCAGGGATTGGCCCAGGAACCACATAAAGCTCCATCTTGTAGCAGCTCCTCTGGGTTACATTTCCAAAGCTCTCACGAACTGGAAGCATCCTCGTCTTAACTGTAGTTGGCTGCGGGATGGACTGTATTGTGTTACAAAATACTCTTATCAGAAGAAATTGCAGCAACATGACATACCAGACTCTTTCTGTGGGGCTTGATACCAGCAGGAGGGGTCTCAACAGTTGGGTCTTTGTTATACAGAATACTACGGCTTGAGCTGTAGCGATGGAAAGCGTTGTAATGTTCCATTGCAATACTGGTAGTAACTGTACGTGTTGGAATAGAAACGGACATATACCTTTGTGATGGGAGTAGCGGGGTCATGAATTGACAGGATAAGTTGAGTTGCAAACTTTAAGCTTTGCTCGCCAGTTCTGGATGCGTTAGGTTCATGGCCATGAGTTTTTGACACAAGGAAATGAATAGATACAGCTATTACCCTTGCTATTGGGTTAGAAGAGAAAACCGCGAAACCCGTTGATTACACGAACGTCTCGAGCAACGGAATAATTCGCGTTTCCCATGGCAATACTTTTGTTTCTTGAGGTTAAGGTGGGAGGCAAAAACAACAATTTTACACGTCACGTCACAGAGCACACCAGTAAATTATTTGCACTTATTCGTCATTTGCCATCTAACTAATGAGTAAAAACATTTTCTCAACAATCTTAATCCACCCTATCTGAGTCTGAGCCCAGTAAATTCGAACCAGTAACCGAATCATAGCCCAAAGAACAACCAAAAGAGAAGAAATAGCCAACAAATAAATTGCCAACAAATGAAACACTCCAATCTACCCCCAAACTGCAACCTCCACCAGGTAGTATATGGCTCTCAAAGTTTCCTCTTGCTTGTTCAATATCGAGGACCTAGGCGGAACCCTTCCCGCCGTTCTCGGTTTCTTCCTGCTGTTCCTTGACCTTGTCGCTTTCACCGAGTTCTTCTTCATTCCTTTCCTCCTTCCCCTTCCTCTCCTCCTCCTCCCCCCCCTCCTCCTCCTCTTCTTGTCCCTCTTCTTCTTCATATTCATCGTCATCGAAATCCCCCTTACTGACCTTTTTCCCTTTATTCTTCTTGGTCTTGGATTTGGTTTTCCTGCCCTGAGTCTTCTTGCCTTTACCACGGGTAAGCTTTGTAACTCCATTCCTATTCTCGTCTTTCATATAGCGGTCGCGTAGACGTGTTGCCCGCATCCAAAGTGTAGTGTTGAAGTGGTTTTTAGAGGTATCATCATCAGCTTCGTCCTTTTGCTTTTTCAATCCATGGTCCTCACGAAGGGAGTCGCAATCTTTCCCGCAGAGCCATACGAACTGGTTTCCAGTATATCCATTGGCCTGAAGCCAAACCAACCAGTAGGAGTATCGATCATGGATTGGCATACAGCCGATATCAGGAGGGGGGGCTTTGAAGGCATCACTGTCGGGTGGGGGGAAGTAACCCTGGCGCATATTAAGTTCCTTTTTCTCGTCGCCTGGAATCTTAATGTTGTTCTTAGGAGAGCTTTTGGCCCCGAATGTTCCCTTCGAGGCATCCTTGTAGACCGCTTTGAGGACGTTTGCTGCTTGTTCAGCAAAGTGGGGCTTCACGATTGGCGAAGGAACCGCAGGAAATTTGGAATTATCGATGCCCCACCAATACATTGCTCCAGTTAGGCTTCCCTCTCTTGGAGACTCGCCATCCCAGTGGCAGTTATCAGTGTCACGATCCCACTCAGCCACTTCAGTCGTCTCTTCAGATCTGATCTTGTAGGTTCCCTTTGTTTGAGGGGCGGACTCCGACATTTCCGTATCACAGTCCTTGTCCAGGGCAGGTACCTTGAACTTGGGATGTTCGTACGGAACAGCCACATCCACATCGACCACCAAGGTGCGCTCTACCAAGTGTTTATTGTGTGGCCAGTTCAACACCTCGTTGTTCCAAATAGCAGTCTCATACTCCGTAAGACCATCGGGAGCTATTGTCAGAACCACAACATTAGTCAAGCACTTTAGAATGTGATTCTGAACAGGGTATACGTACTGAAGATTTCACACTCGCATTTGTCTGCGATTCGCAAATGTTCTCTTGCTCTAGCAACTACAAAGTCACGAGGGACCGGTTCGTTATTAGGATGGTTTCTGGCGTGATGTCTCCAACCCAATCCGTAAAGGTCTTCGACTGTTGCAATATCTACAAGGGGTATCAACATCAGTCTAACATGGTTAAGGGGCAGGACTAAAGGAATACGTACATGATTGTTTTATGGCCTCTTTCTTTTCGTCTTCAGTCATGTCATCGCTGAAAATCTTCTTCTTGTATACATCTAAATACCATGGAATAGTCATTTAGTTAGTTGATATTTTTTTGTAATTAGAGCTTTTGTTTGTCAGATAGAAGGCTACACGTAGTGAAAGGGATGGAAGGAACTTTTGTTGGAGGTTGTGAGATGCAGCTGCTTAGATTCATGTATGGTTGGTCGCATTGTGCTGGCCAGACATGCCTAACTTAAATCTAATCTAATCTAGTGCCCTCTCAAATACTTGAGAACGCAAAAAAAAGAGACAAGAAACAGTGAATCGAATGACATTAAGCAGGTCACTAACCAACACAAGGGGGTATAGGGGAAGACTACTATAAACGATGTTTATAATATTTGATGTTGGAGTGTGGAAGTAGGGGAAATGAGAGAAGAAACAGTGGTAACAAATAGTATAAGGCAAGTCACCAATCAACAACACAAAGGATATAGGTGAAGACTACCTCAAATGATTTTAATAACATTTGCTGTTGTAGTGTGGAAGGAAATGAAAATACGAAAGAAGAGGAAGCTGGATAACGTACCTGAGAATACGGGCTTCTCTGTCCAATAGGCTTTCCTTAGACGATCACGGTTCGCAATGTGGGCACCTTCTCCTTCAAACTTCAAAGTTATAGTGGGCCCCGCGGGAGGAGGCTGAGATGTTGAAGCCTGAACTTGCACTAACCCTGGAGAGACCTCTACCTTTGGTATCACCGGGTCTGTTGCCTTGACCTCTAAAGACACCGAAGATGTAACTTTTGACTGTTTGCTAGCTCGGAATCCGCTAGCGTCCTCTAATTTTACCTTCCCGAAAGAATCGCTGAGATCGTCCTCTCTCACACGCTTCAGACCCGTAGCAGGTAAGGTGATGCCCTGTGCGGCCATTGCCCGAGCCCTGTTGGCCCTCTCCTTGTGACGGGGGTGACCCATGACGAAGAAAGATGAGATATTTAAATAGAGTATTCTCAAAGCTGTGAATTTTGATTTTGAGGGTGGGGTGGTTTTGGTGTGGTGAGAGGGAGGTGGGTGGGGATGAGCTACTTATATAGTTCTTCGACTTGGTGGGTGGAAGACACGTAAGTGCAAACATGGATCATCAAGCCCCGCACAAAATAGAGAGAATGCCCTGCCCCCATACACATAGACGCCAGCTGGAAAGTTGCTCCCTTCCCATCCTGTCTATGTTACCCGCTCACATGGTGAGCTGGGCCATTGGGGCAGCTTTAATAGCGCATTTTCATGCATCTGCAGCTATAAGGTGGGCGACTACTGACAAATCTCCTAGCAAGTAGAAACCTTCAGTAGAAGTAACCTTGTTCTAAATGCTGATCACGTATACGAAGTAATACGATATATCAACCAACTTGTTCCTCATTGTCTAGGCCGCGAGAAATATGTCGAGCAAGACCTCCATGTCGCAGGCCAACCAGAAATGACATGGTGAAAGTTCTAATCCTTTCCTCAGGCCCCCAGAGCCTAGAACCATCCACCGGTTCTGGATCCTGATCCCACTCCTCCTATCCGATAGCCCCATTATTGAGGCACCCGAACGACAACAGTAATCTTAACGTAATGTTCAATATGCCTCCCCCAATAGTTGTGACTGATAGCCTAACCACACATCTCCCTTGAATAACATCTCTCATCCCCGGATAGGATGCTGTATCATATCTCAGTATCCAATAACACCTATAAATTACATAGACAAATATCATTGACGCGTTGATTAAAATCATTGACACCGTAAATCAGGGGATTTTCATCGTGTGAATTATCGTAGAAATTTGTCCATGCAATTTATAGGATATTAAAGACACTTTTCTCCTACTCCTTTCCCATTGCAGCATGCTCCAATTTATCCTGTCACACGCGGTGATCTAGGTGAGAGGTACAGCAACCTTACCCACCACAGTCCCACTTCCACTCTAGTCCATTCTTCCGGCCATGTACAACTGAAGCGGGTTGGACTAATGACAGTCTTTCTAAATACCCTAAAGAGGTAGATACCCAGTTCTCTCATCCCAGACCTATATTTTTTCACCAGTCATTTGTTGAGTACCTTATCCTGATGAGCGCGAAACCGCCCGTCGATATGGAGTGGTCCCCACCCGCTAGGGAATCTCCAGTCGATGAGTATAATCTCGACATCGGAGAATATTACCCCCAATATCTTGCAGCCGTCGCTCATTGTTATTCAGCACCCGGCTTCCTATCGACGGCAGAACTCTCGCAACAGCCCTCTCCCACACTGACGCCCTCTATAGTTTGGCCCCCAGACAATCGCTTTCTCTTCGCCAGTCTTTGGTAGCTACATGTGCTGATTGTTAACACCCCACACCCCCCTTGCCCTGCTCTATAGCACGAATTGAGCAGTGTCATATCATCGGTCGTTCCAACAAGATCTCTCCATATAGTGCTAACTGCAGAGGTCTCTCAGGAATATCTCCATACTTTCCTAGCTCCCTTTACCCCCTCCATTCCCCTGGACAAGCTAGTTCGCCAGCTACTACCCTCGATAGTCTCTCCAGAAGTCCCCCTTGAACCCCCTGTAGCTCTGCCTTTTACTCACAGCTTCAGTACCGTTCCTCAATCTAACATGAGTCCAATAGGCCACTAAAGACACCTCAACCCTGAGAGAACAAGCTACAGAGTCTTGAAAGTAGCTGCAGTATCCTACCAAGCACCAGGAGCAGTCCTCAAGGCCTTTGGGTGAAGCCAGCATAGCTAAATCCCGCAACTAAATTCCGCAGCTTTATCATACCCGTATTCAGTCTATGGTGACAGCTCGATGTCTTGAGGAAACCAAAGCTGAACTCAGTCGATCTCCGGACTGTTCTATATCCCTAAGATAAAACTCAATACTAAATCCTAGCCGGAAGGATGATGCTCCTACACATCACCATCGTACACGATGTGTAGATTCAATGGGACAAAGATGTCTCTTTCTTTTCTGTGTTAACCATAGACACTGCGTAATAATCTCAGCTTCATGGTGCTGATCAAAAGGCTCATTCCCCTCGTTCCTGGGTAAGGAGGGGGCAGCATAAATTGTGGCCAATGGTCTACGGATACTCCCGGGTGCTCTTTAAGAGCCTGGTCATTAAGAAGCATCCCGATGTTGAAAATGGCACACGCAGTTGGGTGAAAGACTAATACAATCCCTATCACCGGCTCTCTTCATACACGGAATCCTGAAGGAATGCAAAATTAATACCTATCAGTGTGGTAGTATCGCACGACGAAGGTCCAAATTCAGGACATATATATAGGAGGCCATTGCCACTAAACATCAACCGATAAGGCCGAGTTGAGCGGAGCCAGGACTGGTGAGTGAAGCGTACTCTGAACCAGAGAACCGTCGTGGTGTAGAAATCAACAACGGTAGAGCCCATCTACACACCGGTTCTGGTAATAGGCTGCTTCGGTGTTTATCCATCGACGAAAAGTTCTTCCTTTATCTACATTACTAACATTACATTAGGTATTATGTTCTATAGGTGCTCTAAAGATGAAAGGAATGGGCATAATTGCTCGGCGTTTAATTCTCACTTAGTACCAATCACCGTGGAAGGCAATGATTATATCACGAAGCTCAATCAAACGTTCTCTATCAATGGTATAAAGTAAAATATAACGACTAGTTGGAGTTGAAATGGAAGGGTGCAGAGGGAATTGAGCTCTGATGCATATCTGGTTGCTCCATGTAAGGATGGTTGACGAATAGATACACGGTGGTCCTGAGGGGATCGATGTCTAAACCATATCTGTGTCTATTGATGTCAGTCAGAGACTCTAACGTAGCAATTGAGAAATATTCTGAGAATGAAAGTCTTCATTTACAATGTAAATCTTGTCAGTCCAAGGTCGGTCATGGTTCTCGAATGTATGACTTCATATGGGTCAAACATTGATCGACCCGCTGAACGGAGAGCAAATCAGCTGCACTCATAGAGAGCTGAGCGTTCAGATCCTTTTATACCATAGTGCTGTATAGGACTCTCTATACATCTGCGATTCCGGATGCCTTGGGAAAGACGTCTCTACTAGTTCACCACAAATGTTTCATATTGATAAGAAAAGACCACCACATACCATATACCAGGCTCTATAACCCTCAAAGGAATATTTCTCACAATTAGGGAGGAGGAAACACGATTTCTAGAATCGCTCGCTACTAAAATCATCTTTCGACCCCGTTGTCACGTGACAGATATTGATCCCATTTCGAGGTTTATCGATCCGGACGTGCTTGACAGTGACCAGGACGGTCGCGCCAAAGGATCCCTATATACCTAGGTTAAACGTATCTAAGTATGATCGGAATGGCGTTGTATCGAAAAGCGCAGACATTTTTGGTTGGTGATGATTTTTTGGCGGGGTCACACAACGCCAGCGCAGCGTGATGCAGCGACGCAGCGCTCAGATATACATGGATGCACAACCTTTCTTCATGCATGGATGACAAAATCTAAGACATACGATAAGAGATACCTACAAAATACATTCAGGAGGATAGATCTTCCCTGGAATTCCAGCTCCGGAAATGGTTAATAATCCAATATTTGAGAATATCATTGGTCTTCTTCATTTCTTTTCTCCCTGACGTCCTCAATCTTTTTCATACCATTATACCTTGGCACGGTGTCACAGATATTGCAAACACATCTATACTTAAAACTGAAACTCACATCCTTAACAGCCTCCATCGCTACAGTAGTTGTTGTTATCGAAAAGCGTCGTCTCATAACAACCTGTCCCAACGTCCTCCAAAGATTCGGTGGGTTACTCTAGCTGCTTTTCCATATCGACCACCTTCACCCGAAGGTCACACTATGTGACAGTTACAATAGCTAGACGAGACAGAAACTTCTTGTTTCATTAACCCAATAACACGCAGATACTGTAATACGAGAATCTATGAAGAATAAAACAGAGTATTACATGAAGAAAATTGTATAGATTGTTTTACAAGATTACACGACAAAAAGTGGTTTTAAGACATAATCAGTGCCAAGACTGATTATGTTACTGGACACGTATACTTTGGATGACAGATACATGTATGATGTATATACACAGGTTCAGTTATACTTTATATACCACAACCAATAGATCAAAATTGATCTACATCTTAATTATCCTGCACCTTTTGCAACTAACTTGAACATAGTACACTACAGAGATATCCAGAATACATATATACGTTCATAATTTATTCAACTAAATACATGTAGGATGTCATTGTTTCCAGGGTATGAATATTAGACTAAACTTATAGAAGTACTGTAGAAGACAAACGTTTGGCCTTTTCAATTCGATTGCAATATTACGTTTTACGTTTAACTGAACGGATATGGCTCACGACCACCCTGAACCCTTTCTCTAAACTTAGAACTATTACGGAACATCCATTTTTTCACCTCTTGAGTTTTAATGATTGCCGCGCCCTGTTTCTCGTCTAATGTCGTCGCGGCGCAGCCGCACCAAGGGCAGGTCAGACCGGATGGGTGGAAACAGAACTGACGTTTTATACAATCCTTGCACATTGAATGGTTGCACCCCCCGAGGGTATATTTGACATTGCGGTTAAAGCAAATCTGGCAAGGATTTGTCAAAGGTGAGTCGGAATCACCATCAACCTCTTCAAGGTCCTCCCCGCGTGAGAAATCACTTTTCCTCTCTCGCCACATTTGGTTGCCCTGTATCGCATAGATATACGCATCTCTCTCCGCCTTCTCTTTTTGCTTCTCAGCCAGTGCTTTAGCATCAGCCTCTGCTTTAGCTTCTGTTTTCGCCTTTGCGTTCTGCACGTCTTGCGCCGCTTGTTTCTGCGCCTGGGATAAAACTAAGGAATCTACCTGCGAGCGGCGCTCGCGTTCTCTGATCTCTTTTTCAAGTGCCAACTTCTTCGCTCGTGCTCGGGCCTGCGAGCTTGATTCGAGAGGATTGTGAAAAGGCATTAGGGTCTGTAGGTATGGGGTGTTATGAGAAGAAGTGAGAAAGAGAATAATTGTATCGTATTCTGGGACCGTGACGGTGGAGTGATAGGTGTTTGAACCGATAAATCACGGTAGGTGCTTTGCAATGATAGTGATTTAAGGGAAACTTAGTTGATTTTAGAAACTACCGGTTGATGAGTTATTTAAACTTGTGATGAGCAGTTCTGTGCCATTCTATCTTGTGGTAGGGCTTAATCGTTGTAAAAAAGGCTAAACCATCTATCCCTACACTCAATTCAAGGGAGTCTGTCAGGTTATCAATTCTCTGCATAAGCACCGAATAGAGATGTGAATTGATCAGTGGTGTGCTAGTATGGCCGGTTGACAAACTTAACCTGACACTGCGTTACAGCCAAATTTTATATAGGAATTCAATTTCAACGTCGCCTTTCAACACAACCACAGCGGGAAAGGTCAAGAGTTGTTATATCTATAATTCTCCATACTTTTACTATCTCAGGTTTTCATGTGGGCTTAATCGCAGGCATTTGAGAGGTGGGTAGTTGTGGTCTATTTGATTTAGACTGTAACCCAGTGTCCTGTTAATTTTGTCACGTACATGTATATCTAGTGTTACCGGAATACTATCACCTTAGTACCGCGCTACCGGCGACCTTTGCCTTCTTGTCAATCCCGACTACACCTATTCTTTCTTTCTCACTACCTTCTGCTCTCTTCCACCACAAACCCAGAGGTAACGTCATTGTTCACCTTTATTCTATCCGCGCCGGCACCACCATACGCCAACACCTATTCCAACATAAACCCCGAGAGCCTTAGGAGCGGCCCCGAGCCATCTATTCAATGACTACGGCTACCGAGGCTGAGATGCTCTAGTTTGTCACATTCTTACACGCCGCACCGTATTCACCTCGTCCACTGGCACCTCGATCCACTCTCGATCATTGAAGGCGGGATTTGCCGCAACCGGCCGCGGATACCCCCGAAGAATAGATCTTCTCTGCTTGCATCGCTGTTCAGGCTCATTCACGAACACAGTTCACTCGCGAAGTTTCGTGGGTGAACTAGTTCAGTCAGGAAGTATTGATTATTGCGGATGAAGATATTGGGCTCTTCCAGCTAACCTCCCTCCTCCGCGTATTGCAAAGGTTATTCCCCCACTACACCTCGAAGAAAACCACCCATGACCGGAGGAGCACTGCGGTGTCGTATATGAAGCATGTGTGGGGTGATAAGCGACAATGGGCATGACGCTGAGGCAGAATAAATTCCGGTTTTCTTTTATTACACCTTACTGCTGACTTCGTGAATGGACTGAGTTATTCCTGGCTTAGCTGGGTCGTCCCGATATATATATCTCACTTCCTGAATAAACTAGTTCACTCACCGAACTTCGTGAATAAACCGGCTTCGTGAATGAGCCGTAACATCGCCACTACAATTATTACTATGCCTACCGCGCCCCTTCTTTCTAGACCTCGTAAAGGTGGAATACAACATCCTCGGATACGAACTATCCGACGCCCTCGAAGTCGCACAGTCCAGCTTTACTCCCTCCTTTATTGTGCAACAGTGATCTGCGATACCCCGAAAAGCGCCGTCTCCGACTACATCAGGCTACAACGTTTTACATTGTTCTAAGCTATCTTTCGCGCTGGGCGGGCTACACGCGCCGGGGGACGTCTTTATTGATACCCACTAACGATGGCAAGTATGTCATTTATAGTTTGTAGCGACCAGGATGAACAAGTTGTGACTCTATAGATCTTGGATGATCAAAGCAAAACCAAAGAAGCCGTCCATTACAGGAGTGCCACATGGCAGTTTCTCACTATTTTATATGGCATGTACTCCTACACAGTGAATATAAAGCTGTGGGGAAGTCGCCAAGTCACCCACAGGGTGCGACACCTATGTGCTGTGTTTAGGGTTATGGATATTCTTTCTTGTAGTGCCGCAGATAACACTATTTCGAGGATCGAATAAAATATCCCTAGCTAGAGAGTGAATTTAAAGTTCCTCAAAGTGTGGGTTTGTCTAGGTCTTGTCGTACGAGTATCAGATCAAAGAGAAGCACCGTTTCTGACGTTTTGGGCTATATATACATGGACCCAGCCAATATTCGTTCCCACGCGCCCATAAGAGGTAAAACATTGATCTATAGACATATCAAACCTCGATTAATCCTCTTCACTACTATACGTATATAACGAGTGATGATCGGGCTTTCTTTTATCCGCCGCTATATACACTGGCCCATCTCTGACAGGGAAAATCCGCGCATCCCCATAATCTACCCAAATTGATCTTCCCAAATTTATAAAATCAGACCAGCTCCCGTACCGCAGCCGTATCTATTATTGTATTCTTTGGGGGCGTATCTTGAACTTTGTCGTTCACCTGATATATGCCAAAGCCATCATAAATGCCCCTCCACAAACAATTCTCTCTGTCCCGAGCCTTATATATACCACAAGGCCCAGACAAACTGACACCACAAGGGCCTGGAAGTCCATCATCTAGCTAGAGCTGTGACATAAAGTCCTAAACAGTGCTATCAATAAGACCAAAAGAAACGGAACTAAAAATATCAAAACAACCCTTAAAGACCGCAACCCTAAGGTGACCTTATGATTCCCCCGCAGCTCTATCCTCACTGCCTTTGAGTAAGCTCCACCTAAGAACAGCTAGAAACTACCAGAGGTGCACCCCTATACATGTATGTCTTCATCTGTTCAACTTTGCTCTTTCTGTAGTGTTCGATTGCTCCTCCGGTGATGATTTCTTGTCGGGGGAAATATATGATGTCTACCTTTAGGGAGCCCTCAAACTATACGCTATATCTGTGGGAAGGGCCATAGCCTTACTGATTAGCGAAGAGTGGATTGCGGAGACTCCTTCTCTGAGCAAGGTCATCAACATATATATGGAATAATTTTTAGTAAGACCCAGGGTCAAAACCGTGATCTCACCAGACTTTCGCTTAGGTTAAAGCTGAAGGTGCGCTTCCCAACCTACCCACATCCACATTATGCACATATGTTACAGATAAAATTTTGTCGCATATTCATTCGCAGGAATCTTTCTGTATCTGCAGGTCCCAGCTTCATCTGGGAGTGATCATGGGGATTAGAAACGCTAACGCAAAACCTGGAACTCCGGTCACAGATTATCACTACAATTACATGGTTTGTTTTTATTCTAAAGCCCTTCATTACATATTGGTAGAAACACCACAACACCGACAACACATCACGTTAATTACTCTCCCAGCCTGTCTTGTCTTTCTCCCTCCTATTCAAGTTGTCTTCTCAACACATATTTAAGAAATCAATTTATCTGAGACCATTTTCTCTAGCCTTGCAATTAATAAAACATATACACCCAACCAAACGACCCAACGAATTACCACTATGCTCGGGAGACTGATATTCACAAGCGATCACTCGGTCTCCCACCGCTGACTCATCCCCGTATTGATAGTCGAGTGACAGCGCATGAGCCAAGACCTGCACTGCCCTTCCGTCTTGCACAAATTCACAGAAAACTCCGCCTTTCTACTTCTATGCCATCGAGGCATATCATTGACATGGAACATTTGTATATTGGGACCCGAAAATGATTGAATGGACGAGAATCGTGGGGGTGGTGTAAACTTTCTATGCAGTGATCCATATTGAACTCTAGAGTCGTGTGGCAATGTGGAGAGACGAGGTCCAGACCCGATTGAATGCCCAGAATAACAACCTTGGTGGTCACCCCTATGTAAGGAGCATTGAAACTGACGTAGTGTTGGGCACGAGCCGAGCTGGCTCGAGTTTTGGACTCGAGCTTTGGTCTCGAACACCTCAAGCTCTCCTTCTTACGAGCGCAAGCCAGCTCGAACTAGTACCAGAAAGACTCGAGCTTAGGCTCGAGCTTTTTGGACTATCGGTAATGGCAAAATTGGAAAATATAACGAAGATAAACCCCTTGAGTTCGTCTCGAACAGGCTCGTGCCCAACACTAAACTAACGGGTGAGGGAGTAGAAAATAATCTACTAAATATTTGAAATGGCCTCATCTGAAATTCGGCCGACACGATTCATGGAGAATACACGAATTCAACTCGACAGATATAGTGGCTGCCTTCTAAAAGTTATACCCGAAACAAAATGGGGAAGCGTGGTTACTCGAGTGATAACTGGTGACCCACTCCCTCCGTCCGGTAGCTCTCACAGCACAACATCCTAGCGACATCTGGATGTATTTTCATTGCGATTAAACTTTTTTCCTCCGTACTCCCCCGTAGCCAACCACATTTAGTTCTATCTACCAGCCGCGAACTCAACCTAGCTCATACTTAGCCAATATTTCTATCCATCGCTCGCCTGAGGAGACAAAGCAAACGGAAACAGTCAACAGACAAGGCATGACAAATATACCTCAATATGATACTATATTCAGTGCTGTTTCTTGACTTCGAGCAATTCTACGCAAACTTAAAACACCTCTTATTAGCGTGATATAAATAGTGAATGGGGGGTATCGCTCCCCTGAACCTCTTCGAACACAAATTCAGAATCGGTCCGACAAGCTTCTCTCCAGATCAAATATTTATTACCAGTTACCCTATTTTTTTTCTTATTTATCTAACCAATATTCATAACCATGTCCGTCCGACCAAGACGAGCAATGTCACTCCCGGATAGAGTGGTCTCCCCCGTCGTAAGTAGTCCAAAGAATATAACACCAAAGGAGGCCCTATTAGAGAAAAGCGAAGCTCCCCAAATAGCAGTACCGGAACCCATCAAAAAGACAGACAAAGACGTTCCTAAGATAACAGCAGTACCGGGACCTATCAAGAAACCAGATGAAGAGCTCTGTGAGATAACAAAAACAAGTGTGGTTTGTGCACGTCCAATAATGCCGACAGGGCCTGTACCATTAAAAGCTCCGTTCTACACTCCATTCCATCCTGGTAGTGTCACGTATAGTTTTGGTCGCTCACCAATCAAGTTCCGCTTCACCCCGGGGAAATCTTCCAATCTGTCCTTTGAGGAGTTTAAGAAAACACACCTCGGTCCACAAAGACCGGTAAGACGAATCGAATGTGTTGATCTAGATTCTGACCAGGAAGGAGAGGTGATAACTAAATCACCGAAGAGTAAACGGCAAAGGACCGGACTCTCGCATAGTATGTCAATCTCTAACGAGACTAAGGGAGAAGGATTTGGCGGGGTAGATAAGGTGATCTCCTCTACCACAACTTTAGAGATCCGGCCCTCCACTACTGGTCATATCAACCCACAACCAGAAACTCACTCGGTCAATATGATCGTAAAATTGGCTGCAACCCCTTTGACCAATGAGTCAACGTCAATTTCATCCCCTGAGATGTACAAGAAAATTCGGAACTGGCTTATCCTGTACGTGAGCGATCACACAGGCGCTTTTTCAGAGTACTATTGGGTCGTTTGTAACCAAACCCTGAAGGAGGAATTAGGTATACCAGTTCATAAAGACTTTCTGTATATCATGTGGGACCAGATCTGTAAGGCATTGGCTGTCACCGAGGCAAGAAAAATCAGAGAGGGCCTAAGCACTAGCACCGCAAAGGTAATATCCCCATATCGTGCTACCCTATCACCGAAACGTGGGTCTCATCTTATCAAGCAGATTGAGAGTTCTTCCATTATCCAGCACTCGGAAGTTAATGCTCAGCAATTGAAACGAAAGGCCAGCCGGGAACTTGACCTAAGTGATGAGAGCAGAAAGCTTAAGTCTACTAAGCTCTCTCCTAATCATGAAGAGTCAGTCAACGTTAAATCGGAGAAGACTATTCGAGAGAAACTATTTTTAAATCTACTTTCCTCGTCTGGCGTATCCCCTGCATCTCGACCTCCGATTCAGGACCGTGCACCGTGTCCGCCACCGAAAGCAATACATAACAAGCTATTGACCTTCTTCTCTCAGTTCGACTACCCATCTTCGATCGTCACCACTGGGACTGAGCTTACTATAGACCAGGCCTACTGGCTTGTTTCTTACGAGTTGAGAAACGCGCCACTCCAGACAGAACGGAAGCCGAATGGGTACTGGAATACTGTAACAAACTTATTCAACAGTCGTTTTGGTGTAAACAGAGAGAAAAAGTCTATCACAGAGACGACAGCGCGTCTCATGAGACATTTTGGAGAGGAGTCCAGGTAGCATAAGAAGGAGATGGCTAGCGGGGAAGGAAAATAAAATCTATAGGAATCATGTCTCTTAATATTTTCCATTTGTTATGCAGAACGATATACAGGCCTTCATGTATCCCAATACAGCTCATTCTGAATAAGTTATATCATCATCAAGTTACCCCGTTCATGTGATGAGGCGTAGTGAGTAAGACTGAGAGGACGGACTCTGATTCTGAGTCATAGATGGATACTGATAAAAGGTGAAGATAGCAAATTGCTTCAAAGTTAACAGCTGGTCTATCTCCTGAAATGAACACATACCTACGCACCTTGCCATGATGCATGGGTTGTCTACTTTTCTCGCATCCTGGGCAAAGAGAACCTTGGCAGTGGTTCTTAGAAGGACTCCTCCTGTTAGGCTGTGACCAGATCTAGGCTCGCACGCATGACCACGTCTCCAGAGTAGCCAGAGTACATACAAGCAATGTAGATTACATGTATTTGCACCTCCTATCGACAGAACAAGCAGAAGTGTACTAATGCTCAATTCGAAGAACGTTCAACGCACTTGATCCACTTTCTGATTCTTGTATCCCGGTGAGACTATTCCATAGCAATAAGACCTGCCTGAATGTTTTACGCTAACAAGATACTGCTGGAAAGAGTAGCCATTACGACTGTGCAGAATGGAACGGAGCTACTGGTATACCTTTACTGAAATAAAATCACAGGCACAGACGCAGATAAACACGAAGATAGTCACAAGATCACAGCTAGCACTCAGGAGCAGATTAATTAAGGTTCAAGAAAGAAATTTCATTTGACTACCCTGAACTGTATCATAGTAACGACATCAGTTTAAATATTCTAAACAGCCTATAGCCCATCAACAACCTTCCATCAATTTGACAGCGAGCTATCTCGACTTCCTTTAGACTAGACCATCAACCCAAACAATTTAAACTGGACAAAACAGGACCAAGAAACAACTTCGCATCAACTAGACACATCAAGCATCCGTAGGCCCGGCCTTGTTGACTCCACGCGTGAACTCAACGATGATGTACAGAGTGTCGTTGATCTCATGAATGCTGCGATCGTCGAGATGGCGGTCGTTGAACATTTGAGTAAGCTTATTGATGTCTGTACACTGACGGTATCCGTCCTCGAGCCACTTGAGCTGCTCAGCTGTGAATCTTCCATTGGTGCGACGAACAAGCTCCGCGGACCTTTCGCCGCCAGCTTTCTTAATGGCATTAAAGGCTGCGATGCCTCTTTTCGGAAGAGTAGGGGTCTGTGGCTGTCCATCAGTAGGAGTGGTACTACCCTCAACCACGGCTGGTGACGACTTCTTTCCGTGTGCAGTCGCGTATTGGGTTGGAGTGGCTGTATGTTCATCCAATTGCAAGCGCGGACCCCCGGAACGGCTAGCACGGAAGCTAGCAGGGAGTGGAGAGCCGTCAGGATCGTCACGACGAGAAATAGGATTAACTGCGGGGAAGGGCGTGGCAGGCTCCTCGTCTGCTTGCTTGAGTAGATATTCCAAGCCAGCGGTTTTCTCGGAGGAACGAGGAAGCATCCTTGTGGGGACAGCAGAGGCGGGGGTAGGAAAGCGATTGCCGGTCATAGTATTGGCGGCCATGGCATTACGAGCGTTGTTCATAGCGTCGTCACGGATACGCCTGGCGGCGACCTCGTTGAGGGAAGCTTCAGAGGTGACAGCTTGGTTGTTGAGATGATTCTCGTCGACGTCCATCTGGTCATCGGCGTGTTGCTGCTCAGAAGCAACACCAAAGCGGGTGGAACGCATATTTTCACGCATTATGGACGAAAGGCTAAACCAGGTCACAGAGTTAGCATATACCAAACGCGCCTAAGGAAGTAACAAAGAAGGGGAAAGTTTCAAAGTAGGAAATATTGGAAATACCCTATTCTGGTTCAGTTACCAGATGGTTTTGTGTTCGAGCTTGATGATCAACGTTGCTTCGTGATGATGGAGATATGGAGAAGTGTGGAGTTCGAGAGATGGAGTTCAGGAGATGAAGGGATGATGAGTTGAAGAGGGAAGAGAAAAAGAGGTGGGAGATAAGTAATGGGGCCTGCAGCGTTGGTGCGAGTTGGTACCCGGTCCACACATCTATGGCCGCCGAGCTTCTCAGGCCCCCGCGCTATTTCATCTGTGACTGTTTATATATGACACGATAGTTGTCTCTCTATGCTCTCAAGGACTGTTTTGATCACTTACCCAGCCTTTGCGGATTTCGAACTTGTATAGTTCATCCTTCACCTCCTGGCCATGTCATGCCTATTTTTGAGGAAATCAAGTAGCTATTATGACGCAAATTCAGCTTGAGCTTTATTTTATATTCTTGTATCTACAACAATTAAGAAATTTCGAATATCACATCGGCCAGTGTATCTCCCTGCTACCAAAAATCTTTGCGTGAACCCTCGCAACAAATCACGCACTGCAACTCACGCATTAAAAATGAGTCGAAAGAACTTTCACATGTACGTCTACGAAAGAACATTCCCACCTCTATACTCGTTCTCAGATTGTTCTATTCTTTATTTGCTACAGAAACTCACCAACAAAATCTGGGTCCCACCAGCCTATACTCACAAAAACGTTCCGCCACAACCGCCACCCCGCACACACGGGCAAAGCGGCCACAGTTCTTTCCGTCGGCCAGTAAATTGAGGTTTTCTAGCGTCCATACAACAGGGTAACTCACAGAGGACAAGGGCCCTCGCCGCTCCCCGAATGCAGGTTAGCTTATTCTATCCTTTGTTTACTTTTACACAGGCGGGTGGCTTGTGTACGTGTAGAGAAGGGCGTGGACGCGTCACGTAGAGAAAACACGGGACGCGTTTTTTTTGTTGAAAGACCTGGGTAACTGTAGTTACGTCTGGTGTCGAGGTATGTAGGGGCGGCGAGTGGGCCCAGCGAGAGCACTCTATACGAGCTACATGTACTTTTGTTTCCAATAAGCGTGCCTGCGCACCGATCTAGACAGTCTGCTTGCAGTTTATTTCCCAGGGTGTACTTTCGAGAGCGAAGAAGAAGACAGCAGGCCACCACAGGCCAATTACCCCGCTATAAGTGACCAGATATATCTCAACTTCAAGGCTGGTACGCCCTGGATTTACCTAGAGACAGTCTCCGCACCCGATTCAGTGATTGCAGTGTAGTTTAGATTTATGTTGTAGCGACGCTGAGGTGAAAATAAAATTCTTAACTTCACGCTAAATTGGTGCTCGTAAACCGTTGTGGGCAGAAATTATTTGTCTTAGCTTATCGTCTCATCTTATCTTGATTGTAAGGATTCTTGGCATCAGAGCCCTAAAGAGTAGAGGACTTCACTGTGGCGGTGCAGAGAGTTTTGGCATAGCACAGTCTATTCAGGATGCGTATGATATTACTACAACCACCCCCGTCCCTTCCGCACGATAAGCAGCGTGACACGATCATGGCCTTGAAGTAACGCCCAGTATCTAGCAGAGACGATTCTCTTAATAACTCCCACTACATCAGCTTCTTGCCCATTCCCCTCTTCCTCGATCGGGTATATGAGTCTCTTATACGAGCATTTATCGAGTGGCGCTATGGGGGAGTCAACTATCAAAGACAAGCAAATATTTGCGGAAGGAATAAATAAGGGTTATCAGGTTATCGCCACTTAGAGGGGGAAACAGCGCTTGTCATCTATCATATTTATTTCCTCGAGAGGCAGGAAGTGTGTGTGAAAAACCACGAATTCTCGTTCCACGGTTACCTAGGAAGCAATGTCGAGATTTCAGTCTTATCTTACTTGGGGACTGCTAATTGACAGAAGGTTAGTGGGGTCGTACTTCAATAGCCCGGTGCGATCGGAACCTACATAAACAGCCTTCCGGGGGTGCGAGCAGGGCCCGGAACATTTCTTCTCTGGTGTGTACCTCGAGGCCATGATGTGCCTACCGAACCGTGACTTCATTCTGTTCGCTCAGAGGTTCACAATGCCGAGAAGGATAAAAGGAAGCTTGTTTTCGCTGTGTCCTGATCCACAACTCTTCCGCGGTCTCCTTGTCACCATCTAGAGATATTAGCTTCTGTTAATACCTCATTTAATAATTATCCTATTTCCTTACCCACTGCTGCCTCCTCGTAACTTCTATCCCTTCCTCGCATTCTTTGCGTCGAGTCAAAACCAAGTCTCCTTTTGTTATTCTGTCGGTAGTCCTTTCGGGAGTTCCCATTTGTACACTGATATCCCGGGGAGAGGGGGTGAACATAATGCTGTGGTTGACGCCGAGAAGTATAGAACGTGCTCCTTTCGCTGACGACTATCAAACAAGAACGGGATGAAGATCGCCGAGAGGCTCACTAGACAGGACATTCCCTAAAGATCAAAAGTCCCCTTCCGCTTACGCCTGTCTTCGTAAGACTCTGGAGGACCTGGTGATACTACCCTTAGAATTCCAATAAAAAGCATGCGGAAAAACCATGGGGCTGGATCTTCTCGCTTCTCCATCACTTTCCTCGATAGAAGAGAGAGGAATGATGACCGGAGGACCGGAGGACCCGGAAGAGGTGCGGGACAGGAGAGAAAGAGCTTTTTCCTGGGACCTAGAAAGAACATTCTCGTAAAATATTTTACTCGTTGTATCCGCAGGAGGAGGGCGAACGTGGGATCGATGTAGGGACAAGGTAAGGCGAAGATCTTCTCAAGACGTAGGCGATGTTTCCATCCGCGAATGACGGATAAAATTGTGATTTTATCTTCTCCACTCTGGACTACAAGGCATGTCCGAACACATTTACCATCTGTTGGGGTGACTTCCACATCAAAGGCCATCACGTGTCCTCGCATGGCATTAGTGATAGGGCGCGGAGGGCCTGATCCCCTTCATAAACGGGTCAAATGGGATTGACAAACGGATTCCGTAGCACAGTTGGCGGTGCGCCCAATTCCAAAACCGGGTGGTCGCGGGTTCTAGTCCCGTTGGAGTCCCCTCTCTTTTTATTTCTTCAAAAATCAGAATTGAAGGTTATTTAATACTAGAAATTCTTTTCCAGCGCTAGAAACATGACTCCTGCTTTGCGATTTTGCACACCGTCGCTACTTCTATCTGTTGCTTTTGGAATAATCTGAGGTGGTAGCTCGAGAGCCCCTCCATAAATGGGTCAGATAGCATTGACAAATGGATTCCGTAGCACAGTTGGCGGTGCGCCCAATTCTAAAACCGGGTGGTCGCGGGTTCTAGTCCCGTTGGAGTCCCCTCTCTTTTTTTATTTTTCAAAAATTAGATCCTTGGGCGATTTCATACCAGGAATTGTTTCCCAGCGTCATAAACATAAACCTCTCTCTTTTTACGTGGCTCTGCTTCAATCTATGATCTGTGGGAAAGTACCATGAAGTGGCTCGAACCTCTAACCCGTGCTTTACGAAAAAAAGAAAAAGAAAAAAGAGACTTAGATAAAGTACTCCACCGAGCAATATTTTCCCCGGTACTCCCTCTTATATTCACGTCTTGAACGCTATTACCTCATCGTAGTGCCTGGCACTATTGTTCTTTCCTTCAGCAGGAATTGTCGTTTGTACGCGTGTGGGGCATCCCCGAAAGCTGGCGGATGCTGTCCTTCGCATCGCCAAGCCACCCAATAGCGAGCGATAATCCATGACGCAGCCTCACTCAATCACAAAAGCTCACTCGCAGCCTGACTAATCAAGTTTCAACACCACTGGGACATGGGGGGAGTCATTCTGTTTCGAATTGGTGAACAGTACCCGGCCCATATGTTACTTCACGGGGACGGTTCTCAGTGGTGGTGTGGATGGTGAATATCATACTTACTCACAGACGTCACTATGATGCTGAAGCGTAGCGTCACTTCTTATCCCGAGATGGTTTTCCCAGCTGTGACATTCAACGCGTTGAGCCTCTTATTCCCCCCGTTTGTCGGGTTCCACTTCGGATTGTGTTCCTGAGTTCATGGATCTATAGCTCCGTTTCTCCTCTGCTTTTCACGAACGGTTTTGACTTCCACGGACACTCCAGTATGAAAAGGTATGTGTTCGTCGACAGCCTGGTTTCTTTACGAACATTCGTGGGCGGACGGTGTTTGTAAATGAGCTGCAGATTTAGTAGTTCACTTCTTGGTGAGCTGTAGAATCTCAAAATATAAGGTATACCTGAATGTTGCAGTCCATCGCAATCCTCTTACATGAACCTGAGCACGATTAAGTTTAAAAGTAATGAATTCCTTACAACCCACCTCGAAACATCTGATAAAATCTGTAGTAAAATGTGGAAGGAAGGTGGGTCATTCCCCACGACCTGCCCTCTACAGTCAATATAAAATTATATATTTAAATAAGGAACACAATCCCCTACTAGGCAGATGACTCGTATCTAGACCACCCGTATAATGTTTGAGTCCCATCACCATCTATCTACGCATGCGACAAAGGGAAAGATGACGCCCCACCAGCACTACATTATACCTATTTGGTACCATAGCTGAAAGGCCGGATACCTATACTTGTAATCGATCCGTAAAGCGTTCAATCGATCAATGGAGATCGAGCTTCAGGTCACTACCTACCTTCCACCGCCTATCCGCATGTGTTCTGCGCGCCATGTAAACAACTATCTCTCATACCATACGTACAACACAACCTCCCCTCATCTTCAGAGCCCCACCCTTATCAGTATGTGCTCTAGATCGGACCGTCCAAATCATAGGGCACACTTAAATACCCACGAGTTGTAGTCGACCATCCCCGGTTCCACGCCTGGGTGTAGTATTGTCCCTTTCCAGCGCCCAAGGACGGAACA